AACACGAATATTAATGTCAACGTGTCTCGCCTACAGCTCCCGTTCTGACATCCGGTGGCAGTGGCAGTCAGAATCCGACATCGACATCGACATCATACACGGCCGTGACTAGAAAGCCGACAAATGGAAGTACGGATAACTCTACGACAGGGCAGGTGCAGGCGTATTCTGCCCTGTCGGTGCCGGCGCTGGCACATGTTTATGGGCATGGACATGTACCCGCCGAGCACAGAGATAGGAGACGGAGTCGGTCGATGATTTGGTTTAGATATTGGATAGATGGGTAAGGGTTGCAGTTGGAGTTGGATTGGTGTATAGGTAGCGTATTCCTTTTTTTCCCCTTGATCCTGCTCTTATTAGATACACATGGAACTGCTGTATATGGTATCCTTTCAGCCAGTCATTATTATTTCTTATGGATAAATTGACATATGCAAGAAATAAACCAATGTACACTGCTTCTCCAACACCTTCAAGCTCAATCATCATGAGGGGAATGATTACTTCCGATCCGGCCAAGCATCATACAACCCCTCGGACACGGTAACATTCTCGAACGTCGCCTCCCCGACGCCATTATGCACGAAGCGAATCTCCGTCGAATTGGCATACCATGACCTGTACACACAAAGACACCGTTAGCGTAAACCCAACGACCCTCATTAAAAACCATCCTTGCTGAGGGAGAACCACAGCCCAACATAAGGGAAACGATAAACCGTACCTAACCCACGTACTCAACGCAAACCTTCCATTGGCATAAACCTCTAGAATCGAATTATCCACCACGATTGTCAAATCGAGACTCTCGAGAACGTCCTCCCCATCCTTCTGGAGATCAAACAACCGCAACTTCCCCGCTTCAGTAGCGCTATCGATCCCCTCCGTGGTGCGGGAAGCAGCGCTGGTCTTACTCCTGTCCACAACGATTGACTCGTTAGAAAACTGGTAGTATATACTCGTGTGTTCCTCGTCAGATGACAAGATCTGGAAACCAGATTGCAGGGCAGAGTCCCTAGCGGACGAGGGGAAGGAGATGCGGGCGGAGAGGACAAAGAATTTGCTTTCCGGGGAGCGGGAGAAGGGGGTCACTCCTGCAGAGGTGAGTGTTCTGTCTCGTTCGGTGGATGTAGACCCCGACCCCGAGAAGAGCTTGGATTTGGTTTCGCGGGCGATGGAGATGCCCAGGGTGCGGAGGGTCACGGTCCCGGAGGCAGCGTCGGTGCTGGACACGCGCCAGGAGGTTTCTGCTTCGCGCGAAAGGGCATTGTCGACTACGTTGTCGATCGCCAGGACGGTCAGTTCGCGGGGGAGGAGTAAGGAGCCGGTCCAGTTCTGCTGATCGGTCGGGAATGCCTCCGCTTGCTGGTAGAGGTCGCCGGTGAGCCAGACGAAGGAGATGAAGCGGTCAGGGGCGCCGCTGTCTGTCGAGGGCTGGGAAGAAGACGGCAGGACCTTCCCGGAGGCAGCGTAGGACGAGAACCCCCAGTCGAGGAAGCCGGCCATGGACGGGGTGAAAGTGACCGAGTCAGAGTCAGTCATGGACACGTTCCCCGCAACCCACAGCTGGTCGTGGATACTGGTCACCTGCGGGATAATGGGCAGGTCGGAGCCCTCGGTGCCGAGGGTGCCGAAGATCTCGCCGGAGGGGTTATAGCCCTCCGCGTCGAGGGCGAAGACGTTGCCGGTCTCGAAGTTAAACCCCCATCTGCCGGCCCAGGTGCCGTTGCCCCAGGTGGAGTTGGTGGGTTCGGACCACCACTGTCCCAGATACTCCCAGTACTGGAAGTCAGGGTCGTGCTGGCGGTAGAGGAACTGAGTGGGGCCGGCGTTGTGGATGCCGCCGGAGATGACGGTGTACCAGGGGGCGGTGGAGAGGTTGGTCGGGCCGGAGGGGAGGATGGCATCCAGATGGGGGGACTGGAAGACGTAGGGGTCGCGGAAGGCGGTTACGTTGGCGGCGAAGGGCGGGGAGGGGATGACGGGGCCCTGGGGGAGTTTGGTGAAGTTGCGGCCGGCGGAGGAGGCATTCGTGACGGCGAGGGACTGGGTCTCGCTGCCGCGGGTGTAGGGGATGGACCAGTGGATGGGGAGGTAGGAGACGGAGGTGTACAGGAGGGTCGGGAGGCCGTCGATGCCCTCGGGGATGACGGAGCCGTCGAAGACCCCCACAGGGTCGTTTTTGCCGCCGGGCACAATGGCCTGGCTGCCGTTAGGGTTCAGGTCCTGGTACATGGCCAGGTCGGCGGTGGTGGCGCCCGCGATGCCAGCCCCGTTGTACAGCCAGCCGACGTGGAAGAGGCCCGTCGAGGGGTCGGTGTAGTGCATGCAGGGGTCGCCGATTTGGCCGGTCGGCGGGAGGATGTGCGCGCGGGGTCGCCAGGTGTCGAAGAGGGAGTTGTTGGGGAGGGTGGTGAGGTTGGGAGGGGCCACGTTGTAGTTGGGGATGGTGGACGGGATGGTGGAGCGTGAGGATGATGATGATGGCACCGACAGAGGGGTTGAGGCGGCGGCGCTGTGGGCGACCATCGCCATGGCGGCCGCGGAGAGTTTCATGACGTGGAGGGACCGTAGGAGGTAAGTCGCTACGCGGTCGATTCCCTTCCCCTCGTCGTGAGGGAGGGTATATGCGGGATTTTATATGCATGGATATCATTCACGAGTGCGGCTGCATGCCATGGCCCGGGGAATCGTCGCGAATTGGGGAGGAATGGTTCGGGGAAATGCAGCAGACACCCACCAGCAGACGCTCTGCTTAGGGCTCCGGACAGACACGGGGGAAAGCCCCGAGATTCCCCCGGGCGGCTGGTTTCCCCGAGAATGAGCAGCTGCCCTGCCGATCTTCCCAGATGCGATTTGTGGGGGAGGTCGATCGGCTGTTTCTTTCTTGATGGCCGTCTTGATAGAGGGGTTTTCTGCATTGAAAACAGCATGAGACCCGGGCAGTGTCCGAGACATCTGTTCGGGCAGGTGAATATAAGATCGTGGGTCTGCAACTCCATGTGTGTCTTAGGCTCATCAGGAGGTCCTTCCTCCCCTGTTCGACGGCGCCTTCCCTCTCCTGCACGAAAGAATCCCCCCCGTCCGGTGTCATTTCGGCGATGTCGATGCGGGCACTTGGCATCTGTCATGGATCCACCAGGTTGTTTCATCGAGTGCCAAGCAAGGATAGGCTCGAGAACTATACTGCTTTTTGACGATGTTTTAGTTGTGGAGTCATGTTTCGACTCGTTGTGTGATTTGATTCATGCGGGTTTTGAGGGCGACAAGGGTTTCTTATTGGGCGTACGGCATCGAGCTCCTGCTTCACTGGAGAAGCGCCTACATAGCTAGCACAAAAAGCGGGCTCAATTAGGCTAATAGAACTTGAATTGAAATTAAATTAAATTGAAACACCTGCGCAAAAAACAACAATCTGTGCGCCAACCCAATTTTTGACATTACGCCACCACCACAAGCCTGATTGGGCTCATATTCTCAGCAGTTACATTTAACTGCAGCGGCTAACTACATGGAGCTATAGAGTGCTGTGATTCCCATTCTCATACCCATCCTCACTCGCATACTCACTCCCATCATCATTACCACCCGCATTCTTCTTTCAGTGCTGCTGCCTCTGGCTACCAGTGGCAGGCAGTGCTGCAGCCGCCCCATTCAGATTCTGACCCACCTGGCACTGTTCTGGCAAGTGGGACACAGCGGCAAGTGTTTCACTATCACTCGAACCTGGTATGTCAGAATCTTCTAGAAGGGGGCGTTCCTCCCGATGTACTGCAGCAGGATCGCCTTCTGGGAACTCATTGATATCAATGTTCAAACGACCACGGCGTATACCACGGCGTATACCACGGCGTATACCACGGCGTATACCACGGCGTATACCACGGCGTATCCTAAACGCAGGCTTTAATCGCTGGGGGAAGTCTCCAATGCTAAGCTTATCTTGAAATCGCTTGCATGTATGCAAGTCATCAAACATATGCAGCACAGCGTGGCGGTTCCATTTATTATTTGGTCTGAGCTTTGAGCAATGCATAAAGTCCTGCTCAGCGAGACTGGCAAAATAGGTCATGGTCATCAGCTGGGTTGTGATATCTAATCTTAATTAGTATCATCTGCAAAAGCCTTTCACCAATTCCTCTACTTACACTGCAACCAGGCCTGACCCAGAGTAGAGCAGTCATCGATGGATATCACCTGCTGAGCCCAAGGAAAAACATCAAATACCCAGCTGAGTTCAAACTGGCTAGCTATGGCCTGGTTCACAAGAATAAAATCCATTGAGCCACGGATCTTGTGCACCTGCCGAGGTGTGAGGGTCAGAATCCAATTATTAAATTTTCTCAGCGCTAGGTCCAGGGACTTATTCTTCCAGGTACTGTATAAGTTCCGGACGCGGGTTACCGCATTCTTGTACATGTCCCGGGTAGCGGAGAGGCCTGGAAATGCCTGCTCGACTGGCCAAGTCACTCTTCTATTGTCTAATGTGGCAATAAACTGCCGCCGTGCACAAAGAGTCATCTGCTCAAATGCCTCATTGTCTGATTGCGAGATTTTGATTCGACCAGATGAGGGGATGGGAATGGCTGGCATCGGTTGATTAGATAGTATACTCTCACCGGCCTCATCGTCATCAATAAATAATAACTCTTGTGAAGACCGCCGGTATGAGTGAGAATTCCCACTTCCACTACCACTAGTCTGACTGGCGGGATTGGGCTCCCGCCCGCTGAAAGAGAAAGTCGGCACGGAGGCCTCCCGCGACCTCGCCAACAGCTGCGGCATACTGTTTGGTATGGCTGCCGGAGCAGCAGGATCTCCAGGCTGGTATAAGCTACCCGAATCCCGGCCCTGGGAGAGCGAGGAACCCTGTATATTTATATCCTGATCTGATATCTGCTGCAGAGGAGGCTGGCCCTGGGATAATAGATTCACCCAAGTCTCTGTTCTAGCAAGTTTTGCTGCCCGCTCGGAACCGGCCTCTTGGGGTGATATCCTCTTCGGGGGCTATAATAATCAGTGATATGATCCAGAGATATCCTAGAGGTACTACTTGCCCCAAGATAACAGATGCTTTCGGCATCTCTTACATGGCCTCCGGTGCGGGGGAGGTCCGAGTGAGCTGGAGGTGGGGCGGGTGCTAAGTAAGTATTAGCTAATATAATATATCTGAAATAATTATATACCTGTTGATCTCTGTTGTTGAGAATTCATAGCATCGTGCGGCCCACGCGACCGTGATAATGGCGCCATAAGAATGAAACTGCCTAGCAGGTGCTTTTACATGATAAAAGTAAAAAGAGAACAAGAAACATATCAGAGTATTCAGTAAATTTATAATGACTTGTAGCATATGAACAAACAGCCACTGTCAGAATCCACGTTTTTATCCACACTGGGGCGCGTCTATTAATACAGGTACGCGTCTATTAATACAGGTACGCGTCTGTGTCTCTCTCTCACCGCACCACGCGTCTTCTCAGTGAGTCTTTGTATTATTACTAACCCCCCCTCCCGCTGATCATATTACCTCCAACATCTGCCGGCCTCTCATATCTCTTAATTTGTTTATTTAATGACTATTAATAAACCATCTGCGGAAGCCTTTTGCAGTAATAACAACAATCTCACCCCTCGCAGAAAGGACGGCCGCCGCATTTCCAGCAGTTAGAACAGATGCTATCGCCACTGCAAGAACAAGATATATGCAATTACATAAGAGGAAGAGCCTCCTATCAGATATAATGATATAATACAAGAACAAAGACAGCTGACATAATTCTCAAATAACAGCCCTGCCCCAAGTCCCGGTTCAACTATGATATTCCCGATCTCAAGATCCATATCTTTGATCTGGGACATAAGAAGGCCAACATCGATGACTTCCCTCTTTGTATTTATCTCGTCTCCAACAAGTACGAGCAGCTGTCCTCCGACTCGAGGCCTTCGAAGCCGCCCATATCTGTGCCAACAAGTACGCCGACCCGCCGATTTTACTTTGCCCAGCCATCATCCACTAATATATATATCCAAGTACCTCGTGAAGATCGCCGGTAAGGAAGGTTTCCACCTTTATGTCTATGTACACCCCTTTTATATCATCTGTATTAACAAGATATTGTCTTGCGCTGTACTGATCATCTCCAGACCGGTATGTGTGGTGCCCTCGGTAAGCCCCAGGGTACCATTGCTGTGCGAACATTGGCCAGATCATTCTATCCGTCCGCACCCGTGACGCCAACCGTGATGCTGTCATCCAGGCTTTCCGCCGCTCCATACTTATACAAGTTCCCGGTCGCCAAGAAATCATTCCGTCCGTCCGTCCGTCCGTCTGCACCCGTGACGCCAAGCATACTGCTGCCATCGAGGCTCTCCGCCACTCCATGTACAAGTTCCCCGGTCGCCAAAAGATCATTGTCTCCGAGCACTGGGGTCTCCCTCTCGCCCGCCGCGAGGACTACGTCCAGCTCCGCCAGGAGGGCAAGCTCAAGCAGGACAGTGCCCATGTGTCAAAACCTAGTATCATTCAGTATCACGCCTACTTAGGTGTCTGGACATCTTTTTAGTCGAGTGGTCTGTTTGATCTGTCGCCATGGCACATGTTCTGTACTGGTATATTTCGATTGGGAGTATACAATATAATACCCGAGTGATCAATAATCTAAGATCACTTTCATGCTTATAGTATATTCTGCAAAAGCCCTTTACTGAATATTTTATATTATTATCAGTAGAATTAAGATAACTGCCAGACAGTCAGGAACTGCGAAAAGTTCAGTTGTTCTCTATAAAATTACACAAAATCTCGTGTACCACCTGTTCTATTATTAATTCAGTATTCATAATATTATTCTTCTGAGGTTCCTCGCCCTTGCCCAGCGCTATCAGTTCTCTATTTTGTATAACTCATCCTTTCACTGAAAATCCGGCTTCGAAATTATGATGAAACAGCTACTAGCATGTATGGTAGGTGGTGCTGTCATCCTGTCTAAGGTGTATGCACGTATGCATCACACAAACCACAACCCAACCCCCAATCCAATCCAATCCAAGAGAAGCCAAAAAGCAGAAACAAACAGAAACAGAAACATCACCCCTAATCCCACGCAAACATTTATCATTTATTTAAAAAAGGGTTAACAAAGATCTATACAGATGATTAATCTATTCTACCCCCCCGACCCCAATTTACCTACCTCAAGGTAACCAGCTCCTCAGAACTAGTGGGATGAATAGCAACACAAGAATCAAAGTCCTTCTTGGTGGCGCCCATCTTCACCGCAACGCCGAAACCTTGCAACATCTCGCCAACGCCCAGACCCAGGATATGCAGGCCGACGATCTTCTCCTCGGGCCGGCACACACCAGCTTGAACTCGGTGGGGTTCTTGGCCTTCTCCTCGGCTGGCATCACGCTGAAGTACATGTCGGTGAACTTGGTGTGGTAGATCTTGATCTGGTCGTCGCCGTAGCGCTCACGGGCCTCGGGCTCAGTGAGACCCACCGTGCCGACTTCGGGGTGCGAGAAGACGACGGTCGGGATGTTTTCGTAGGAGAGCTTCGCGGTGGAGAATTCGGGGCCGCCGAAGAGACGGCTGCCGAGTTGGCGGCCGGCGGCGATAGCGACTGGTTTTGGTTTTTGTTAGTTGGGTTGGGCTTGGGGTTGGAGGGGGAAAGAAGGGGGGAGGGGGGGCGCAGCATACCAGGAGTCAACTCGGCATGGCCAGTGACGTCGCCCAGAGCATAGACACCCTCCACGCTGGTGTTCTGGTACTCATCGACAGTGACATATCCGGCGTCGTTCAACTTCACGCCGGGGATATCCAGGTTAAGGTCCTCGACCTCGGGCAAGCGGCCAACAGCCCACAGGAGCTCATTGACCTCGATCTCGGAGCCATCGTGGGAGATCAACTTCAGCAGCTTATCCTTGCCCTTTCCATCGCGGATAAGCTGGACCTCCTTGAACCCACCATGCTTCTTGTGCAGGTGGATGCCCGTGTTCTCGTACCGGTCGGTCATGGTCTTCTGAATCATGGGATCGAACTTGCGCAGGAAGTGCTCGCCACGGATAAACATATGCGTCTCGACGCCCACGGCACCCAACACACCCGCCAGCTCGACAGCAATGTACCCGGCTCCAACGACGGCAACCTTGGGGGGCAGCTCCTCGATCTCAAAGAACCCGTCGCTCGTAATACCGTGCTCAGCGCCCTTCACGTCCGGGACACTGGGCCGACCGCCCACAGCAATCAGGATATGAGGCGCCGTGTACCGCGCCTTGGTCCCGTCCTCTAGACCCACCTCGATGACCTTGGGCTCGACAAACCGCGCCCGTCCATGCACGAGGTCGATGCCCTCGTTTCCCCAGTTGCGTTCGTAGATGCCGTTCAGCCGCTTGATCGTCGCGTCGCGCACGTCCTTGAAGAGCTTGTAGTTGATGTTCACGTCCGAGGGCACGTCGTAGCCGTAGTGCTTGGCCTCATGCAGGGTCTCGTTGACGGAGGCAAAGTTCCAGGTCATTTTCTTGGGCACGCAGCTGCATGATTGTGTTAGTGAGGGCAAGGGCGAGGGCGAGGGCGAGGGCGAGGGGGAGAGGGCTCACCCAACGTTGACGCAGGTACCGCCAGCACGACCGCTCTCCACGATCAGGGTCTTCGCGCCGTACCAGCCTGCGGCGCGACGGCCACTGCCGCTGCCCCCGCTACCGCCGCCGATGACGATGTAGTCGTATTGCTGGGTCTCGATGGGAGGCATGGTAGATGAAGTGCCGGGAATCGGGGAGGACGAGAAGTGTCTGGCGAGAGAGGAGAGGCGGGGTGCGGTGGAGGAGCGTAGAGCCAGGGCGCGAGTGCTGCTGGAGAAGGAGGGGGAGGGGGTCGCGGTAGCGAAGCCTTTGCTGACAGCAGCGATGGGGGAGAAGGATGGGGAACGGTCGAGGAAGATTGAGGCGGGAAGAAGCCGAGTCTTGAGTACCTGCGCGGGAAGAGGACGGAGCGAGGGGCACGAGAGCATGGGGAAGTTGGTGAGGGGGTGAGAGAGTGAGGGAGAGTGAGAAAGAGGTGGAGGGGCTCGAACGGCGAGAAAAGAGCTGGTCCGGTAGGTTGGCGGGGACACCGGATGCGACGGTGGGTAGGCTGCTCAACGCCAACGCCAGTCACAAGAGGATGGGTTGTTATCGGGGGAGGGGAGGGGTACAAAGTAAGATATGATGCAGTTTAGCTTGGAACCGAGTGCTTATTAGGCCATCAATATAGAATCTGACGCAATACAGAGAGAAATTGTGAAGATTCCCCGAGGATCGGAAGCTGTTACAGCCCCACGTGATGCCGTGATTGATAAGCATAGTTAGTTAACTAACTAGCCCGTATTACAAATACACCCCCCCGTTTCCAGGCTTCTAGATGTTCTTGATTATTACTACCTCCAATAATAGATTGATAATCCCAGATCGATCGTTCATACGCCAGGTCTCGACGACCCAGTCATGTTTAGATACATATTTGTATTCAGAGCGTATGCCTATGAATCCATGCATGCATGTACATAGTCCTTTATACTTCGTATATAGAGATCTTCCTGGGCAGCTGTGGTGATGGTATCGTATCGGATGAAGTTGGATAAAAAAAAAAAAAAACTCGGTACATTTCACAAAAACAATTAAGTCTGGGGGAAAAAAGAGAAGGAGATCAACTACGAAGCACTGGTGGGGTGATAATATACAACAGCAACAAACGCCCATGATCACATAACCATCTTATGGAACCATCTTACGTGCCGGATCCTCACAGCTGTCACGGACCTCGCTATCTTTGTCGAGGGCCTCTCAATTCCCTGCGCCCCTCAGCCTTGGCAGATGCCCCCAGACCCCTTCCGAGAATGCAGCACCTTCTCGTAGGCCGGCTATTCTCCCTCCCTCAAGCCACACCCCGACGGATCTCGGCGAATGAGAAAATAGACGGGTCATTGGCAGCTTGCAAGAGCGAGGGATCGATCTGCATGTCCCCGAGATCACTGGCAGATACGGGCGCACTGGCCAGCGCTTGTGAAGCAAGGGTGCTGATTCTATTAGTAATGCCCCTGCCAAACGTGCTGCTGACCTGGGGACTTTCCGGTTCGGAGCTGTCAATCTCTAAACGAGGAAGACATAATTTCCGGGCTGGATCTCTCTTTGTCTGGTCGTCCCGGAGCCGCTTCATGACATCGCGACAAAGTACCTCAAGAGCTTTCACTTTCGTGGAATGTTCCGGGTCTGCAGACCCAGGCGCAAGGATCTGGCGTAGGAGCTCTGAGCTCTGGATCCACTCTTCTTTCAGTTCCTTCCAGTGCTCGTCACCCGCCTCCAATTTACTGGTGAAATGGTCCGCCTTGAGTGTGTTGTAGAATGCATTGCGTACCTGGCGGCTCTCCTCTGGATTGATCCCAAGAATATTCTTGGCCTCCGCAATGGTCATTCGTCGTTCCAGTGTTCTCATCCTTTTTGTGACGTCCGTGCACAAGACATCAAGAGCGAGTGTCTTTACTTCCAGCTGATTGGGGTCGTGCCAGAACACCTGTTGGAGATGGTGAGACTCCTCTATCAGTCTGTTCTTGGCTTCCTGCCATCTCTCTGGCCCAGCGACGGTTTTCTTGATAAAGCCTGCTTCTTCACAGATGCGTTGGAATTCATCCCGTACTTGACGGTACATCGCACTATCGAGGTCGAGGTACTTCTTGCTCTCGTCGATGGTCGTCTCCGAAGGGAAGCGCGGAGGGCCCGGGGGATCGGCGGGCATCCCAGCCCATCCGCGAGTCCGGCGACGACGCTTCCTGCTAGCCCAACGCTCTGCGCTTTCTGTCTTAAGTTGCTCCAGCCGCTCCTTGCGCTTTGCCAGGACTTCAGGCGGCAGTTCAGGAGACTCTGACAGATTCTCGGGGGACGCTGTGGGGGCGGGCAGGGCCTTAGGCTCCTCAAATGGTCCTTCCGTCTTGTAGACTTCCTGCTGCAAGGCAAACAGCCCTTCATCCTCGGGCAAGTGGTCCGGGGTCTGGATACGCGACTGGGACTTCATCCTATTCGGCACACGCAGTAGCCAGCGGTTTTTAGCGCGCACCCGCATGAGCTCCCTCTCCTTGATTTCGAAGCCCTCCTCATTCAGTATCCGAAGCATGTCTCGCTGGCTCGTATTCTTCTCCCAAAGCTGCTTCACGCGTGCGACAAGCTGCATGTTCTTGTGCGCGGGGTTCTGTTTTGAGGGGAAGCCCCATCGTTTGAATTGCGTCTGGAAGGCCCGTTTACTGCGTGATATCGCGTTAAATATTAGACTGGTAGGAACCGATAGGAGCTGCGCATGTTTCAAGGGCGTTCGCCAGGAAGCGGCACTACCAGGAAAGCCCACTCACCTCGGTGCAAACTGGTAGATGGTCTTCATATATTCCATAATCTCCTCTAGAGCCTTCTTGTCTTTGATATACATCTGATAGCAGATGTCCCGCTTGCCGTCCCAGTCGTAGACCATGATGAAAAAAGATCGCTCAGGGCGACACTCCCTCCGAAATGGAGGTCGTGCCTCTGGGAGACAAACCCCGCGAGCTGGGGGATAGAGATTGTGCTAGGGGGAGTACGAGAAGTAGGAGTATAAGTATAAAGACACCTGTTGTCACTCCTGTGCCCCGTAGTCGAGCCGCGAGTCCGGCGTGCTGTTCTGGAACGCCGTAGTCAGCGGCCGGGGTAAGGAGAGCTGCCACGGTGCAGTGCACTACTACTTACTTGCGCAGCGCCGCAGGCGGCAGCCCGGTCATGTGATCTCCCGGCTGCTGACTTGTTTGCCGCCGCCTCGGCATCCTTGTTGCTCCGCTCCGGTAGCGAGTAAGGGCGGTCAGTGCGGTTACCTTGAGTACTGCCAAAGGCGGTGAAGGAGCAGAGAATCGAACCTGCCATAACAGGCAGCTGCCACTTGTGACCGTTCAGTAGCACGGGCGACCTCGGAGCGGTAAGCCGCGTAGGGGTCGGTTATATAAAATTATATCTTTCGTATGACTATGTATACAGGCTGGTTGAACTTGGAGCCAAAGTTTGGGTTTACGCTTGGCCCGTTTGAGACTCCGATGATGGATATGACAGACATTTGTATACTAAGGTTATGAAAAGCATATAATGACTCGCATAATATCATATACATGGGCGCAATGTCAAGGATAGAAGATCCGGTTACTGATGAAATGTTTACATGGTACCTTCCTAAAATACCAAGTACTAAGCGCAAATATGACATAAACATCACGTATCATGACTCACAGGACGACCCGACCTTTATTTTCCAAGTCCCCAGCTTTTTTCTACCTGTCCCTAGTTTTATTTGCAGACAGTTACCAGAACCTTGTGCCTCATCTCCTTTCCTCCGTTTAAGTGCTTCTCTCTCTCAAAATGGGTACTAGGCTGCAACCTGCGGTTAAGCGAGCGGCAGAAAGCGACGACGAGCTGGAAATCCAGCAAAGGAAAATTAACAATGGCCTACGCGTGGCCAAAAAGCGCCTGAAAGCACACGGATCTTTTGACACCCACTATTGGGCCAGGGCGGCAGAAGTCGAAACCATACTTCTGCAACGTACTGAGGTTGACCGGAAGATATCCTTAAGAGATTTTGTGGGGCCAGAAGCAGACTGGCAAAAGACTGAGAAAGCAAAGGCTCTCTTCGAGCAGATAAAAGCGCAAAAGACTTCGAAGAACATGTGTGAAAGGCGTAAAAAGGAGCTGGATCCCCAGTATTTGAATCGCAAGGCAAGCCTGGGCAGGCGTCTTCGATCTAGCTGGATAAAGCTGTTCACCACAAGCAAGATGGGCCTATGTATTAAGAACACAGGTGCTGGGGAGAGAGACTCAAGTAATCAGTCTAGATTCCGGAAACATATGATCGAAATCTACGGTAGTAATCGGCCGGGGGAGGAGGTTTTGTGGTGCCCTATCCTGGGCCAATATTTCGACGAAAATGCTGTGACAGCATCACATCTGTTCGCATACATGCATGGACAAGACACAATGGATGCGATTTTCGGGCCCACAAAGACACCGGAACTTTTTTCGCCCAGAAATGGGCTTCTGATCCATATCAACATCGAAAAATTCTTTGATTCTGGAAAATTCGCCATTGTCCCGGATCTACCGGAAAGGCCTATATTGGCCGAAGTTCGGGCTTGGGTTGGCCTGGAAACCCGGGAATATAAGCTCATAATACTTGATAAATCCTGGGACAAGCTAGACAAAAGGATAAGCTGCCACTATCCGATAACATATCGGGACCTGGACGGGCGGCGGTTGGCGTTCAAGACAGCCTTCCGACCAGCAGCGCGATATCTGTACTTCCATTACTGTGTACAAGTCCTCACCCGGGCGTGGCAGCAGGATAGCAGTAAGCAGGTGAACAACACAATCCGTGATGAGGTGGGGAGACACTTCTGGGGAACCCCGGGCAGGTATCTGCCCCGGAACATGCTGCTTGCTTTTGTGGAAGAATTGGGCCACGAATATGAAGAGTTGTTGGAAGGGTCGTCCAGAAAAAGGGGAGATAATGCCTTGCTGGTGGAGGTAGCCACCAAGCAGGTAAAGACCCGACAGGGAGAATTGGACAAGAAAGTCCTGGGCGATGAGTATGATGAAAGTCTGGATGGGGACAATGACGACTCGGACTCGGACTTGGATATCACCTCCTACTCGGACTAGGAAGCCACAAGCCTAACTTCTACGGGAGATTTCTATTCGCTTTTTTTTTTTTTTTTTGATGCGTGTGTTCTTGCAGGTTTTTTGAAACTTTTATCATTGCTTTAGCTCTGCGAATCGAGTGTGGAATTATTATCAGTTAATTATATTATGGTAATGGAAAACCGCTGAGGGAAAATAAGAACTCAGTCAGGGACAAATTATAGAATCTGACAGAGACTCAGGCTGAAGAATTCAGAGACTCAGTTCTCAGGGACTCGACTGCAGGGACTGAAGAGAACTGTGGACGGAGTAGACGGGTATACAGCTCCGGCAGGTTCAGAAAAAGTTGCGGAAGAATCAGGTCAGAATCAGAATAACTCTCAGCAAGAATCAGAAGACAGTAGCAGAATTATCTGATCTCTATAAAAATTCTAATTCTTGCTGAGCTTAATTATATAATTTTATATAGACTTTTTTACAGAGTTATCTAGATTTTTCAGTCAAGTCTTAGACAGAGTCTTAAATAGAAGCTTATCATAATATAATCCCAGGAAGACTCTGCAAAAGTCTTTCGCAGATCCTTTAATAATACTTTATATATAGTAGAGTATAGTGTAAGGGATGATATCCACGGGATGCATTCTTACAAGGGTGAAGCCCACCTCCTCCCGGGTGTATCTGAGTATATATATGGGATTCTAGGGGTCCGCAGGTAACTGCGGGTAATGTTAGCCTTTTGGCTCAGTGGCAACAACTTCCCTAGGTTGCGGTCTTACATAGTAGTATAGTATATAGTATATAGTATATATATATATATATCTTCAAGTTAGTAGTACTAGTACTAATATTACAGATTCAAGTCTGATTTCAAGCTTTATTTATTAAAAAGACTATACTTAAAAACCTGCTTAAGCTTTTACTTAAGCTTTAATTTAACACTCTGTCTAAGACTTTACTGAAAAATCTAGATAACTCTGTAAAAAAGTCTATATAAATTATAAAATTATATCTGTGTATGACTATATATACAGGCCTAAGAAGAATCTCGCAGGTAATAGCTGCGCAAGGGTCAGAAAATCAGATTTAAGCACGTGATATAACTGATCAAGGGTCAGAAGCCTTACCCGTAAGGCATCCAACCTTCTGACCCTTCCGCAACTTTTTCTGAACCCGCCGCAACTGGGACCCCGCGGCGGTGCTGCTTTAGGCGAGGGGCTGACGCTGACGTCTTATCGGCTGCCGTCCGCCCGGAGTCCCCCGTCTCTCTCCATCCCCTTCATCTCCCCACTAGATAGAGAGAGATAGATACCAACTGCCGGTCAGCCCTCCCCCTGCCTTCCCTCCTTCAACCTTCGCCATGTCCTCCGTCGAAGTCACCCTCGACAATGTCGCCGAGATCCTCCAAGGCGACACCCGCGTCAAGCTGGCTGGCGTCGACGTCGACGGCATGCTCCGCGGCAAGCTCGTCTCCAAGAAGAAGTTCCTCTCCATCGTCGCCGATGGCTTCGGCTTCTGCTCCGTCGTGTTTGGCTGGGACATGCACGACCACACCTACTTCAAGGAATTGACCGTCAGCAACAAGGAGAACGGATACCGCGATCTCGTCGCCGTCCCAGACCTGGCCAGTTTCCGGCGCATTCCCTGGGAGAAAAACGTCCCCTTCTTCCTGGTCAGCTTCTTCGATCCCGACACAAAGGAACCCCTGTGCGCATGTCCCCGGGGTCTGTTGAAGTCCGCGCTGGGCAAGTTGGAGGCGGCGGGCTATCGCGCCATGGCGGGTGGTAGGTGCGCTCCCCTCGTGCGGGAACGACGCTGACGTCTCTAGCGGAGTATGAGTTCTATCAGTTCCGCGCACCAGCAACCCACCCCGATCCCGAGCGCAATGCCTCGTCCACGGCCACCTTCCTGAAAGAAAACCCCGTCGAAGCCCTCCCCCCGTTGACGGAAGGCATGTTCGGATACAGCCTGACCCGCCCCATCCACAACCAGGACTACTACTATGGCGTGTTCGACGCGTGCGAGCAGTTCGACTGCGAGATCGAGGGGTGGCACACGGAGAGCGGACCGGGGGTCTATGAGGCGGTAGGATTACCGCGCGACCGGATGGGTCCCCGCTGACGGAGAGCCAGGCACTACAATTCGGAGAGGCCAAGGGCATGGCCGACCGAGCGGGACTGTTCAAGTGAGTGCGATCCGGCTACGGGGGATCCGACTGACCGTGCCAGATATGTCGTCAAGTCCATCGGCACGAAGCACGGCATCACCCCGACGTTCATGGCGAAGCCCCGCGAGGGCCTCCCCGGCAACAGCGGGCACATGCACATCTCCCTGGTCGGGAGCGACGGGAAGAATGCCTTCCTCCGCGACACCCCCGATCCCAACCCACCGTACCCGGACGTGGCTCATTTCTCCGACCTGGGCCGGCACTTTCTCGCGGGCGTCCTGACAGGCCTCCCCGACATCATGCCGATGTTCGCACCCACGGTCAACTCCTACAAGCGGTTGGTGGAGAACTTCTGGGCCCCCGTCACGGTGTCGTGGGGACTGGAGCACCGGGCGGCCTCCATCCGGCTCATCACGCCGCCCACCGCCAGCCCGAAGGCCACGCGGTTGGAGGTGCGGGTGCCGGGGGCGGATGCCAACCCGTACTTTGTGCTGGCGGCGGTGGTCGCGTTGGGCTGGTGGGGCGTGGAGAAGCAGCTGGCAATCCCGGTGCCGCCGCTGTCGAAGGGCGACGAGATGGGGGGCGCGAGCGACCCGGGGTTGCGCCTGGCCAAGTCGCTGGGGGAAGCCACCAGGACCTTCATGCGTCCGGAGAGTGTCGCGCGGGAGGTGTTTGGCGACGCGTTTGTGGACCACTTCGGAGGCACGCGGGAGCACGAGGTGCGCCTGTGGGAGGAGGCCGTGACGGATTGGTAAGTTCGATACCGCGTGTGGAAATACCAGGCTGATTATAAGCAGGGAGGTGCGACGGTACATCGAAACCGTCTGAGCACACCGAGACGAGCTGCATTGTATGTATGTACAGGGATGTACAGGGCCAGCAGCAGGCCAATAACGATAGAAGGCGGGGGGGCCTGTTCCCCTCCGACGAGGCCTAGATTTGGCGGGGGAACCCGACCATGTGCCTGTTTGGACCCGACTAAGTAGAGCTGGGATCGGGAGCAATCCGGGGACATCACATGCATTCACATGCCGGATGATGACGATGATGATGATGATGATGATGATGATGATGATGGTATTTGGTTTTTATCCTTTTTTTTTTTTTTTTCTGCGATGATTAGAGCTTTGTATATTTGCATACATACGTCTTGAAGACAGGCATTCCTCTATCCTGTGCGCACTGCGTAACGAGACCCGTATAGGAGCGTTCATCCCCGATTTGACTCATCCTCGCCATCGGAGCAAGTCGGTAGGCGTGCAGCATCGCCACAGACGACGGGAGCAGATCAACAGCCAGTGACACGGAACCGCGGTTGAGAGGAAGTGTCTCGGGCCTGCGGGGAGTTTAGGAGCTTGGATATCCTCGGTAGAATGGAGCTTTCTCCAGTCCTGCCTTCACGCTGCAGCATACAGCATCGCAGGACCGTAGTAGATAGTGGGCGCAGTAGTTATACCATCCCGGCACGCAAAGCCCCACAGACCAACCCTCAAATACCGCAGCGACAGTCGAGGCAGCCCCTCCGATAATATATCGACGAATTGGTCGAGTGGTAATGGACGATAAGGGGAAGATTTCGGAGTCGGTGGCCGGCGCGTGCCGGGCGGGCAACTCCCGCAGTCGGCCGAGTCGGGCGCCCTTTCCCGCGGAGAAGTCACGGGGAGGCTCCCTCAGCCCTTATTCCGGGGGTGTTTGCTTGTCCCTCACAGAGTATCGAGCCCTTATCGGACGGTGGACCGGACCCATGGGTGGCTCCCTCCGCCCTTGGACCGCGGTTGTCGGAGCTTTCTGACGTAGTGACTAGATGCTGTGTCTGGGGAGGGAGGGAGGGAGGGAGGGACGGGGGGCTGGACTTATATGAGGCGGTATTCCCCGCGAGTTTATCATCGCTGCTGCTCAGACTCTCTTCTCTTCCTTTCACCTGTCACCCAAGAAAGTCACAAGAGAAGTGTGATTGATCAGCACATCATGGCTCAAGTCGACTCCCAACTCAAAGACGTCGTCATCACCGGCGCCGTCAACGCCGACGCCCGCAAGATCCTCACCAAGGACGCCTGCGCCTTCCTAGCCATCCTGCACCGCGCCTTCAATCCCACCCGCAAGGCCCTCCTGCAGCGTCGCATCGACCGCCAGGCCGAGATCGACAAGGGCCATCTCCCCGACTTCCTGCCCGAGACGAAGCACATCCGTGACAACGATGCCTGGAGGGGCGCCCCGCCTGCTCCTGGGCTGGTCGACCGTCGTGTCGAGATTACTGGCCCTACGGATCGCAAGATGGTGGTGAATGCGTTGAACTCGGATGTGTGGACATATATGGCTGATTTTGAGGGTATTGCTCTCTTCCCTTCCCTCGGGTCTGGATCACAGAATAACAACAAGACTGACAACCCCCCAGACTCCAGCGCCCCCACCTGGGATAACATGATCAACGGCCAAGTGAACCTCTATGACGCCATCCGCCGCCAGATCGACTTCACCCAGGGATCAAAAGAATACAAACTCCGCACCGACCGCGTCCTCCCCACACTCATCGCGCGCGCCCGTGGCTGGCACCTGGACGAGAAACACTTCACAGTCGACGGTGTCCCCATCTCAGGCAGTCTGTTCGACTTCGGCCTGTACTTCTATCACAACGCCAAGGAACTCGTGGCCCGGGGCTTTGGGCCGTACTTCTACCTCCCCAAGATGGAATCGCACCTGGAGGCGCGGCTGTGGAACGATGTGTTCAACCTCGCGCAGGACTACATCGGCATGCCGCGGGGGACGATCCGAGGCACGGTGCTGATCGAGACGATCACGGCGGCGTTCGAGATGGACGAGATCATCTACGAGCTCCGGGATCACAGCTCGGGTCTGAACTGCGGACGCTGGGATTATATCTTCTCGTTCATTAAGAAGTTCCGCAAGCACCGCGGGTTTGTGTTGCCAGATCGGTCGGACGTTACCATGACGGTGCCATTTATGGATGCCTATACCAGGCTGCTGATTAAGACATGTCATCGGAGAGGCGTGCATGCTATGGTATTTTTCCTTCCCTATCATCCCTTCCCTCCCAGGCATTGGGATGACCTTGAACGGATGAGACTAATAGCGAGAATGTAGGGCGGCATGGCAGCTCAGATCCCCATCAAGACGGACCCGGCGGCCAACGACAAGGCGATGGAGAGCGTGCGCGCCGACAAGCTGCGCGAGGTGCGCGCCGGCCACGACGGCACTTGGGTCGCCCACCCGGCCCTGGCCGCCGTCGCCTCCGACGTTTTCAACACCCACATGCCCACCCCCAACCAGCTGTTCGTCCGTCGCGAGGATGTCCACGTCACCGCCAACGACCTGCTCAACACCAACGTCCCCGGCAAGATCACCGAGGACGGCATCCGCAAGAACCTGAACATTGGTCTGTCATACATGGAGGGCTGGCTGCGTGGTGTGGGCTGTATCCCTATTAACTACCTTATGGTATGTCCCCCCCCCCCCCCCCCGCAAAAGAAGAAAAGAAAAGTAGAAGCAAAATTACAGAAGAGGGAAACATCAATACAACATAAGAGTATGATACTAACTAAAAAAAAAAAAAAACAGGAAGACGCCGCCACCGCCGAAGTCTCCCGCAGCCAGCTGTGGCAATGGACCCACCACGGCATCACCACCTCGGACGGCAAGAAGATGGACAAGGCCTACGCCCTGCGTCTGCTGCAGGAGCAGGCCGACAGCCTCTCCGCCAAGAGTCCCCAGGGCAACAAGTTCCAGCTCGCCGCGCGGTACTTCGCCGGCCAGGTGACCGGCGAGGACTACGCCGATTTCCTGACCAGTCTGCTGTATAATGAGATTTTGTCACCGGGAACGGCGGAGCCGGCTGCGAAGTTGTAGACTGGACTAGATACTTGCTGTGATCATGGGGTTTACTTTTGCGAAAGTGGGATTTTTGACGATCTGGGATCTGGGATCTGGGATCTGGCGTTTATCTGATCTGATCTGATCTGATTTGATTTGATTTGATTAGCAGAATGATTTATGGGATTTATGTGATTGATTGGATGGGATGGAATGAACCGGTACATATTCCTTTACTAAAGCAATGGATTTGCTTTCCTTATTCTTTTGGTGTTGGTGCTTAAAATCTAAGAACTTAAGAGAAAAACTGTAAGGATTGACTCACCGAATCCGGATAAGACATATCCGCGAGAGGACCTACTTTATCTAGATAGTAGCGACCCCTACGCGGCTTACCGCTCCGAGGTCGCCCGTAGGACGATCCCAACGCCTCAACGGAGTTGACGCATCAACATTATCTTCTTTAAAAAATCACCCATTTTATCAAGTCACGTCTTTTAAAGCCACCACAATGCCTACAGATTATCATGAGATTGAGGATCGAATCCAGAAGGCTATCTGCGCGTTAAAACACGTTCATAAACCCAATATTGCGCAATTTGCGCGAGAATACAAGGTGCCAGTGTCCAGACTCCGTGCCAGGTTGAAGGGGAGAGTTTCTCGCAGTGATCGAAAGCATCCTCATTGGAAGTTAGGTGAAGCCCAGGATCTTGCTTTACTACGCTATGTTCAACTTCTTGATAAACGGTTTATTCCAATTCGGCCAAAAATGATTGTTTCAACTGCAAATAGCATACTTAAGAAGGCCCATACAGATCCAATCACCCCAGCCCCTACAGTCAGCGAGAGATGGTTCCCTAGGTGGCTTGAGAGGCATCCCGAGTATAAAAAGAAACGTGCTCAAGCTATAGATGCCGATAGAAAGCAGGCTCATGATCCAGAGGTGCTTAAAGATTGGTTTCAACGATATCAAGAGATCATACTGAAGCATGGGATTACCTCAGAGGATATATGGAACTTTGATGAGACAGGCTTCCAAATAGGCATTGGAAAGGATCAATGGATTATTACTCAGGATTTCAAGCGGCATTGCCATATTGGAAGCAATACTAACAGAGAATATGTGACTACTGTGGAGGCAGTTAGCGCAGTTGGAGAAGTCTTACCTCCCTTTATCTTGATGTCAGGAAAGTGCATCTTGAAGGGTTGGTTTGATCATACTGAAGCTGGCTCACGGATTGGAGTCACTGAATCAGGCTATATGACAGATGAGATGGCATTTCAATGGATTCAATATTTCAATCTGGCTACGAAACAATCAATCAAGGGAGAATATCGACTCCTAATCTGTGACGGCTACGGATCCCATATGACATACGAATTTGTGGAGTATTGTGAAAAGAATAAGATTATTCTTTTTATGTTGATTCCTCATTCAAGCCATATCTTGCAACCTTTAGATGTTGGGGTTTTTCATGTCTACAAGCACTGGCACAGTGAAGCAATTGCCGCGGCTACTCAGACTGGTCATGGAGTCTTTACCAAAGAAGATTTCCTAGCAGCACTTGCCTCTATCCGAGTTAAAACATTCAAACGTCAGACTATACAGCATGGATTTCGCCTGACAGGATTAGTTCCTTATAATCCTGAGATAGCCATTCAAAAGGTGGCAGAGAAACGGCCCTGCACTCCACCCGATGATGCTAGCAGTCATAGCCATTTCTGCTTTGGAAGCACCCCAACAACTTTAAAACGGTTTAAAGCTGTTGCTAATTGTCTTCGTCATCTAGAGGATGTTGGCTCGGATAACAAATACTGTCTAAATATGTTTATTAAGGGGTGTATAGCACAGGCACATCTTGTTGAGATTTTGAAGCAGGATTTGGATCAATCTGCAGCCGCAGTTCTCGCTCGATCCAATCGAGAGAAGGCCTCCAAACATCGTCTACAGACAGGCGGAGTCATCAGCAGCAATGGCCTCGCTCAGATTAATCGGCTTGAGAAGGAATATGATGCTATCAAGGAAAGAACTCGCTTGCGCACGAGGTGGAAGAAGGTCATGATTGAATTACGTCAGCACGCGTTGGATCGAGGATTGATTGTACGGCAAATCCGGACCTCTAGAAAGTCAGCGTAGCCATCAAGCTTTGTTTTTATATAAGAAACACCTAGTTTTATCAAAATTTGAAGGATTGGTGGTTGTTTAAAGAATCGCATCCCTTGCCTGATTGTGTTGATGCGTCAACTCCGTTGAGGCGTTGGGGTCGGTTACAGATCATACCTTGGCTTCGCGATAGATATATCTTCTTCACACTAGTATCTTAATCACGCAATCCTTATCAAAACTCCAACAGAGACTGTGAGGACAGAAGATATATATATATATAATATATATATATTAAGATAATTATAATATACTTATCTTAGAGCCAGCGGCGGTTTAGTATATAACAGACTATATAATTCGAACTGGTCTATCAAATTAATTCAAAGCAGTGCCAGCAATCAACGAAGATATACTACTATAAGTATAGCGGAGGGGGAAGACACTGGATAAATAATTACTAGTATGGCCGGCCACGGGCGGGCCACGGAGCAAAAACAGGACCGCGAATCATATCTGTGGTGATCACGCGCAGCCGGGTGACACTTGGTCAAAGCACGCAGCAGTCAGGAGGGAACAAGACACAAGAGTTATCTATATGGGGCAGTGGGGCCTCGGGGCAAGGTGAAGCTTTTTGATATGCACAAAGGCTAGTTAGTGTGGTAAACTACGGCAAGTGGCCGCGTTTAAGCCACAAGCCCCCAAGAGGGCGGATTTTACTTGCTAATTCCGCAAAGTCCGATCTATGGCCAGACATGATCTGACTGATATGACAACGACGTGTCTAACTCCGGTAATGCATATTTAGCGCCAATAGATGCATCAGTATATAATAATGGTAAGCCTTTTCCCTTTTGTTCTCCTTAACCCCTTGAAGCTACCTGCCGAAATCAAATGCCCATAATGGCGCCCCAGACCTGGCTCATCACCGGCTCTTCCTCCGGCCTTGGAACCGCCATAGCCGAAACCGTCCTACGAGCCGGCCACAAAGTCATTGCAACAGCCCGCAACCCCATCAAAGCCGCGCAGGAAAACCCCCAAATCGAAGAACTAGGGGGCCAATGGCTGAAGCTCGATGTGACATCCCCTGACACGACTAAGACCGTGAAAGATGCGATTTGCCAAGCTGGAGGCTCTATCGATGTGGTGGTGAACAACGCCGCATACTCCCTGATAGGCAGTATCGAAGACATGACCGAATCCGAAATCGAGACCCAGTTTAGCACGAATGTCTTTGGTCCGGTCCGGGTGTTGAAGGGTGTTTTGCCGTTTATGCGGGCGCAGAAGTCCGGGACGGTGGTCAATATCAGCAGTATTGCGGGGCTGGATGGACTACCGTCTTGTGCGATGTATGCTGGGTCGAAGTTTGCGGTGGAGGGTGAGTAATTTCTCTCTATATAGTTCCGTGTGATTGATATCTAGATCGAAGAGAGTGCTCACATGATAATTATATAGGGATGTCGGAAAGTCTTTCCAAGGAACTGAAATCGTTCGGTATACGAGTTATCCTGGTTGAACCAGGCCTCTTCCGCACGAAGTTCTTCTCTACCTTCGTGGAGCCTGCCGCGGGGCTGAACCAGGACTATATTGGAACGCCTTTGGGTGATACTCTGCAGCATTTTAAAGATCTGGACGGGAAACAGAATGGGGATCCTATCAAAGCCGCGCAACGTATTCTCGAAGTAGTGACGTGTACAGGCTTGGGAGTCGGGACAGAAGATATGCTTCGGTTACCGCTTGGTCCTGATTGCTTTGATCGCTTTCAGACAAAATGTGACGCCTTGCAAGAGAACCTGACAATGATGAAGAAGATTGCTTATTCGACCAGTTACTGAAATAGATGTCTGCGGGATTGGATATTCTGTGATATACTTCTTTCGGGATTACATCATTGATCAAAATAGTAGAGAAAATAGAATTTGGGATTCAAATTTCGACGATTATGTCTGGTAAAAGCTTGAAGGATGGAAAACTGGGCCCTTGGGGACTTCTGAAGGAGGTCGTCAACTGGTATCCGTCTGATTACCCCGCAAGCGAAAGGAAGTGACCTCCCTATGTATATGGATGGCAGATAGATAGGCCCGATCGACGATCACGTTTCTGCCTGACTGCGCAGGCTGCAGGCCTTCATGTACGTAAGCAATTGGTCAGCAGGATCACGGCATGCGGGGCCGCCTTGGGCCCCGCGCGCACAATATTATTGGAATCGTTGCCTTGGGGAGGCCACCGATAATCACGTGACTAGCCAGGTGTGGGCCACCCCGTAGAATTAGATACTCCGGATCGTCACCCAAGGCGGCGGCCATCATTTGGCGGGCAGAATCCGACCCAGAAAATTTTCCGCCTGGGCCACAGTTCCAGACTCGCCTCAGTGCCTTTTCTTTTCCCTCACTCATAATCAATCATTGTTATTTATCCATGGCCGTCGTTCCCATCGAGACTACGGAATCGTAGAAAGGGGAAAAGCAATCTGGGTGAAGCAGATTCTGACATTTCAGGCCGTATCATTCGCTGGGCCGGTCAAAGGCCCATGACGCCATCCCCCAAGGTCCTCGTCCGCAAGGTCCCCAGTGCCCCGATTAGATCTGCGTATTGCAACGGTATCCTGCCCGAAAAAGACTGCCCTATTCGCGCAGCCCTGCTCCTCCCCCCCATCTCCTCTCCAGGCACCCACCGGCACCCACAGTCACTATCACGCCCTCCCAGACACCTGCCACTCCCACGATCTATCTACTACATTGGAGACAGCGTATGACGACCTGAACTTACTGTATCCAGTTCGCGCCCTCATGCTGGCTCCCAAGGTCCTCCCCCCCCTCGCTCTCAGGCGGTCTGTCTCTTCTCTCTCTGTCGACGTTGGCGATTCTTCATCCCTGGTGATCGCTGCCCATGGCCCAGTCGCACCACAGCCTTTAGCCCCCCTCCCTATTTGACGATCGGTCGCAGAACCTGCGGCCTTTCATTCGTTTCGATCGGTAAGGGCGACCTCATCCCGCTCGCGTGGGTGGTGGAGGACCGGCTAACTCGCCACTTATATGCTTGCGACAGGCACAGGCAGATCTCCGAGACGGCCCCTCTGCACTGCGACTGAACCCCCCCCCCCGCCTGCTGGGATCGATCTGAGACACGATATCTGGTCCCCCATTTCAAGGCCCGTCGGTTGTCCTTTCATTCGACACCATGGCGTCGCACACAAAGAAGGACGACTTCTGTCTTGAATGCCACTGGGAGGCATTCCACCTGGATAGAAAAGAGGCGGACGATTCCTCCGAGGCGCATCCAGCCCAATGGAGCTGCCCTGATGAGGAACACCCTCCTCCGCCTCCTCGTTGTGATGTGGACAAGGAGTGCCCTGTTGACGAGGAGTGCTGTGATGTGGACAACTGCTCTCTGACCTGTCCATCTGTCTGTGATGGCTTTGTCGACTGCGAGGAAGCCCTCGTATGCTCTGTATCACACTGTGACGACGACCATTGCAAAGATACTGAACCAGTCTGCTTTGATGAGCATTGCTTCGGCCCTGATGGCAATACAGACGGCGAACACAGTCTCGAGTCTCTCTTAGGACTGGGATCTCCTCTCAACATTGAGACGAACGACTTGCTCTCCTCGACTGCTATCCCACCAGCCCACGGCGAGCCACTCAAGACAGCGACGCACCCGGTCACAGATTTAGTTGCCTCTGTCCCGAATGATGCCTTCCTCACTCCTTATACAGCTTCTATGTCCCACTGCCACACTCACAGTCATCAACATTTCCACTGTCATGATTTCACCAAAGACGCACACCACATGAACTCATGGTTGCCTGTTCAGAACGCAGTCAATCCAGCAGATGTGTTTCATATGATGAGCGTCTGCCCTGATCTGTCTGGATGCCACCCATTGCATACACATCAAGTGCAGGACTGTCCTGGACAAGAAAAGCCTGCTGATAGCTCCTCGAACCCGCCTACCTGCTTCCATATTCCACACCATCCGCATCACCTGCACCACTCGCACCACGCTCATCCTCAGCCTCACCCACCAAACGAGATCAAAAGCCCGCCGCACAATCATCAAGCCACCGATCACTGGAAACCATGCCGTACACATGTTCATCGGTGTCGAACGCACGGACACGCGCATATTCATCCGTACGGGCCATACTCTCCTTACTCGCGCCACTCGCGGTCTAGTGTTAGCTCGCAGTTGAGTCCGGCCGAGACCCCTCCCCCGCTGGATGGGGGAGCGTCATCTGTGCTGACCAGTCCGGAATACTCCCCCGATACCGAGTTGTACATCTGCCGCTGGACCACCAAGACAAATGGGGTAAAAACGCCCTGCGGTGCCGCCTTTGCCGACTCCTGCGGACTGCAGGGGCACTTGGTGGCATGTCATATGGGGACGGTGGAGGGAGCCAAGGGTCTCGGATACTACTGCTGCTGGGATGGATGTCATCGGCCGGACGAGCCGTTTTCGCAGAAGTCAAAGCTTCAGGGACATTTCCTGACGCACAGCAATTGTAGGTACTTCGCTCTGCTTCTTGGGCTGTGCTGACAATACAGATAAAAATTTCAAATGCACCGTCTGCGGGAAGAAATTCGCGCGACAGGCCACCTTGGAGCGCCATGAGCGAAGTCATCGGGGGGAGAAGCCGTACAAGTGTCCTGATTGCGGGAAGTCGTTTACCGACAGCAGTGAGCTAAGTATGTGCTTTTATTTCTTATCATCCGAATAAGAAGCTGACGGGATAGAAACGCATTCTCGGACACACACGGGCGAAAAGCCCTTCAAGTGTACATACCCAGGATGTAACTTTCAAACAGGCGATGTAAGTATACTCCTATTGTAGGAGATGGGCCTATAGCTAACAGAAATTTAGTCCTCGAATATGTCTAGTCATCGGTTAAGTATGCTACCTTCATCCGCTCGGAAAGATAAAGAGGGCTAACCGGTACCAGCGCATGGCGAACGGAGACACAAATGCTATTACCTTGGCTGCACAAAGAGCTTCACACGACATGGTACGAGCATGTGATTCAATCAATCCAAGGAGCACACTGACAGGGTACTAGACCAGTTAAAACGACATTTGAAAACTACACACAAAGATGACGGCACGTCACTCCCCTCCCCGGTGATGGAGACTTTCGGCCTTGCCTTCCCCGAGGTGGCGTGAGTTAGACAGGCCAGGCGGGCCAGGCGGCCAGATCGGCGCAGATCAATTGCATATAGGCAGGCGATGGGTTTATAGCGATGAGACATGATCAGATGGAGTACGGCGATGAGCGATGCAGGATGCCATGATTTACCTCATCTCTGGAGTCAAGAGAACACCTGCACAGCGGGCCGTAGTGGGCCGACTATATCAGGTTAATAAATTCTTCTACTACTACTACTACTACTACCACTACTACTACTTCGAGTTTTATTTCCATGTGATTCATGAGAACGCCTCTCATAATCCACCTTACTACATCAACAAAATCAAATTGAAAAGTTGAAAGATAAAGGGAGCTGCTAGAAACACACTATCTCGCTATCACCTCACCACACCAGACCACCCATTTAACCCTGGGAAGAGGGAACTCGCTGCCTCAGGCCAGCAGGCGTGGATCGAGCATCAATAATCGGCACCCGATCGGGAAGGTAGGGCTTAGGGCTGCTCTGACCCCGTGGCCCCGCCTGTCTGCCTTATCGGCCCGGCGTTTTCTTATCAAGCGGCCAGGCCGGAACTCCCCGCATTGCTTTTCTGATTATTGAGTCAATAGTTTCCATGAACAAAGGCTTCTGCTTCAAAAGGCTTGCACCACCATGACCTCCACAGATGACATGCCAATCCCCCTCTGGCTGGACTGCGATCCAGGTGAGTCTTTCTACAAACCCTCTCCGTCACTTATCTTGCATAAGCTAACCATCATTCTCAGGCCACGATGTGAGTATAACCCATGATCCATGACCCGGACCGTGCAGACGATTGATCATCTCCAAGGACGCATTCGCCATGCTCATCGCAGCCCACCACCCCTCTCTGAACCTGCTCGGCATCACCACTATCCACGGCAACGCCTCTCTGGAGAACACCACCATCAACGCGACCCGCGTCCTGGAGGCCATCGGTCGCCCAGAAATCCCCGTATATCCTGGAAGCAAGAAGCCGTTCTGCAGACCCGCGCTGCATGCTCCGAACATCCACGGTAAGTGCTGCCACGTATCCACAGCAGCACCGCGGAGAAATACCAACATAATATCCATAATGGCAGGCGACTCCGGTCTCGATGGGACAGATCTCCTGCCCAAGGCCTCGAGGGCCCCGATCACGGACAAGAACCCCATCCTTGCGATGCGGGACGCTCTGATGGCGCAGCCTAAGGACACCGCGTGGGTTGTGGCGACCGGAACCTTGACGAATGTTGCGCTGCTGTTCGCGACTTTCCCTGAGGTCGGGGAGCACATTCGGGGTCTGACTATCATGGGAGGAGGTGTGGGTGAGGGTTTCACCGATGCGCCGATGAGTAGACTTGAGGGGGAGGAGAACCGGATTGGAAATATTACACCCCTGGCTGAGTTTAACCTCTATGTATGTCTCCCCCCCCTCGTGAATTCGTATGTTTTGGGGACCAGTCGGTCCGGACTGACGACATCACCAGTGTGATCCCGAAGCCTCCCAAGCAATCTGCAGCGACCCGATTGTCGCCCCGAAGACGACCCTGATCACCCTCGACCTCACGCACCAGGTGCTCGCTACCAGCACGGTGCGGAACCTCGTCCGCCACGGCGTGGACGACCCCTCCGTCGAGCCCACCACCCTTCGACAGATGCTGTACGAGCTCCTGATCTTCTTTGCGTCGACCTACGAATCTGTCTTCGGGCTCGCGTCGGGCCCTCCCCTCCACGACCCCCTGGCCGTGGCGGTGATCTTGTCGACCCTGAACCCCTCCTACGCGAAGAAGCACCCGGAGCAGGCGTTGAAGTTCGATGACCGCGACGGAGAGCGTTTCGCCGTCAATATCATTACGGACGGGCTGCATGGGACGTGGGGGGCGGATCCCGCATTGGTCGGCGCCCTGGGTCGCTCGGTGGCTGAGCCGTCGCCGAAGGGAGTGTGTATTCCTCGCGGAGTGGATCTGGATGCCTTCTGGGCTATGATCAATGATTGCATCAAGCGGGCGGATGCTTGCAATGCTGCGCGTAAGGCCTCGGCTTAGATGCCCGGGGCGTTTGGGTCATCCTTTACTTGGTTATATGTGTGATGAGATTAGGAGATAGAGTTCCATATCACGATTAGATAGATCCATCGGATATAGAAGACAAAAGATCATAATTTGCCTTCAGTATTTTATCAGAATGCTACTCGATCGTATGCAAGTGTTCTCGCTATACCAGTCATACACATAGCACTACCACTCTCAAATCCCTCTGTCGGGTCCATAGAATTCCTTTGATGGCCAGGCCTCCGCGTTGACTGCTAGCCGTCTGACGAACTCCTCCTCGTCCACATCAATCCCCAGGCCAAGTGCCGTGAGCGCATCGATGTGCCTGTTCTAATGACAGAGTTCGGCGTCTCCAGGTCCACCTGCATGCAAGCGGCCAAGGCGATGGACCTGAGAGTCTGTCTTCGGGCCCGCGTCGGGCCCACCAGTCAGACTGGGCAAGAGTCGAGAGTGGACCGAAGCTCCTGATCTTCTTCGCCTCCTGCGCGAAGCAGCACCACATAGTTAGTTAATCACCTTACATAATTAGGTCACGTGGTGGGTTCCCAGAACCATCACGTGACCTCTGCTCGCCTCTTCCGCTCGCTTGTGGTTAACTCCGGCGTCCAGTCAATAGAATCCCTGGACAGATTTGTTACTACTCTACAGGCATACCAAAAATGCCCGAAACAATCGACGGCTACAGTCGAAGGCGACCCCGTTCACCGTCTGATTCACCAGACCCCGACCGTGAGCAGCGACATCGACTGCGAGCGCGCGATGACGACAACGACAACAACAACAACAACGATCGTGGCGGCGGTTCGCGACACTGCGACAGGGATCGAAACTCGCGAAGAGACGGCTCCCGACGGAGAAGACGTTCATCACGCAGCCCGGAGGAACGAGGAACCCATAAAAGAGACCATAGACATCATTACAGAGACCGAGGTCGGGGGGAAGAAACCCCAGAGGATAAAGAAGACCGGAGGCAACATCAGCACCGGCCTTCTACTTCCTACCAGAGATCCTCGCACCGTCGTCATCACGACCGAAAAAACTCTGCTCAGAGACGCCGCGACGACCCCCGATCCCGCTCCCTTTCCAGACGCTCGCGAAGTCCGGACTCACGCGCTCCTGTACGATCAACGCAACCACTCCCCCCTCAGAAAGACTCATATACCTCATCTCAAATGGCATCGGTAGGAGAGTCAACAGGCCCTCCTCCGCTGGAGAAGGAGAAACCGAATTTCGCCCAAACAGGGCGATTGGCTGCCGAGAGCAAGACCGTGGACATCAATGGCAGCTCTGTTGTTCTCAAATACCACGAACCTCCAGAGGCGCGCAAGCCGCCGGCAAAGGAACCCTGGCGTCTATACGTGTTCAAGGAGAAGGATCTTCTTGAGATAGTAGAGCTGAATGTCCGTAGCTGTTGGCTCATAGGGCGGGAACATCTGGTGGTTGATTTTCCTTTGGAGCATCCAAGTTGCTCCAAACAGCATGCAGCGCTGCAATTCCGCTTTGTCGAGAAGCGGAATCAGTTTGGAGACCGGATTGGGTCTGTTAAACCATATACAATCGACCTGGAGAGCGCCAATGGCACCACAGTGAATGGAAGTGTAATTCCCGCCGGGCGATACGTTGAATTACGAGATAAGGATGTTCTGCAGTTTGGGTTGAGCACCCGCGAATATGTTCTTATACTATCCCCACTTTGAGCGGGGATATTATTCTGAGGAATATACCAGCCTGGTTATATTACACATCTCACTGGTGAAAATAAAAATAGTCGGTCTTGCTCTATTTCCACTAACACGCTGTCTATATAAAAACCATCATGGCCGAAATAAATATGTCCCAAAACCCAGCAAGCAGAAGACAGGCCATATCATGAAGAAGAAGAAGATATACACCGAAACAAAAAAAGATCTCAGCAACTTTTATACCTGCCGTGTAGTCTGTCAACCGACGATTCAAGCCTGGGAAACCACCTTCTCCAGAGCCTGCTCCAGAATCCTCAGGCCGGTCTTGAGCTGTTCTTCCGTGATGGTCAAGGGAGGAACAAAGCGAATACAGCCCTCGCCCGCAGTAATAATCAGCATTCCATGTTCCCGGGCAGCAGTGACCAGGTCTGAGGCCTTCGCAATGAACGCTGGGGTGAGCTGGACACCCTGGATCAACCCACGGCCACGGATCTCGGAGATGACCTGGGGGTACTTCTTCTGCAGGGCTTTGAAGCCAGACACAAGGGTAGCACCCTTGGTTTCAACAGAGCTTTGCAGCTCTGGCGAGGCGAGGCGATTGACAATATGATGAGCGACACGGCACACCAACGGGTTACCGCCATACGTGGTTCCGTGGTCACCGGGCTGGATGTGACCGGCCACGGCCTTCTCCGCGATGATGGTAGCTCCAATGGGAACACCATTACCCAGGGCCTTGGCAGAGGTCAGGATATCCGGGTGGGCAGCCTCGCCAGAGGCAGGTGCTAGAGAAGGGTGGGCGTGGGCCCAGAAGCTACCCGTCCGAGAAAGACCGCACTGGATTTCATCAAAGATCAAAACAGCTCCAACCTCATCGCAGCGCTTGCGCAAAGCAGTCAGGAACTCCGGAGTAGCGATGTTAATACCACCCTCTCCCTGGATAGGTTCAACAATCACACCGCAGGTCTTCTCAGTGACAAGAGTCTGGAGCTGGGCCACATCATTATATGTGCCATACTTGAAGCCGGGCAGCATGGGAGAGAAAGGGGTCTGATATTTGGGGTTGGGAGTAGCAGAGAGGGCACCCATTGTACGGCCGTGAAATGAGTTGTAAAAGGAGACAACTTCATGCTTGTCGCCCGAGGGGTCGCGCGAACGGCCAACCTTGCGGGCAAACTTGATTGCAGCTTCATTGGCCTCGGTGCCAGAGTTTGAAATGAATACCTGGGACGCGTCGCGCATGGCACCAGACTTGCGAGTGACATCAATCAGCAATTTACTGAGGGCGCCGGTCCAGGCGTTGTAGTAGAGGTTTGAGGCATGGATAAGTACTTCGGCCTAGGGATATACCTGCAGTCAGAAGATAGGCCCGTAGGAATCTGGGAATCAGAGATATCTACCTGCTCCGAGATAATCTGCGCAACCTCAGGATCGCAGTGACCGAGGGAGTTGACTGCAATGCCTGCTGTAAGGTCCAGATACTTCCGATTCTCCATATCCCACAGGTAGCAGCCCTGGCCCTTGACTATTACCGGCGCCGGTCGAACGTAGGTGGGAACCATGTATGGGGCTTGGTCTTTGATGAAGGCGACAGACGCGGAGTCTGCTGTAGGATCAGGATTCGGTACTGATACCTATTAGAAGCGTAGAGTTAGTATATACCGAGGTGGACATAGCTCCTTGGGGACTACTTACCTTAGTCTTGACATTCTCAGTGGACGCTGAGACGAATCGCTGCTGCGCTGGAGGCTTGATACTAGAAATTAACCTCCTAGCAGTCGGTAGCCGCCGAGCGGCGAGGTGTAGGGGCGCCATCTTTAGGAGTAGTAGACAGGGGGAATGGCAGTTGCAAGACGGAGGGAGCAATGGGCTCGTTGGGCAAGAAAGAAACACGCCGCCGGAGGGCCTATCGATCCGAGCCGAACATCGGACAAAAATGACTCACCACGTGATGTTTGCCATGTTTGTTTTAGAAAGGAAGGGTGGTTAGCTTGCGATTAGTGCGTAGTTTAGATAAGATGTGGAGACTTGGCAGTTTACTGAAAATAATACCCTTTCTATCTACCATCTATCTACATCACAAGAGTACGCTAGTGTGATGGTATCGGATGAAGTTTGATAAAAAAATATCGAGTACAATTAACGGAAACAGTTAAGTTTGGGGCAAAAAGGGAAGAAGATCAACTACGAAGCACTGGAGGGGTAAATATACCACAGCAACGGACGCCCATGATCACATAACCACCTTACATAACACAGGCACGTGGCCAGTCACATGCCAAGTCCTCACACCTTCCTAAACCCTGGCACCTCAGGCAGTAAGGCCGCAAACCTCTCGCGGACTCCCCCACGTGATGTCCGTCCACCTGATTTGGCCACAATCTAGGATGATGGTCATGATCATGATCTGACCTGATCTGATCCTACAGTATACACAGTCCTGAGCGATCCAAGCCATCATATTTCATATCCGTTGAAGGGAATATTATCTCCAGGGGTCTCGACGAATATCAAGCCCTCACAGCAAACCAAGAAACAAGATAAGACAAGACAAGACGCCAGATCAAAGTATATGGACGGGGAATCATCGAAAGTTATTCACAGAAGAACAGTTCAGTGATGGTCCGTGACTCAAAACAAGAATGGTCTCGGTGCACGGAAATCAAGCCTCTACCAACGCCGCCGACGGGAATCTCATTAGTGACTGCGCTCGCGCGCTTCCCGCTCCATCTTCTCCCGCTCCTCGTTCTCCTTCGCCTCGCGCACCTTGGCAAGGACAACCTCCCGGAAGATCGCCCCGTGCGCGACCTTGCTCAGGCTCCGCTTCTTCCTCGTAGCATCATCGTCACCGGTCGCGGATGCCGACTTGCCGTTAGGTGAGGTTGCCGGCGAAGCCTTGCCATCCTCCTCGGGCGCCCCCTCCATGGGGCTCGGGATGTCCTCATCATCCTCGTGCATCTTGAGCGCTTCGATGCGGTTCGCCAGTTTGATGATCTCGATGCCGCGGCGGAGACGGGACCGGGCAAGGTAGGCGCGGATCTCGGGCAGCAAGTCGCGGTCGCTAGCCGACTCACCCGTCAGCCAGACGTGCTTCAAGGCTTCCTCCGACGTGACACGCTTGGCAGGATCCGGCTGCAGCAACGTGTGGATGAAGTCCTTGGCATCCTTCGAGACATCCCGCCAGTAGCGCTCGTGGAAGATGATCTTCCCGCTACGACACTCCTCGATCAGGTCGGTCAGGCTTTCGGACCGGAAGGGGGAGTATCCGCAAAGAAGAGTGTAGGTGATAACACCCAGCGACCACATGTCGACGGCCTTGCCGTGGCCCTGCTTGAGCATGACTTCCGGCGCCGCGTAGCCGAAGGAGCCCGCCATGCTGGTCAAGACCTCGGTCGGGTTATCCAGCATCTTGGCAATACCGAAGTCGGCGAGAACCAAGGGAGAGTCGGGCTTCGGCGTAAGGTACAGCAGGTTTTCCGGCTTCAGGTCTATCCAAATCGAAGATTAGTATCAGAGCGAGCCTTGGAAAGGCGATGTCGGGACCAGACGTACCTCGGTGAACGATATTCCGCTCGTGCAGGTAGTGGACGGCACCGAGCACCTGCCGGATGGTTTGAGACGCATCCTTCTCTGTGAACTTTCCGTACTCGCAAATCCGGTCGAACAGCTCGCCACCAGTGGCTAGTTGCGTGACAATGTAGAATTTATCCTGCCGTGGGATTAGACGAGGCGCAGCGGGGGTGGCTTCCGCGACTCACTTTCGATTCGAACCAATCGACGAAATGGACAATGTTGGGATGGTCGAGAGCCTGGAGCATCTCCAGCTCATCGTAGACCATGCGCTCATTTCCGCGGACATTCTTCTTCAGGATAATCTTGATGGCGACCTTTCCCGAGGCGCCGTCCGCCTCACGGACGATACCGTATGTGCCGGCACCAAGCGTCCGTCCGAACTTGTAGTGAGACCTGTGACGGGAGAGCGGTTATTATCTGTTTCCAAGACGCAGGGCGATGCAACCCAGACATGGGCGTACTTTTTCTCGTAACTCTCAGGCTGTCCCGACAGCTTATTGAGCATATTATGAACTGCGGAAGATTCATTGGTTAGCGACCGGAGGATAAGACGCATGCGGAGAGGAGAAGCAGAATAGCCGGTCGGTCAACAACGAGCGGGGCAGGGACGGTGTGATCATCTCGCGGAAGGGTCGAACCGAAAAGACAGAGAAGAACGAAGATGCCTGCCACATGCACACAATCGGTCCAAGCGATTGCGCGGAGAACTGGCAATGACATGGTGTTGATCGTGAAGGAGAAAGATGACAACTGTCAATGACAAGCCAGGCCAGCCCGAGCAGCATGCCACATTGTAGGAGACGGGGTGGAACAGAGTATAGGGGACTTGGAATAAAGATCGAGAGAAAAAAAAAAAAAAAAAAAAAAAAAAAAAAACAAAAGCGCGAGACCTACAACTCATTGCGACTAGGCGAGGCCTTAGAGAAGACCCTCGGAATTAAGTTGTAGTGTGCGGTGGGCTTTAAAGCCAGCGAGCGCGAAGCTGATCGAAACCCCGCACGCGAGAAGAGGGGCAGTGGAAGCGAGATGACAGAGGCGTGGGAACGAACGATATCGTCGACGGTAGGACTATCTAGATAGATGAAGAGAAGATGATGATGAGTATATGATTTAACTTCTGGAGGCCTGTGACAGTATAGTGTGACAGGCTAACGGGGTGTCCGTGTAGAGAGGCGCTCGAGGGAGAAAGGAAGAGACTGGCTTACGGGTAGCTAACAATAGGGGGGAAAATTAGGCCAGGGAAGGAACGTAAACACCGCGCCGTACCTGGTCGGGGCTTATCTCCTGCGCGAGACTATGTAGTACTTGGTACTAGTAGTACTACTGCAGGGGCGAGGCAATGCGATGCAGTGTCGGTTGGACGGAGGAGATCGAGAGTAAAGGCAAGTCGAGGGGATGGCAGCAGCCAGGACAGGACAGGACAGGCCGGGAGAGATGGGGAAGGGGCTCCCCTCCGTCATTTCGCGTTTCGAAATTGAAAACCTTTGGCAATCAATTGTTAAACGGACCCTACACGTTTCCCGGCTGACCTCATCCCTAGCTAGATCAGGCCTAGCGCCCGTGTATTGTCTTGGCCGGTAAGCCACGTGTAATGATATTACTTTACTGCGTATAGATATTGCCTGTGTTGCGAATATGACCTGTATTACTGATATTGCCTGTGTTGGCCGTGATGGCCGTGGCCGCAGCCGCAGGCAGGGTGGCTATACAATGCCCGACAATAAAACCCACTTGCTAGTAGATTATAAGAAAGGTACATTTGAGACTGGCAGGTAAGAGTAAGCACAGGCTAAGTCTAATATGGCTAGCGCAGAGCGGGTGTGAGGTCAGCCGGGAAAAGTGTAGGGTCCGTTTAACAATTGATTGCCAAAGGTTTTTGCCCGATGGCGGCAATCGTCCGCTCAGTAGATATAATGTTGAGTCTGGGGGTAAAATAAAAAAAAAAGAAGATCAACTACGAAGCGGTCGGTAGTGGGGTAATGATCATATACTATAACAGCAATCAATGCCCATGATTATATATAGGCAGCCACCCGATGGGACCCCCTGATGGGTAACCGAGTCACGTGCCAGATCCTCGCACGGAGCATCCCCAAGCGCCAGATTGCCTTGTCCGCCTCCCGAATATCAATTGACTTCACCACGCGCATTCCCTGATCGGCCTCCCCTCGCGACCGACCCTGAATGATCATCTGCACGGTCTGCCCCTGACCTCCACATCGTGCCTGCCTTAGGCCATGCCCTCCTTCACTGACCAGACCGATTCGGGTCTTGATCTCGATGGTAGGTTTTGGTTTAACTTCCCGTGAACCTTTCCACACTCCCTTGCTCCCTGTAGCTGTAGGTTTCCAGAGGCTCTGCTGGACCAAGATGATCTCATAGCCCACTGCGACTTCGGTACTCCATCAATCATAATCCCACCCCCTTCGCGATCTCTACTCTTTGACTCTCTCTCTCGTCTACCTACTACTCGAGTGTTGATGGATTCTGACCAATCGTTCCAAGGGCCTCAACCGATTCTGGGAACTGGCTTGAACGTCTCTCTCCAGAGACGCCGCCCGACCCCCGGACACGAAGGCTCTGCAATGGCTTCGGAAGGAAGCTTCCCCAGACAACAACCCCCTGCGCCAAGGAAGCCGACTCGACCAGCTCTTCATCACCCGGCCTCTGTAAGTAGTCAGACGTCCAGCGTCGCGACCGAGTCCGTGTCTCGCAACGAGAGGGATCACGGCTTGAAGTACGGCGAGGAGGACCCGCAGAATGCCCTTTTCACGCAGGTGTTCGAGTGGCTTCGGCGCGAAAAGTCCAAGCGGAGGACTTACAAGTCGTCGAGTCTAGCCAGAACAGACGAGGCTGTAAGTGATGGTGACGACGACGACGACGATGACGACGATGACGATGCTGCTGGTGTCTCCGTGGAAAGACCGACACCGACTGGCCCCGATGTGCTTGCTCTGGACAAGTTGGAGAAGATTCTCCTCCGGTATGCCACTTCACGACAGGAGGGAGATAGCGTAAATCTTGTGCGACGGACTGGTCATCGGCGCCCACGGTCCAGAGGATTGCGTAGGGGCTCTGCTTCCGAATCCGATGTGTCAGACTATGAGGCAAATCCTCCCAGCGTGGATGCGGTATTGGACAATTCCAAGACCCTCGCCTACAGCGGTGGCGGTGCAGAGGACGAGGATAATGAACCCGGCGAGAGCACGCGACGCGCAAAGAATAGGGAAGCCTGGGCGACATTCAAAGGCGAGATCCTTCGTCTCACCCATACCATGCAGGTCAAGGGATGGCGGAAGCTCTCAATGGATCTGGCCGCAGATATAGAGGTGGCTCGGTTGAGCGGTGCTATGACTAACGCGGTGTATGTGGTCACTCCGCCGCAGAACATCCCAGTGCCCAAGGCCGAAGATGGCTCGTATTCGTTGATTCCTATGAAGCGGCCACCGTAAGTCCTCCGGTATCTTATTGGCGACCCGAGTCTAACATCCTGTAGGAAGCTTCTACTGCGCATCTATGGGCCGCAAGTGGATCACCTGATTGATCGCGAGAATGAGCTCCAGATCCTTCGCCGGCTGGGCCGGAAGAACATTGGACCCAAAGTCCTCGGCACGTTCAACAACGGGCGGTTCGAAGAGTACTTTGAAGCTCGCCCTCTGACACCAAAGGAGCTCCGGGACCCGCTGATCATGAAACAGATCGCGAAGCGGATGAGAGAGCTGCATGATGGGGTTGATCTGCTCGAGGAAGAGAGGGAAGGAGGACCCATGGTCTTCAAGAATTGGGACAAATGGGTGGATCGCTGCGAGCAAAGAATCAACTGGCTGGACAAGGAAATCAAGTCCGAGCACAACCAGAGCAAAACAGCGTCAGAGGCTTGGCGCCAGCGAGGTTTCGTCTGCGGCGTTCCATGGCCCTTGTTCCGGAAGGCGGTTGAGGGCTATCGGAAGTGGCTTGTTTCCACCCTTGGGGGAATGGATGAAATCAATCGGCAGCTGGTATTTGCGCATAACGATGTAGGCTCCATTTCCCTCCCTGGTGGTGGGACATGTACTGACTGTTCAGACCCAATATGGCAACCTGCTTCGCATGAATCCCAGTCAGGAATCGCCGCTGCTCCGGCCAGAGAACGTGCATAAGCAGCTGGTCGTGATTGATTTCGAATACGCGTCAGCGAACCCTCCGGGACACGAGTTCGCGAACCACTTTGTAAGTCTTCAGCTAGCGACCGGTGTTCCTTGCTGACTTGCGCAGACGGAATGGTGCTACAACTATCATGATCCGGAGAGGTCGTGGGCGTGCGAGAACACAGGTTATCCCACGCCGGACCAGCAGCACAAGTTCATCAACGCATATCTTAATCATCGCCCGGGACTGCGCGACATGGCGTCTCCGTCCATCACGCCCCTGATGCGGGGAGCGTCTGCCAACGCCTCCTCGCTCGCTTCTTTGAACCTGGATGCAGCCCCTGATATGGCCGTATCAGGCTGTCTGGATATCGAAAAAGCGCACGAAGATAGTATCGACGCTCGAATCCAGTTTCTCATGCGACAGACCAGGCTCTGGCGTGTGCTCAACTCTGCCCAGTGGGTCGCGTGGGGCATCGTGCAGGCCAAGATGGCCGGGATGGAGGAGGGCATCGCGGCGGGCGAGGCCGCTCACAACGGACACCACGAGGCGAACGGCAACGGCGCGGCAGGCAGACGGGAATCGACCGGAAGCCCGCCCGTGGACGCAGATATCGACGAGATCGACGAGTTTGATTACCTTGCGTATGCGCAGGACCGGGCGATGTTCTTCTGGTCGGACCTGCTGTCGATGAACTTTATCCAAGAGGACGAGCTGCCGGCGTCGATGGTGGCACAGATCAAATCGCGCATCATCGAGTACTAGGCGTAGTATCCGGAGTAAATAGATAAGCTAGCGTACAATTATGACTCAGATAACATGACTGACGAAGCGATTCTTCCAGAAGCCGGCGTTGTTGCCTTTGTACATAACCATGCCATGCCATGCCATGCCATGCCATAGCCTAACTTACCCGAACGCATCCAATGTGAACTGGTTCCTCAAAGCTCGCAACTATTACTACCTTACCGTTCCACGCATGAATTCGAGCATGTAGCCTGCCGTCCTCTGCGTCCGCGATGCAGCAATTCCACTTTGCTTGTCTCGCGTTGTGTCTGAACCGTCCCGCAGAGCTGTGCCCGCGTTTATATGGCGGCGTTCCTGAGGTGGGAGACTGCGTCGCAATTAAGGAGGTTGAGGGAGTTGTGGGATCGGCAATAGTCCTGGGACTGCATGTACCAGCTATCTATGTGCTTGTGTGGATATGTAGGCCCGCATTGTACTCCGTACCTCCTACTAAGATAGTACTACTGTACACGCCGGTTATCCGACTCAGTCAAAGGATTGCAAATCAAGGAGGAAAGGAACGATTGAGTTCAGTGAGAAAGATTTCTGTTTGAGCAAGGACAAAGCCAGCCCTTGTTCTACATTCCTCGTCACGGGACAGGAGTAAGCAACACACCCAACTTCTTGACAGTTAAACCAGTGAGCTAGAGGGTGAGGACTGAGGGCACTTTATATGATCACGCCGGATAAGTAGGACGAGTGCATAACTGAGAGGCTAAATGTGATAAGACCTACATGGTGAGAGGGCTAAGGAGTTTGGTTGCATTAGGAGACTTCTGCCACCGGTGTTCCACTGTTCTGCCAGCAGTATCTACGGGGCGCTAACTATAAGAGGAAGGATCCAGACTATATTCGATTTAGTTTAGTGTGATTTGTATGGGCCTGTTGTGGTTTATGGCGTGTCCCGCACCGTCAGGAAACTTACGCCTCAGTCTCACGCTCATCTCTATCGAAATGACCTCAGACTCGACTCGACCACTCGCTGATTTATCTGATCGACTCCACAGCAGGAATCTTCTTGAAAGGAGAAGATTCTTGGTGAGGGATTATCTGCCGCATATCTCTGCTGCTGCTGGTAATGCCAAGGCGCTACGCGGATCAGATAACTTTTAATTACCGCGCGGGACTGTCTCAACACTCAGTCTCAGTGATTGACCACTGGGTTTTGCAGTGAATCAGATAAGCGGGTGGTATGGCCGGCGTACGGGACTAGCGCGGTTACGGTGTGGTCACATCGATACCGTACGGGTGACACACACTTTTGCCCTCAATCCACCACCAACCCACCACCAACCCACCACCAACCCACCACCAACCCACCAACTAATCAAGGCCAACCCCACTCCACAAATTATCGTGACAGTGACGGACCAACAGGCTGACCTGTCCGCTGCAGTCGGCGACCCCACTTCTCCCGGCTCCTGAATAATTCGTCGAGGGGCAGTCCGGCCACCGGCCAGATGGTCACCCCATTCGGATGTCTCTCCCAGTCCCGGTCCTCTCTGGTTGAGTTTTCTCGAACCCAAGATGGCCAGTCCCACTCGCCAGCGTGGAGCTGCCGAAAAGCGGCCTCGAGGGCATGCATGGCACACCCCATCGGCTGCAAATAAATCGTCTTCTTTCACCTGACCGTCCTGCTGTTCGACGAAGCAGACCGACCCGTCACCCGTCCGAAGCAGACACTTCGACCATGCCGTTGCTTCAGAAGCTGGCGGGGTATCCCAACCTGCTGCTGGCAGGCAACCCGTCCAAGGGCGACCTGGGGACGCTGGCCTCGGCCATCGTCTTCGCCATCGCCTCGGGCGTGCCCTTCCCCATCATCGGCATCATCTTCGGTGAGCTGCTCGACAACTTCAACTCCATCTCCTGCGCCGAGTCCGACGGCACCACCGACTCCTCCTCCGCCAGCAGCATCAACAGCGAGATCCTGCTGATCGTCTACCTGGCCATCGCCCAGTTCGTCCTCATCTATGGCCACCTCACGTGCTGGACCCTGTACGGGGCCCGTCTGTCCCAGCGCCTGCGCGAGAACTACCTGCAGAACCTGCTGCGGCAGGAGCCCTCCTTCTTCGACAACCTGCCCCCGGGCGAGGTGTCCTCCCGCCTGAACAGCGACATCCAGACCATCCGGTCCGGCACGTCCGAGAAGGTCGGCATCACCCTGGCCAGTTTCTCCTTTTTTGTCACCGCGTATATCGTCGCCTTCATCAAGGATTATCGGTTGGCAGCCATCTTGATCTGCCTGGTTCCGGCCTACTTCATCATGTCCTTCGTCGGCAGCCACTACATCGAGAAGTACTCTGGTCTCATGTCCGACCACGCCGCCAGCGCCGCGTCCATTGCCTCCGAGGCCCTCTCCAACATCGTGGTCGTGCAGGCGTTCGGCGCCAACCCCAAGCTCGAGGAGAAGTTCTCCGGCGCGCTCAAGGCCTCGGAAACGGAGGGCCTGAAGAAGGCCACCGCTGTCGGCATCCAGTCCGGGGTGCTGTACTTCATTGCGTACTCGGCCAACGGTCTGGCTTTCTGGTATGGAAGTCGACAGGTCGCCGATGGACTGACTGGATCCGGGGGCGTCACCGTGGGTGCCACGTTCACCGTTATTTTCGTCCTGATTGAAGGTGAGTCGGATTGAGCCTGAATTCCTCTACCTGTGCTGACGACGACAGCCACCCTGCTTCTCAGTCAGGTCGCCCCCTTCCTCCACCTGTTCATCGCGGCCGTTGCATCCTACGGCAAGCTGCGCGACGACATCGACCGCGTGCCGCTGATCGACGGCACCACCGACGCGGGCATCCGTCTCACCCGGGCCGAAGGTGGCTTCGAGTTCAAGAACGTCTCGTTCACGTATCCCTCCCGGCCGGAGGTCACCGTCCTCGACCAGATCAGCCTCAGCATCCCCGCCAACAAGCATACCGCTCTCGTGGGCCTGTCGGGGAGTGGAAAGTCGACCATCGCCGGTCTGGTGACCCGACTGTACGATGCCAACGAGGGCGAGATCCTCTTTGATGGCCACAACCTCCGTGATGTCAACACCCGGGACCTGCGCGGCTTCCTCAGTCTGGTACAGCAGGAGCCGTCTCTTCTCGACCGGTCCCTGCTGGAGAACATCGCCCACGGTCTGATGAACTCGAGTAACTCCAACCATGCGCACCTCAAGGCCACGCTGCTTAGCTCTGAACTTTCTGACCTCGCTAGCGAAGTCAGAGATGGCGCCGATATGATGGCCGCGGCAGAGAAGCGCGGGCCTGATGTTGTGGAAATTGTCAACATGTCCAAACACGCGGCTGTTCTCGCCGATGCCGACACGTTCATCTCTGCCCTGCAGCATGGATACGCCACGATGGTGGGCTCCAGTGGCCGCCTTATCAGCGGTGGCCAGAAGCAGCGTGTGTCGCTGGCAAGAGCCCTGGTCAAGGACCCCGCCGTTCTCATCCTCGACGAAGCCACCGCGTCTCTCGACTCCCGCAGTGAACAACGCATCCAGAAGGCCATCAACAACATCTCCAGCGGAAGAACCATGATCACCATCGCCCATCGCCTGTCGACCATCACCAGCGCCGACAACATCATCGTCATGCACAAGGGCCACATCGTTGAGCAAGGCAACCACGCCGAGCTGATGGCCATGGACGCCGCGTACGCCGACCTGGTCAAGCTGCAGGGCATGAGCTCCACCAAGACCGACACCGCCGTCTCTGTCGACACCATCAGCCGCTCGGACCAGACCTCCCTGACCGACGCGGACAACGAGAAGGCCAGTCTCGACGAGAAGGCCGAGGACACCCAGGTCTCCACCACGGAAACCCCCGAAGACAACGACGACGACGAAGAGGAGGAGCCCGAAACCCCAAAGCGATCCCTCTGGGCCCTGGCCAAGGGCTACGCACCGGCCCTCCGCCCGCACCTGGTGTACATCGTCGCGGCCCTCCTCGGGGCCAGCATCGTCGGCGGCGCCTTCTCCGGGGAGGCAGTCATCTTCGGTAACACTGTCGGCAGTCTGAACCCCTGCAAGGGCGCGGCCAGCATCCGGTCCCACGGAGAGTTCTTTGGACTGATGTTCTTCGTGCTGGCCATCATCGAGTTCTTCGCCAACGTGGTCAGCTGGGCCGGCTTCGGCTGGGTGTCGGAGAAGATTGTCTACACGGTGCGCGTGCTGTCCTTCCGGTCTCTCTTCGAGCAGGACCTGCAATGGCATCAGTCGGAAGGCCGCTCGCCAGCCCTACTCCTCTCGTACATCACCCGCGACGGCAACGCGCTGGCCGGACTGAGCGGCTCCGTCATCGGCACCCTGTTCTCCATCTCCGTCAACCTCGTCGCCGCCATCATCATGACCCACATCATCGCCTGGCGCATCGCCCTGGTCTGTCTCGCCCTGGTGCCCCTCCTCCTCGGCGCCGGTCTCATGGAGCTCCGCGTGCTCGGCAAGTTCGAGGAGAAGCACGAAACCGCATACACCAAGTCGGTCGACATCGGCGTCGAAGCCGTCACCTCCATCAAGACCATCGCCGCCCTCTCCCTGGAGGAAGACACCCTCAATATCTACCGGGAATCCCTGATCGGGCCCCGCCAGGAAACCCTGCACGTCACCCTGCAAGCCAGTCTCTGGCAAGCCATGACCTACTTCCTGGGCAACCTGGTCAACGCCCTGGCCTACTGGTGGGGCGCCAAGCAGATCATCGACGGCAACTACACGCAGACGCAGTTCCTGATCGTGGTGTTCTCCCTGCTCGTCAGCGCCCTGCTCTGGAGCCAAATGTTCGCACTGGCCCCCGAACTCTCCAGCGCGCGCGCCGCCATGGCGCGCATCCTGTGGCTGATCGAGCTCGGCTCCGACAAGATGCAGGGCCGGGTCCCTGCACCGCACAGCCCATCCTCCTCCCCATCCGCCCTCGCCCTCGACCTCGAATCCCCCGAGCCCAAAGCCCCCCTCCCCCTCACCTCCGCCGCCCACGTGCAGCTCCAGAACATCCACTTCTCCTACCCAGCCCGCCCGGACATCGAGGTCCTCAAGGGCCTAACCGTCAACCTCGCCCCGGGCAAATTCTGCGCGCTGGTCGGACCCAGCGGCGCGGGCAAATCGACCATCATCTCGCTGATCGAACGCCTCTACACGCCCTCCTCAGGGAGCATCCTCCTCGACGGCAGCGACATCAAATCCCGCCCAGTCTCCTTCCGCGACACCATCTCCCTCGTGCCCCAGGAAAGCGTCCTCTTCGAAGGCTCCATCTCCTTCAACATCTCCCTCGGCGCCCGCCCCGGCACCATCCCCACCCAATCCGAAATCGAAGACGCATGCAAGCTGGCCAACATCCACGATACCATCGCCGCGCTGCCCGACGGCTACCAGACCCTATGCGGACCGAACGGGAACCAGTTCTCCGGCGGCCAGAAGCAGAGACTCTCCATCGCGAGGGCGCTGGTTCGGAAACCGAGACTGTTGATCCTGGATGAGTCGACGAGCGCGTTGGATGCCGAGTCGGAAAAGTTGCTCCAGGATGGTCTGGAGAGGGCCGCGAAGGGCATCACCGTCGTGGCGATCGCGCATCGTTTGAATACTATCCGCAAGGCGGATGTGATTTATCTTATTGAGGGGGGACGCTGTGTGGATGAGGGCTCGCACGAGGAGTTGTTGACCAGGAGTGAGAGTTATCGCGCCAATGTGTTGCATCAGACTGTTGCTTAGAACTCTTTTTCTCGGACTGGGACTGGGGGTTCGGTTTGTTCGGTTTGGTTTGGTTTGGTTGGTTTAGTTTTTTTTTTTTTTTTTTTTTTTTTAGATCCGCGTTAGATTGGTTTTAATAGATATCAAATAAGTTTTTTCTTCTTCTTCTTCATCTTCATCTTTTTATGTTTATGTGGAATGTGCTTCTACAGTCTGTTTTTGTAATGTGTGGAGTGTTCTAACCTCTAGCTTGTATCGGTTCTAATCCTCTGTCTTGGTGGACTAGATATCATCTACATATCTATCTACTTTGTAGATAAAAGGAATGATGGGATATTGGGCCCGAGAAGGGCAGAATAATCAACTAACACACCGCCATTGCATTCAGATCTTGGCCCGCAGCCAGCCAGTCGACCGTCCAGGGCCGTTGATGCCCGATGATGTGTCACGTGCACCGCTTAGACGAAACAACGGCCGCCCGGCGGCGTTATCGCACAATTCTGTGAAGAACAGAAGCCGGCCAGGATTGTTCGTATGCTTTGTCTTTGAACCAGACTGTGGGATCTGTAAGAAGTACTCCGTCTATTATTGAAGCTGGAATAAACACACTTCACATTCTTAATTTACATAACCGACTTTCGAAGCCGGGGGAGTTTCTTCTCTGTCTCTCTCCCTCCCTCTTTTTTCATTTGGGGGAAAAGTAAATCCCCTTTATATCTCTAGCCATCTACCTATCTGGCACCAACAGTAACAGTGGACATCATAAATTATCGTACTGTAGAATTGTGGGATGTGATAATACTGATGTTGTATGATGGTGGTTCGCCACAAGCAATCCTCGAGCCAATCTAATCAGATCTGGCCTGAACCTGAATTTTCCGAAGATAATCGCAATCAGATTTGATTGATACGGTGTATCAATCTGCCCGCTCTTGGGTCGCAGTGGAGGTGGGAGGGGAGGGGGGGGGGGGGGAAGGTTCGCACCACAGTGGGATTATTTAGCCGGGGCACGAGGAAATTCCTTCCTCGCTTTGCTGTTCCTGTTGGGCTGGCGACGCTTGTGATTCTCTAGTATCTATATCCTGGTTCACAGTCCCATGGTTTATTTTCTACTGCAGGTTTGTTCTTTTGGAGATTTATCCAGAGTTCTTATCCTTCTTGTTGTTGATCATCATCAAAGCAGCTTGAACTCGACTCGACTCATTTCCTCGGGCTAATTTCACACCCAAGACACTAACCAGTCCAAGCGGATTCAACCGCCTGCCTAGCCTGCAAGTTGTGCGTTTTTCTTTCCTGCTTGGAGTTTGGTGCTTGCTTGCTGGTGGATTCGTTTCGCACGCCGGCCCACATTAGATTGATAGTCGGGAGAGTAGTGTATCGTACGTATCACCTTGGCGAAATACACCGTATTCTTAGCGCGCTCGGGTAGTCTTCGTATTGTGAGGGATATCAACCACTAACTAATAACTATGTATATATTATATAAGCCGACATTATTAATAATTTATCGCGTCGATAATATCAGATGACTTAATCAAACGACCGCCTTCCGAAAGGACTTGCGCTAAACCTCATGCGTCAACGGGTGGCAGAAGTCTCCTAATATTGCAGCGCTCCTGCCCCGAAAGGGGCGGTAAGGGGCGGTTGCCCAATCTGACAACTCTCTGGGAACATTTCTAGGCACCCCTGCTACTACTCCTTCTTTGTATCCTGAGAGCATCATCATCATCATCGTCAGCATCTTCGTGGCATCAACCAATACTACAGTGATCCTATTGAGATCTTCTTTACTTGTTCCGTTGTAGCCTGGGAGGTCGTTACGGAGCCTTCGCTTATCAGTATGCATAAATCAATTATTCAATCAATCAGTAGTCTAGATACATATTACGCACGGCAAACCGGTAATGAATGCGGCTGTAGGTATAATTGCGATGAAGAGGGTAAAGAAACATGTAAGATAGTGGTAGTCATATAATCCGACCAGCTCCATTAGCGCCTTGCTGTTGTTGATGTAGATAGATAGTAGTTTGAATATGAACGCCCCGTCTGGAATCTAGATCTAAGTATGATATGGGTGGGGGGCATAGAACAGATGATGAACTCTTTTTTCTTCTTCCCTTCTTTCTTTGATTCCTTTCCTCGTTTCCTCTTCCTTGCTTTCAGATCCGGTTTTTGGTTTTCGCTTGAGGGCCGAGCGGCATATTGAGATACAAGATCTCAGCCCGGCTCAGCTCAACTTAGTCTAAATTAAGCCCTCCCCCCCCGAAGCCGAATTGTCGAGTTGTTCCCTCGGTGATAATCTAATCATCAAACTTAAATGACTTCCCTCCCGAGATATCAATCGGCCCACCGCGGTACGAGCCACGCTTCTTCTTGTTCTTTTCCTTGGTGAAGCCCTTTCCGCGGGTCACGGAGAGGTCATTCCACGCGCGCTCGGCATACGCGTAGGGCACGTACTCGTTGGACGGGTGGTCGTGGGGCAGCTCGCTCAGCGCAGCCAGGGGCGTCGGACGCGCCCCGACGTGCTTCTTCTTGCTGGAGTAGTTGTCCGTTCCGGGGGCCGGGCTGGCACTGGAGGAAGTGGGTTCCTGGCTGGTGGCGTTGGAGTTCTCGATTGTGTCGCTTCCAGAGGAAGAAGAGTCGGACTCCGGGAGGGGAGTCTTGGTTGCGTTCTTGAGGGCTGCTTTGCTGGAGGAGGCGGAGGAGGAGGAGGAAGAGGAGGAAGAAGAGGAGGAATCTGAGTCGTCGGAGGAGCTATCAGAGTCCGAGTCGTCGGAGGATTCGTCGGAGGATTCCTCTGAAGAAGAGGAGTCGGAGTCAGATTCGGACTCGGAAGAAGAATCTTGCTTCTTCGCCTTCTTCGGCTTGGGCGCCTCGTCCTCGGAGGACTCCGATTCCGACTCGGAGCTGGACTCCGCCTTGCGCTTCATGCCCTGGGACTGGGGATTGGCCGGGGTCTTCTTCCCCTCCTTCTCCTCCTCGTCGTCGTCGTCGGAGTTGTCAGAGTCGCTGTCGCTGTCGCTGTCGGAAGAGGAAGCGGAAGAGCTCTTCGCCTCCTTCTTGGGCGCATCGTTCATCTCGACGTCGGAGGAGCTAGATTCGTCGGAGCTGCTCTCACTCTCGCTGTCGCTGTCACTTCCGCTCTCGCTCTCGCTCTCAGCATCAGATGAGCTCGAGCTCGAGGTAGTGCTAGCAGAGGCAGACTTCTGCCCCTCCCAGATCTGGAACAGCTCCAGAAGAGACGGCACATTCTTCGCGGTGGAGTCGATCGACTTGCTAGACAGCTCTTTGGTGAAAGCCGCCGTTGTCTTGGAGAAGCCCGCGTCAGCCAGGTAGGCGGAGATAGCGGCGACGAGTTGTGTGGGTGTCTGTTGGATTGGAAGTTGTTAGAACCTTTCTCTCTCTCTCTCTCTCTCTCTCTCTCTAGCCTCATTCTTCTCTCATCTCACTCCGAGAAATGAGGATCGGAGGAACAGGTTCGCAATTCCGTTACTTACAGTATTCCTCTTGTCCTTGGACATGTTGACAGAGGAGGCCTTCTTGCTTTTCTGGACGGCCATTTTGATTGAATACAACCTGGGCACAGAGACTGCGATCAAGGAAGGAATGGTGTGTTTTTCGGCCGCGGAGAAAAGATTTACTAAAAAAAAAAAAAGGCGGCAGAAACAGAAAAGGCGGTCGGATGTGACGGTGGCGATTGGCGGATTGAACTTTTCCGGTCGGGGCGCACGTGAGAGGGTCTGGATTGGGGTGTCACGTGCCAGGAACAGAGGAGGTCCCTGACTTAGTATTCAGTTATTGGTTGAGTGTCTGGGTTAGGGGCTGAGTATAAGTGCAATCTGGAGGATGGTTTGATTATCTGTTGGTTACTCGTGGCCAGGTCTATGAAGGTATGGTGGGCTACCCCGATCCAAGGGCTACAGTACATCAACCTAGAGGGGACTACCGTGGGGTTTAGACCTGCCTGAATATCGCTAGCCGACGCACCCATTTCATGCGATTGGAAAGGATAGTGAGACGCCTGACTGGTGCAAAAAGACTCGTGGGTAAAGTATTGCAGGAGTTGCAGGAGACTGCCGCGGAAGAAGGTCTGTAGAGAAGCCGGCCCCCAGTCCGTGCTAGGATCGCCCCTTCGTTCATGCACCAATTTCCAATGAGCTTGCATGCGCTTCATAGAGACACATAGGTACTGACAGCCGTGCGACCGACATCGAAGGCCGGGCTCAACAGGCAGACACGGGACTGGGAACTGGTCCGCCTGCTTTGGGGGGGGGGGGGTCACATCCTTGGGATCCCGAAGACACAGACTGGAGACATATCGATTGTACCTGCGACGGTGGCCACGGAGGATGCGGTGGATCTCTTTCAAATGGCGCAAAATGCCATGGGGCTGGACAGCGTACCCACAGACGGTGCAGACGACAACCTGATAATCCGGGAGCTACTTAACGCAGCAGCCGGGCCGGGTCATCCAACGCATGGGATTCCATGACCGCGTTGCGTCCACTCGGACATGCCGATTGCACCGGATGATGAGAACGGCGCCGTCGATTTTAAAGTAAAGTGGAAATGCTCCAGTACGATGAGGTGAGAACCAGATACTTTATCGACGGTGCCGTTCCCGCTATAGTACTATTCCCTGCCAACTCTATCAACCGACTACTGGGCCAAACGAATGTCAGCTATCTTCGTCTCGAGCTTTCAGACCTCTCCCAGGTCCGATCCTTCGTCCAGCAATGGAACGAGAAGAGATATCCCTCCATCCAGTACCTGCTGCTCAACGCAGGACTGCAATTCCCCGGACCGGTGGAGTATACAGCAGATGGTTATGAGACGACCTTTGCCACCAACCATACCGGTCATGCGCTGTTGTTCGCGCTCCTGATCCCGCATCTTGCCCACACCCGCTCGGATAGTAGTGACCTCAAGCGGCACCCACGATCCGGCTCAGAAGACCGGTCTTCCAGACGCAAGATACAACACGGCTGAAGGACTCGCACATCCGACGCGCGAGTCGGCCCGGTTTCCCGGTCGTCAGCGCTACGCGACCAGCAAGCTTGCCAACGTGCTCTGGGTATACGCGCTGCATCGACGCCTTGTCAAGTTGAAAGACTTCAAATCCTGGACAGTATGTGCGTCCTGTCCGGGCCTGATGCCGGGGACAGGCCTCGTTAGGGCTGGGAATGCTGTCGAGCGATTTCTCTGGCATCACGTCCTCCCTCGCATTATTCCCTTGTTGCGTCTAGTGCTGAGGTCATCGAATATCCAACTGCCGCAGGTATCCGGGACTGCGCTGGCTTATTTGGCGACCACCGAGGCCAGCAGCGGAGTGTACTATGAGGGGAGAAAGCAGATCAAGTCCAGCGATGTTGGTTGCGATGCGGCGAAGCAGGAGGATCTGTGGGAGTGGACTTGTGCGAGCTATTTCCTCTGGCCCCGACGAGATCAGACAATTCTCTTTGAAAGGGTCTGCAAGAGTGATGATTGATGAATGGGACGTGTTTCGCCTCATTTCTAAATTTTCCTTTACCGGGACTCGCCCTTGTACCGTGTATCTCTCCTCCATTTCCAGGGTGCAAAGGCTTACCTCATTCATGTCACAATTCTGATCATGATCATCCCCATCCACGTCGAACTTTCCATGTGATGTTCTTGGAAAGTGTCTTTGCAGGGAGGCGGGAAGATAATAACTAGGTACTTGTAGAAGACTCAAGGCAATATACCTACAATCCATGCAATATAAATATTATCTTGTCTGCAACAGAGCATCACCTGAGATGCGGATCAAAATGATCATATTGCTGATTCGTGATTCGCGCATTTCTGTCCCGGTGATCCGTTTCGAGGAAAGACCAGCTTGCGGCATTCAGTCCCACTCCGTATTCGACCTGACATTACATTCTACTAGCGATGGTGATTGGTCTGTTGGGTGCAGCCCCGTGCATCGCGAGGCAAGGGGGCTGCATATCTATCTGCCCGGCGCCTTCCTCTGCTACGTGCACATGCCCGGTTTCTACCATCACAAAGGTTCAAGTTGGGTCATCAGGATAGAGATCTGTAAGAACAGACCTGGGAAAGCACGGTGAGGATTGGCTGTTCAAGCCCTCAGCCCAGATCAAGACCCTCGTCCGGCTTGCATGCACGGGACTCTACCTCGCAGGCCTAAAGCACCACGTATCGATGCATGATCCAGCCCACCGCATCAATATTATCCAACTCCACTGGTCGGTTCACCCTGATCAGACTGGTGATATCGGAGACGCTGCCTTGTCTGTATTATTATATTATAGAGTCTGTGTTCTTGCCAGCCCTGGTTTGCTTTTGGAATGCGACCCTAAGATGGCCAATTCTCAAGTCTCTGGTACGAACAATGCAGAGCTGCCCCGGCAGTTCTCGCTTTTCTCGACCATGGCCTTGGGGTTTAGTATAACAAACTCCTGGCTTGCTTACGCTGGTACTTTTGCGACCCCTCTCACCATGGGCGGGAGCCCAACGGCATTCTTCGGTTTGATCGTCGCTTCGATTGCTAGCTGCTTCATCAGTAAGGGCGATATTCCCGTGTCTTTTTCCAGGATAACATTGACTTCTCTTTTTCTGTAGCTGCTGGGTTTGCCGAGCTGGCATCGGCGTTTCCGTCTAGCGGAGGGCCATATCACTATGCATTCATGGTGTCGTGGGAGAAACACCGTGCCCCGGTTGCTTTTGTGGTCGGATGGCTGAGTGTGATTGCCTGGTGTGCCGGGTCAGCCTCCAGTGCAATTATCTGTGGTGAGTCCAACCCCACGGGGTGCCACGGCAGGAATGGAGCGGAGATAATTTGTCGATAGCTCAAATGGCCGTCAGGCTTGTGACCGTTTACCACCGAGGTTACACTGAAGCGGCATGGCACACGTACCTAATCTATCTGGGTATCACTGTTTTTGCCACGACAGTCGTGTGCTTCTTACCTCGAGCAATTCCTCGATTGGAGATTGCCCTCTTCCTCTGCAGCGTGTTTGGCTTCATTGCCAGCCTGGTCACTATGCTGGCGGTGCAAGCCCACAAACAGTCGGCACATACTGTATTCGTTCAATATGAAAACAACACTGGCTGGAGTGACGGGACGGCGTTCATGATCGGTACTGCCACGTGCATGTATGCATATCTGGCCATCGACGGTGCTACCCATATAGCGGAGGTGAGTCCTCCATCTCGGCAACAACTGCATTACATCCCTCCTTCTAAACGGTATTCCATGAGAAGGAGGTTACAGACCCAAGCCGCAATGTCCCTCAAGCGGTGGGACTGACAGTGATAACCGGAATTCTGACCGCCATCCCATGGACGATATCCCTCCTCTTCTGTACAACCGACAACCACGCGGTCGCATCGTCCCCCATCCCAATCTACACCGCGTACCTACAAGCCACATCCAGCCGACCCACAGCGGCCTTCTTCACAGTCTGGATCATGTTCCTTTTCGCTGGGGCCTACCTTTCCGGTCTGGTCACAGTCGGGCGACTGACATATGCCTTCGCCCGAGCTGATGGCCTCCCATACTCTCCAGCCTTTACCAAAATCACCAACGGTGTGCCCATCGAAGCCACGATTGCGTGTTCCACGTTTATCGCCCTGTACGGGCTGATATATATCGCATCCACAACAGCATTCAACAGCTTCATCTCGATGTGCATTATCTCGCTCAATGTCACGTACGTGATCCCGCAAGGGATTGTGCTGATCCGCGGCCGAGAAAGCGTTCTTCCCCATCGGGCCTTTGCCATGGGAAAGTGTCTGGGAGGATTCTGCAACGCGTTTTCTGTGCTCTGGGTTTCTATGATCACAGTGCTGTTTTGCTTACCGCTCACAATTCCAACAACAGTCCAAGATATGAACTATGTCAGTGTGGTTATCGCAGCGGCTGTGGCTTTCATAGTAGCTGCGTGGTGGGGAGGGAAAAGGCAGACGTTCTGCGGACCGGTATGTCTCTCTCCCTGTGTTCCTGTACATGGCTCGGGGTGACCGGTGGACTGTTATTGCACAGATTATCCGACTCGAAAGAGCTGTGCCTTCTCGTGACACAGAGAATATGTCAATCCAAGCATCTGATGAGTACAAGTAAACGCTACGTCCGGGTCATGGAGAAGCGTGGCGAGAGTGGGGTCAGCGAGGTTACTTCTATCAACCTAGTATTGCAAATGCAAGTCCAAGATAGGCAGTAAGTAAGTTGATTCCCGGCGCGGGGCGCGGATCTAGGCAGCACCCCACATGACGTGATCGAGGCGTTGATCCTGCTGACTCATAGCTGACGTAAATAGGACCCTACCCTACCACCCCTAGATAACTACATCCCTGACAATCTTAGCTATTTTTTTGACTATTGTTTGATACTTATATGGTTTTTATCCAACATAGGCTATCTATAGTTCCTATATTAAAATAGAATCAAACCATGTTACAATCACATTACCAGCTATTACCAGCGGTTACCTAGTTTACCTGATCCGAATAGAGGTAAACGGTACCAAGAACAGCCTCCATACTCCGTGTTATTCACAGGTGTGAGACCCCATCACGTGGTCTATGATATAGCAAGTCATGTGATCATGATTATTGGCAGGCGTTTTATGTCAGTATTATTCACTACCCCGCGCTCGCAATGTAGTCCGCCTTCTATTTTTGCCCCGATCTAATAGTTTTAGTTGGATTGAACCAAGTTTTATCAAGACCTTGATCGATCTGTCACATCCTCCCCTATGAACTTCTACGGCTCCTCTCCCAAAGGCCCCGGAATGGCCGTCTCGCCCTCCGCCAGCGTATTTCGCGAACCGAAGCTGCAGCTCCCCTCTACGACCGACCCACCCGGTCCCCAGAATCCACCGAAGCCTTTCGTATGGCTCATCTTCGGTGCAACGGGCCACATGGGCCGCTCACTCGTGAAGACAGCCCTCGCGCGGGATGATCTGGTTTCGGCAGTGGGACAAACCTTTGAGAATAGCCCCGAAGCGATGCGCGAGCTTTCTGCCGAGCACGAGAACTGCCTGGGACTGCTGTGCGACGTGCGGGCCCGCGCGACCGTGAAACAGGCAATCGACCGGACGATCGACCGCTTCGGACATATTGATATCATTGCCAACTGTTCGGGGTACGGAGTGATCGGGGCGTGTGAAGACCAGGACGAGTACGACATCCGGGATCAATTCGAGACAAACTTCACCGGCACACTGAATATCATACAGCTCTCGTTGCCGTATTTCCGGGAACAAAGATCCGGGCGATATCTGATCTTCAGTTCGACGTCCGGGGCATTAGGCGTGCCTGGGCTTGGACCGTACTGTGCGTCTAAGTATGCGGTGGAGGGACTCATGGAGAGCATGCTATACGAGGTGGATAATTTCAATATCAAGACAACATTGGTGGAACCGGGGCATATGAGGAGAGACGATATCGGTGACTTAGTGTCGGACTCTGTGTTTTTCAATAATGAGCATAATCTGGCGTCGCCGTTGCCGCTCTATGGACATTTCTTGGTCAAGCCCCCCAGTGAGCCATATAATACAACGACAGCACCGGCGGCCCATGCAAAGCGTATGTTGATGTGGTTAGGTGATAAGCAGCCTGCTAGTGCGGTGAAGGCGGCGCATTTGGTCTGGCAGCTGGGACATTGTTCCTATCCGCCGCTGAGGTTGATCTTAGGGACGTATGCGGTGGAGAGTATCCGGGATCGGTTGAAGTGTATTATTGAGGAGATCGAGGATTGGAAATACCTTAGCTTTCCGGTGGGTGAGCAGCAATAATACATACCACTACCTACTAGACATGGCTGTGACGCGCAGAGCTCTGCTGCTCACCACCGCCTCCGGCGCGCCGCGTCGCCTTGGAATTTTATATGACCAGGCTTCGCCGGCCTTCTACGAGAAGGCTTATAGCCAGGTATATGGCGCTTCAAATTAACCAGCTAGGATGGTTCAGAAATCTATACACAGATTTCTGGAAGGACAAAAGTACAAAGCTATTACTCTAGCCCGCGAATGGCCATGGCAAGCGCACCTTCCTTCGTCTTATGGCCACCGATGAAACCGCTCGCATGGACGAAGACAGCACCCTCGGGGATCTTGAGCTGGCCAGGCTTCTCAGCCGCTGCAGCCAGGACACCATCGAGATCCGCGTCGCGGACACCGCGCCACGCCTCTGGGAGCGGCTTACGAGACACAAAGCTTCCCTCGTTGACGGAGACACATTGGACACGCCACTTGGAATCCTCCGCCGTACTTTCGGGATACAGGACATAATAAGCCTCCTCCTCAGGCTTAATCTCCGCCGACCCAGAAGCTTCTTTCTCAAAGTTGTACAGATGCTCCTTCCAGGGGACGCCACCTTGGGGGAGGACAATGATACGGCCGGACGGGTGCACATCCCGACGGGAACGGTAGGCGGCACCGACGGTGGTACGCGCGGGCAGCCAAGAGGAAGCAGCGTGATGCAACTTGCGGGTAAATACATTCCCAATGAAGGTGCTAGCCCTGGAGAACAGGCTATCCTCGTCCTGGGGCTCTCCGGGAGGACAGGTGGGGTCCGGGTTATTCAAATCACCGACCACCGAAGCGATCGTGATGCCACCGTCCTTGAAACGCTTCTCGATGTTGGCGGCAGAGATGGCTGCGGGGTCGTAGGCGGAGACGCCATTATCGTTGGCATCGATGGCCTCGATGAAATCGGTGTAGAGTTTCTCATACAGCAGGGTAACGTCCTCGTGGTCTAAGGGTAGCGAGGTATGTTGGGCGATGATGGCCCGGCCAAAGTGCATGTACACCAGCCCCGCGGAGGACAGCTTTGTGTTGTGATCCGGGAAGGTGGTCGCGAAAGTACGCTGGTGATGATCATAGCGATTACTAGTGGGGTCGTATTCCCCGCCCACATCGACCACGGTGTGGCAGGTCGCTAGCTGGGCCGGATCTCTCGTGCGGAGGAGGGAGGAGGACGAGTAGGTCGGTAGCAGACGGAGGAGGTAAACAGCGAGAGCTTCGTCGGCGTGGAAGTGACCACTGGCCAGCAACAATTATCAATCAGTCTTAAAGCTTGAATCTATCATAGGAGGGAACTTCTGCCAAGCTTCCGAGACAGCCACCTACTTGTGAGTCCCGATCAAGGGAGAGGAGGTCTTAACCTTCTTAGCAGCTGTTTCCTCGGCCATCTTAAAGCAGAGTTGGCGCAACCGAAGCATACACCAAGGCGGAATCAATCTGAGGGAATAATTGAGGACTGGATTAGATATTCGGCAAAATAAGTTCCTCCGGGCGTAACTGACTAAATAACTAGACACTAGTAGTACTCCGTAGCTCGGGTGGCAAACCCGTACAGTTTGAAATCCACAATGTATGATTAGGCCGCCGGGGAGGACGCCGCCTGCCTAAAGAAGAAGGGTCATGACTTAGGGCTTGTCGTGAAGGGCTTACAAGAGCATGTGAGAGGCTGTCCCCGCAGCCTCGCCCACCGCCTTCTCTTCTCGGCACGATTGTGAGATGAAGATATACCACGTGATTTGATTTGATTAGATAATGCGGACATGAGACCATATGGCTAACCTTCTTCTTCAACCCTTCACAGAGAAGGCTCCTGCCTGGAGCATGTTTATCTTCATTCAAATTTAGAGTCATCATGGATATTTGTCAGCATTCTCGGTTTAGTTCTACAAAAACTATCAACAGCTGGAGCAAAACAGAGATATATACAAGTTCTGAGCAGCCCGGGGTAGATAGGTAGGTAGGCTTCCATCACACGGCCCCTTCCCCCTCAAGCCGGGTTGGGTGGACAGCAGTCTGCTGTCCGAAACATGGCAGCCATTGCAGCAACGCGGAGGTGAAGATGCCGCGGGAGAGCTTGCCGACGGTCTCAGCGGCCTGGAAGTCAAAGCAGTGTTCGGAGTTTTCCATGATGTACCCGAAGACCGTGTCCTGAGTTGTCTTCACACCGCAATCGGGGATCTGGCTAGAAAACTGAATGCCCTGGGGTGCGACATCCTCGGTGGAGAGCAGCGACAGGCTGCGCCAGGGGTCGAATTCGCCGCCGCTGAAATACACGTTGGAGGGTCGGATCGTCCAACCGCCATGCTCGTGATTAAGCTCCTCCGTCAGGGGCTGAGGAGGTAATAGCCCTTTTGGGATGGCGCTGGGGAACTGCCGGTTACACACTTCCTGCTGGTACTCCAGGGTCTGGTATCGCGAGAGAAGGGCGTGGGGCCCCTCGTTGTTGGCCTGGTAGAATCCCCATTCGGAGCAGTATTGCCACGTCCAGCTGATGGCAGAAGCATCGCCATACGGCTTGGAGAAGTCGCAATCAAGCGTCCGGGACGTGTTCAACATCTGGCAGTTGGTGTCCATGTTCTCGTTGACCAGCTCTGTGAAGACCGGCCACTGCGCCCACCGTTCAGCCATAAATTTGTTGCCGTAGATAGTGGCCAGGCCGTCAGCACCTGCGGTTTTGTTCGTGTTGGGGTCGGTTTCCAGGTACTTGCAGAACGAGCCAAGTCCCCCGGTGCCCCCGGCCATTCCATAGTTCTGGAAGAATCCATATATCCCGGTGAGGGCAGCGGTGAAGTCGCCGTTCGTGTTGTTCTCGGCGCCAGACCCGAAGAAAAGTCGCTTAATCGAGGACGCGGTCTCATCGCTTGATAGCTGATCGTCGATATAGTTCAGTGCCGCGCGAATGTCCAAGGTGCAGTTAGTCCATCCACTGGCGATCATTCCGCGGTAGATTTGGTCAAAATACATCGTCATATTCATCCGGGCCTCCACGGGAGCGGATGAGGAGAAGGCGGCAAAGATGGTCTCCGGGTATTCATTGCGAGTCAGCGCGGCGCGCACTCCAGCGTAGGAGCCGCCCACCATGATCCACGGTGTGCCTTGCGGGGTCAGATCGACGTCGGGGTAGCTTTCGCGGCTGAAATTACGGGCAAAGTAAGGGATGTCGGCCAGGGACTGTTTGGTATCCAGGTATTTCAAGGTCTCTGGGGGCGTGTCGAAGTCAATGGAGCACGGGGTGGATTCTCCGTAGTATCTGCGCGTGTGGTCAGACCGTCAGCCCATGTTCAGTCCCCCGTTGAGAGTCGCGCGGACTGACCTGTGCTCCCAGACTATGCCCATCGCGTGGAACTCCTCCAGCATCGGCCGGAAGAAGGACAGGGAAGACGTGAGGTGTGCATAGGCCGTGGCTTCGGCGTTTGTCTCCCCGGCGTCGTACAACATGATGGGCTTTCCAGGTTCGAAGAACTCATCGTTCACCCAAAACCGGTTCTCGTATGTACCAGCAGATGAATTATCATGATCAAGAGGAATCTAGATCAGGTCAGGAGCATATATAGGCCGAAGATGTTGATCATACTGTGATGGTTTCAGCCTCTAAGGCGGTGGCCATGGCCGAGTGGGACACCAACTGCTGAAGGTCATGATGGCCAAATCCTCTCAGGTCTGGACTGATGCCCAGCTGCGCCAGTAATTGCAGATCTCGACCAAAGGGAGTTTTTCCGTGCCTTGAGCCCACAACAGGTCGCGTAACTAGCAGGCCGGCCACTGCTATACACAGAGAGTAGTAATGCATATTGGGCGGTATTGGACGGTAGAAAGGGACATCTAGACAAGGAAAGAGAAAGAAAAGAAACTAGGGCAGACACGGGAAGAAGGGCATTTTAGTTATCGCGCTGATCTGAGAATATATGGGCTCAGGAGACGGTTTCGGCCACCAATGTCGGACGGCATGGTGCCTTGAAGGAGCCCATCCTTGCCAGATCAGCTGAGACATATCTGTCGTATGCGGAAAAAAGGCTGAGGAGTCAAATAACAGGCCCATTGCCGACGCATAGGGTTGTGCAACGGCGGCTTCGGGCGGGAGGGAGCAAGCCACGGACTCTCCAGATTGGCATGCAGTTCAGCAAAATCAGTTGCCAAGCATACTCCGTCGATCACTGTTATTCGGGATGGCTGGAATGCTTTGCAGGGCGGCCAGCCTCCACATGGTATCGATGCGCGCACGATCTGATTGATGCCACCATCAATTCTGTAGAAATGGACTGAGTGTACGTAGTACGACTTCGAAGATAAGTAAAACAAGATCGCTGGCTTCTACTCTCCCTGTCGTAGAGTGGTCGACCACCAGTATGTTGCGGTGAAACAGGGGAAATTCTCCGAGAAAGGGCAACACCCCAATGGGAGAAGGCCAGGAGCCGCGCGTAATGCCCTAGATACGGAGTACTAACAGAGCGCGGGGTTATGATAACCCTTCCGGCAGAGTCACGCCAGCGCGGTGGAGCATAGCGAACAGGATTCAGACGTGTATATATATATCTATATATATATATATGTGAGTTTCCCAACGAGGAAGTTGACCGGATTGGACCTAGACCACAGGATCTGATTCAAGCAAGCCCTTCGAAGGCACGGCTTTTCCAAGGAACACAGGAATGCAAGGCGCGGTTGGAATGGCGTAGAATGGCAATGTGGCTCAAGCAGGAATCCGTCTATCTCATCACAGAGTGGGACAAGCTCGCGGCCACACATTCCTCTGCACCCGGAGTTCTGCATGTTTCACGGTTGCTTTGACAGGTGGGGCGACCGTGTAGGATCCGTGCCCCATGGCCATTAAGAGAGGTGTCATCCCCGGGATAGAATTGCGATCACGATTGATGTCACACTACGATATACAATACATCCAGACCATAACAGGTAGGTTCGGCCGTATCCCCAGAGCCGAATCCGGCCCTGATTAGAATATCGCCAACACGGTCAGTGGCTGCGTTTCAGGGGCCGCCTATGGCTCGCGCAAGGTTCAAATGGCACTCAGGACCATGGAGCAGGCCGGCTACGAGGTTACATCCTGGAAGACAAACGTCAGCTCGGTGCAGGTGGAAGCATGAGTTGGCCCACTGCAAGAGAGACAGGCCTGGATGAGGTTGACTAGACTGATCTCAAGGCCCAAGGCCAAAGTCACCTGCAGGCTCTCTGCAGAGACAAGGAAGGGTCTACAAAACAGGCAAAGGCGAATGGCAGGTGCAACTTAATGCGATGGATCAGACAAGTTTCGATGGGGCTCGGTATCATTCCCCGAGAGTTGACAACTGAACCGAGAACGGTGTGGTGGCACTATGAGCAAGCAGCGTAGAGGACGGAGAGAGTTAGGACCGCTTGTTGGCATTGTTGAACTCCCGGACAACAATATCACACTTAATCTCCTGGCACAGACGCTTACGACGACCGGTCTCCAGCTTGGCCGCAAACTCCAACCCACTCGCCCTCTCAATGGCCTCCAGCGGGACCTCAAATTCAGCCAACCGCTTGTCGTTCGAGATGCGTGCATTTGGCAAGACAAAAGCCCCCAGCGCAACCTTCCCGGCCGTGGCAGGGCTCTCCTCCGCATATATAACCTTGTAGAAATGGGTTGGTACGGCCACGTTCGGCGGGTTGCCGATCACCTCGTACGAGACGCGCCACTTGCCATCCTGGTCTCGATGAGGCAGATACAGCGGCCCCGTCACCACGCGAACCGAGGGATACTTCTTGGCCAGGTTACGGCAGAAGTCCTCAAAGTGTGCCCAGTAGTCGCGATTGAAGCCCTCACCCACCTGAGGGCACATGTTGGACAGTGCAAAGGTCGCGTCCATCGCGTCCTGGGACCATTTGGCGTCTGCGGCGGGCACCTGGTGGCCCCGATCGTAGCCGGAGCGGAAGTAGTCGGCCAATTTGGCTCGGAAGAGGGGGGGGATAGTCGTGTCTTCGAAAAAAGTGCTGCCTTTGCGGTCGGCGTTCTTCTGCGCGAGGGATTGCGGTGTGATATGTTCGGCAACCCAAGACGGATTGCGCATCCGCCGGTCGTAGGCGCCGGCCAGGGGGCTGGAGAGAAGGGTGTCGGCCACGGGGCCAGGAAAGCCGTACTGGTAGATGCCAGCTGGGTCGACGGGGCCACTGGCGGGTTTCGGGGCGAGGGAGGGAGCGGCGGGTTGGGGGTGGAGGGTCTTGAGGGCGGCGGGCGGAGGAAGGCTTTGCTGCGGCGGCGGCTGTGGTAGTTGAGGTTGAGGTTGGGGTTGGGGTTGGGGTTGGGGTCTAGGGGAGGAGTAAAAGAGAGCGGTCAATCCGGCACCGGTGGCTGCACTGGCAGCCGCGATGGCTGCGACCGTAGCCTTGGACATGATGGCGGAGATGGAGATCGCGAGGGACAACAGCAGATGGAAGAGAGGGAAGAGAGGGAACGGAGACAGAGAAGAGAAGAAATTCCGTCGGGGGATATCGGAATGCCGGGGACCCCGGGGTCATCATGTGACATCACGTGGCGGGATCTTCTGCCGTCCTTGCTGTGGTCTCATTGTGGATGGCTTCGTTTCATCCCTTGTCAGGCGAGCTGCCACAATGGCCTATTGTCTCATCTTTGACAGGTCCTAGGCTATCCCAAGGCCTCTTTGTGTGTGATGCTCAGTTGAACAACGGCTTCATGAAACCAATCTGGCTTTCAGATCCCCCTTTCATGTCCCCTTGGAGAATGCAAACAAATGCGTTCCGGCGTTTCCCCATCTAGCTCCCGCTCAGGGCAAAGATGGCAAGAGAAGATATTTCCCGCAGAACGGAAGGGGACTGTCTGCTCAGATTTTGATTCTTTCAACACCACTTATGGCAGTGCTACTATATAAATGCGCGTTTGGCCACCGGTCAGGCTCCTGGCTCTCATATACAGCTTATATACAGGTTCTTTGCTCAAATCAACTTCCAAATCGACTTCCAACATCAACTTCCAAAGTACAATGTCTCAAATCGCAATGTCTCGCAGTATTTCTCCTCTCATCGCGGAAACCTTCAATCTTGGGCCGCCAATCCAGGCGCTCCAAAGCCACGAAGACTATATCTCGTGGAGGCGGCAAGTGAGACACAGGCTGGACCGGTGGGGTCTTACAAGAATGATCGATCTTGATGGTCTACGACCGGAGATTGACGAGGCTGGCTTCGTGCCCTTCATGCTCATTGAGCAGGCCCTGCTTCAATGGCTGCGTGCCAGCACCTCACACGTCATTTTGGCACAGGTCGATCTTATCCTTTTTGAGCCCGCAATTCCGGCCACATTCATGAAGGTAGTTGAAGGTATAGTCTGTGATGTTAGCGTCTCAGAGGCTAGCCAGGTGTGGCGGAGCACCATCGACCTTGGCCGCTTGCTTGCAGGCCCCCAGGACGGGTCCTCCCTCGAAGGCTTTGTCTCGAATCTGAGGGATCGCGTGCAGCTGTGCAATATGCTGAATTTTCCCATCACTCCTATCCAGGCGGTCTACATCTTGTTTGATGGCATTCAGTGCTTTGGCAGGGAGGCAGAGGAGCTCATCGCAGCGGTGGAAGGTCCCCTCCTGCTCCAACGGTCGACGACCATCACTGAAGCGGAGTTCCATGCAATCTGTGATCAGGTGGAGCAGCTTGGCGAAGGGCAGACACCGGAAGCGTGGGTCCCGGACATGGATGCAATCGTGTTGTCGCCTGACGGCGCCTCTCCACAGGATCCCCCAACGATAACGTCTCTGCCCTTAACCCCAGATACCACTTTGACCGAGCTCCTGGCTCGCGGATGTGATATAGAGCCAGCCTTTTCGATGGAGCTTATAAAGGCTGTGGGGGCTGAATATGGGATTGCGTCTCCATGAAGACCTCTCCTTGTCGTATGAACACGTATCCCCTCCACAAGGCGGTTCCAGTAGACCTAGATCTTAGCGAAGTGGTTATAGAGATGTGTTGAAGCTTGTGTATATGGTTGGGCTACAGAATGGAATGTCGGGGTTTAATTCATAGCTTATTTATTTTTCCCTGCGATTGTTAGCCCTGTACGTCGTCGTCATATTAGTAGCAGTAATTCCCACTTGTTACTGGGCATATATATATGCAGACAGCACCACGAAATCTAGTCCGGGACTCCGAGCTTTCCAATTGCAGGATTTAATCCTGCAGTCTCATGCAGACCCCGCTTGGTACATTGGGAGTGATCAACCGACACAGGCTAAAAGGGGGAAATCCTGGCCGGCTATAAGTATTCAAACAAACCATCCAAAAAAGGGGACATCTCCCACCTCGAGTGTCTCAGGCATCACAACTGCAAATTGCAGCGACTACCGCCACCACCACCACCATGCGGTTTCTTGTCTGGCTCGCCCTTGTCCAGGGTATTGCATTCGCCCTCCCAGGCCCATTCCATCAGGGTCGATCCCCCATCATTGATCTTGGGTACGCCAGATACCAGGGCATCCGTCCTGGTACAGGGGTAGATGAGTATCTGGGCATGCGCTACGCCGCACCCCCCCTGGGCGACCTCCGATTCCGAGCACCTCAAGACCCGATCTTAAATGACACGCTCGGAAGTGCCACGGAGGTGCGATCAGTGGTACACATCTATTGCTGCCGAGCAGAGGGAGGCTGATATCGCTGGGCTCAGTACGGACCGCTTTGTATCGGGGTCGATCAGACCGAGACGCCCGGGGAGTTGAGCGAGGACTGCCTCTTCATCAATGTCTTCAGGCCTTCCGCTGCCACCGCGCAAGGGAAGCTGCCCGTTTGGCTGTTCATCCAGGGGGGAGGGTATGCGGACAACTCCAACGCCAACTACAACGGAACCCAGGTGATCCAGGAATCGGGAGATGGACTCGTCTTCGTGACCTTCAACTATCGGGTTGGAGCGCTGGGGTTCCTGGCTAGCGACCGGGTGCGACAGGATGGGGACCTCAACGCTGGCTTGCTGGATCAACGAAAGGCCCTGGAATGGGTCAGACGGAATATTGCTCAGTTCGGGGGGGATCCCGACCACATCGTCATCCACGGGGTATCTGCCGGCGCGGGATCGGTGGCCTACCACCTGGCCGCATCTGGCGGCCGGGACGACCAACTGTTCATCGGCGCGGTAGTCGAGTCGTCGTTCTGGCCCACCCAGCGAACAGTCCCGGAGATGGAGTTCCAGTTTGACCGATTTGCAAACGACACTGGCTGCTCGAACCACACAGCGCCGCTAGACTGTCTGCGGGAGCAGGACATCACCATCATCCAGGCAGCAAACATCGCATCGCCCTTTCCCGGGGCCACCAGCTCCCCACTGCCGGACTGGTACTGGCTCCCAGTGACGGACGGCACCCTCATCCTCGAGCAGCTATACGACGCCTTCGACCTGGGCCACTTCGTCAAAGTCCCAGTCCTGGTAGGGGACGCCACGAACGAAGGGTCTAACTTCGCATATAACGCCACCAACAGCTCCGACGTGGCACTGTTCTTCCGAAATAACTACCCCCACCTTACCCCCCAGCAACTCGAGACGATTAATACCGCCTATCCCCCCGGTAAGCAACCGATCCCGCACCACGCCGCCGCCTTCGGCGCCTCATCGGCCGCATATGGCGACGCGACATTTACCTGCCCCGGGAACCACGTCACCGAGTCCGTGGCCAAGTTCGCCTCAAGCGCGACGGTTTGGAACTACCGAGTGAACATCCTCGACGAGGCGAATCTTGCGGCTGGGATCGGGGTGCCACATACCTTTGAGCTACCAGCTATCTTTGGGGCGGGATCCACGGGCACCCTGAGCAGTCAATCGTCGTATCTGTCCTACAACGCGGAGATCATCCCCATTGTCATGCACTACTTCATCAGCTTCATCCAGACGCTGGACCCGAATACGAATCGGTACCGGACGGCGCCGGAATGGGGCCCTTGGGGAACGGGAACCGGCGAGCGGCTGAGGTTTCAGACCAATGACACGGCCATGGAAGTGGTGCCGGAATCTTCTTTGCGGGATTGCGCGCTGTGGATGGGTCTGAAGGAGACTATGGAGGTTTGATGTAGACTGTTGTCGGAGGCACACTGGCTCGAGTCTAGATGAAGAAGAAGAAGAAGAAGAAGAAGAAGAGGAGGATGACGATGAGGATGAGGAGGGGGATGATGCTCGGCCGCACAACAGGCGCTAGCTAGCTCCAACTGGGATTCCATTTCAATAACTGTTACCGTTGAACTGGGTATATCGGTTCTAGTTTGCTCGTTCCTTAAAAAGCCTTCGGACCGTGGATTTGCAGGGTTTATTCCCTCTCTTGCATGCAGCTTAGATAGCGTCGCCTAACCAACAGTCTGGGGTAAAGGAGAAAAGGATCAACTACAGAGCGATGGCAGGGCAAACGCCCACGGTCACATGACCAACTAACAGAACAAGGTACGTGACCAATCACGTGTGGAGTTGAGGGGGGTGAGGGGTTGTCTTGGATTAGATGGATAATGGTGATGATTGTTGTGATTTAGTGGGTTCAGATATGGTATATGCTCTGCTCGATTGGAGGTGGGACTGAAATTATAGATAGTAATGACAGGGTCTACTGGCCTTTTTCTTCTTATTTATTTCTGGTCTTAGATTACCTGATAGGTAAGATTGGCTTTACTTCCATCCGTTCAAACGCAGCAGTTCTAATATCTATGTCTTAATCTATTGATCTGCATATTAATATAGCGCACTTTGACTCATCCAATCTAACTGGCATTTCCACTGCCATGCCAGAGCGCCAGCAGACGTCTAAGTCGGCAATATAAACAAGAATGATAAAAAAAAAAGGAAGGCGTGGCTTGTCAGACCCATATGCTGCGTTTCGTTGTGCAGAAGGTACTATATCCAGCCTACAAACAGAACATGTGAGGTATATCCAGCCCCGTGGGGCAAATGTAAATATCAAACAGATGCAAAAGAGATGGTAGAAACAATGTTGTCAGCATGTCACAGTCGTTATGGGAGTGGATGATACAGGGTATCGTTCGTGAGTAAGGATAAGGAAGAGAGGTAGACATGTGTGCATCAGCTCTTTCGGAAACCGTCGCCGAGGGCCACGCCCACCAAGCTTTGCGGCCCGAAAGATTCTGGCCCCATCCCGAGCGCCGGGCTCTGCGGCGACCCGTCTTTCTCGCGCTTGGTGCGGAAGAACGCCAGCTTCGCGAATCGATTGAGCTGCGCCCAGAAGTGGCGGCCCGCCGGGTGCGCGGCGATTCGGTCTAGGAGCTCCACTGTCGCCTCGCGGACCGGCTGGTGTGGGTGGAATAATCCCATGCTGATGTAGAAGAGCCCCGCTTGGTTCTCCGGCGTTACGGTCAAGAGCTGGCAGATGCCAGCATAATCTTTAACCGCGTGTGCGAATGAGATATAGATGGCCCCCGCTTCCGCTGGGGGGAGCCTCAATGCCCGAAGCCGGTCGTGGTGGTGGTGCAGGTCGGGCTTTTGGATCGGCCGTGACGGGTAGTACATCGCCGCGATGTCCTGGATGAACGAATAATACGACCGCGTTGTCCGCCAGCCCTCGATCCTCGACACCGACGCCAGCAGCTCGCGCTGTTTAGCCCCCTCGTCCGGCCATACGTAGCCGTGTCCTCGGAGCGTTGTGGGATCGAGGGGATCCGCCTGGAGACCACTCGGACTTTCCGGAGATAGTTCTTCGTTGGGACCTATCACATATAGGTTCGACGCCCCGTAGACGGTCTCTTCAAAGGCGGCAGCCACCCGGGTGAATTTGGTGATATAGGCACGCCACTTGGCGCGAATGGCATTTTCACCGTACCGGTTGGTGATGCTGCGCTGCACCTCTTCCATGAATATATTATCCCCGCTAGGGTCGGTGTTGGCATTCGACATGTGGTGGTGGTGCAGGGAAGCTTGCTGCTGGAAATACAAGAGCCCTTCGGTAACAGGCGCGGGCTCAATATGGCTGCTGATCTTTATCCGACCTGTGGGTAGGTCGCAGAGAACGTCCCACCACTCTGGATGGTTGGCAAATGTGGGATTGGTCACTCCGGCAATAAATCCCGGCACCCGGAGGAGATCATCGATCTTCGTCAGATCGGTGTAAGGAAAAGCATGTCTTGTAAAACCGCGCAGAATACCACCTGACGCAAGTGCACAAGCCGCCAACACCGCCTCCGCCACTTCCCCTGACGGACGGTTGTGACCCAGGAAGATCACGCGCTTTTGGGTTAACATCGCGTTGATAAGTATAATTATCGGATGGGTAAAAGGCCCGCTGGTGGTGAGATGAGAATGGATAGGGAAGGGCTGCGGGGAGGTCGAATGCGGTGCGGAGAATATTTGGATGAGTTTAATAAGGGAAAAGTCGCCCACTATTTCTGGCCAGATTACAGTCGGTACCTTCACCGGGATGGGAATATCATTGTAGACAATCTTTGACTCGAACTCGTGAGTGTCGCGGGGTAATGTGTATCGAGGGGGGGCGGCTCTCTTGGGTGATGGCGGGCACTCATCATCGAAGGGCTCGCCTGCTTCGATTTGTCGCTGCCGGATCATCTGCTCAAACTTCTCAATGAATATATCTTTGCTGTTGCTCGCCTGTAGAATCAGCCGTTCCAGGAGAGACAGTTTTGGTAGTAATGATAGATCCATGGCGTTGAGGGAGTTGTAGAGTGTCGCTAGGGTTTCGGGGTAGGGATTCTTGAAATAGTCTTCCAGGGCAAGAAGAAGTAAAGGCTGTTTCTTGTCAGCGCGACCATAGGGACTGCTTTCCCTCCGGATCAACCTACTTTATATATATGAAGGAAAGAATGTCGTGTACAAATCGCCATGGCCTTGACCACCGCACCTCTGAAACTGTTCAGTATTGATATACCGCACAGGGCGCATGGGCTGAACATACCGCTTCACTGTATTATCTTGCTTTGTATTCACCAGGTTGAGCACATACATCAAGGGTGGCCCCTCGCCGCCCTCTTCCTCGTCGTCACTCTCCTCCTCGGCCGACCCGTCCGCATCCTCGCTGTCACTATCTCCGGTCCCCACACCCTCTGCCCGGGACTTCTTTTTCTTCTTCTTGCCGGTACTTGAATCGTCATCATTCTCATCGGTGCTCGTATCTTTGTGTAAGAAGAAGATAGTCCAGTCCTGGCTCCGGACGTGTGTCTGATCGGGAAGCATCAGCTCCGCCAACATGCTCTCGTCGCCACTGATCGCAGCCGGGTACTGGTGCTCCATTATGGGGCCGCGGTCAATGTGGAAGGACGCCACAAGGATGTACTCGACATGGCGCTCGGAAGAGTCCTGGGGGTACTGCGACTTGCACCGCTGGGACTTGGGGTACAGAGCGGCCGAGCCATTGCCCAGCGAGCGACGGCGCGCCGAGTTCCCTGAGCTACTCGGGGATCGTCTGTGGAGGATGGAAGGGGAGGGAGATAGTCGGGGGAGGTCATTGGTCTTCGAAGGGCTGGTAGTGGCCGAAAGCGAATGCGCTGTATTATCCGCCGGTTGGTAGGGCAGCAAGATGCTCATTTTCTTGCTAGGGAGGGCGACAGGGATCGGAGGGAGGCACGGGTGTTATTCAGATCGAGAGCGGATCGGTGGTGGCAGGGAGCTCCAGACGGCCGGCGGACAGGAAGGACGAGAACGGCGAGAACGGCAATATACTGGACCAATTCGGATAAAAAGCCAGAAAGGAGCTTGCTCGGGCGACTGGAGCTGCTGTTCTGTTGGTTATTTAATCGGGACAAAGGCAAGGGCGGACGGGGAGTTCGTCGATCGGAGGATTAGTCGGGATAGGTTTAGGGGGGAAAGAAAGGGGACGACAGCCTCTAAAGCCCACGCACCGACGGTGATCTTCGCAGCGGGAAAGGTGACGGGAGGCAAATTAGTACCACCGACTGCCATGGCCTCCATGCATGACCGGGCCGAGTGCGAGGGCGGGTGGGAAGTTGAAAAGAGGAGGGTTCAAGTCAAGTAGACTGAGCTGTTCAATCAGAGGGATTCGTCGTGAATCTTCTGATGGGGGAGGGGAAGGGGGTGGAGGGAGTGCGGGGTAATATACAACAGCAACTTCCAATCTTCCAGAGCAGAGCACGTGATAGGTCATTGTCACGTGCAGAGTGCTCGTCCTCTCCTCACCATCAACAATCTCCTCGCCCATGCCCGCAAACGGCACCTGCGAGCGCAGCGCCAGCGAACCGGTCAAAGTCTAGGCCGCCCGGACGCCGATACGTCCAGGACGCGATTTTCAAATCCCATACCACCACCATGACCCCCATACGGAACTATCTTCTCCATCCACGCCCCGATCCCCTCCTCCATAGTCTAACTCGCCCCAGCCATCGGCCCGCTGCCGTCACCCTTGCGCGAAAGATTCCAACAGCAACAACAGCAATAGCTCCATTCTCCCTCTCTGCCCACACCTCCGCTTTCCGAAAGACAACGGACACATCTGCAAGAAACGTCCCCCCAGATAACGACAGCAGCAGCGGTGATGCGGGCCAGCCGCAGCACTGGAAGTACGATCTCAGTTTTAAGACGCAGATAGGCAAAGCCGCGCTGTTTACTGTTCTTGGTATGGCGGGGGCGGTGGAGGGGTGGACGTGGTATCGGGAGACTCGGCGGTGGTGGAGGGGGGTGGGTGATGGTGATGATGGGGAGGAGATTTAGGTGGTACTGCTCCTGGCCGTAGTGGTTGGTGGCTAGTGAGTTTTTGTTTCCTCTGTCTTTCTTTCTTTCTTTCTTTTTTTTTTTTTTTTGCACGGTAAAACTCGGTTATGATATATCTGCGAAGCCTACGGGAACGATTAACCTCGGACAGGGCCGAGATGGCGACAGAGGAATGGACCTCGAGTGATGACTTGGTCAGTTATATTGGCTATTTAGGCCTGTCGGCGGGGCACTGAAAATAGCGAGATCACATCTCCAGATAGCATCGCTCGATTCACCATGAGAGTACGTTCATTTATCACGCAAAGACGCGACTTTAGCTTGCTTGGCTTAGAGTGGGTTTAATATTCCCATCCGCAACCATTTTGTCTATATGAAACCAACCCTGTGCGTCCAAGGAATCAGAACAACAGAATGCATGGGGGTCGTCTTCCACGGTCACTTAGACCGCTGTTAGAGAGGATGAATGCATCCCTCCAACATCTTTTCCTCCATGTCTAGACACCCAACCCATGAAGGACTACCACTCCTGGTAGCATGAATAGAACGGACTGGGAAACCGTTAGCCAATGTATGCACGTGCACACCCAAATCGAATGGGATTAAATCTTACTCTTGTTCACCTCTCCAACCAACGCATCTCCAGCAGTCAAAGAGATGAGTCGGATCATAGTCATTTTTCACCTTCAGAAGCCGGTCATAGAATGATCCAAAGTAGGTCTCCTGCCAATCAGGCTCCTCGAAGTGTGCTTCGTTGAAATATGCCCCCCCACCGGGGCTCAGCGCCTTGAGCGGGTCCAGCATCCGGAGAAACACATCTGTCGCATTCCGATGCGCATCGGCGTCCAGCGGTTCCAGCCATTCCCCGACATGGATGACATGCCACAGCGCGTTTCTCCAGGCGGGCAGGGCGGACGTTGTTTCGTTCAGGTCGGGATTTGAGAGGGGCGATTCCAACACAACCTGGGTTCCGGTGAGATCCAAAACACTTCGGGCGGTTTCGATGCCTTCCGCAACACCTTCCGCCAGCGCATCTATTAATTCGGGAGAAGTGAAGACCTCGCGAGGGATCAAACGCGAAGCGAGTAACGAGAAAATACCGGACGGTTCCGTGACCTTTGCGACCGCAGTCGTCACGTTGAGATAGGCGGCGTAGCTGGCGTAGGATGAATATCCATCGGTGGCCACAGAAAGGTCTGTTCTGTTCGCCAGGAATTGGGCGAACGATGCAGTTGCAGATTTCAGTTTAGTGCCGTCATCATTGTACGGAAGCACCAGACTGACGCTGACTCTCTCGGGGAAATACTCGATCTGTCCCGTCACCAGCTCGGCGGACCACGCAGCCTGATGCTGTGCATGGGCTGTGAGAATCTCGCGAAGAGAGACATCTTCCGTCCGGTTGTTGCTTGGAGTCACCCCTGTGAAGTTGGCCGTAAACGTGTAGGTGTGAATCGGGAGTGTCGGAAACACCTGCACTCGATATTTGAGGAGGACCGCATATGTGCCGCCGCCACCGCCCCTCATGGCCCAGAACAGCTCGGGGTCATTGCACTCGTTGATAGTGCGGAACTGGCCATCCGCGGTGACGACGTCGAACTCCACAGCATTGTCGACCATCAAGCCATGGGTGGTGGTAAACGATCCAACGCCTCCGCCTTGACCAAAGCCACCTGCCAGCCCCACTGACTGTTCATACCCCCCCGTGATGTCCATTCCGTGCGAGCTGAAGAACTCATACGCATCTCCCGCCACCACTCCCGCCCCCATTTCCCCGATATTCCGGCCGTTGGCAGAGGGGCAGTTATGCGCCGTGAAGTTGGCGAAGAAGTCCAGCGTGTCGAGGTTCTTCGTCCAAACGGCAAGCGAGTTGGGCACGGACGATCTCCCGAAAAAATCATGGCCGGTATTCTTGACACTGATGCGGATGTTGTGCTTCTGCGCGAACAGGAGAGCGGCGGATGTGTGCGACGCTTCCCTAACATCGACGTAGTAGGATGCCAGCCTTCCCGTGGCGCACGTGCCGTACAGCGTCTGACTTGGATCGCTCTCCAGCAGAGCACAGCCCGAGTTTCCACAGGTTTCCCAGTTTAACCAGTATGTCTGTCCGAAGTGTGTTCCTCTTGGGATGCTGTCGCCGTAGTAGTCCTCCACGGCCTCACACGCGGATAGATCGTAGTAGGTAGAGTTCTTATAGCAGGGAGCCGCGATCGGGACAGTTTGATACAAGTGGCCATCGATGGTGGCGTTGAACTGCTGCCATTCTTGCGCTGATGGCCAACATTTCTGGCCCGGGCGGCAGTTGTAGCCTGGATCGGCTGTTGCTAAAGCACGCGCGGCGAAGGCCAGACCGGTCAATGCGGGAACGATGAGCATTCTTGTCTTCATGGTAGACTTTTTGGAGAGGGAAGAACGACGGGTGGAAGATGAGACTTAGAAACAAACACTTCCACCTCTGTCCGGCCTCGTTTATATACCCCGATCCTCACTGTCTGACAATGATCCAGGATTTCGAAGCCGACTCCACCGAGACTCAGCCCTCCAGCATCCGTCACCGCCAGATCAGGCCTGCGTGCTTTTGTGGCCGACGAGGTCGATTCCCAGGCGGGAGCGTGATGAGTTCTGACATGTTGATGCCAACAATTGTTGCAGGAACGAGGGTCTGGCCTCGTATCCGGTCGACGTGACTGACGGGCTGTCCGGTGTCCCACTTTTATCCGGCAACCGCAAGGCTTAGCTTAGATAGCTTGGTGGCCCGGCCGGGGCGGACTGACACTTGCCTAATCAGGCAAGTGTTTCGACGGCCCGCCACGAGGAAGGGCCGCTCGACCAATGGGGTGTGCGCGAGGCACCACAGCCAAAAAGGTTAAACGCGAGCTGGCCGGGGGGATCTATAAGAAGGGTGAGTTTCGGTGTTCGGCGGCCTGGGGCTGAGAACTGTAGCCCAGTCTACCTGCATGCCTCTTTGAGCATCCACCAGGGCGAGGCCATCTGGGGACCCAGCTCGACTCGAGTCTCATCATGAAACCTGGTCTATAAAATGTCGTGTGCGACCCCAGGGAATGGAAGGCATTTATTTATTCAGTTCCTACTCAACAATCTCTCCCAGGTGCCATCTGCCATTCTGAAAACCGCTCGAGTTCACGGAATACCTAGTGGCCCTTCCTCATTCGTCTCACATCAACTTCTGGTTTGCATTCTAGTACTCACCCGTTCCTGTTCCAATGGCTATTGTCACCTCAGATGGCGTTGCCATTGCCGAGCTGGTGGTCTATATCCCCACCGCACTGGTCACTATCGTTGTGGTTCTCCGCCATGGCTTCCACAGACAGCTGGGATGGATCTACCTCTGCATCTTCTGCGCGCTACGGATCGGCGGTGCCATCATGGAGATACTCAGCGAAAAACACCCTGACAACGCCAACGACAAGGAATGGGCCACCATCCTGCAATCAGTGGGCCTGTCCCCTCTTCTTCTCTCAACTTTGGGTCTGCTGAAACGAATGTATGTGTCTGTCTGCAATCCATGCACTTTACAATCCCCCGCTCCATTCTGACCCGCGTTCGTATTAGTTTCGACGAGATCACGCAGCATGTGCCGTCGGGTCCAGAATCCAAGCACAATATTGTCATACAGCTTCTGAGCGCGTACTTCGGTATCTTCAACAGGCTGTAAGCATTACTCATCCCAGTTGTCACCCGAATGCTAGGACATCGCACTCACCCCCGACAGCATAGGGATATATTCCAAACGAGCGACCGCCGTCTCCCGACGCAGCAGAGTCGTACAGCTCTTGCACATCCCATCCATCATCGCCCTAGCCCTTGCCATCAGCGGGGGAACCGACCAGGCCTCATCAGACGTCTCCGAGCACGCAGGCGGTAAGACCCAAACCCGCGCGGCCATAATCATCTTCCTCGCGATCTACATCGCGACGTGTCTGCTCTGGTCGATCTCGCTAAGCGAAATCCACATTATGGTGTCCAGTCAGCGACGCATCTATCGCGTGGTTGCGATCGCGCTGCCTCTCATTGCCGTCCGGCTACTGTACAGTCTGCTCGGAGATTTCGGCAAAGATAATAGCCAGTTCTCCATTGTCGATGGCAGCGTCGCGATTCGTCTGTGCATGGCTACCATTGAGGAATTTCTGGTCGTGTTGATGTATACTATCCTGGGTGTTGTGACGCCCCGGTCGACGGATGTATTATTTGAGGATCCGCGCGGGTCCAGCTCGCGCGCTGCTGCTGCTGCTGCTGCTGTCCCGCGTCGTCCTGTTCATGGCGCCACCGACACGGCATATCATCAGGTGTCCTATGCCGAGGCTGCGGCTCAAAGTGCCCAGCGACACTATGGTGGGCGGTAGTTGGGTGTTGGGGTTGGAGAGGTGGGGGGGGGAGGGGGGTGATGGCCAAGCTGATGTTAGCTGAGGAGGAAGGTCAGACTGTGAATAGACTGGCGTTTGGGATTTCTTTTTGATAAAATTTACTGTATATATCAACACACGCGCCTAATGAACCGATGTGAGATACTTTGAAGCCACGAGCCTAGAATGAAAAGGTGTCCGACAAGCCAATACCCACACGTTTAGACAGCCTGTCCACCAATACCTTTCCGGTATTGAATCCTCATCACCAAGGCCTACACTAGTAGTCCCTATAGCACTGATACAGATCTTCCGAGGAATCTACAGATGCAAACGATCTGGTCCTCATCCCATTCCGCAACAGCTGCGCGACAGCCAGCGCCTGGTTAATCCCCAGGGAGTGTCCAATCTTATCCAAGCAGTCCGTGACCCAATTCCGGAGCGTAGGGGACGCGAACCCGGAATTTGCAGCAATTAATAACGGCCACACAACAGTGATCCCGCCGGCGCCCGTCGGGGAAGCAGCAATCCCGCCGCACGCATCCGCATCCCCTGCCGTGGCGCCAAGATGGAATGGAACACTGGCGCATATATCCTCCACGATCTGATGGCAAGTCCGTTCACTTTGGAGAATCAGGCTTTCCTGCTCATTTCGAGTATTCATGTTCGACGAGTGCTGGAGACTTTTGGCTGCGGTGATTATCAGTTCATGGATGACAAGCCGGGCAGAACGGTAGTTGTTCCAAGCGCTGCTTATTGTCAAGTTGCGGTATATGTGGAAGCGGGTTCCCCATACGGAGTGCATGCGACTTCCGCCTTCGGAATGGGGGACCTCGACGGTGCTGTAAGCCCATGTGGGGGGGATGGCCAGAAGGGTTGACATGAAGTCCGCATCAAGGCTGAGAGATCGGCGGATGATGTCGGTGGGCTGCTGGATCGTTCCATCTTTTACGGCTGCGCAGAGGGTGCTGAGCTTGATGACAAGGATTCCGAGTCGGTCAATCGTTCGATAGTTGGGGTCCCGGTATTTGGGGGCCTCTTCGGTCAGTTGGGCTAGAATCGGCGAGCAATACCGCTCCTGGTAGATTCGACTCAGTACCTGGAAGCGCAGACGGGTTAGTACTATATCCGCGAGCTTTATTGTTGGCGGGAGCTCGTACCGCCGGAGGAAACATACAATTTGTGCTCGCAACTGGGTAAATAGATGCAACCCTGCTGACCTTTCTACTTGCTGCAGACCTCGGAGCTCGATCAGCTGTGCTGCACCATCCATATGCTTCACCCAGCGGTCGGCAAAGGAGCCGTCGCTGCAAGTTATTATCTACACTGTATCAGGGCGAGCGATATAAGGTCGGGAGCAGCGAGGAGGCGTTGAACTTACTTCGAACATGCCCAGCAACACCACTGCCGCCAGGGTTTCATCCCTCCGGGCCAAGACGGTATCCTGGAGGGCATGGTTGGTCCGCGACAAGGCAACAGTGTAATGCCGTCGTGCGTTCAGCATCAACTGTGGCGACATACGGAGATTGGACAATGCCGCCAGCCCAGCCGCTGTCAGGGCTGCATTGATCGGCGCGTTGTCCTGGTTCCGGGTCAAGTCCAAGAGGTATGGCATATGACCGCCGCCAAAATGGGTGAAGAAATAACCCTTTGCCAGCTCCTCGGGTGGTGATGACAATACAACATCTAGAGAGATCGCCTTTCTGTCCAGCTGCTGATTGATTGTCTCTGTCCCTGGCGACCTGCGGGCCCGATGCTTCGCCTGGGCCTTACGGATCACCTCCTCGCTCTGATCCCGGAAGCTCAGTTCCGCCGTGTCTCGATAGCCCGGACAGTCCACCTGGGCCCGGATGCATTGAGAGCACGAGGGCCTTACTCGGTCGCACTACGGGAGTGGATGTTTTAGTGAGGGTGTTGGATGGTTGGTTGGTCCGTTGATCGCCTCCAGGCAGGCAGGCACCGGCAACCCTTCCCAACTGGGTTACCGGAAAAGGAAAGGGTTGAGTAGTCGGTCGGACGTACCTTCAAGCGTCGTCCGCGGCAGCGATCGCAGGCTGTGCTGGGCTTCCCCCGGTAGACCATCGCGCACTGTAGTCTGCACGAAAAGTTCTAGAAACGGAATCGACAAGTTGACTGTTGACAGCTGCAAGCCCATGACCTGATGTAGTGCGAAGCGAACTACACCGTACCGGGGCGCCTTCCAGAGACCGTCCTGCTGTTTGGCGATCCGCCAGTTCCTTGAAAGCCTGGCTCGAAAGAGACTTGGGTTTTCGCAGGCGCGGTCCATCCATGTTAACCTGACCCGCCATATCTCATCAACCACGTTTGCTCGCGTTCTCTCGCTGCAGCCCGGTCAGCCTGGGCGCGGCCGCGCGCCCCGGCGATCAACTACTACCTCCCGTGACGGCGCTGGCCGGTAAGGGGGTTACGGCGCTGCTCCCCGGGCTGTAAAGTATCTCCATACTGCCGGAGCACAAGTCCATGGCGCAGGAGGTAATACGCTTACATGACTCGCGCGGGCCCGACAGTCGACCCACGCCGCCCATCTGTGTGTATCGTCAACCCCTCCCAGTCACAAGGCTAGTACATCAGAATATCTTTAATACTTCAGCAAACAAAGTTACTTTTCTCCCAAGAGGACAGTAAAACTATCTCCAATCAAACAGTTATCCAGTCACAACGTGTCCATGTGCGTGTCATTGTCCTTGTGCCCGACCGGGACGGGTGAAGACCCTGCGGCTCGGCGTCCCAAGTCCAAGATCAGAAATGGGGGGAGATCGGCAGATCCCAGGGATTCCAGGGATTATTACGGAGTATTATTGCTGAGATTGCAGATTCTCACCAAGCTTGTTCATAGTAACTTCCAGCTGCAAGCGTCGGGGGCCTGGCAGTTGGGCTGGAATGGCTGGATCTGCAGGGCTTCGTATTCGGCGCCAGTCAGAGCGCCGACGTTGCCTAATCGGGCAACCGACTCGGGCGCCCAGGCTCAACCCCGCTCGGATGCTCTCTGATAGACATAGTAGTCATGTCTTCGGCAGCTCAACTCGTGTCCCTCAATGCCCGCATCGACCGGGTGAAAACTGCTGTCCTACTATTGGAAGAGGATAACGGCTGTGATCCACTCTCACGGGTCGCATCCAGATACTGATGGATGTCTCAGAGCGCCGGCTTGCAACCACACTCGTATAGAGTAATCGTCGACAGACTCTAATTGAACTTTACAAACTATACTTACTGTTACTGTTTGTTTCAAGCATCGAGCCCGTATTTACTTGCTTACATCAGTGCAGGATCAAGTCGTGCACTCGTACTGGAGGTGACATACTATGGCTCGACGTCGAGGCCTCCTCCATTGGTCAGCGTCTGGCTCATCACGGCGAGCCTTCACCCCGCATTCTGTCATACGCATCGGGATGGATGGACTATAACCCCGCCACTTGCGCATTCACAGGATTTCCATCCAATACCATCATCATCTCACCACCAGTTCATTTTCACTTCGAACACAAGCGACGACAATAATAATGCCTCCAGAGACGACATCCGAAACTACATACGGCCTCAGCCCCGTCCACGCATCCGCATCTACTCTTCTCGCAACGAATGCTCCCACGACACCCCCACCTTTTATTCCAGTGACCCAGACCCCAATCCCATCCACAGCGCTTGCGGAGCGCATCAACGAGTACGCTCGATCGCATCTCCCCGAGCCTACATACAACCACTCCCTGCGGGTCTACCATTATGGTCTGGCAATCAAGCAGTACAGGTTTCCCGCCTGGAATTTCACCGACGAAACATACCTGCTTGCCTGTCTGCTCCACGACATTGGTACAACCGAGGAAAACCTCCACGCCACAAAGATGAGCTTCGAATTTTATGGTGCCTTCCTCGCTCTGGATGTCCTGCAAAAAGCCGATACCGGCCCTGATGCACCAAAAGAACAGGCGGAGAGCGTGGCAGAGGCGATCATTCGTCACCAGGATCTTTGTGAAAAGGGAAGGATCACGGCTCTCGGACAGCTGCTGCAACTGGCTACAATCTTTGGTAAGTGACTAGACATTTGTCCGCGATATCGCGGGCCTCGGGAAGCTTGATGGCCGGCTGACGCTAGTCGTTCATTGAAACAGACAACACTGGTCTCTACGCAGACCTAGTTCATCCGTCGACTATCGATGATGTTTCCCTGCACTTCCCTCGCCTCAAATGGAGCCACTGCTTTGCTTCCACGATCCACAGGGAGCTCGAGATCAAGCCCTGGGCTCACACAACGGCGCTGGGCATAGAAGATTTCCCGTCGAAGGTGTTATCCAATACTCTCATGTCCCCTTACGAGTGATTGAGGTCGGTCGGAGGGATATTCGAAACAGGCGAGAGGGATCAAATGTGCATATCGAGGCCCTTTTCCATGCCAACGATGTCTTTGCCATTCAAACAGTTCAACCCTTCGATGTTGTTTGCATCCCGAGAATGCAACTAGTGTCCTCATCCTTGGATTTGATCGATCTGTTGTGTTCCCCTATCCGATGGGCTGAGCGCTCGAAGTTGGTATCTCTTTGACTCTGCCCCGGGTTCTATGTAAGGCTGTGAAAGGAGCTCGTTCAAAATGGTTCAATTACCCAATATCCTGACAGGAGGTACAGCAATTAAGCTTATGCCTACTACTATTAGAGATGCTCTGTATCTGGTCAGTAAAGCGGTGGGGGGTGAAAATGGGTGTCGTCCCATGGCCGCTATATATCACATGAGGGGCGCGTATGTTTGGACGCTGGGTACTCATTTGTGCGCAGTAATCATGTGACCACTGGCTACCACATGATTATAGCTATGCCATGTCTCCTCCATTTGCGTATTTTCAGTCGCCCTTACAAACCTCAGGCTGCAAACTATCTCCGGAAATATCCCCTCGGAGGAATCCCAACGAATTGGAAAGCGGCCAATCACTGCACGAAAGAGTCACCAAGAGGTCTATTATTGCGGCTCGAGTGTCGACATCCCAGCCTGCTTGTAAGGGAGCAAACACTATGTCTCAATATGATGGAGCGGGCGGCGTCAGCATCACTCACGATCAAGATGGAATGGAATGGAACCCAGATCGCTACACAATGGACATTGATCAGGAAATCCTAGGCGATATGACAAAACTGAAGTATAACAACTACGAGCAATGGCACCACGGACTGAGGAACTTCCTACTCATCGAGGGTGTCTAAGATCTTGTTACAGGCGACGAGCAACCACCACCAGACCCAAGGCTGCACGGGGATGGAGGGCCCAACCACGCCAAGGCATACACAGTATGGAAAATACTTGATGGGCGTCCTCCAACTCTAATCAAATTTACCCCTGCGATTATTACATCGGGATCCAGCTCAAAAGTCTCAAGACTGCTAGGGGATTCCACGCGATGCTTAAGAAAAAATATGAATTACCTGCAGGAACAACAATTTACTCAGTGTTGACGGAGTTCCATCGGTCACATCTAGATCAGTGTGAAGGTCCCGCGCATATGCGGCCAAGTTCATCAACATAAAGTATCAACATATAGAATTCTCGCTTTTAGGTTTCTTTTGTTCCACCCTTCTCATTGGTCAATTTGGCAGAATTCAGCGTTTTGAAGCCTGTGATTGGTTGGCTGCCCTATAGATACAGTGCTCCCGTTGACCACTTGCGCACCCCATCAAAATTCCTTCTTTCTGCCATCATCTTATACTATAGCTTTACTACGAAGTACAGAGTACTGATGTCGCTTTATTACTGCTACTGCTACTACTACTACTACTACTTTACTACTACTATTTCTATATACAATACTGTTATTCAGTCTTACCTTCTACTTATTCTTCATGTGATTGCGCTAACTGGCAAATAAATATTAGCTATATCCAAGTCTATATGGTTGTATGATGGGGCGCACGAGCGCGCCCCCTAAGATCTTGTAAAGACTCGCCATCATTTGCAAGTCCTTAATCTGAGTGCCGCGATTAGATTGCCAACAGCATTAATACTGGATATTCAGAATAAATATAGACAAAGATAAATTAGTCACTTGTCCTGAAAATCCGATGCCGTTCCACCACATATTAAGGAAAGCGACCGATTGAGAGATCGGGCTCAGCATGCAGAAGAGATGCCGACGATGATATAGCATAGCGAGGAGCATCAAATAAAAACCGAGGTTCCGGTGAGAATCAGAAAGAAGGCACCGAGGCAAAGCTGCCAACACTCGGCCATCAATATGTCACGCTGGCGAGCTACCACATGCCATATACGCTCTACAACATCTAACTCCACATGACAAGATAATTCAGTGATCCCCACTCCGTACTAGTAGATACACTGCACAGATCAGTGCGGGTCAAGAGACCCTGTGAGCAATGATGTGTACGTACGTATATTAAACAAGAGATCTGTGGTATATGCAATTCCAAGGGTATCTTTGTACATCATCAACACCGGTCCCCGCCACCGGTGGTCGCCTCGGATTTCCCGAGACACGTGGGGAGCGCCAAAAAAAAGCCCTGCCTAGCCAAGCTATATCGAAGCATGACCCCCGTCCCAGAGCCATGTTGGAACGGAAACGAGAGGGCCTGCCGAATATAAGTTGAAATGGTATCAAACAGGCACAAAAAGGAGATAGCAAGATAAACCGGATAGGTGGTAACAGGAAAATTTTTGGAAGACAGAAATTATCTGGAAAGAGACCCATATCCCTAGACTCCCCGCTAAAGAAACCGTGACAAGGGAAAGGAGTAAAATAAAGGGGAAAGTGATATCGCAATATTAAGGGACTGAACGGAAAAGAGTAAGGGACCTGTCATTGAGGAGTTCGGGAGTCTTCGCTGTTATGAGGGTCACTGTTACGAGCTAAGGTGTCTCGTGGCAGAGTTGGCCCATCCGCTGCGCCGGCTTCCTGCGCCGGGTGCGAAAGCACAGCATCTTGCCCCCGCCAAGATGGATCACCTGCTGAGCCCTCCGTCTCGGGCACAGGCAAATGGTATGAGCCACGGTCGCCAGGCTCCACAAGTGCGGCCGCTTCGGGGTCATATCGCAGCTCGTAATTAGCATTGCCAAACCCTTCCCCATCAGTAGTGCTCCATGGGGCGGCGGTTCTGGTTTGCGGTTGAATCACCCTTACAGGCAAGTCATCGTGGTCAGACGGAGCTCGCTGGCTAGGTGCCACCGATTCAAGAAGGCTGGATTCATGAAACCGTTGCGGCGACCACGTTTGTTGGCCACGGCGTCGAGCGGGAATGACGGTTACTGGCAAGGGATGATTGGAACCTTGCCGTCCAGACCCGGGCCTCAGCCTCCGGTGTAGGGTAAAAAGAGATTCCGACCGGTGGTGCAGGCTGTGCTCGTCGTCACTTTCATCCGCGGGAAGGTGTTGCTGTTCTACTTCGGCGGCGGCGGGAGCTTCTTCCTCTGCCTGCGCCGAAGCAACCTCTCGTGGTAAAGATGCCCGTCTGCGTTTAAAGGGATTGAGAAGTGCACGCCATCTCTTGTCCATGTGGACGATTTGAGGAGATTGCTCCCTGGTCTGCTGTGCCGACAGCGGATCATGGGCCAAGACGGGTGGTTGGTTATCCATGACTGTTGACATTTCCTTGGCTACCACTGCGTCGTCCGTATCTTCATCCTCTTCCTCCATATGAGGCATGGCGACTGGGGGAGTTGGACTTGAAACGGGATGGTAATGGACGTTGTACACTGTGCTGGCCGCACTGGTCGTGTCGGCCCGGCTCACAGGGGTAACGACTGCCGGCGGAGGGGTAGGGCGAGCGGTCGCCCTCCGGCGCCGGGGATCAATGGGCACAGTTTGTTGCTGGCTTTCCAGATTGGATTGCCAGTTACGACCAACTCTGGTCCGCAACGGGCGATGGGCTAGACCCATCATGCCCCCCCATCCCGAGGATGTGGCAGCCCCACCGCCTCGATCATTGCCATCGGGGTTGTATCGAGGCCAATCCACCTCTTCCGAGGGAGTCACTTCAAGCATTTCGTCGCCATCAAAGATCTCCCGTCCAAGGATGCCATCCTTCCTTTCATCCCGCTCCAGCGCCTCGATGCGTTCCACCCACTCCCAGACCACGACACTTGCCGCAGCAGAGCCGACCCACCGAACATATGTACCCCAGCCAGCAATTTTCGGCTTGGCGATGTCCAGGACAAAGAACACGACTGGAATGAGCACCGCACACAATGACAGGAGGGCCACCAGGCAGATGTTCCGCATTTTGGGGTGAAAAAAGGCGAACCGGTGTTTAGAAAGTGAATAGAAGATGACCCATGCGGCGTAGAGCAGGTTGAGGGCCAGCTCGAAGAGGTAGCTGAGAGCTGGGATTGCGTCCTCATACAATCGCGGATGCACCGTATCGGTCTTGACCAGAAACTTGTCCAGAACGCTAAAAGTAGTGTCGAAAACAATCAACGCAAACCCCGCCCACTTGATCATGATCTTCTCCTTGTGCCGAGGGAAAAGCCGAATTAGGGTTTGGACCTGGGCAAGCCACAGGAAGGTGGTAGAGATGACCCTGACAACACGAATCTCCAGTCCGTCGATAACGGCATCGGCTAGCGCTTCTGCGTCCGAGTAACCATAGTAGTATTGCTTTTCGGCTACTCGAAATGAGTCCACCGTCGCTATGGTGAGCGATACTGCCACCAACAATGCTGCAACTTTCTGGAGCCATGGTCGGCCACCCACTCCGACTACCGACGAGTTGCCGCTGTAAGAACCGCTGATCATACCGTGTCGCCCGAGAAAATTCGCGCCGCCGCCGGGCCCCCCGACATAGAACGTGCGTGGGGTAATGAGAAGAATGATGACTAGAAGATAGCTGACCACTGTCGTGCAGCCCATGGCGTACAGCTCTGGCGTCACGGAGGAGTAGAAGGGGTCTGTGAGATCGAGGGCTGCCACGGCATGTGCCGTCGCGGAGGCCGTACTGGTGCATATGGGGTCGTAGATGGCGTTTGCGGTCAGGGATATGGAATAGGAACGATTTAGATAGACATAGCCTGCAGGGCGTCCCGCGGAAGCCGCGCGTCAGTGAACGTTTACAGGGGCACGCGAACGGAGAGAGTTCCATCCAAGAATATACCGCGAGCAACGTACCGTTACTGGGCAGTAAAAAAGGGGTGCACCCAGCCTCGTACGTCCTCACGGTCGATGTGGTTGGTTGAGCCCATATTTGGCGAGGGGCCAGATGAGCGGGATCCCCCATGGTCGGCCAGGCAGGCGGGGAATGGGGCGATTCACGCCACGGTAGGAGCAGCCCACTGATGCCACGAAGACAGGCGTGCGTCTTTCATTAATGCACGATTAAGGAAACTGTCGGACGGACGGACGGATGGTCAAACCACCATTCTTGCGGGGGCGCGTGTTGCGAGGTGAGAAGGGGGCTTGCTAGCGCATTCGTCTAATGGGAATGACACTGGGATCGAGGGGATCAGGGCTGCGCTCAGGGAGGGAAGACGGAGGAAATGGAGGGCGGCTGCGAGTCGTGTCGGGTAGAAGGACCTCGGACGAGGAGAAGGGCCCAGTCGGGCAGGTGAAGGGAACGTGGTGGTGGAAGTACGAGAGAGACAGAGAGAGAGAGGAAGCCTTCGAAGTCACGAGTCCGCCACCCGCGGCGGTCCAGAACCCCAGAGTGGATGGATTGATGAATTGCGGCGCTTCTTCGCTCACCGCCTGCCCAGTTCGACTTGTCAGGTGATTGAGTGAACTAACGAACGGTACGGAGTACTAGTGACTGGACTGACAGGTAGGTACTCAGTACATACTTCGCTATCTACTGCGACAGTGCTACAGCTACAGTACTACGCAGTACTCCACGAATACTTCTCCATAGTACAGCTGCGTCTTCCGTAGTTATCGTACTTGAGCGCTCCGCTATCGGCGGGAGTGCCATCGGCGAGAGTCAACATCCCCGTACCGACTCCCATCGCCGCGATGACAGCCGCCGACCTCACCACGAAGGAATGGGTTCGGTCTCTTATCGAACCGGGCCAGCTGCTGCTCTGGTCCTTGACCAGTAAGTGGGATGATCTGCGGTGTCTCATGAGCATAACTATAACCCGTTGACAACGCACGCAGGTTACATAAAGGTTAATGTCGAAGCCGTTTTTCTCAAGGGCCAAATCCTGGCGCCTCTGCTCCAAGCAGGCCGTCTACGCGACGATGCGTTCCGCAGGTTCTGGGTCGCGTTCAGCAGTCAGCGCCACCAATCCCCCATCTGCATCTCGAACGACTCGGTCCCCTTGGCCTATGGGGCCATTGATCATTCTAACAGGTAGAATAGCGAATCGTGAATCGAATACCCCAGCTCTGTCAGCCACCCAACCCTCAGCGCAAATTCGGGGCTCGTCAGACCTCATCCCACCAATATTATCCCAAGCTTCAGGCGTTGTCCTCGACATCGGTCCAGGCACCGGCACGCAAATGCCTCTCCTGCGCTCCCCAGCAATCCGCGCCATCTACGGTGCGGAACCTTGTCTCGGTCTGCATTCGGAGCTGCGCGCCCGAGCTGCATCTGAGGGGTTGGCTGATAAATACCACATCCTCCCGTGCGGTGTCGAGGCGTGTGATCTTATCCCTACCCTGCAGACGCAAGGCCTTCTTGACCATGACACCGATATGTCCCCCGCACACTGGTCAACCGGCAACCCCGGGGACGGTGTTTTCGACACGATCATCTGCGTGCGCGTCCTGTGTTCCGTGCCGAACATGCAACGCGCCATCCGCGATCTGTACACTCTGCTCCGACCGGGAGGGAAATTGTTGGTCGTCGAACACGTCGTGAATCCCTGGAGGACGCCGAAGGGGTCGGTTGTGGCGAGAGGTTTGCAGGCCATGTATGGGGTTCTTGGTTGGAGTTGGTATATGGGGAACTGTTGCCTGAATCGGGATACAGCAGATGCGCTGAAGATGGCCGCGGAAATGGATGGAGGGTGGGAGTTTGTTGAGCTGGAGAGGTGGTTTGAGACGACACCAATGCCATATGTATCGGGGGTCCTGGTCAAGAGGCCTCGTTAGCGGTGAAGTGCGAAGTAAGGGGGGGGGGCGTTTCCGCGGAGTAGGTAGAAACTAAGTAGTAGCAGGACAGGTTCTTACCGCCTTCCGTGTTTGCCCACTCACGGATTTCCGCCCCCGGTCTTTTTGTCCGCCGTAACAGTGAAGACTACCACCACCTTACTCTTTCAACCAAGTGCCAAACAGTGGCGACAGCAGTCCTACTTCTCCTGTAGGCGCATGCACTGACGAAGCCTTTGACGCCTATCTCTGATGAATAATGAGATCTGCTAAGGCTGTAGTAACAGAAAACGCGGCCGCTGCCATGCGCGGCCAGGCCCACAGCTCACCATCGCGGACCATCACTAGCTTGAGGCGATGGTCTTGTATCAACAGAGAGCTACCAGGTGAGAATTCCCCCATCTGTACTCTGTAATATCCCAGGATCTGTCTGCTGACATCTCTGCCGGTCTCTTGTAGTGGTTTCGCAGGTGAAATCCATCCATGTTTACGACTTCGATAACACATGTAAGGATACATCCGTGGGGGGCAGCACAGCGGTGGTTGCCAAACGAACAGCCTCGAGTTAATACCTTCCAGTATTCCTGAGTCCCCTTCCGAATCCGCAGTTGTGGAATGGTCCCACCATCGGGTTCCTACAGGCCTACGAAAGCTTCGCAAACGGGGGCTGGTGGCATGATCCAAACCTGTTGGCTGCTACCGGTGATGGGGTTGAGAAGGAAGAGCCGCGCGCTTGGGAGGGATGGTGGAATGAACAGATTGTGTGATATATGTGATGTACGTTTGACATACATTGGCAGGCGGCTGACTCGTCCCAGGTCCAATTGGTCAGGCTGAGTATGGAGCAGAAAGATGCTCTGACAGTGCTCCTGACAGGCCGCAGTGAGAGTGGTTTTTCAGACCTGCTTCGGCGCATGACGGAGAGTAAGAAGCTGGATTTCGATCTCGTCTGCCTCAAACCTGAAGTTGGCCCGAGAAGCCAGCGGTTCTCCACTACCATGGAATTTAAGCAGACTTTCCTAGAAGACCTTGTTCTCACTTACGAGCAGGCTGAAGAGATTCGGGTCTACGAAGACCGGGTAAAACAGTCAGTTCTGCTTTTGTCTTTCTCTTTTTGTTTGGCTTTGTGCTTTTTAACACCATCTGACATGCTTCCAGCGCGAAACACTTCCGTGATTTTTTTGAGCAACTGAACCGCAGGTTCCAGTCAGCACAGAATTCCAGAAGGCCTATCAACTCGGAGGTCATTCAGGTGGCTGAAGGGTCAATGTATCTTTCCCCTGTATTAGAAACAGCTGAAGTGCAGCAAATGATCAACTCTCATAATCTCGTTATCCGGGACTTGTCCCTGAAGGGAACTACGAAGTCATCATATGGCCGACTCCGCATCAAGCGCACTGTCTTTTACACCGGCTATCTCATCTCCAACGCTGACTCAAGTCGGCTGATCCGCCAGATATTGAACCCTATGCTGCCCTTTGGGCTTGCTGATTCCAATGACCTGAAATACATGGCTAATAGTATACTAATCACCCCGCGTCCAGCACCGCGATCCATACTGGATAAGGTTGGCGGCATCGGCAAGAAGCTAAACTGGCAGGTCACTGGGACTGCTTGTTTCGAGAACAGAGTCTGGGCTGCTCGGCTGACACCCGTGCCAGCAACAGAGAAATACTACACAGAGAACCCACATCCAGTGGTAGTGCTGGCAGTACGCAAAGGCGCCCGTCCTATCGATGCCGGAAAAATCCAGAACTGGCACCCTCTCCCTGCGGATAAGACCCTCACCCTCGAGACAGTTGTCGGAGAAAAGGTGGTCTTGCGCGTGGAAGAAGAAAATCCCAACGAGGGCGAATGGGAAAGCCAGTTCCTGAACAAGAGCCACAAGAGGCGTCACCAGCAAGATCGGGACGAAGAAAACCTCCACCCAGACCAGATGAATCACGAAGGCCCGCCTCATAGTAAACCACACCATACTCCACGGTACGGCGGTAATAACCGACATCACCATGATGATGGACCTCGCCGTGGACGCGGTCGTGGTGGCCGTGGCTCTGCGCCACGAGGAAGAAGTCATCAAAACCGGGGGAACGCCCGTGGTCGAGGTCGTGGAAGAGATGCTGGTCCTCCGGCATACAGGTCTCTTGATGACTATGAGGGGAATCATCACGAAGAGAAGCAGGGGTCAACCAGTGGCGGGCCTGTGATGAATTACTAGGATCTTGACGAAACTTTGATGTTCTTATGCTCGGCTGTGCGCTCGCCATGTTGCGTCTCGTCTGTAGGTTCTACTAGTCCTTGGCCTGACTCGGTCGCTCGCCTTGTTGTATTTTCTCATACCCTAAAACTCCATACTGCTATCGGCTTTCGACATGACGCAGATGAATTAATAAAAGCAAATTTGATGGATTTTTCAAGTACATGCATAGTGGTCTCCACTATTATTAGTAGTCCTATGTCTTCATATAGTAACCTAGATTCCCACGCCTCCATTCACGTCCTTGGGATTCTCAATTGAAGCCGCTTGATAACGAGCTTCCCTAGTGTGTCTATATTGAATAGATCCCAGTAGATAAAAGATCACTGGAATTTGATCTCGCGTGCTCCATGTATGATTTCCAGGAGATGGTGCTGGGACGCACGTAAGCACACGCGAAACTAATATTTTCTCTCGCTTTATCATGATTCCTCAAGGCGTATGAAGATACCAATAGAGATGAGTAGAGGAAGAAGTTGGTATCCTTATTTCATATTCGATCCTAATTATCATACTAAGTCTGGGATCCAAGCAGTGAATCCGCCAGGAAATACTCACAGATAAAGACTATCATTAACACGCCCCAAGTCAAACGAAGGGGATAAATATCCCAAACAAAAAGACTCCAAGCAATAAGATTTGGCTACGTCATCATCGTATCAATGGGCCAGCCATCTACTAACTACATAACCATGCAAGCCCCAGTCTGACATTGCTCGAGATAGGACACATCATCACCCGATACAACGCTGTTCTGGTCGCCGGGTTTCCGCTTCACGCCCTGGATCTTGATATCCTGATCGCCTGCCATGTGCCACCAGCGGAGAAGCTGTATCTTGACGGAGTTTATCTGCAGATAATCGATGGACCACTTGCCACTGCTAACAGAAACGACGGTCTGCGCGTCAGGAAAATGGAATTCAGGCAGATATATCTCAGTTGCGGTCTCATCGCCCATGGCTCGTTCCTTTCCCACTAATGAGAGGGTGAATGTGCAGCTTCGGAGGTCGAATTGATACTTCGATATCAGACCGTTTGTGAAGATGGGGCTGGGTCGGATGAAGGCCTCTCCAGCTCGGAAGCCGAGTTTGTCCTTGCTGGCCTGGGTGGAGTCCGATGTAATGGAAGGCGGTGATAGGGCGTGTTTCAGGTTTCGGGGCCCTATTGCTTGGTTCTCGGGGTTGCTTTGGCTTTCAGAATAGGCGGGGGAATGGGGGTCTTGGTTGGGTTGAGACTCGCTTTCTAGGACGAGAGGCTTTCCGCTTGGAAGTTCAAAATCGTCGAGGGAAAAGATAGATAAGTCCTCGCCATTCCAGTTGTCGCCCCACTCGTGATTGTTCTGCATAGAATAATCAGTATGCTGTATCAGTGTGCTCAAGGCAGCTGCGATGCTAATTCTTACTGTGGTGGTGTAAAGCCATAATGTAAAGCCATTGCCAGTGCTACCTTCCAGCGCGAAGTGGTTCGCATCCATCGCACTAACCTGACTGCTATAGTCACCGGTCTTGTAGGCATATTTGTCATCCATGTCATACGGAATACCAATCTCGGTGAAAATTAATGGATGGCTGCCCATGTACCGCAGACTTTCGTCTCTCAGGAATTTGAGCTGGTCACGCAGGCAGTTGCGGATGGCAGATTCGCCGATCTTGACAGCAAATGCCGGTGCGAGATACTTTCCGCGAAGAACACCAATTACATCCACATTGTACAATCGGTTCCTAGTAATGTAGTTAGCACCACACAGACAGAGCCCATTCCGGATGATATGTACCAGTGCTTTGTCAAGAGCGTAAGGCCATCATAGTAATGCACCGCGTGAACCATGTTCGGATCGTCGTCAACCGACCCCTTCAAGTCAGGAGGGATTTCCATGACAGGCGGTTGGCACAACATGATCGCACCTGACCAAACACTTCGGATGGCATCTCGGTAGGCTCGGTAGTGTTCCAGGAAATATGAATTGGTAAATCTGTCGTAATCAAGGGGCTCTCCGGTTTGCGGCCTCTTAGAGAAGTAATCTTTCTGTAGAAGTTGGTCCGATGATGGATCCCATACCCCATGCTGAGCCCAAAGGCATTCTCCCAATTTCCAATCCGGATCTCTCTTCCAGCCGTACTTATTGTCATCATGGGTGGCTGGCAGCCATGCAGACTCGCCCTCCGGGTCTACGAGCTCCCTGCCCGTCTGGTGAGGACCAAAGCCGCCGAAGGCCCAGACAGTCTGCTCACATGCACGGCCAGATCCCGTGAGTATGGCCTGGAAGGCAGTTGGCGATGTGCCCAGCTGCAGCTGCTGATCTGGCGGGATTACCGATATATCTTGGACCCCTATCAGACCCCTATGGGGCTCATTCATGCTCTCCCATCCAATCACCACTTCGTTTTCAATATCGCCAGCTTCGTGGATCTTCTGTGCAAGGTATCTGCATGCCGCAATGAAGTGACCTTGAAGGTAGTCCTGGATGTTCACACCATTGATAATCGCCTTGGGAGCGAAGTCCCGACCTCCCCAAAACAGCGTGAACATGGTCTGGCAGACCAGCCGAGTGTAGTTTGTACTCCATATCATTTTCGGAAACTCGGCGGGGTTGTCATAGGTATTCTGCACCAGGGCAGCTTCGGTCTTCTTGAAGGCTCGGGGGTTCAGGCCTGCCGCATAAAGTGTCCAAGCCGGGGCGCCAGACCCTCCAGATAGACGGGACCACTGCAGTCATCTCCTTAGCATTCATCAACCAAGCCAGTGCTCAGCACACCCGCCCACTAACTGGCTCGGGCAATTGGTAGGTGAAGACATACCACATCTTGATGGGGATCTAGGAAAACGTAGAATTGATACTGCTTGGCCACCCGCAGGACTTCGATGGTGAATGCGATCCACTCATCGTCATACCTCCCAGGCCCCTCGTGTTCAATCGCCTCCCAGGTAAAGATGTACCGGAGAGTATTGTAGCCCCACTTGCGCAGTCTTGCAAAGTGGGTGTGGGCGTCGTCGATAGTAAACGGGCGGCCGACAAAGGAGACATGATCCGCGTCGAAGAAGCCGCCGGAGACGTAGGAGGGGGTGTCAGGGTCCCTAGGAAACTTGGATTCGCCCGCCACATTGATGCCCCTCAGGGTGATTTCCCGGTTCTGGGGGTCTTTGAATGTCTGGCCATCGATGCGAAGGCGAAGGGAAGCCATAGCTCCCGACGGCAGGGTGTGGGAGAGGCGTGGGACAGGCGAGGGACTGTGTATGTACCAGATAGATATGGAGGACGGACGGGGAGCGATCAACAGCTGCCTTGCTTGGCAGCAGAAGCGGGGCGGTGTGGGACCCGACACGTGACGTCAGCTGACAGCGCTGCCCCAGTTTCCCCGGGCGGGTCCGAGTAAAAATAGCCGGGCCATGGTTCATACTTCTTCGGCCTTCGACAGCATCCGCCATCCAGATTCCGGATCCTGCTGCCTAGAGTCTAGCCCACCCATATCTATCAAATATCAATGGGTTTGCCCGCCGCCCTGCGTTCCAGTTGCTGGAGCAGTCGTGCTTGATTTTGTCTGCAGCCATGCCCTTTACCCCCCACCGTCCCATCGACTGCGAGCAGGACGACGGCTCCTCTTCCTCGCCTCTTCTCACCAAGGCGCTCCGACTCGAAGCCGTGCCCGAGGAAGACGCGGACATCGATGAGGCCGAGTTCGAAGCTCTGCCGCTGGGCAACCTCAAAGCCAGACGCAGGCGAGCCCGGAAGAACACCCTCTCGCGACGCAGCCGACTGAATGACCTGTGCCGCAGCCTCTGGGCATGTCGCCATGTGTACTGCAACATCCGCCCATTATCTCGAAGGGCCGTGATCTGTCGGGCCGTGAAGCGCCCGTTTTGGGGTCTTGTTATCCTCCTGTATGTCACAGCCTTCAAAGGGTTGAAATGACTGCCAGTGAAGCCTAACCCCCCTGCTCCCAGTGGCCTCCTCAGACTCGTCTCGTTCGTCTGGTCCGGCCTGGTGTACCTCTTCCCGGACGACCTCGACGCCCGTCTCGACGCCTGGGTTTTCCCAGCTGGTCGCCCATCCATCTTCTCCCACTGGACCACTCACGGCGTCGTCCCAGTCCGATGCCACTCCCACAACGACTACTGGCGTGACGTGCCATTGCATTCTGCCCTCAACGCCGGCTGCATTGGCGTGGAAGCCGATATCTGGTTATCCGGTGACGACCTCCTAGTTGGACACACCCCCTTCACCCTCCACCACGAGGTTACCCTGCAAAGCCTTTACCTGAGCCCGCTGCTCGATCTGCTACAAAAGCACAACACGCGGTCTAGCCAACTCGAACCGGTCCACCAAGACGGCACTCCCCGAGCCGGCGTCTTCGCCAACGACCCCACCCAGACCCTAACTCTGCTCATAGACTTCAAGGGCAACGAACAGGAATATTGGACCCACCTGGTCGACCAACTCCAGCCCCTCCGTGACGGTGGCTATCTCACATACTTCAACGGTAGCGATATCATCCCCCAACCTATTACCATCGTCGCGACCGGCGACGCACCCTTTCACCACATCACCGCCAACGAGACTTATCGGGACATCTTCTACGACGCGCCTCTGGACAAACTACCCCTTCCTAACTCACTTCCTCTGGGGTCCGAGCCAGACTCCTCTCCGCAAGCTCCACCGGTGTACACCTCCGAAAACAGCTATTACGCTTCGGTTGACTTCCGCAAAACCGTCGGCAGTCTCGTTCGTAATCGCTTCTCGCAGGAGCAGCTGAGGCTGGTTCGCGCGCAGATAGAGGCCGCCCATGCTCGAGGTTTGAAGGTTCGGTACTGGGGGACCCCCAGCTGGCCGCGAGGATTACGAAACCATGTCTGGCATGTGTTGGTTCGGGAGGGTGTGGATCTAATTAATGTGGATGACTTGCGCGAAGCGACGAGGCAGGACTGGAGGAAACATCGAAGTTGGTTTTTCTAGGGAGCAGGCTTTTGGTGGCCATGTTTTTATTATGGTGCCGGCAATGGCTTGGTTATATGTTCTGAATAATTTCATTTTCGTTTTTCCGGGGGGGGGGGGGGAAACTTTGGCGGGGCTGCCTGTAAATGTTTTTGGGGCGTAGAGTTCGTACATATATTTTATGCCATCCTCGAGTCCTGTAGTAATTATAGTACACGCATTTTCCCAGCGGGAGACTTTTAGGGGTCATGTAATAAGTGTACCAGAGGTTGTTCAACCCGAGCCCTTGACTATAAACCTACCTCCCGTGCAAGAATAACTCGCAAAATGATACTTGGGAGAGGGGTAACCCGTCCCAGCTCACAAGGTACGCCTTTGATCTATAACTGGAGCAGATCCTCGGGCACCAAAGTGGTGTTATGAGGTGATTCCGGAATCTTCCATGACTGGGCCTAAGCCAGCGGCTCTGAAGAGTTTTCCGCCGAAGTGATTGGCCGAGCTAAGCGAGCAGTTTCTACCACGTGACCCAAATTCGACTCCACCAGACGTTATAAAAAGCGGCTTCCCCCCAAACATTTTGAAAATCAAGCGACTCTACGTTAGTACCCCCCCCCCCCCCCACCCCGAAACATTTGCCTTGGGACGGGTCTAGAAACTCGCCCTTTGCAACGAACATCTGGCTAACAGTTTTACAACAGTTCAAAGAATCACTTTAGAGTAGACGTCCCACCTCTGAGCTCTTCTAAAGAGCCACAGAATCTCCACCCTTGCTGATGACTGCTATTTCCTCGATGCCCTAAAGTGAAGCCGTTTTTTACTTCCGACTCGACCTTGCATGTACGCGCTATGTTACGATCCGTCTTCACGATGGACTTGTTTCTGGTGCCCGTGCGATGGTCCAGGGAGTGGTGATGATCTTTACCTTGTTGTGATGTCTTGACTTCGGTCGGTCTGACTTGGTGGGCGTCGAGGAGGTCTGAAAGGTGTCCCCTCTTTATGCTATTTTTATGTTGGTTTTGAGATGGTTGGAGTTTATTTTGAATAATTAAATTAAGCAATTATTTTTTTTGAGTACATTTGCCATTTGTGCAATGGTTTTCTGGTAGAGCGTAGCCTGACATGGTCGCGATTGACCTCCACCCCTTCACGGTTACCTTCATTTTCCCTGGCCACAGACGCCAAGACGGAGAAATAAAGCCAAGCAGGCTTCACGGCCACGATGGCGTCGGGAAACCAACCTCGTATCGTCCCCATCGGAAATCAAGCTCATTGCTACATAGCGGATTCTTGCATTCATCCGTGTGAGACGGTCAGGGTCCATGAAATTACCCGAGCAGCCGAGTGGGAGACCGCCGGCGGCCGTGCGACGGGCATTTACCCCGTGCCGGCGTGGTTCGTGGTTCGACCGTTCGGGGCCGAGTGGTTTGTTGGTAATTTCCGGAGACCCCGCGACGCTGCCCCGCCAACTTTCCTGCCTCGCGCTTCTCTCCAGCCTCCCCTTCCCTCTCCCCCCCAAATCTGACCAAACTGTCCTTGGAATCATCAAGTAACCCAACCCCCTGCGAAATAGCCCACCATGGTTGAAAGTGTTCTGGACGATATCTCCCATCGGAGATTCAATCCTCTCCGAGGCTCCTACATCCTGGTCTCCCCGCACCGCACCAAGCGCCCCTGGCAGTAAGTCCAATCCCCGAGTCCTTCGGCGTCTGAAGCAAAGACAAGACCCTCCCTTCATCCCTGGGTGGAACAGTCAGACTAAGTATGTCTGGCGATTAGAGGACAACAGGAGAGCCCCTCCAAGACCACTCTCCCCGCCTATGATCCTGCTTGCTACCTATGCCCCGGAAACAAGCGCGCTCAGGGGGACTCCAATCCAACGTACGAGAAGACCTTTGTGTTTGTCAATGACTACAGCGCGGTCAAGGAGGAGCAAGCACCTTACAGCCCCGAAGGTGGAGAAGGTATGGCGTAGCTGCTTTCGCGTCCAAAGAGCGACACTAATGTCACCAATCCACACCAGACGACGACTCGTTCTTTCTCCGGGCAGAACCAGTCACCGGGAAATGCTATGTACTCACCTTCTCAGCGGCGCATAACCTGACACTGGCGGATCTATCTCCAGCAGAGATAGTACCTGTTATTGACGCGTGGACTGAAATCTACACAGCCCACCTGTCCCCAAAGTCGCCATTAGCCGCCATCGCGCCCGCGACCACTCTGCCCCCCAACTCCCCGACCGCCAGCCTAACCAAGCCAAAGGAGCAATACCGTTACATGCAGATCTTCGAGAACAAGGGCGCCGCCATGGGATGCTCAAACCCCCACCCTCATGGCCAGGTCTGGACCACCAGCTCTCTGCCCGAGGAACCAGCCATGGAGCTGGAGCAGCTGCAAAAATACCGCCGCGAGAACGGAGGTAAGCACATGCTGGAGGCGTACGCGGCTCTCGAAGGCCGGAAACAGGAACGTGTGGTCTTCGAGAACGCCGCTTTCATCGTCCTGTGTCCCTGGTGGGCGGTCTGGCCCTTCGAGACCATGATCGTCAGCAAGACGCACAAGCGTGCCCTCGTCGACTTGAACCCGGACGAAAAGCTTCTCCTGGCTGAGGCCATTGGGGAAATCACCAGACGCTATGATAACTTGTTCGAGACCCATTTCCCTTACAGCATGGGCATCCACCAGGCCCCACTGGACGGGACCGACGAGGAGATCGAGTCGTCATATCTTCATTTGCACTTTTATCCTCCCCTGCTGCGCAGTGCTACCGTGCGCAAGTTCTTGGTCGGGTAAGTTTTGTTTCTGTCTCTCTTTCTCTACTTTTGCCCCGCCTACACCGTGCAAATTCCTACCTGCCTTACATAAGGATTCGTTGTTGACATGAGTTTGGTTACTATAATAGGTATGAAATGATGGGTGAGCCCCAGCGTGATATCACTCCCGAACAAGCCGCCGCCAGACTACGGGGATGCGGAGGCGAGCTTTACAGGAAGAAGATCAATGATCAATAGAAGCGGGGGGGTTGTTCTGAGTCGGCATGGGTGGATATATGTGCTGTATATATAACTACGTATATCCCTACATCTTAGAGGTCGCCCGCAGTGGTTACTCGGGCGCAGATCGAATTCGCTACATACAGAATGATTGGTTCTACTGTATGTACGTACTAGTGGCCGGGTGCAAGCTGCCCAACTTTAGAAGAGGTGAACAGAATACGTATAGCACATCACATGGCTGGATTATTGTCCCTTCGAGAAGAGCACGTGGGCTTTGAGTCATGGGTGTTTTAGATGACACTGTCTCTACAGAGTTCTGCTCCATTGTATGATCGTATTCTACCACTTTTAAATTTTTGAGTTTACGCAACAATCTCCTCCTTGCACGCAATGCCGTACTTCTAAAGCAAGATACAGATTAGCATGTGAATGAAACCCGGTTCTTCGATAGCTTGCAGACTTACCTCCTTGAGCTCCTTGATCAAGGGATCATTGAGCTTGCTGTTCATCGGAGCAAGAACACCCTTCTCAGCGATGGTTCCATTGAGAACTTGCTTGACAGCAACCGCGCAAGGCACGCCGACTATGGCAAGGACGATTGGTCAGTATTTCAGAAGAACGAAATGTTCGTGCATGCGCGAGGAGTAGTAGTACTCACCAAGCTTGGCCATAGCCGAGTAGCCGTTTGGCTCTGTGCTGCCGTACTCGACGAGAGTGGAGAGTCTGGTCTGCTTGCTGCCGTCCTTCAACTCGACTTCGAACTTGTGTTGCAGGCTTTTTTGAGTGTTAGCATTTATGCATATGGGGATGTAGGAGCAGCGATTTGGGGTTGGTGCTGCCTCTACATCAGGCAGGGTTGGGATTTTGTTGTCCACTTACATCACGAGATCCCGTTCTCCTTCGCCGAACTGCATCTTCTTTTCGAGAGTGGCGCAGATGGTATCTAGGGGGTTGCCCTTGGGGATGATCTGCGATGCAGTGTTAGTTGAGTGTGTTGTAAATTTTCACACTGATATATGGTCCGCCTGGATCATGCACCCAAGACCTCGAGTGAAAGCGAATGAAAACCAGAAGTGCTTACCTTTTCCGACGAGAAGAGTCCAACCCACTTGAGACCAGCCAAGAGATGCTCCTTCTGTTGGTCATTCTCAAAAGTGGCCTTGGCAGAGATGGCCTCGATGAGGTCCTTCTCATCAGACGATGAAGCACCAAGGACCTTTTGCGTGGCCTCCTTCCAGGAAATGGGTTCCTTGAGGAAGCTCTGCTCTTCATCCTTAAGGAAGCCAATGTCGACAAGGACCTTAACAAACTCCGGGAAGCCTCCGTATCTCAGAGTACCTCTGCGTGCAAATTAGCCACCTGCATAGTTATCACGCATCAAGTGGAACCGATGTACCTGATGATAGTCTGCGCCTCAGGGATGTTGTAGCGCTCCTTGTACGGGGTCGAATCTCTATTGGGATAGGCAACAAGAGCAAACCCTTAACCCTCAGATGTTAGTGTTGCAGTCAAAAGGTGCATATGTTGAGAGCACGAGGTTGCTTACCGGGGTAGATGTGGTACGGCTTGGCAGTAGCCATCAGGTCTGTTGACAAGGTTTAAGCATTTCTGTTCTACAATAAGTAGGAGGGAGCTTCTTACCTGGACCAGCCACATTGACGACCTTGCCATCCTTGTAGAAACTGGCAGCATTTCTCAGGGCCAGCAGCACTCCGCGGGGAGACCTAAGCACAAATTGTCAGCATTTTGATCTTCAAACCCCTTTGAGTAGCTTCGTGAGTGATCTCTTTGGGTGAAATGGAAACAAGCGGGGGTCGCAATGACGGTAGTGCGCATGCGTATTTAGGTGGGAATTGGTAGGGGGTCCTGACCAGGAGAATTTGTATCCCAAGGGGTTTCCGGAGTTCTCGGGTGCCGGTAGACCTCCGCAGTATGACAAGAACGATGTGATCTTCCCTCCCTCCTTGTGGACTTCCTCGATGGTCTTAACGGCGTCTAACAGAATCAGTATGGTATGGACGGTTCACCTGCCGCTTGGATTCTTACAAAGATGATCGATACCCGGGTCTGCAGGAAAGGCCAATTAGCAAAGGAAGATCGAGATCAGGTTTGGAAAGGACACCTACCCAAGCCAATCTCATTCATGACAGTGATGCCGGCATCCTTGCACTGTTGGTCGAGCTCCAGCATAGCCGGCGAAACATAGCTTGTGGTGACGACATGCTTCTTCTGACGGATGGCCGACTTGATGACGGTGGCATGGAAGGTATAGGGGATCAAGCTGATGACAAGGTCGTGCTTCGCGACCTCGGCATCCAAGGCCTGGTCACTGGTCACATCGAGGGAGATGGGGGTGGCGTTCTTGACCCCGGCGGAGAGGGCCTTGGCGGACTCAAGGGTCCTGCAAGCTGAGCAGGAGTTAATGGGCTAGTCGGGGGGGACTATTCCACTGGAGGGAAACTCGTACCTACAGTGACGGGGATGCCCGACTCGGAAAGGATATCGAGGGTCGGTCTCGTCACGAACCCGGCACCGAGCATCAACACGCTAGAAGAGAGTGTAGGTGAGGATTGGGCATACCATTGATCCGGGGGTCAGTTGGGTCTTACCTTTGGGACACCATTGTGAGTATATGTGGCAGATTGGGGATTCCAGGGGTATGCAGTAGTGTTATGAAGGAGGAAAACTCTTAAATGGCGGGGGTGGTGAAGGAAGACGGGTCCGATGTTCGGGGGGAGGGGGAGCAGGGGCGCCGCAGCACGCACACCGCGCGGTCGGAGACGGTCGGTCGTTAGTCAGCCGCTAGCTATGTTAACTAACTAGTTAGTTAGTTAGTTACAGTAAGTAGATACCTGACATCATCATGGGCTGTTGGTGGGACCATGGGAGGAAGATAGCCCAAAATTCAATTCTATACTGCTGACTGACTACTAGATATCTACCTACCGGACATTTAAGCTACTGCTGGACTGCTGTTTTTCATTCAAAGTCACTTCACCCCCCACCCCCCCCCCAAACCCTCGTTTCTTCAGTCTTCACAAACTGCCTGGTGTTAAATGCCGTGTCACAGATAAGGTCTTTTGCCAAGCCGGACGGGCCATTTTGCTTACCACCCGGAGTGAGTCATGATTCATGATGTCAACAAGAGGCTAACTAACTAATTCGGACCATACTTAGTCACCATACCGACCGGATCAAGTACCTCTTTATCATTGGATCAGCAACATGCACGGGTCTTCTCCATGAACACTCTCCACCGTGCTTCCATAGCATGACTCCAGGCCGGATCCGAGTCCAGGCGCAAGAAACGCAAGGCATTACCCGCCAGCATATCAGCCCTCTCCTTCCACGACAGGAACCTCTCCAGACTGCAATCCCTTGCTAGCATCCTCCCCGCCTCGGGCAGTTCCCCCAGCGGGAAAGGATAATCACTCCCCATGACGATGCGCTGCACGCCCATCTTCTTCACCAGGTACTCGAGCATGTCCGCGTCGTGCGTCAGGCTATCGATCCAGATATTCTCTTTGGTCGTGGCATGCTCCGTCGGGGTAACCCCCCCGGCGTCGGTGGCCACCAAATCCGGTCGACAGTCATATCCATGCTGGATACGGCCCAACAGGGCAGGGAAAGAGCCCCCCGCGTGAGCAAAACACAGCCTGAGCCGTGGGAACCGTAGCAGCGTCCCCGAGCAGATCAACGAGTGCAATGCCAGCGCCGTCTCGCACGGCATCCCCACCAGCCAGGAACTCCAGTATTTTGCCCAGCGCTTCGGATTCTCTTTGGGCCAGGTGTAACCCAGCGGATGCACGAAGATCGGCATGTCCAGATCCTGACATGCCTGCCAGAACGGATCGAGCGAGCAGTCATCCAATGTCATATCGTTGATGGTCGTCCCGATCTCTACCCCGTGCAGATGGAGCTCATATTTCGCCCGGTGCAGTTCTGCCACGGCGGCTGCAACGTCCTGGAGCGGCACCGTCGCAAGTCCCAGAAACCGCATCGGGTGATCATGACATAGACCGGCGATGTGGTCGTTCAGATGGCGGGCGAGGATGGCGACGGGCTCCCAGGGTTGGTCGTAGAAGAATAGGATGGGGATCGTGCTGAGCACTTGCACGTCCGTATTGATGGCGTCCATCTCTGCGAGGCGGGTGGTCACGTCGTAGCAGTTTTTCTCGACAGTGCGGAAGAAGCGATCGCATACGTACATGTCTACCTTGTCAGGGGATTGGGGATTCGGCTGTAGCGAAAGCCATGGCGAGTGGCCTGGCCCTGAGTCTAAGCCCGAGTCTAGGTCCGAGGGATCTGAAGGCGGGCATTCCGTTGGGGATGCCACCGGTGATGACAGATAGGACGAGAGATCGGGCAAGGATGGAGGCATGATGTGCGTGTGCAGGTCGATACGAAAGAGCCCCTGGTCGGGACAATGCGAGGGGCCGTTGCAATCCATGATGATGGCCAGGCGTTTGATGAGGGCGACGTATGGATCACTTGGACCGCGGGTTGGTGGCCAGCGAGATTCCGCCTCAATTCCGTCTCTTTCCCGCCCGGATGACATCTGGATGACATTTGGCCGGCATCGCTCTTGCCTTTTGGTTCGTTCACTGCGTCACTTTTCGCCGATTGGCGGCAGGTTTGCAGGGCATATCACCAAGGCCTTCCTCAACTATGGATATTTGGAGACTAGAACTCGAACAAGAGATGATGAAAGAGGCCAAGCCATCAGAGTGAGGTCTACCACACTACGAATGGGAAATGGTCTGAAGATTTCGACCAGTGTATTTCTCGGATCCACGTTTTCAGCAATCCAAACTACCGATGGGATGGAGGCCTCGCTGAGGTCCGTGAGATGATCCGCTTCTCTGAAGATGTATGCCTTATAACCGGGGATCTTGTTGTAAGGGTGATACCGTTCAGTCATTCTACGCAAGGACCGGCTCGCGAGTTTCCGTCTCCAGATGAATTGCTTCGCGGTGTGCGTTTACTGTGCCACTGTCACCCGTTCTTACCACTTTTTCATCTCCCACAGAGGATATGCACTATCCTACATGTGCGAGGTCCTCAGAGCGGACACCACCCGATATTCTCATAAACGTCTCATTGCAGCGCATGGATCGAAGACCGGGGAATACTGCTGGGATATTGTGCACGAGGCTCTGCAGCAGCTGATATGGATGTATGGAACCGACGCAGAGCTGTCGGTACGTCCTTCATGCTTCCAGCAGGCCGATGCCAGCCTAGCAGAGAATGTGCTTGCAATGACTCAGGCCTAAGAGATGTGGCACCACGTTCTTTGGGGGCCGCACTTACTGTGGGACAAGACCAGATTGGCCAAAGTCGCAGCTCAGGTGTTGCATCCATCTTGATACCCAAATTCCACTCCGGCAAGTCTCCGAGGCATCCTTCGGACTCCGTAAAGGACATAGGAGGGTACGCCGTATAGCTCGCCAACTCAAGCTAGATCCAGTCATGTTTGTCTGATAGGAAGATGGAATGTCAGTAGTGATGCTTGGGAAGTAACTACCGATGCAAAGATAAACTCGCTCATCAGCATACACATCCGAATAAGTGGAGAACTTAGAGTAGAGCCCCCCTACATAAAGTGTAGCATTGCCAATGATGATTTTGCATACTTTGACAGGGAGTAGGAGATAGTGCTCCGTAGTATCTACCAGCTAGATACTGGGGAGGAAACAGAAAAGGGGTGGGCGTCACGCGTGCATGTGGCATTATTATGCAATGTGGCTGCTCAGTCACCTACTACCTTGTATAAGCACTCTGGAACCAATCACAGTCCATTTCATTCCCGTACAAATCATTCCTATGTACGGCCTTCCCCTCCCCCCCCGTCATGTGATAGCACGTGATTGAGGTCCGCCCGTTGCATGTGCTTCTCCGAGGCGCCGAGCACCTGCACCTGCACTCTTCTTGGACTTGGTCAACTGTCATCGGAATGCTTCCTTTACTTTCCCTGATCGCAGTGTCTTCCATAGGACATCATGGAAGACCACACCACGGGAGCCCTCGTTGATCGGGATGAGGCCCTACCTGTAATCGCCGGGACGCAGGAAAATGACCCGAGGGCAACTATTTCCGGAGATCTCAAGCAAGCAGCGTTCAAGGCCGGCCGCTCACTACAAGACAGGCTCTTCTCCAAGTAGGTGTTTCCCCATCGGTCTCGGAATTGTGGCCCCTTGGCAAACCTAGCTAACTATTGCGGGAAAGGATACTAGAGCAAGTGATGCCTATGGAAGATGTCAGCGCCGAAGCGCTGTCCACCAGCGACAAGCCAAACTCCACTGATAATAAGCGGCCAGCTTTCAGCCTTCCGCTAATGGCCAATAACTTTCGTCGATTCAACGCAAGGTATTGAAATTTCCCCCCTTCCCTCGAGGCGGCTCGCAGTACTAAGGCCTGTTGCAGAATTGGAATTGTCTTCCTGTTTCAGACCCGTGTTGAACGTCTGCTCAGTTGGAACAAGCCCTCTCATACGCTGTCCTTTCTCTTCATCTACTCCTTCGTCTGTCTGGATCCTCACCTTCTCATCATCATTCCGTTGGCAGTCGTGTTGTTTTTTATTATGGTGCCTGCCTTTCTGGCACGTCATCCTCCGCCACCCTCAACATCTACATCCAGTATCACTCCTTACTATTCCTATCAAGGCCCGGCACTTGCTCCTGCAAAGACGATCAAGCCCGCTTCAGAGACTTCCAAGGACTTCTTTCGAAATATGCGAGATCTACAAAATTGTATGGCAGACTTTTCTGACGTGCACGACGCGACAGTCTCTGCGTTCGCCCCCCTGACAAACTTCTCCAATGAGAAGCTTTCCTCGGCGGTTTTCCTGTCATGTACCCTTGTGACGTCTCTGTTATTCTTGACGGCTCACCTTCTTCCGTGGAGATTCATTTTTCTCGTGGGTGGCGATGCAGGGATTCTATTATTACATCCAAGCTTCCATGACTTCATTCAGAGTGTTGCGAGTGACGCTCTGGAGCAAATTCCGGACCAGGGCTCTGTGGCTGGCAAGAAGGAGAAGGAGTCAATCGACCTCGGTGAGATGCCATTGCCTACCTCCTCCCGAGCCGTGACCTTAATGGGCTCATTGGCCAATATCTCCCTGGACTCTGATCCTGAGGAGCGGGAGGTAGAAGTGTTCGAGATTCAATATCGCTCCCTCGCTCCTTATTTCGAATCCCAATGGGAACATTTTTTGTTTAGCCCTATGCCGTATGATCCACTCTCCCCGTCCCGCATTGCGGGGGACCGCCCCAAGGGCTGCCGATTCTTCGAGGACGTGCAGGCTCCTACCGGATGGGCGTGGAAAAGCAAGAAGTGGGAGTTAGATCTGGACTGTCACGAGTGGGTTGTTGAGCGTATGATTACAGGGGTTGGATTCGAGGTTTCTGGAGGTCTATCTGAAGGCGGCAGCACAACTGGTGGAGAAATTGGCGGCTGGGTCTGGGACCTGCCTCCCACCTCCTTCAGAGGCGATCACGATGTGGCATCTACATCAGGGCATGATGATATCGACTCGACAGATCCATCACGAGCAGATGATAAGAAGGTCCAAAGGAAAGGGAAAGAAAGGGCCCCTCTTGACTACGAAGAGCGGGCGAGTACTGGATCAAACATAATGGGAGAGTGGAGACGCAGACGATGGATTCGAATTGTACACCGGGTCAGTATGCCGACTGCTCAAGATAAGCATGAACTGGCCGGCGACGATGAAACTTAATCTACATGGAACTAGGAGGATTTGTACAGGTCAATGCAAAGTTGAGACACAATCCCATCATGATTCAGATCAGCAAGGTGTATACATAAAATGGCTTCAGTGGAAGAGAAAGAGGCACATGATTTTCTATAGGCTTGACTAATTTTCTCTGGCAGCTATGAGCAGGGGGCCGGGGGTTGGTCAGCCTCGCGATCGCTAGTTAGTTTCCTCTTCTTTAGTACTTTCCCATCCTCTCTACGTCGATGCTCTTGTCACATAAAGGTATAGATTTGCCCTACGTTTCGTGCCTAGCTACTCGTTTCTCTCCTCGGCAGAGCATTGGACCTCATTGGAACACCCTGCTTCATCCTATCAAACCCGATGGGGACCCCACATATCGAGCAATATTATAGTCCATCACCCGCAATACTCGAGCATCCGACGATGGTCTACTTCGCAGCATACCCAAGATCTCATCGGGCACCGCATTGGACTGCACCCACATCCGGTGACATTGTTTGGTGCACCCAGCAGACTGATAGAAGATCACGGAAATAGCCACCAGGGCTATCAGGAACCCTGCCGCCACAATCCACCGGGAGGGCACAGGTGTCTTGCTCACAGCCTCCGCCAATTGAACGCTTTCAGTCGGGCTTGGAGGATCCCAGTCGTTATGGTAAGGATCTTCCCCGTATTCTTCATGGGTATTCGGGATAGATAAGTTGGTCCAAGCCTTTGGTGTTGTCCGAAATTTCCCTACGCTCAGGCGATGCGACTCATATTCATCCGGGAGGTACACTGGCTTTGTGTAGCGCTGGTCATGTTGGAATAGTTTTCTTGCTTTCTTGGGCGGCTGTTCCACTTTGATGAAAGGTAAGTTGGCCTTTAGCCCTTCCCTTTGGCGAGCGCTCAGTGATTTAACAGGAGCTTTTTGGTATCTGCGGACCCGAGAATTGGCTTGAGTGGGGCTTCCGGCTTCCGGTCCAGAGTGATAGATGACATCTGACCTTCGTGAAATCGGTCCACACATCCAACTCTGCAGTGCTCCACGAATGGACTTTCTCTTCTCCAAATCTGGAAAGGATTGCAAGGTCGGCGACATCTTGAGTGCAGAATCCTCGGGCTGCTCTGAAAATCGTTTCGACTCGTTGAAGCGCATCTTCTTGACATGATTTGTCGCTGTGTCTACCTCCATACACTCCACTTCTGGCCGATATTCCGGGGCAGACAAAGGCCGCTTCCGAATTATACTCGATATCCCTTCTATCAGGGAGGACAGGCTTCCAGCAGCAGATCGCTTAGCCGAATCATCCAGTGGCTCGATGGGGGGGCGTTCATATATGGGGGAAACATCGTGGAGAATCTCTGGTTCTGCCACTGGCATTCCAGAGTCCTGCTGAATTAACAGTTCTAGCGGTAACGCTTCATGTATCCTGGAAGCTGACCCCGAACTCGAATGTGATTTTCGAAACGCGGCCGCTGGAAAGTCGGAAGATGACGTTGAGTCTGTTCGCTGGCTTCTTGCATCGCTATCATGGTTCTCCAATTCGGTCTGCTGAGCTGAGCTTGGCGACAAAATCTGTGACGTTTGGCCTCGCCTGGGAATGGGAACGGGAGGACTGCTGGAGGATTGAAGGTTCTTGGGATGCTGTGCAAGCCATGATGTTTCATCCGGCTCGGCTGACATCTCGGCGTACCGCGCTTTTAGCAATTCGTTCTCGTCCTGAAGCTTTTTCACCAAGGCGTCAAGATCACTGCTAAGCTTGTCGCTTTTGCTTAGTTGACGTTTGGCCTCGTGAACCTCGCGGCTGGCAGTCACTAATTCCTCCTTGAGACCCCTAATCTCCATCGCCTGATGAGATAATCCTGCTTTGTACTCCTTGGATTGCTCATGAGCTCGGCTGAGCGCCCTACGGCTCTCTGCCTGAATCTCGGCATTGGTACTCTCCGCGTGGCGCAGGGTTGTCTCTTTCAGCTCATTTTGTGCTTTTTCTAGGTTGAGTGCGTTCCGGGTATCCCTTAATTCATTGTCCCTGATCTCCAACTCATGGGCTCGCTCAATAAGGGTCTCGGTGAGTTGCTCCAATTGCCTTGCTACCTTGCGATTCTCTGCGTCCAGGTCAATGACTTTCCGTTGTGCTTCTGTCAGCTCCCTAGTCTTGTCATCCAACTCATCTTGAAACCAGTATGATGTTACTCCGAGTGACGTCCTAGGATTACTTCTTCGTCGAAATAAACGCAATTCACTCGTCAGGTCTTGCTGGGATAGCCGGTTTGCTGACATCCTGTTGCTTCGTGTACCCCGGCCATGCTCCAGAGCCTGGCGGGGTAGCGGCTTGTTGCTGTCTGTGTGCTGGTCACTCTCCCGCTCATTCTGGTGGTTTTTGTATACCGTCGTCCTGTTGCTGTCTGTATGCCCGTCATCCCTCAGATCATCCTGGAGCATCGCCATCCAGTGGCTGAAGTTATGACCTTCATTCGGATCAAGTGGGGATATATGATCACTCCCTGTCTCGTCGCTATCTGTAGACTCTTCGCCGTCCTCATATTTCCCGGGTAGCCAGCGCTTCGTCGTCCTGTTTCCGTCTGGCATGGAGGGCAGTATGGGTGTATACGATGATTACCCAGTAGTTGTTCGGGCTCAACGACCAAGTCAGTTCAAAAATGTACCAGGGCGAATGTGAACGAATGTCGGCGATTGGGTTGCAATGTCAATCGTGGAGCATATGGAGCAGTCCGGGACTTGCCCCAAACCACTGAAACGGGGCGGCGTCCTCTATAAATCTGTTGTATCTTTACCAGCCCTTCTTTCACACACACCCTTCCCTAGACTCCTGGAGATACCCGCAAGGAAGCATCCTCCTTGACTTCAATTCGAGGCGGACCTTCCCGTGGTATTGCTTGATCCATGGTGCTCAAGAGGAGGAAAGAGCCGAGGAAAGCTTTGTCCTCCTGTTTCACTGGTCGGCCGCATTGTTGGTCCTTTGGCAAACAAAGAGCCTTTTTCCGAATCCTTTAATAAACTCCTTTGTCGCTGCACCAGGCTGATTCGGCATTTTTCTTTATTTCTAATTCGGAATATCCCCAAGGTAACAAATGGAGGGTTGGATTCGCAGGGGTTTCCGTACTACTACCGATGGTACACGGTACAGAGTACCATGTACAGGTACCTAGGTACTAGTTAGTAGGTACCTTAAGTAGCTACTCCGTTAGGTAAGGTAGGTAGGTACAGGCCAGATCGTGACGACGTGAACAGTCAGTCACTGACGTGAGCCCTACGGAGTAGTTACAGGTGGCCGTACTAAGTAAGGTAAGGTGTATGGAATACGGGGCCCCGCAAGTTATGACATGACATACATGTATGTGCATAGTAGATTGTTTGTTATGTTTGCTCCATTTGCCTTGTTTGGCGGGGCTGCCTATTACCTATTATCCTACCTGGCGCCCTCGTTTCTTCCGCTTCCCTCTTCCTTTCCTACAATGGAGCGATTTGATCAAATACCTATCCTCTTGAACCCTGGTGGTTCCAATCGCCACGTGTGGCCCCTGCTTGGTTCGGGTCACCCGGCTGGCACACTGAAAACTACTGTACCGTGTAGACTCGAGGATAGGCCCTGCGGACAAACGTACTCCGTATTACTAAGTACATACGCAGGTGCATTTTCTCTGTCCATCCACGGGTCCATGGCTGTTCAGATGATTCGAGCGTCATCTGACAGGCGCATTTACAGGGAAGTGCTTATCATAGATGCAGTAAGTTAGAGGGGAGCATGCCCCTCTCAATATGCAGCTATGGATCTGCATCTGTTCGAAATGGCTCTCAACCCAGTAGTTATGCTTCCCTGGTTCAAGGAATGACTCCAATGCTGACAGGCATCATCGCCCCACAGTCTGTGATATCACCATGCAGAGCGTCCAACCTGAATTCACGGCTGCAGGCAGATGCCGCTGCATAGCCGGGTGGCGGCGGCCCTAGTAGATCAGGGTTCGCAGGTAGAGAATAAGACCGTATGACTGGAAGGCTGTCTTGGACGCTCAAGATACCAACTTAAAGCAATGAGGGATCCAATGCTGGAGACAGCCGAAACATTAACCTGGGGCTCAGCAAGCGGGCGCCCCGAGTCAGCAAGTCTGTCGAATTGCCTTTCTGATAGTTATGGATCACTAATACCAAACGGACACGGTGGCAATGAACGGCAATGCATGCATATATTGTCTATATCTGCGGCATCACATCTCCCCTGTGATTCGTCACATCCGGGGGCGCTGGACGCCTAAGATCACCAACAGAGGTCGAACACGAAGCTTACCACGACGAGAGGTTATCCTTATATCAGCCTACTGAACACTTGGCCGTCAGCGCTTCGCCTCTGCATAAGGCTGCTGCGCTTCAATTGACTCTATCCCCACTTTTCCAGGGCGCCTGGTAGGCAACATCTAGTCAGCAGCAGCCCTTACGCCGGGCAACGATCGATCAGCCGGACTACTGTAGGGAGCTATACAAGAACAAGGGGCAACGAATATATCCAAGCCATGCATATGCGGTGAAACAACCAAGGCACTACTGCCGGGCTATTGATATGGTATGCGCAGGATCAACAGTGCCACGGCACTGCCAACTTTCTGAACACCTCAGCCGATGATGGCAGGTTCCGGGGTCTTAAAAACCAGCAGCTGGTCGGGTTTGGCTATTGTCTCTCTCTCCTCATGATAGACATACACAACACGAGCAAAATGAGCCTCGACCCGTGCAACTGCCCTCCTCCGACGCGGGAGCTAGTTCTCTGTTTCGATGGAACGGGGAACACCTTCCGCGCGGACGGCGGGGAAAGCAACATTCTCAAGATCTTCCGCATGCTGGATCGCAGAAAGGATCATAGATGTGAGTTGTCATTCCGGTTTCATTGTGGTCGTAGGCTAATAGGTTAGATTGTTACTATCAGCGTAGGTCGCCTCATCACGATGAGACCACAGGAGGAATGTCATTAACGGACAGACAGCCGGCATAGGAACCGACATCACGCCAGGAACCTTCGCCAACATGGCCTTCCGCCCCTTTAGTAACCTCCCCGCCCACAAGGTCATGGACCAGGCACTTGCCACTTCGTTCGACCAGCATGTCATCAACGGATATCGCTTCCTGGCCCGCCGCTGGGTGCCCGGCACGCGCATCTACATGTTTGGGTTCTCACGTGGGGCCTACACAGCCCGGTTCCTGAACGAAATGCTCGACTTCATCGGCCTGATCTCGGCCGATAATGAGGAGATCATCCCTCTCGTGTGGCAGGCATTTACACGGTACAAGATTGCGCGAAACGATAAGGAGGCGAACGACGCAGAATACTTTCTCAAAATGTGCCGGGACACGATGTGTCGGTCTGTGGGACTTGTACACTTCCTTGGCCTGTTCGACACGGTGAACAGTGTGGCTGAGTTCAACAACGACCTCCAGAGAACGCAGCCAAAACCGCACATCATGCGACACGCGGTCAGCATCGACGAACGCCGGATCAAGTTCCAACCGGTACTGTTTGATCAGCTGCGCGGAGCACATGCAAGGGCCTGTCGAGTGAGTACGTGGGCCGAGCGAGCGGACCTCGAATTCCAGAGCTCCAGCGGCCTCGTGCCGCCGCCGCCTTCGGAGACGGACTTCGAAGAAGTCTATTTTGCTGGAGATCACAGCGACGTTGGTGGTGGGTGGCCGCGCGAGCGCGGCAGTGAACGATGGGTCGCCAGTCAAATTCCCCTCATGTGGATGGTGGAAGAAGCCATTGAGGCAGATCTGACCTTTGACCCAACACAACTGCACGAATTAGGCTGCTTCAACTATATGGCCCGGGAGAGGTATGACGAGGTTGCAGTGAAGGAGGCGTCGGAGGCAGTCTTGCATGATTCCTTGCTCTATGACTCCGGCAAAGGCTTGGAGACCTTGTTCTGGCGCGTGCTGGAGTGTCTGCCCATCAAGCGTCCCAAGGTCGCCCCAGACGGTACGGTGCAGGAGACTAGATGGCATGTCGGGGGCCTGCGACGACCGCTACCGGAGGGGGCTAAGTTGCATTTCAGCGTCATTGACCGAATGAAGAAGGATCCGACATATCGACCATATAACCTCGGGGTGGGTAATCGGCCCGACGTGGAGCGGGTCATCGAGCACTGGCCGCAAGTCGTTCACGACAAGGAGCTCGGTCATGACAAGGCCATCGAGAATGGGCAGAGGGCGAGGACCAGGCAGGATGAGGAGCGGAGGACGCTGTGCTGGTATTATAGGTGGCATCGGGGGGAGGCGGAGGGTGGCAGACGGCTTCACTCGCGGCGCTCGGAGAGGACTTGAGCTCTGCTATTGGGATGTATGATATGTTGGCGTTCATCTTCATTAGCGGCGCATTTTCCTTTCTCGTGATTATCCGCAGGGGATCTTGGTTGAGCGGTGATGTTCCGAACCTGAGTATGTCCGCGACCTCGCTGATCGTCATCGGTCAGTGGGGTCGTGGACCGCCTAGGGCAAAGCTTGGTATCCATCTCATATCCTGCCTGCAGCTGTTATATTCCAGTGCCTCGCTTGTATTTCATATGTCTTTCGTTCGTCAGTCATTCCTTCCATTCTGACCCCAGTCACTCCTTCTCTTTCTTCCTTCATATCTACCTGCTCGTCCCCTGGGCCATCCATCTCGCAACGGCCCTCACGCCGCCCAGCTCCGACCCATTCTACCACGAACCTGACAATATAACCGCCTATGGCCCGGGCCAGGCCATCCGCACGCGTCAGATTGCTCCATATCTGCAACCCTACATTCCCACGAGGCCCACCAATACCTCTACCGTACGACCGACACCCACGGCAATGCCATCGCGGCGGCAGCCACCTTGCTGGTCCCGCATAACGCGGATCCCACCAAACTCCTGGCCTACGAGACCTTCTACGACGCCAATAGCGAGGACGGCAGTCCCTCATATACGTTACAATATGGCTCACAACCGAACACGGATGGAAAGGATCTCCTCCCCAGCATGACCCAGCCGATGGATCTGGCATTTGTATGCTTCTATACGTACCCCTTCTCCTCATTTAAAGCCCTCACTGATCCAACCCTCTTTCTGTCGATTTAAGCTCTCTGCCTCTCTCACCCAAGGCTGGTACATTATGACAGCGGACTACGAATCCCCCGCGGCCCAATTTGCCGTCGGCCGACTCTCCGGCCACGCAACCCTCGACTCCATCCGAGTTGCTCTCACCCACGGCCCCTCCTCCCACAACCTGTCCACACACCCCAACTACGCAATGTGGGGATACTCCGGCGGCGCTTTGGCAGTATCGTGGGCGGCCGCTCTGCAGCCCAGCTACGCCCCCGAACTCGCCATCTCCGGCGCTGCCGTCGGCGGCCTCATCCCCAACCTGACCTCCGTTATCGAAACCATCAACATGGGACCATTCTCCAGCGCGGCCTTCGTCATCTTTATTGGTCTGGCGAAAGCATACCCCCCATTCGCGACGTGGCTGGAATTCGCGCTGAAGACATACCTCAAGGAAGTGTTTTTTCGGCGGGAGCGGGAGCTGTGTCCTAGGTGAGTTTTCGGGGGGCATGCTGAGTGACTTTTGGAACTTTTTTATTCGGGGGAGGATGTGCTGAGGGAAGGCGTGCCTGGTGGGGTGCTGTCCAGGGAGGAGCTGGCCGGTGCTGGGACGCCGACGGGCACGAAGATATATCTTTATAAGGGGGTTCTGGATGAGATTAGCCCCGTCGCGGATACGGATGAGCTGGTCCAGGGCTACTGTGGCGGCGGGGAGGGAGTGAGTGTGCGGTATGAGAGGATTCTGGGCGCGGATCATATGGCCGGCGCGGTGTTGGGGTCTGTTGAGGCGGTGAAGTGGCTGAAAGGAGGCTTTAGCGGGTGATGTCGAGAACGATGGGTGTATAGTTAGGACGACGCTGGCGGGGGACTTGGAGGATATCGATTTGGGGGGGGGGCTGTCCTGGGCGAGGCTTGGGGAACGTTGGTTTCTGCCGTCGGTGGTGGGTTGTAGATGCTGGGTGCAGGCAATAGATCATATATGCCCCATGGACAGAAAATACTTACAGAACATGAATTATATACGTCGATCAGCAAGCATACACAGGGAATTCCACGCCGGCTAATTCCGACCAACTATGAAGCCAATGGTGTACAAGAGCATCACCACATGATATTATTCACCGAGCAGTAGTTAATTAGAATAGCAACCCCCCCCCCCAACCACTGTAAGAATACATTCAGTCTCAGGGATTTCCCCCACCCACCATCTTGGCAAGCATATTGCAGGAAACCAATTCTACAAGCATGACCAGAATAAAACCTCACAATGAAGCCCAGAAGCACGGGGGGAGAGAAAAAAAAGTAGCTGCCAGAACCCCACATTCTTCGCAACTCCCCCACTTGGAAAGGGTAAAAGAGTAAAAGAGTAGGCAGCCAGATATATCCTTATTAGCTTATTTATATAGGCAAAGATGAAAATTACTAAAATACCAATTCCTTGATGGTCTAACGGTCATGATTTCCGCTTGTCAAGCCCAGTCTCGGGAACAAGCGCGGGAGACCTGGGTTCGACTCCCAGTCAGGGAGGAAATATTTCTTTTTTAAACCCCCCCCTTTTTTTTCCCAATCAATTTTCTCTCAAAACCCCCCCATTCCTCCATCCTTTTCTTCTTTTTGGTTCTTTCGTCCAACCCCCCCCCCAAAACTATATCATACATCAATCAATCGATTCACTAATCGAGTGACTTCTGTGATTCTTTGACCATGGAGCATGTAAATTGGCTGGCTGATTGATTGATGTCTCTGGTGGTAACTGACTGACAGACACCTTTCCTTGCACACCTTTTTATTGCCTGTCTTGAAGAAGAAGAAGAAGAAGAAGAAGAAGAAGAAGAAGAAGAAGAAAAAGTCATTCTGAGCAGTGTCCAAGGATAAGGCTACGAGGGTCTTAAAATACCAGTCCCCCATTACACAAATCCTAATCAGTAACCTGTCAGAGCAGCAAATATACACTAGATTGATCCTCTAGTCAAGAAACATATGTAGGTACAGTGCATAAAGATATCACAGGGAGAAAAAAAAATATCAACAAAAGCATCTGCCACGAGAAACAACATGCCGTCCAGACATGTTGCATGCCTCGATCTAGATACGAAATTCAGGGCGAAAGAAAAAAAAAATGGAGAAAGACAGATCTAAGCCGAAATCCCATCACCAATCGATATCTCAGCCGATCATCCATGAGATCATGTCAACATTGGTCGAAGCGACACCATTTAGCTGTTAGTGCACTTGGTGGCGGCGGTGGTCCAACCGGTGAGACGGTTGGCAATGTCGGAGGCGTAGCAGGAGGTGGCGCCGGAAGCGGAGACCAGATTGTCGGAGCTCTCAAGGGAGTACACGCCAGAGTTGTACATTCTCGTGGCGCGGTAGTAGCCCGCAACGGTGGTGCGGTCAGACATATCGATGAGCGAGGCGAGACCGTATCCGGCTGCGGTTCCGATGGCTGGATTTGGAACCCGATGTTAGTAAAGAAGCTGGGCATGTGGGCAGGGTTACCCGGGGGTTCGTATGTATATGCACATACATCCATCGCGGATCATCTGGACGATCTCCGCCTTCGAGCAGGTCTCCTTTCCGTAGCAGGTGCCGGTGCCCTCGTAGCTCTGCATGAGGCCGGGGTTTTCCACGCTGTTGGAAGTGGTCACGACACGGACACAGCCCTTGGATTCCTGCATGACGACGGCAAGGATGAGGCGGTGATCAACCTCGGACTCCTCCGCGACCTCGTTAATGGCATCGTAGAGGTCCTGGGTCTCAGTGGCGGAGTTGTCCGCGCCCCAGCCGTTATTGGCGCACGACTCGGAGATGAGCGGCTTGTTGACAGTCCACCTAAATTAATTGCTGGTTAGTACAGGATGCTGGTTGGGAAACAGGGCTAGATGGATGAGTATACATTTCTTCAAAGGAAACCCTGTGAGTAACGATTAGCGAGATGCTCGAAGGTCGATTCTATTGAATTGCATACCAGTCAGACTTGGCAGGCCACCCATCCTGAGTGGATCCGTCTCCGGTGTACATAGTGTAGGAGTTTGAGGCGGAGCTCTTGCCATCATCGTTGTTGATGGTCTTGACCGCGAGGGCGCTGACGGTCACCACTGCGTCGGTGGAACGGGAGGCCAAAGGCACTCCACGCTCGGAAACCTCCAGGGTCCGAGTCCCCAACGGAGCGGCGGCAGTGATTCCGACGAGGGAGCCGGCGGCGAGGATCTATAGCAATAAGGTTACTGAGATGCGTGGAGAGGCGTGGTCTGTGCCGTGGCTGCTCACGTTGAAGAACTGAGTGAAACGCATCTTGAAGGTGTATATAAGGATTTGGGTAGGGAGAGACGAAAAAGATCGACGAATGTAATCTGCAAAGAGTGTGTAGTGTGGTGGTCAAGGAATGTACTGAAGCTAGTCAATAGCTTCAAAAAAGAACGATGGAAAAGGAATGACTGTCGGAAACGACTTGAATCTGCGAGGCTGGCTCTGGCTGTGGGGATGGATGCATTCTGGGGGAGCAGGGTCGAGCTCTTTATACGAATTTCCCCGATCAGATCCCTCACGATTTAGACGTGAGGGGATCGTGAAGGAAGCCAAACGGCCCAATGCGCAGTTGAAACATCGTTGGTTGGACACTCCTCGTGAACTGTGGGCTGGGTGGTGTGGCAGGAGTCAGGGCGAGTCTTCTAGCGGAGTGAGGAGGGAGCGAACCACAGGTGATAGATGGGCACCCCCAACGGCCCGCAAGACTGGCCGCAGCAGGGATTGGTGCAATCACCTCCGTTTGGGGTCTGTCGGGAGGCATCCGTCAGGACCATCCAACCCACGGAAATGCAGGAACCCAAGATCGCACGGCCATTCGTTGATCATGAAAGCCTCGGGGAATTCTTTGGAGCCAATGACATGGACGATCACCCGAGCAGGATATCGACTAACGCAAGAAAGCGCCCGCGTGGCTCACGCCAGTGGACTGGCCGCTGGAGCCAAGCGGAGCTCGCGTTTGGGTTGGCCGACTGGGTACGGCCATTGGATTTGGCCATTTGGGCCACCGACCACGCGGGCGTCGCAGGTTTGTGGCGGACGAACCAGTCAGGGGGCTGCAGGGGCCAACGTCGGTTTACACATGTGCCGCATGGATCTCTTCGTCCGTTCGTCGGGACGAGCCGAAACAAAAAGTGCACTCCAGGCAGAGACGTTCGGGCTGAGGTCGGTGAGGGCGTCAGTGCGACGACGATGTGACAAGGTGACGACGGGGGGTCCGAAAGATTGAATCGGGGCCGAAGAAGGCGGGGGATTGTTACATCCTGAGAGATATGGCAATTGTTCGAAATTACGACGGAGAGTTGATAACAAATAATAGATGTACGATGACTTTCATGGAGTACGAAGGGTGTACGGCTTTGTGACTGGAGACCTCGGAGATGGGTACCGTCTTTCTGACCGCCTACTACCTCCGATGTGTCCGGCAGAAAACCACCTCCCCGGAAAATGATGTCATACGATCACAATCGGGGGTTTAAACATACGCCGGGCGTACTGGGTACAGACCAAGTGCCTCATTGCTGACCAGAGCTATTATTGTTATAAGGGATCTTTCACAATATTCAGATGGGGGCTTTTCATCACCCTATGCTGGTGGCTGTAGAAATCTTATCTAGGATCAGAACTCTTTCCTGACACTCCTGCCGATAGTTTTACCATTTCCGTGCCTGCCTGGCCCCTTCACAGTTCACACTAATTTCCGCCGGCGCTGTATGACATGGGGTCGGTTTCAGCTGTTCGTTGGTTTCAGCTGCTTCTGGAGCGGTCGGGCCCGGAGCCGTCATCCATGGGTGGCTGAGGATGCCAGTCTGGGGGCCGATGGTAGGCGAGAGTGGCGGACAGGTCTCGCCGGCATGCAATGTGACATTGCAATTTGGAATTCCCCCTTACTATCACTAGATACTAACTACCGTACTACCGGAGATACTAATTTTATTGCTACCTGCGGTCTTTGTTGTTGTTTTGTGTGGTAAATCACGTGTCCCTCGCCAAGCATTACCCTTTACCTACTCCCGGGCAGCTAGCTAGTAATCGGCATCAGTCGCACTCTCGCTTTGCTTTCTCTTTGCTCTCTTTCCCTTTCGCCCATCTAACATCTAATCTGCAGCCCTTCAAGAAGAAGGAAACACCGACCCCCTTAATTCCTCTCCAAGGTGAAAGGCCGTCTTAGCCCCTATCCATAAAATGAGTGCAACTAGGCGACAATTCCTTGGACCCCGCCCCAATTAAGTCTGTGAAACAGTATGAGGGCTCTACCGAGACAAGTTACTCACTTATGGAGGAGCACGCACCGAGTGACTGAAAATATCGAGACACCGGTCTCTCTATCGCACTGCCCCAAAGGATTATACGAAACCTTACAAGTCGCCCCCAATATGACCACACGAGCTCTCCTGAAGGGCAGTCACGGGCTAGCGCTAATCCCTGCTCGATGAGACGAGATGAGATGCGATCCGATGAAATGAGTCGGAGTATCCTAGGAAATTCCCTATCAATATACTAAACATATACGGAGTACTCCGTAGCAGCTTTCTTAATATAGGCACCCGGCGGACGCTACACCAGTACTGCTTGGATAGTGGTTGCTACCCCCCCCCCCCCCTCAGTCCTCCGGACTAGCTGATGAGCGCGAGAACCGAATAATGAAATTGGACTTTGGTTTTGGTATTCCGGATTTCGGTGGGGGGTTTTTTTTTTGCTTTGAGGGTCAGCCAGGAAAAAAAAAAACAAGAAAAGTTGATCGAGCCAAACGACTGCCTTATCCGGTTGGCCGCCCAACTCCCAATTATTATTACTACCGCGTCTTATTGTGTCCAGTATAATACTTTTGACTCAAAGTAGACCTACCTGCCTAGTACTACTATACACATGCATACACAGACACATAGAGACATACACAGAACGGATAACTATCCATCCAGAACAGCGACAACACCCAACCATCAACGCCAACCCCCATAATGCGAACCAGCTAGTAGAACCAAAACCCAACAGCATCACGGGCTAAAGAAGACGAAAGGTAAAAAAAAGGGGGGGGGGGAGACATTCCACCCACAGGAAAGAGACCGGACAGGAACAGAACCATCAGTCCGACTTCCCCTCCTCCGTTCCCTCCTCTCCATCCTCCTTCTTTCCCCAGGTCCACACATCCCAGATATGCTCCTTAATCAAATCCCCATACCCCCTCCCTTCCTCCAGCGCCTTCTGTTCCTCCCTCATCCTCCTCTCCTTCCACCCCTCCGACTCCCCACCCATCCAAATCCTTTCCAGCGCCGGCTTTTCACTCTCCTGTCTGGCCTTCAGCTTATCCAACTCCTCGCCCACCACCGTGCGATCGCGAATCTGCGCATCCCTCGCCGCCTTCAACTGGGCCTGGATCTCCCGCGCACGCTCGCTGGGCAGCTCGTTCATGGCTGAGATGGGATTTTTTGCAATTCGCGCCTCGATTCGGTCCATGATGCTCCGGCCTGTGCGTTCGTGGGTGAGGTGGTTCGCGGAGATGCAGAACGCTCCCGTCAGGAGGACGGTGAGGTTGTCGAGTTTGCGCGGTGGCAGGGCAATGAGGATGGGTGAGGCGACGAGGAAGGTGTAGGCCGCGGCCGTTTTGAAGCGCTCGTAGTCGGCTTCTCGGCGTGATTGGAGGTCATTGTTGTTGTTGTTGGACATCTTGGCTGGGTTATTTATTGTCGCTCTGTCGTGGTTGGTTGGTCGGTGCGGGGGTTCGTTTAGGAATATAGATAGAGGTAAGGTAGCTGTAGACAAGAAGGATGAAAGAATGCGTTCGATTCAATCAACTTCGATACTGATTTGAGAAGGGCTGTGTGGAGTACTCTCCGTCGCAGTCGTCGTTTGGTTCTGTATTGGTCGGTCAGCGCACGGGTGCGCCGCCGCTCGAGATAAAAATTTACAGCAGGCGACTCCGTCCAACGATGCAGCAACTAGTCAGGTGACTTGGTTCTTCTCATAAACTTAATGCACTTTTTTTGGGCCGGATCTCCATTTGACATTCAAAGATCTCACGTATAGTTACTGCTGTCATCGGTGTCGAGGTTGGCGTTTTGCGAAATCTTACAGCGGAGCGAGTGATTCGATTCCTTTTTTTTTTTTTTTTATGAAGCCATTTTGATGGTCATCACGGAAGCGAAGGTAATTATTTTTTGGTCTACAACAGAGAACATCTGGCTAGTACCTAGGACATAGGAAACACATCCGAAAACCATCGAAGACTGAAATATCTTCTTTTTTTCAAACCAGGGAAGCTGAAACATGTGACGCTGTTTTATGCTCATGAGGCAAAGTGGAACAGGGAGAAAGGAAAATAGAGATATTTTTGACAGTAACATAATCATCATTCGTGTGGCCCAATAATTTCAGCAAGAAAATTCAACCAGGTCTGTATGACTGGCTGGCTGAGGCGTTTGCGGTCGCCGTGTATGCTTTTTGTCAGTCGCTAGAAGACGAGCTCGAGGTGCTAGAGGAGTCCGTGTCAGAGTCCGACTCGGTGGATTCATTGTCGCTGTCGATTTCATCCGTTTCGTTATCTGAGGTGTTGGCTGGTTTCACGCCAGGAAAGCTGGGGTTGGCTTTGCGCTTTCTGTCCACCGGTTTTTTGGTAGATGGAGGAGGCTTTGACGTGTGGCCTATCCCTCGTTTGTGGGCAGGCGAAGTCGGCTCGCTGTCATCGCTCGTCTCGCTATCTTCAGACTTAGACTCTGAAGATGAGAGCGAATACTTTACCTTTGGCTGATCCGCGTTTTGCTGTTTGGAATTGGACGCGTGGGGGGGTGCCTTCGCCTTTTGGCCGGCAATGACAGCAGTTTTCCTTTGCCGTGCCCCATTTACCACAGGTTGATCTTTCGAGTCTCCTGTCTCTCGGAGAGGCTCCGCTTCCGACTCACTACTACAAGTATCTTCGGATTTGATATTTGGTTTTTCGTGAGTGGTAGCGGGCTGCTGCTTCTTCGGTTGCTGTTTCGCGGAATCGGCATCCAGTTCAGATTGTGATTCAGATGATTCGGACCCGGAGTCCGAGTTCAAATCCGACTCCGAGTCCGAGTTGTATACCGAATACGAGTCCGAATCAGTGTCCGAGTCTGAGATGGATTTGATGCTGTTTTTCTTAGATGCGCCATTCGGAGCCAAGCTGACATGCTTCTTCTTCGCCTTCGCTGATGAAAATGCTCGCTGTCCCGAAGAAGATCTTTTATCAATCTTCCCCACAGACTGAGCTGCGGTGGGTGTGGCCTCAGTGCCTTCATCTGGGTCGGCATCCGAGTCGTCATCCGACTTCACAAACTCCGCGCTCTTGAACTGTTTGTCCGACTGACGCGTAGCTGCCCGCAATTTGCTTCGACGAATCGAAAGCCTTGTTTCAATGATGGGATCGTAGAAAGCATCGGGGTTCTTCTTGCAGCGATGGGCCGCTATCTTGCGTCGAATCTTGCGCCACTTGTCTGCACACTGTTGCCGAGAGCGGCAGTTTTTCATCTTGTCGCTAATATGGCCCCAGGCGATCAAGCTTTCATCCATTTCATAGATATCACGGCCAAGATCAAGCTCGTGTTCTGTCCCCTTCAAGCCATCCCACGAAGCCTGCAATAGTTCTAGCAAGGAACGAACCTCCTGCTCAGACCAAGGACCCCGGTTCATTGTCTTGCGATGCTGCAAGCGATTCTTCCACCGCTGCACCACATCGTCATCACTCCGGCCAAGCATCTTGGCGATAAAAGCCCATTTTGGTCCGTGGCGCTCATGGTGTAAGACAAGTTCATCATCTTGTTCCTCAGTCCAGTGATGTGGCTTTTGTGATGAGCCTTGGAAATGCCGCCTCATGAATCGATAGACGGACCTCCTGTCTCGTCCCGGGATAATGCTGTAGATGTCCTTCCAGAACGCAGTTTTTGTGGTAATATTGGAATGACAAGGGAATATACTCAACCTGTCCCTTTCCGAATGCTGGATCATAAGGTCGAATGTACCACTAGACAATCCATGGTTGGTGCAGAAATCCAGCTTGAACTTTTCCAGCTTCTGGACTTCATGGGGCTTGAAGAAGCCAACTTCCTTCTTCTCCCCAGTCAATGAATCCACGCCGTGCTTTCCCTTCCTAAATCCCGGTTGTACCACAGCCTTCTCGTCGGGCCCTTCAGTCCCTGCCGCCGACCCTGGTGTGGAGGTAACGTTCTCTTCTTCTGTCAAAGACGGTGACGCATTCGATCTGACCTCGGGCTCGGGCTCGGGCTCGGCACTAGTTACAGCCTGTGGTTCGGTATGTTGTTGAGCCGGGGCGGCATCTTGGATGGGTGCATCGTTGGTCTTCCCCCTATCCTTAACCGTCGACAAAGCTTTGCGATTGCGATTGCGCGTTGGCTTTTGCTTTGGTTCCGAGACCTTATTGCGCTTTGCCGGACGGCCACTTGACTCGTTGGGAGGCGAAGGAAGCGACCTTTGTGTGTTATCGTTGGCGGAGTCGGACAAAGCTTTCCGTTTCTGCGTTGATGTCGACCCGGCGGGTTTTGCGTCCCGTTTCACTTTTTTGGTGGCTGTCGGGGATTTCGGGGCGGCCGTCCTTTTCTTTTGGCTAGCATTGAATTTGTTGAGTTGCTCATCGTGCCCCACAGCATCGGACTGAGATGAAGCATTGCCCATATTGGGGGAATGGGAGTTGGAAAAAACCTGGCTGCTAAGACAGGAGAGGAAAACAGGCTGAGTCGAGTGGATAGCGGTATGCGGCGAGCAAGCCCGGTTGACGTTGCAATGGCGCAAGTCGTGATTCGGAGGTTCTGTCTTGTGGTGAAAGTTACAGCCTACTCCGTACGGCTTCGTGTAATTGCCGAGTTTTCTTGGCACGTGACTCCGTACATATACCTACATCTGCAGGCTTTACTGGGCTAGTAGGACTCGAATTGAACCATTCGAAGAGAATCGACTCCATCAGCTGGCTTACAATTTGGTCGTTGACTTTGGACATGTCTAAGTATTTAGCTCCCATCATGATACCAGTAACTCCTTCCATGCTAATATAACTAATACGTATAACCTGGCGCTTGTAAACATTCTTCAATACTACTCACAATCATCTCCAGTCTTCAATGGCTGTCCGCCTGTCTCACGCCCACTTGCAACATCTTGAACCCCCATTGCTGCATCTTAAACTGATCGAACATACCACAAGGGTCCAAGAGCACCTTCGGCTCCTGCATCTGATTAGCGATCCCCTGCCACCGGACTTTCTCATGGCCAAACACCTCCCAGTCCGTATGAAGAACGACAGCACTACATCCCATGCATGCTGCCTCCACCGACTCTGCCGCAGTGATTCCCTCGAGAGATGGGTTTCTCAGACGTAGCGTCCTCTCCAGCTGATCGGGGGGGATGAAAGGGTCGTGAACTATCACTTGCACTCCATTGCTGGTCAAGTCTCGAACCAGCCCCAGTGCCACGGAGTGAAGGCTGTTGTCCTCCTTCGGGGTGAAGCCCAGGATCGCAATTTTCGTTTCTGTCAAGTCTCCCGATAGCTGAGCCACAAGCCGTTGAGAAATGCGCCGATTGTGAAAATCGTTCATCCGAATGGTGGCCCTCCAATATTCAGCGACTTGTTGCAGCCCCAGCTCTTGCGCCAGGTAGATCAAACATGATACCTCGGTTTGCAAGTGCAAGCTGCCGAAACCAAAGCCGATACGCTGTGGTACCCCCAGGATCTGGGTGATGTAGTCGATGTTGGCATTGGTAGACTCGCAAATAGTGCTCAGTGAGTGAAGGCTGCTGATCTGCTGTGCAAGAAAGGCGTTTGCAGCTATCTTGCCTAGCTCTGATGACCACGCATCCATGGTGATTATGCGCTCCTCGGGGACCCAGGGGACATACAATTGCTTGAGTGCGGTTATAGCCTCTGGAGACATGTCCTCGGAGAAGATATGTCCGATAATGACTCGGGGAGGGTAAAGGAGGTTATGAAGAGCCGCACCGGGGACCAGGAAGTCCGGATTAGATAACACATCAAACGAGGCTGACGGAGAAGCGTTTTTACGCAGCTATATCTGTTAGAGTTATCCTTTATATCTTGATTTTCTTAATGGGAACCAACAATTTTCTTTATTCGTTGAACGACTCCACATGGGGCTGTGCTCTTTTGGGCGATGATCTTGTGGCCAGTTGATACCTGGGCGATCACCTGAATGGCTGCTTCCAGCTGGGACAGGTCCAGGTGTTCTGCCCCATCATTCTATACAAGTTATCAGGATGTGGTTGTGTTAAATACGGGGAAAAAAATCTTACAGTTATGGTCGAAGGTGTTTCGGCGCAGAGGAATATCAGATCTGCTGCTACCACACCCGCGTGGACGTTTGTTGAGAACGTGAGATTTGCCAATTTTCGTTTCCGAGGCTGAATGCTGTTCAAATCCATCGATTGCTCTGAAGTAGCTGGCGCATCTTGAGCAAACCCAGACGGTTCTTCGAAGAGCATCGCTTCTAGTCCTGGCTCAAACACGGGCAGTCGATCGGAATTCCAAGCCGCAATAAGACTCTCGTCCCCGTCAAGCACACAGAACTGGATATGGGGGTTCTGCGAGGCAAGTACAATCGCCGTTAATGCACCTAGTCACAAAACCAGTCAATCTCACAAGGCCCTCAACAGCTGGTTGCCGCGCTCACCCACATATCCAGCCCCAATGATGCAAGCACTCCGAACAGATTCAATCTTCGTGCTCGCTAGAGGCTGGGCCACCGTCTCCTCCACACTGTCGGAGTATGTGTGACCCTTGACAACGACGAAGGGCTCTGCATTTCCAATGGCCCTATACCGACGCCGGGAGAAAAACAAAGTAAGGCCGGCCAGGACGAAGAGAAGTGGTATGAACGGCATCATGACGGTACACCCACACACGGGACAAACTGGCCACCCTCCCCCTTGAGCACTGGCCGGGACAGCCGTTCACAAGTTTAACGATGGGTGGGGGGTGGAGGGTGTTTGGGCCGGTTATAGTCAAAGGGCGGTCTGGTCGCAACCAGCCACATCATCATGAGCCATCATTGCTCTAACAATCCTCCGATGGACTTGCGCTCTGCGATTGGGCCTGACTTTGATTCATCGACGTGGAAGTGCTCGTGGCACAATCAGAGAACCCACCCTGGGATGATGGACATTTGACTTCGTCGCTTGTGATTGGGACAGCGGAGCCGGAAGATCAGTTACTTAGCACACTAGTCACGTAGTCAGTGAGTACTACCAAACCTCGGGGTGTCCCAGTTATAGGAGCATCCTAATTTAGAAAGCAGCCTCACTTTAGCATCAGAGTGCATTCGGCAGAGGTGTTTGAGGGATGCAGCATGGGGCGCATTTTTGTGTACATAGGAGGAGGAGGAACAGGCGCAGGGCGGTCGGTGCTCGGTACGGAGTAAGTACTTGTAGCTATCTACTAGCTGTATAGGTACATAGTAACTACGGAGTAGTATCCACTAGATACTCAGAGACCATGGAGCCTGGGTACTGTAGTGTGTACCTACCTATATACCTACTCGAGGGGGCGAGGACTCTGGACGTTCAACAGTCACTTAACAGAGTGGGGCTCTTATCTCTTCCACGACTCATCCAGATTTATTTATCTATTCTGCAGTACGTACTCCGTACCTACATCATCATATGATAAGTAGAAATTATTAGCCGCGGAAGCAATCCGGAGTATTATTGACCCGTCTGGCGGGCGGTCGTCTACGCGATCTTACCAGGTTGAAAGTTAACGGACATCACAGGAACCCCCATATGGGCATTGGGCAGGTCATCCGGCTGTTCTCGATCATGAACCCGGTCGATAGCATCCCTTCCTGATGGACCACCCTTTGGATCACTACTTTATGCCGATGTGATCATACATCAATCCATTTCACTTCCCCCATGGCGCGCCTCCGCCCTCTCTCCCTGCTCGTCTCCCTGCTGAGCCTCGCCCTCGTCTACAGCCTCTACCACCAATACTCCCTTCCTCCCTCGTCGCCGCCCCTCCATCCTCTCCCTTCCGACTGTCCCTCCCGCCCAGACCTCAACGACATTCTTGTCATCCTCAAAACAGGCGTCACCGAATCCCGCGCCAAAGTGCCTATCCACCTAACCACCACCCTGCGCTGCATCCCCAACTACGCCATCTTCTCGGATTTTATCGAGCCACTCAGCCCCTCCCTCGCCACCCACGATGTCCTCTCCTCCCTCTCCCCAAACCTCCTCGCCACCAACCCCGATTTTGACCTCTACCGGCGCGTCCGCGACCACGGCCCTGCCGCTCTCACCCCGGCCGACCTCAACCCAGACATCAACACCCCGATCGGCAAGCCCAACAACCCAGGCTGGAAACTGGACAAGTGGAAATTTCTCCCGATGCTCGAACGCGCGCTAGCCGTGAAACCCGACGCGAAATGGTATGTCTTCATGGAGGCAGACACCTATCTCCTATGGGACAATCTGCTACCGTGGCTGCGCCGCTTCGATTCCCGCAAACCGTGGTACTTAGGCAACCAGATGCAGATCGTCGATGCGATATTCGCGCATGGTGGGTCGGGATTCATCCTGTCTCGGCCGGCGATGGTCAAGGCGATGGAGAGGTGGAAACTGAGTGCGGACGCCTGGGAGACTGCGGTCGCGGAACATTGGGCGGGAGACTGTATGCTGGGGCTGTTGTTGGAGGATTCCGGGGTGGAGCTGACTTGGTCCTGGCCCATGGTGCAGATTGCGCCCCCCGGGGAGATGGATTATTTCTCGCGCGGGTATGAGAAGAGGCCGTGGTGTCATCCGGCCGTCTCATTCCATCACATGGATGAGCGGGGGATAGTGGAGTTGGAGAGGTTCGAGAGGGAGGAGGGAGGGAAGGGGAAGATGATACTCTATCGCGATGTGTTTCTCAAGATGGTCCGGCCGTTTGTGCAGGCCGTGCGCCAGGGGTGGGACAATCTGGCGGAGGGGGAGGGGGTGCCGGTCAAGAGTTTCGCAGCTTGTCGCGGGGTGTGCTCACGCGAGGCACTCTGTCTGCAGTATGCGTACAATGAGACTGCCGGGGAATGTCGCACGTCCAAGGTGCTCATGCTGGGCCGGGGTGCCGGGGATGTTGCCTCAGGGTGGATGACGGAGCGCATCGATGCGGTGGCCGACAGTCTGGGCGAGTGTCGGACAATCAGCTGGATTGGTTGATCTCTCCAGGCTCGTGACCGGCATTCATTATAGTATCCGATATAGAGCGATTAAATACTCAAGGAAGGTAGAAGTAAATTGGGTTCGGTTGTCTCTATCTTTGCTCACGTAGTGCCCGCACTATATGGAGTACTTACCTCTACCTTTACTGTATTTACTGCCAGGGCCGAACAAGCGAGCGAAGATCACGTGATTGTAGCGCACACAGCCGCCCCACATCATACCAGTCCAGTCCCTGGCCCTTGTAGGAATGGTATAGCATTTTGTACTCCGTGATTCACAAGAGTAATAGTCCTCTGTACTCCGTACGGAGTAGAAGAAGAAGAAGAAGAGGTGTTCCAAGTCCAGTGACTGAGAACTCGCCCAATAGATACCAGTCCAAAGTCCAGACTACTCTCCCTCCCTCTTTAATAATTCAGATCAAACAGACCAGATGATAACTGGGTAGATAGAGAGATATTATCTACTTACTCCAAAACCGAGGTCTGTCCTGGTGGAGGCGGCCGTATTAGAGTTGGTGGAGGAACCCACCGGGCCCGACTGCCAGGGAGTGAAAATCCTGCACCAGGCTCGGCCTCTGTACGTAATCCGACGGCCGTGATTCGGAGTCGTTTGGGTTTTCTCCAAATAATATCTATAAATGCAACTGGAGCCTGGACGGCGCATGGGATCATGTCTGTGGGCCGGTTGGGATCTGGACGGCATTGGTTGACCTTGGAATCGTCGTCACCCTTACTATCCCCTATCACTTGAATACTTCACCTGGATACCTAGGAGGTAAGTGTCTGTAGTGCTTTCGATCCGCGACCCGCACTTGCTCAGGACCACGACCACAACCACGACTCCGACCCCAAATTATTTTTGGAGGTCGAGTTTGCCGGGACAGGGAGAGTGAGACAGCCTCAGCCCGATTGCGACAGCCTGGGATCACGCCCCGCATCTCGCCTTTCGGCCTCACCCTCACCATCCTCCATCCGACCTCTTCTCTCCTTTCCGTCTCATCAGTGCGCGGTCCTTGGCGCGGAAACAGGAAAGGCACTGTCTACGCCTAGAAACCCCCAAAGATAGTCCCTGTGCTCCACCATGGCGTCTCTAACCGGACAGTCACCCGGACTGGCTGAGCAGCTGCAGCTGCAGCTGCTGGAAGACGCTATTCCAGAGTCTCGGGTCCTCATTATCATGACCGGTGGTACGATCTGTATGCGACCATCGCCATCGGGGTTTGTGCCTGCCAGAGGGTTCCAGGAACAGTGTCTGGCCCGGGTGCCGACTTTCAACAATGGTTCTCCCGCCAGCATGATGGATGTGGTCGTCAACGCAGCCGGCGAGGTCAGGGCTCATCCCAGTCTCCGGACACCCCAGACGGCCTATGGGCGACGGGTGCACTACACGGTCTTCGAGTTCGAAGAGCTCCTGGATAGTAGTTCGATCGATGCCAAGGGTTGGGCGGAAATTGCCCGGGCCGTCGAGCGAAACTACACGCTTTTCGATGGATTCGTCATTCTCCACGGCACAGACAGCCTGGCATATACATGCTCAGCGCTCAGCTTCATGCTGCAAAACCTTGGGAAGCCCGTCATTCTCACGGGATCTCAGGCCCCCATGCTGGAGCTGCAAAACGATGCCACGGACAACCTCCTCGGATCGCTGGTAGTGGCTGGCCACTTCATGATCCCTGAGGTGTGTTTGTACTTCAACAACAGACTGTTCCGTGGCAACCGGTCCATCAAGGTCGCGGCCAGTGATTTCGCCGCCTTTGACTCGCCGAATTGTCCTCCACTGGCTGTGACGACCTCGATGCGCACCAACGTCAACTGGGAACTCGTCAACCGACCGAGGAGCCTCGAGCACTTCCGGATTACCACCAACCTTGACACTACACACGTGGCGTGTCTCCGTATCTTCCCTGGGATCAAGCCAGAGATGGTTGATGCCGTGCTGAAGTTGGACGGACTCCGCGGTCTTGTGCTTGAGACATTTGGCGCCGGAAATGCACCCAGCGGTCAAGACAATGCCATGACCAAGGTGCTGGCAGACGCCATCAAGCGGGGGATTGTTATCGTAAATGTCACGCAATGTGAGTTAGTTCTTCATAGCCATTCCCCATCCGAGGTCTGTTCTGACGCAAACAGGTATGACCGGGAGTGTGAGTCCGGTTTACGCCCCGGGCATGAGTCTGTCACGAGCCGGTGTGGTTGCAGGGCTTGATATGACAACCGAAGCAGCCTTGACGAAGCTGTCCTATCTTCTCGCCCTTCCCGATTCCACCCCAGAATGGGTTGCGAAGAGCATGTCTGTATCTCTGCGAGGGGAGCTGACGGAGGTTTCACAGCCAGCTTTCCGCCACCCGGATGGGGCGCTCCCAGAGCGTGTGCAGTCCCTGACGGTGCTGGGCTACGCCATCGCCCAGGGAGATCTGGAACGCGTGCAGGAGATTGTCACCCAGGAACACTATTGGCTGCTGAATGACGCAGACTACTCTGGCAATACCCCTATTGTAAGGATTCTATCATATCTACGCTTTGCCCCTGAGACAAGCAGCTGACCCTGTAAAACACAGCACCTTGCAGCAACATCTCAATCTATCAACATCCTCCAATATATGCTGCTTCAAGGTGGCTCCGTTCATCTGCGGAACCAGAATGGGCGCACGCCGCTGTTCCTGGCCGCCAACGCCGGGCTATCAGAGCACGTCTTGCTGCTCCGCAAGTCTGGCGCGCATCTGCACTCTGATGAGCGAGCTGCCGCGCAGCTACTTGCCCAGCGCCGCCCAGGCGTTTGGAGGCTGGCAGGTATTGAGCGCGACGAGGGCCCAGAGAATTCTTAAAACCTAGTTTTCACCGCACGGCGCCATTCCTAAGCTATGAAGGCCTCTATCTGCCTAGCTTCAAGGTGATAGTAGCAACTCATTAACCTGACCTATCTGGCCCGTTATGGGGCCATGGCCTGCTGTGGGGGGGGGGCATCTGGACCCCACAGATTAGACTATCCATCTTTATATAAATAAGACGTCACATTTTAAACATTTTGTTTCCTCTCTGATCCTTGAAAAGGGTTTAATCAAACAGCTTCGCTCCGCCTCTAGTCTCTCCCTATTGCTTTTTCCTCTAAAGCTGTACGTTGACTTCATTCCATGTCTTGTTAGCTGACTTCCGTGTAATTTCCATAATTCATTCCCCGATATCCAGTATAAAATCCCAATCTCTTCGTCACGAATCCCCATAGTACCATCTGAGGTCAGCGCCAGTATCGCAGAAATCAGTTATATCCTATTGTAAATGATAGAGGGCCGTCGACGACCCCGAAAGAGCCCCTGAGAGTGCTGCAATTGGGTATAATGCAATAATCCCAATTAACCAATCAATGATAGGGGGTTGCTCACTTCCGCTTCGTTTCTATACAGGTCTGGGCGTTGCAGTTGCAGCTGGTCGCGGGCAACCTAAGATGGATCGTATTTCCGACCGACGCATTCTATGCTGTTTCTCTAAATTAAACGTGTGGCTTATTGGGGGAGTTTTCTGGATAGAAATTCCGGCCCCAGCATCCGTAGTGTCGGTGGGCTTGAATCCCAAGCCGTGTATGCTCTAAGATTCCAACCCCATTCTCATGTTGGGCTTTGTGGGTGGTCGTGTGGTTTCATCGAGGTGGGTTATTTGCGTGGGCGTATATATAAGCCTGGTAATCCGTACGGAGTATATCCTCGCTGAACACCGAAGGCGCGATATCTGTACCAGCAAGCGAGGAATGCAGCGCGTAAATGTGTCGACGGATCGCCATTCTCTGATGAAACAAGGCGTGGCATTCTCAACGATGGTAATCTGACTGCCTGGTGATAGACGGCTTTTTGTGTCTTTCTTTATTCCGTTGAGCTGGAATGGGTGGATATCCTACGCAGCGTAAAAGTAATTCTGGGTCACGGGGAATTCCGCGCCTTACCGGACGCAGACAGTGCGTGCCTCCAGTCAGATGGATGCCGAGAAGGTAATCAGGGTCCGCTCCATTCAGCAGGCCGTGCTCCGATAGGCCAGGGCGTAAATGTGCGGCTTACCTCAGCCACGGTCTCCGCCACGTTCCGATCGGGACAACTTTTGCCGGGTACGCCCCGACCACTCAACGGCCGCCATCGCCTGGGTTTACCCGTGGCCGCCCCGCCGGGGATCAGCCGGTTCGCTGCCGCGTAAATACAACTTGTAAGGTACCAGATCACCTCCTGCGATCTTTCCGCTCGCTCTCGCTCAAAGAGAGCTTGCCCAGGCCTTCCGATCCGCGGTGCAGTGACGATGGCAGCAGGCAGAAGAGATGTCGCCGTTGATGGCTTTAATAAGCTGTTGGTTGCCGGTGGCGGCGGTGGTGGTCATTTAAACCACGGGCTCCTTCTCCTTCCTCTGTCTCCCTACCAACGGCGACAGCAGGCTACAATATATCGATGACGGATGCCTTTGCCCGTACAGACTCCAGATAACGTTGAACGTTTTTGTCGACGGCAGTGCATGGGATTTGCTTCCAACTGAAATATATATACTTCGGTTTGCGCTGAAGTTCCCCGACCCCCCACCTACTATCAAGATGACTACCGTCACTGCCCCTGCGCCCTGGATCACCAGCAGCCAGCAATGCACTCTCGAGACCTGCCCCCTTTCGTTAGCTCACATTGACTACCTCCCCAACCTGGGCGGCAATGCATTCTATATTGCTCTTTTTGGCCTCTTCATCCCTGTACAGGTCTACCTCGGCGTCCGTCATAAGACATGGGGATACCTGATCGGGGCTATCTGCGGCCTTATCCTTGAGGTCCTGGGGTACATCGCCCGAATTTATATGCGCCATAACCCCTTCATTGACCGCTGGTTCATCATGTTCGTTCTTCCACGTGCTCTCTACCCCTCAAATCATCCCGCCCCAACTAACACCGACTCAAAGGTACCTCGTGTGCCTGACCATTGCCCCAGCTTTCCTCAGCGGCGCCATCTACGTCTCTCTTGCCCGGATCGTAGGCGCCTATGGCTCGCAACTCTCGCGCCTTAAGCAACGCAGCTACTCCCTTATCTTCATCAGTTTCGACATCATCTCCCTCCTGCTCCAAGCCGCCGGCGGCGCCATCACTACCTCCAATTCCGCCTCCACAGTCCAATCTGGAATCAATATCATGATCGCCGGTCTCTCGTCCCAAGTCGCCTCCCTAACTCTCTATATTGTCATCTGTCTCGACTTCGCCTTCCGCGTCTACCGCCTCACAGCCAGAAACCCTTCCGCGCTGGCCTTCCGCATGACCCATACCAAGCGCGAATCCGACAGTCCGGACCTCGTCAACGGCGCCACCGCTGCCGGTACGGATCTTATCACCATGAACCCAGAATTTGCGTCACTGAGGTCGAGCCGTCGCTGGAAGGGGTTTCTGTTCTGCCAGGGGCTGGCGGTGGTGTGCATCTACGTTCGGAGTTGCTTTCGGGTGGCCGAGCTGTGTGGCGGGTTCAGCAGTAAGTTGGCGAATGATCAGACGACGTTCATGGTGCTGGAGGGGATGATGATCTCCATCGCGGTGATTGCCATGAGCACGTGGGGACATCCTGGAATTGGGTTCAATGGGAGGTGGGAGTCATTGAATTACCCCATGTTTCAGAAGAAGGGAAGGTCCAATGTATGAGTGTGTATGAGTGGCGAGAATACTCTCATGACAAGGGCAGAGGGATGGATTTTCTTTTGTTTTTCAACGATGCATGCATTGGTTTGGGCTGGGCTTTCTTTCTCTTAGATCTATTGGGCTGGCAATTGGCATGGTGTTCTGTTTTTAATGTTGGGACTGGGGTATTTTTTTGGTTGTATACCAGTTTTGACTAGAAAATGGCATACTCGGTATAGAGCGGAGCTGCCGCGGTTTGGCAAGATTGGCCCTTGACGTAAAACATCAAGTGTAGAAAAGGAAGAGGCGAACACACCCGGAGTGACTACTAAACTGTTAGAGAGAGCAAATTGACCGAACAAGCAGGCAAACTTGCCAGGTGGCCAGAGGCGGAAAGTCATATCGCGGGGATACTCCTGGTTGATGCGCTTTCAGGGAAGCGATTGCACATAGGAGGTCATGTTGCCTAGAGGCAAACATTGGAGAGTGCTGGTAGTACACGCTAGAGGCTGTCATATCCCATAATGATTCTCAGAAAGGAGCGAGAAGGTGCGGGCGCGATGTGGGCGCAACGCGGGGTACATGAGGTAAACAACGTCATATGGAGGGGTCACACCCCTTATCGGCTTAGTATACAAAGCAATTAGTTACCCCGCGTGGCCGGCCGTATTCCGTACTGTTTTCCATGTATTATCCCACGTCTCCACCGTCCCGGAGGTATTTCTCCACCAATAACAACCCATCGGCGGCTGGCTTAGCTTCTCTTATAAGAAGAGCTCGAGTCCACTGACCAAATAGTCGCTGCCTCTCCCCGACCTCCTTCTCTAATCCCATCTAGACATCTATACCCAGCAGCAATCGCAATGGCTCCCCCGGACGTGTTGATGGTCCGAACACCCCTTCCCTTCCCATTCCCATTCCATTTCCGTCCCTTCCCCTCCCTTTTACACACCCCACTAACCATAAACACAGGTAGGAACGGGCGAATACACCACCGGCTATGTCGGCGGTGCCGCCTCAACATCCGACAAGAAAGTCGGCGTGGTCGGCCTGACTCTGTTCGATCTGCGTCGTCGCGGCAAAGTGAACAATCTGAGCATGGTGGGCGTGTCTGGCCACAAGTTCCCGGGCATCCGTAACCATACCCTTTTTATTCCCACTTTAGAAACCTCCCTGACAGCTCTCCAGGCGCACATCTCCAGAAAAACATCTCTGAGGTCTATAATAACCTCGACGTGAACTTCACTTCATTCCCCGCCGACGGCACCTCCGACCCAGAAGCTTATAAAGCCGCTATCGATGCGCTCCCCGCCGGCTCCGCCATTACTATTTTCACCCCGGACCCTACCCATTACCCCATCGCTCTGTACGCCGTGCAGCGCAAGATCCACGTCCTGATCACCAAACCCGCCACCCAGCTCCTCCGCGACCACCTGGACCTCCTCGTCGAATCCCGCAAGCACAACGTTGTCGTCTACATCGAGCACCACAAGCGCTTCGACCCCGCCTACAGCGACGCCCGCGCCAAAGCCGCCAGCCTCGGCGACTTCAACTACTTTTACAGTTACATGAGCCAGCCCAAGAGCCAGCTGGAGACGTTCAAGGCATGGGCCGGCATGGATTCGGATATCTCGTACTATTTGAACAGTCACCATGTCGATGTTTGTGAGAGTATGGTACCGGAGTATGTGCCGGTGAAGGTGACGGCAAGTGCGGCCACAGGCACGGCTGTCGAGCTGGGGTGCGCGAAGCAAACGGAGGATACCATTACGTTGCTGGTGGAGTGGAGGAAGAAGGATGGGTCGAGGATGGCCACGGGAGTTTATACGGCGAGTTGGACGGCCCCGCAGAGGGCGGGAGTACACTCAAACCAGTATTTCCATTGTATGTTGCTCTGCTCTTCCCGCTGGTTGTTGGTGATGTGATGAGGGAGGGGAATGCTGACGTGAACAGATATGGGCTCTAAGGGTGAGATCCGCGTCAACCAGGCAAAACGTGGCTATGATGTTACGGAGGACGAGGCGGGTTTGAACTGGATTAACCCGTATGCTTCCCCCCCTTCCCCCGGCCGGCCCCCCCTGGGATGTATGTTAGACAGGGGTGTTCATGATGGTTCTGACTGGCGGCAGGTTCTATATGAAGTATGCCCCTGACGAGGAAGGCAACTTCGGTGGCCAGACCGGGTATGGGTACATCAGTTTTGAGAAGTTCATTGATGCCGTCACAGCCGTCAATGAGGGACGGTTGACCCTGGACCAGTTGGATCAGCGACCCATCCCGACATTGAAGAATACCTTGGCCACGACCGCGATTCTGCATGCGGGGCGCATCTCGCTGGATGAGAAGCGGTCGGTGGAGATCGTAAGTGCGGAGGGGAAGTGGGAGTTGAAGTAGATTGGTAGATAGAGTGTATGGTAATGTTCTAGAACGGAATAATGGAATGATTCTACGGAGTACCGTATGTATTCTCGGTTTGCCCGCACCGGACCTAGTGAGCTGGCGGAAGCTTAGTCAGGTATGAGTCAGCGCCAACCGCCGAGTTTCGCGAGCCACTGGCTTCACGATCCTTCATCGCCCACCCAAACTTTTCTGCCGATTTCCGGCACCTGGAATCGGTTCTGTCTTCTGCACTCTCCATTTTGCATGTGTTAACGGGGCCCCGCGGTTCACGACCGTCGGATCTTTCTGCTTTATACCGATGGATCTGGAGTTCCAGGGTGTCATGCCACCGAATAATGGGCTGGCCACTCACCCCAATCTGATCACCCCCCCGGCCTCCGCCAGCGACCTTCGGAGCAACCCAAGGCTGCCCCGGCCGACAGTCTTCGACTTTTCGCCCAAGAACCTGGCATCTTGCGACATGGAGAAGATCCCCGCCATCACAGGCAAGCGGCGGGGTGGGTGTAGAAAGGCGTGTAATGAGTGTAAGCAGCAAAAGGTAAGCTAGTCCTAGTCCTAGTCCTAGTCCTGGTCCTGGTCCTGGTCCTGGTCCGGCCAGCCCTGGGTTTCAGAAGAGAGGATCTATGCATAAATGCATACTGGCTTGCCCGTATGCATATTACAATCCCAGTGGCTGAATATAGTCGTCATCTCCATTCCCACAGCTTCGGTGCGACATTGTGCAGACACCCGCCGATGCGTGCTCGCGCTGCCGGCGCCTCCAGATAGAATGCAAAGTCGAGCCCACTTTCAAACGGATCTCCAAACGAAGGTAGTCTTCCCCGTGCACCCCTCTTGCTCAATCTCCCTCCTAGTTCGCTAATGGTTGATGCCTGCAGGCGCAATGCTGAAATGGAACGGGAGATCGCAGACCTGCGTCGGCGGCTTGCCAACGGCGACCCTCAGGCTGTAGAAGCTAATGGCAGCGATGAGCTGTCTCAGTGCTCGGAGGATGTATTCTGTCCTCCTGAAGCGGCGCTGGAAGCCCGAGCCCAACCGCTGTCTGCCCCGTTGGAGCCGCCTCGGCCTATAGCGACTCCATTAGCAATGTATCGAGATGTATCTATTCTTTCCCAGGAGGATCATCCCTGGAGACTGGAAGACATTTCACTGTCGAGGACCAGAGTAAATCGCTTGTTCGACCAGTAACCAACCCTCCCCTCTCTGCCCTTCCCGAGAAAGCCATGACTCTAATTGCTGGCCAGGTTCTTCAAGTACTATCATCCGTTTCTTCCCCTGCTGAACCCGCAAAAGCCCCCGGACGAGTATTTCCGTCGCTGTCCCTTGCAGGCATGGACAATCATCTGTGTCGCTAGCCGACGAGCGCCCTCAGAGCCAGGCCTCCTGAGCGCGCTCTCTGGACCATTCAGCAGGCTGCTCTGGTCCACTATCACCAGTGTGCCACAAGACTATCGTGTGGTCAAGGCTCTTTGCCTTCTGTGCACCTGGCCATTGCCGACGACGAGCCAGAGGACCGACGCCACATTCATGCTCAGTGGGCTGATCATGCAGATTTCCATGCAACTCGGCTTGCATCGTCCTGTCCAGGCGGAAGAATTCACCACCTTCCGCATGGAAGTCCAGGGGGAAGCTGTGAAAGACCGTCTACAGACCTGGGTTATCTGTAATATCGTAGCTCAAAAGTAAGTACCTCCTGTCCTACTTTTTGGTGGAGCTGGCTGACCATGACAGCGTTGCTACCGGTTACGGCCAACCTCCGGGAACGATCTATGACTGGGCGCTCGAGCCAGCATCGCTCCGAGATGCGGATTACCACCCTTCGGAAGACTTGAAGACGCGGCTACGCATCGAAAAGTTCTGTGACCGCGTGACAAAGGCGCTCTACAGCAGCAAGCCTGACCCGGCCGAATTCATCAGCTCGGAGAAGCTACTCATCGTGCAGCTTTTAGAAAATGAGCTGCGCGATATGGAAGTGGAGTTCGGAAGAGATATCTCCAGTCAGTGTGGTCCTGAATTTGCCGATACTACATTTCTTGTTTTTTTTTTTCTAACTGGCCTTGCAGATATCAACATGATTCATTTACGAGCGGCGGAGCTGCATCTCAGATACTTTGTCTTCCTCGGCTCCAACGCACGAAGCGACGACTTAACGAAGCTTTTCATTGCCACCACATCATTCCTCGGTCGGGTACTGGACCTTGAAACCTCTCCCGGGGAGCTCATCGGCCACGCCACCAACTACATTCTCCAGATGATTGTTTCAGCCGCCTTTGCACTCATGAAGCTGCTGAAGAGCGACTTTCGACGCCACATAGACTTTGAGCATGGGAAGTTGCTGTTCAACGGAGCTATTTCGGCCATTAGGAGAATCAGCGTCATGGATCACGACCGCCCTGTGCGCCTGGCGGATATTCTGGCACAGATGTGGAACGCCGGCAGCCCGGAAGGCCCGGCGGGAGAAGATACTCTGCAGCTCAAGGTACGCTGCCGGATGAGCATGAGTCATGTGTATGATACCGTTTGGCGTTGGCGCCAACGGTTCCGTCCGATGAAGAGCGTCGAGGACCAGCAAGGTACGTTGAAAAACAGCAATATGATCATCGCAGAAAGGGAAACAAACGGCTTACTCACATTCCATAGCCGGTCTGGTAAACGCCAATGTCTCTGCAACCGCAGGCCCGATGTCACGACAGCAGCACGACGACTCACTTGCCGCCGACCCGGGTTTGATTTACGCGCCGAACTTTGACCAAAGCGCTTTCATCAGCGAGGCCGGGTTCTCGGAGGTGTTTGATTCTCTGAACTGGGTGTTTGACGGAATCCCCGACTCCTTCGTCGCTCCCCCGGTCATGTAGACGGGCGCGGACGCGAACGCGGACGCGGGCTCTAGTTATCGGTGTCGGCAGATGTGGTTTTTTTCCCCAGAGATCCTTTTCTTTTGGAACTTGGAACTTAACTTGGAACTATACTGGGGACTATGGTTTGGAGGGGAGGGGGTGGGGGCTGAATCTGGATTGCGGCGGATACCCTGTACTACCCACCATGTTCTGTACTACATAAGTTCATGCGCATGATTGTTAAAAATAGATACCACCAGGCAAGTTGCCTCGAGAGAATACTAATCAGTCTTGTGTTCAGTACATAGTAGCTACTTGCCTGAACTATAGCCCTCCGTCGTCCTTCCTACACACATAAGTACCTACACCTACATACATGCTTTCCCGGGGGGGGGGGGGAAAGGCTTTCTAATCGACCTCCATCCAGACCATCACCGAAACGAACATACTCTTTGAATCCTTAGACATCTTGCTTGCTATTACTATGACAGAGCCAACAACCGCCTCTAATTCCAAGCAACCTCACCTCACCTCCTTCTGCATATTGCATATCAATCCATCAATTTGACCAGCACACAACACAAGAAGATTAAGTTTGTTGCCTCCACACATTCTATCCATAACCTACTATAAGTACGGTCCTAACCAACCACCGGAGGCCTGCTTGCCTACCTTCCCCCCTTTAACACTAGCTGCAAGCTACATTGCCATTTTCCAATTCATGCTACTCCGCATCTGTCCATCCATCTAGCCCCTGATATCTGAATGAGAGGGTCGGCTTTGATATTGATATTGATATTGATATTGATATCAATTGAGACAAGAACGGAAATTGGTGGACTGGTTTCTTTAATTTATTGTTATTGTTATTGATATTGTTAACTTTCCTAGCAACATCCTACACAGTCTAGAATATGTAGGAGATATCTCTGATGATCGCGGTCTGTCTGTCTGCGTTAGATCTGCGCGAATGAGTTTCCTGTTTTGGTTGGACTTGGCGGTGCGATGGACGGGACAGGACAGGACAGGACAGGACTGGACGGGAGGGGAGGGGACGGGACGGGGACATGTTTTGTTTTGATTTTTGATTTCTGATTATGTATTGATATGTAATCTGGGTAATGTAACTAACTGGTTGATGTCTGACCGTCTGACTGTCTGACCCTTTGATCCTTTGATCGTCTGGCTGGCTGGCTGACTAGACTACTAACTTGTAGGAGTAAGTAGTTCGTCGTTAGTAGTACTAGTACTAGTACTGACTAGTATGGAGTAAATAGTCACCCAATAACTAACTAATTACCTAGGTACTTACAAGTTAGTACTTAACTACCACTTACCACTTTGCTACTTGCTACTTGCTACTTGCTACTTAACTACTACTTACTACTTACTACTTGATACTCACTACTTATACTATATACTACTTTCTCCGTACTCCTTACCTAGTTACTCCTTGCTACTTAGAGACTCACTAACTACTTGGGTAGGTCCTTGGGTAGGAGGTACTTACATCTTACATCTTACATCTTACATCTTACTTTACTTACCCAACTGAGCCAAGTGCCTACTACCTACTACCTACTACCTACTAGGTTCTACCTACTATACTACCTACTACCTACTACCTACTACCTACTACCTACTACCTACCACCTACTACCGTGTAAGTAAGTAAGGAACATGTCAGCTTACTATACTATCCATAATCCACCCGAGTGCGATCGGCTTACCTACCTACCTACCTACCTACCTACCTACATCCCTACCTCCCTACCTCCCTGCATCCATCTCTACATCCATCTCTACATCCTCTACATCCATCTCTACCTTCCGAGATTTCCTACCTACGTACGTACCTACCCACCTACGTACCTACCCACCTACCCACCTACCCAGCCAGCCAGCCAAAAAAAGAAATACGGAGTACAGAAGGAAAAGAAAGCAAGGTAAAGAAAGAAAAAAAAAAAAAAAGAGGCGGAAGGGGCAACGGAAAGAGGGAAGGGAGGGGAAATAACAAGCATGAATGAAAGATGACTGGCTCACTCATCTGATTTCATCTCATTTCATCTCATCTCATCTCATCTCATCTCATCTCGTATTTAAGACTCAAGTTCAAGGCGCTCAGGCTTGTGCTCATTAGACCATTTCATTAATTGCATCATCTATTCTAAAATACTATTGTTCTGTGTGTTGTGTGTGTGTGTGTGTGTGTGTGTCTGTTTGTCTCAGACAAACAGAAAGACGGAAAGACAGACGCCCAGATCTCACCGCTATCCGCCGGGTACGGTACCGAACGAACGAACAGAGAATCCAGACGGAATCCTCGGATCAGAGAAGAAGAGGGAGGGATGGAGGGAGGGAGTGAAGGAACACAGCCTCGCGGCAGTGCTAAGCTAGCTGGCTGGCTGGCTAGCTAACCAACTAGGACTGAAAGCAATACCCGCGACGAATGGAAAGGTACATGGCGGGTTCCTCACGAACAGATGGCAAGGTCTGGTTCGTCGTCCGGGTACGCGCCAGACTCGTGATGTGGACGCCGGCGCGGTCGTGTGTGAGATCACCGAGGCGTGGGCGCTCCATGGTGATCGGGGCGTTGCGCTGGCCGTCCGTCCGCGACGGTCCGTGGGTGTTGTTGGACAGATCCATGTGCTGGAGACCGGGGAGGTGGAGGGAGGGGTCGAAGTTGAGGAGGACGATAGCCTGGTTATTGGAGCCCTCGAGGCCGTCCTGGTCGACGGAGTAGACGAGGGAGCGCTCGTCGGCGGCGGCGTGCACGGGGCCGCAACGCTTGGAGGGACAGAGCAGCCGGGTCAGCTCCCGGGGGGCGGAGTCCGGGGGCCAGAGACAGACGCCCCGGGAGACGTAGCGCTCGTCGCTGTGCTGGATGGGCTGGCCGTCGGCGGAGCTGAGTTCGGGCCGGAAGAGCCGGCCGGGCTGGCCTTCCTCGCCGTGCTCGTCGATGGGACACTTGCGCTTGCGGGAGACGACGCGCAGGCGCAGGCGGTCGTGGGGGAGGAGACTGGCGGGGGATTCGGGTGCGGGGTCGTTGACGAGGTCGACGAAGGCGGCGGCGGAGGGGTTGTAGGAGCGGAATTTGGTCTTGGCCAGGATGAAGTCGCGGCGCTGGGGGGTTCGGCGCCGTGGGGATATTCCTGGTGGAAGTGGCGGCGGAGGCGTTTGCGCGGGGGCTCGTAGTTGGGCTTGTTGGACGAGTCCAGCGTGCGCGTCAGCGGCTCGTCCGGCAGCGACGACGACGACGATCGCGCAACGGCCGCGACGTCGACGGGCGACGGCAGAGGCTGCATGTAATACGTGCGGGCATGGTCGCTGCCAGCGTTGCGCCATTCGCGCCGGCATTCCAGGATCATCAGCCGTCGCGTGGCCTCGTCCTCGCGCAGGGAAAGATCTGACCAGGTGTCGTTGATCGGGCCCTCGCGGTGCTGACGCCGCCAGGTGCGGTTGGGCACGATCTGGCGCTTGTGCTCCCGGGCCATCGGCGACAGGCAGATCCACACATAGTACGACGTCCAGTCGACCTCCTCCTCCTCGAAGTCCACCAGCGTCGACACCGCGTACAGGTGGTCCTGGTGGATCTCGAAGCAGACCGTCTGCCCGATCTCGCATCCCGCAAAGTTCTCCAGCACCACCGGCTTCTCCATCGTATGCTGGCCCCGCTTCAGGTCCACGCAATGCACCGCCCACTGCTGGTAGCCGTGATCCCCCATTGCCGTGTGCGTGCCGTAGTAGAGATACAGCCCGTTGTGTCGAACGAACATGCGTCGCGTGTGTCGCAGTCGTGTCAGGAGACGCAGCCGGCCGCTCTTCTTCGAGTCCAGCCGGCGACGCATGTCCACGGCCAGCAACCACGCTTCCGGCCGGTCCACAAACTCCACCGTGAAGGCCAGGATCCCGTCGCTGTAGTGCATGAGGCAGATCTGAAGCGTGTCCTCGGCGGGGTTGCACCCCGGGATGGCGCGGGAAAGCACATTCTGGATGTTCAGCACCTGCTCCACCTGGCTGGCCCCATGCACGTCTAGCACGCGGAGTTCTTCGTTGTAGATGTAGCAGAGGCAGCCGCTGCTGTAGAGGAATGAGCTGCCATACGCCAGGACGCAGGCCGAGTACGGCTGTGCCGTGGCAAAGGACTGTTTGATATCAAACAGACGCCCGAGTGCCTTGCGGTACCCGGTCCTGGTCCGGCTTGCCTCTTGGCCCTCCTTGGTGTACCGCAGGTCATTCTAACACGGTCAGTCCACGCTTTGCCACCATAGACGGCTCGTTCGGAGGAGGGAAAGAAAAGGAGGAGGAGGAGGAGCTAGTTACTTCAATTGCTTTGCGCGCGATCGACTCATTCTGCATCAATTGGTGCAAGGTCCGATTGACCCGGCTGAGATGGATCAGATCATGACAGTCGAGCGTGGAGGCCACTTGATAGAACACATCGTAAGGGATGCAGTCCAGATTCCTAGTCATCCCGGAGACGACCATGGCGGGTGACAGGGCTGCACACCATGTATGGATGAGGGAGAGCCTGAGAGGGGGCGCGCGGTCACTGCAACGCTGAGGCTACACCATCCGACGTCGGGGCAGGTGAGAAAGGGAGGAAGGGACGCAGGAGGGTGGAAAAGGGCGCGTCGGGAGGAGTTGTTATGAGCGACACATCCAAGCCCAGCCGTGAATAAGGGTTATATGTATAGGACTGGTGGCAAGACAGACAGGCAGGCAGGCGGATTCGAGGAAGGGCAGGCAGGCAGGGCGCTGTTGTTGCCGTTGCTGGGGAATAATACGATGATGATTGCCAGGACCGAGCAACAAACAACCGCTCCATGCAACAGCCAGGGGACAACACATGGAGCAGCCCGAACGGTGGGCTGTCTCGCAGCAGCAGCAGCAGCAGCCGCCGCTATGATTTAACTTGTACTCATGCTGATGCGGACGGAATGCGGCTCTGCTCTGTGGGCCTGTTCAGATTCGCAAGTCGCAAGCTTGAGCTTTCCCGGGGAGGGGCGAACGGGCGAAGGAATGGGAAAAAAGTGGGAGCCGGGCCACAAGCAGCCTCATTGGCTCTGTATCGGCCTAGTCTAACTTCTGTCTAACCGTCTAGGAGCGAGTGCGACGGAGGGGAGGGAGGAAGTAAGCCGCGTGAAGCAAGAAAGCAGATCCCCGGGGAGGGGCGGTCAAGCGGCCACCCAGCGGGGGTTTCCTAGGGTTGGTTCCCTGCGCTCTCCAGGGGTGGTTGATTGGCAAGGCTGCGTACGAGTAAGCCGTGCAACTATCTACTTACTGCTTCTTCTTCTTCTTCTTCCTCCTCCACCTCCTCCACTGGTCTGCTCTGATTACATAATCGGCCGGGTCTGCACCTAAGAATAGCCCAGCCCAGTGTTCGTTTGTCTGGCGCAGAGTGTGTACGGTGTACGTAGGTAGCAGCCTCGTCGCGTCGGGTCACCGCACCACGTTTGGAGGCTCAACTCGCGACCGATGGATGGAGTCACCAGTCACTATCTAGTGAGTGGCTAATCAATCATCATCCCGGTGGAAATTAACTCTCGACGGAGCCGGGAGTATCTATCTAGTGAAGCCGGAAGGCTGAAGGACTTGGAACTTGCGCAATGCGCAAGGAGGCGGCGGGATCTCACGACTAGTTCGGTTGGGGGCATCCAAACGAAGCGACCCAATCCCTCAGCCTCAAAGGAGGTATCTAGTCTCAAAGCAGTGAACCTTTCGTAGTCGTCAGGACTCTCTCTCGCACCTGCGGAGCCGCGTGCTTCTCTCCCCAATCAATAGTAGTAGTAATCCGGACTCCGTACTCATGATCAATCGCCCGACTCGGCTAATGGCTTCCCACTCGCCGGTGGGTTGATCATCAACACGAAACCTTGAGCTGACTTGCCTAGTCCCGTCCAGGGCAAGCTGAACAAATCCAAATTCGGAGAGGCGAAATCTGCGGCGCGGCGCGGCAAGACGCAGTGGCGTTGATGGCCTCAGGCACCGCGTCGGGAGGCTGAGACCGCCTCCTCAGTGCTGCTACGGAGTACTCCTCCGTACTATCAGGAACTCTAGGTAACTACATATCTACTTGCGGCTTGATCACTCGACCGGTCGTCGGTAAGCCCGGTCGGGTGATCGCATCGCCTCACCGTATCCAGGGAGCCACGCCAGGGTCTCTTGCATGCCCAATAACGACACATTCAATCCACGTTAGAGTGTGACAGCATTGAGACAAGCAAGCCTTGAGGGAAACTTGCTATCGATCAGCCGCCAGCACTGGCAAAGCCCAACTGTCACATGACTGATCACGTGGTCATGGGCAGAAGGTCGACCATCTAGATCCCAGGGAAGAACCTGGCGATAACAGTGTGACTCCCTGCGGTGCATCAACCCCGCTTGCACTGCCTCGAGCACGCGTGACAGACTCGGGCAGCCTGAAACAGGTACCGAGACCCCCCCCCCCCGCGGGAGGCCGCACACAGAGTCCCAAGCGCTGCGTGTTGAAGGCTTTGGAAGCGACCGGGTCAATTAGATTGGTCGCGCTCTGGACCCTGGCGAGAGGAGAAGCCCTCGTCATCAATCAGCGAAGAGACCGTCGGGATCGGATCACTGGTCTGCCAACAGCCTTGCTGATTGCCATAGGTAAGCGTGAGGCTGGACGTACGTAGTGGTCTGTAGGATGCCCCACCCCCTGCCAATAGGGCAATCTAGATGCTCAGATGCTGGTCCAGATCCGCACTCGTAGTGTTTGGATTGCGGGGTGGTGGTGGTGATTGTGATAGATCGATTCATCGGGTCATCATTGGGGGTGATTTCCACCAACAAGGGACACTAAGAATAAGAGGCCACGGTGCTTCGGAGATCCGCTTAGAGAACAACCTTTGCTCAAAGGCCGAACGCGTTCATTCCTACCGGCCAGCCAAGGAAGTCGCAGAACCGGCCGGACCTCGCGGATCTCGCGTCCATCAATGTCCGAGGTGGTGTATCCTGGTGGTTTCAATTGATGACCATCATGGATGATGGTTGCTATCGACGACGCACGCCACGTTGCTGCTGGTCAAAGCGCCAAGGGTTAGGTCATTGTACATTGTACGGAGGGGTAGTTACGAGGGGCCAGGATAGCCGACGGTTGTTTGGAGCAAGCATGCAAGCAAGCGTACGCATACTGAAGTCGACTGGGAGATAAATAATTCCCCCCCCTTCCCGGAGTTGGTTTGGATTGCGATCCCACGGAGCAAACGCACGTGACATCCCATGTTTGCTGTGTTTGCTGTGTTTGCTGTGTTTGCTGGTCTGGTGTCCCTCGGGCCTCTTCTGCCAAGTTCTGGCTGGCTAACGTGAACGGCATGCCTTACGTTGCTAAATTTCCGTCCACCTGCGGCTCTATAATCTGATCGGGTTCTTTGGCCCATGTGACGTCAAGTTTTCACTTCTACATGCTGTGCTAATCAGCAATTGAACACGTTCGGTGGGACACAACATCAATGACGCGCGACAGATCATGTCAACCACCTGTCTCTGCTGCATACTCATGCTGTCCGACCGAAATTCAAATTCAAATGAATGGTCTTAGGTATCCGGAAGATGGATATGGATATGTCCCAGACAAAAACCCGATGCAGGAGTGTGGGTTGTGCAGCGCACAGCTGACTGTATCTGTGGCAAGCAAGGGTCGACCCAGTACATACATACATACATACATACATACATATGTATTAATATTATGTACATGCCAACTCGCTGGATGGCGCTGTATGACAACATGGATAACACGAGCCAGCTAGAAATAACTTCTAGTTAACTGTTGTGTGGAAACCGGAAAGAGGGCGTAAAACGTCAACCGCACCTTTAATGAAGGACCGAGTGGATAATCAACTACTAGTAGTTAGCGGTTTTCCGGCTGACAGGTAAATATCTAGTGGAAGTAGATGAGTGCCTCCCTCCGCCCGCCAGTCCGCCAAGTCCGACGGATCGCATTCTTTCTATTTCTCAGGCGCCCCGGATGAATATTATCGGACCGCCCCAGCTTCGTATAATCGTTTCGCTGAGGGCGGCGTGATTCGCTATTGATCGCCCCCGCCGCCAGTTGGAAAGCCAAGGGCCAGACCTCTGACCTAGATACGGAGTACTCCGTACAGTGCGTACTATTTACTACTATCTGTCTACTTTATGTATCGGGACGGCACCGCCCAGGCTGGTGCCTAAAAGGGCTGCAGCGAAGTTTCCGGAAGGTTGCCCGGGATGGCCAAGCGCAATATCGCTTTTACTCTCTCACCTGGTCTACGTATCTTGTAGGAACAACTTCTGGATTGGAATTTAGAGGATCTCTGTAGAACCGAAACAGACGGGCATTATTTTGTTTACAATCTCTATTCTATGCTGACGGACATGTCTGATAAGGTATTTTTACAATCAATTTGTTTTGATGTAGACAGGTGAGAATATTTCCTCAATGGGAACAGCTAGTCCCGGATCAGACTCAACCCCGGTAGATATCTCGTTACTAGTTATTCCAGCTGGTGAGGCACGACCTAGATAGAGAGTAAGTTCCAAATACCTATTTATCTTTTGAGAGGCCCCACTAGATCGCTCGCTGAGCAGAAGTTATAATTCTAAATCACTGATCCAAGTTCCAACACAACTAACTAAAAGTACATACCCTAGCACACCTGCTCTTCCTCCTTGCCAGGGTAGTACAAACATACTATAGGTACATATACACTTGCACAGACAAATTCCCAGTACAATAAAAACAACCAACCAATCCATCCACGAATCCACCTATTTTCCAGGTACTATATGCACCTTAAACCAACCACGAGCTTTACATATTTATAGCTACACCACACCACACCACATCACACCCCACCACAAACCACCATACTTCCTACCCCTTCACAAGTTCTTCCCCCCCAACACCAACGCCGTAATACAGCTCACATTCCCAGACCACCACAGCAGGGATCTCAAAAAGCTCCACCCCTCCGACTCGATCCCCACATACGCCACCCCGAACGCCACCCTCGACACCGTATACCACAGTCCAATCCCGTTGATCGTCTCGCTCGGTAGGCCCGCAAACAATGATACTAGGACTGCTCACGCCGTAAGAATACGGGGTTGAATTGTTAGCAGATGCGGATGCATGTTGCGTTCACACTTGGTTTGAATCGTGTAGAAATCAAATCCACCCAACTCTTCTTTTTTTGGGGGGAGGAGAAGAGGGGAAGGAAGGAAGTAAGGAAGCAAGAGAAAGGATTACATATGATATGTATACCGGACTAAAGGGGAAAGCAGAGGAGGAGAAGAAAAAGAAGAAGAAGAAGAAGAAGAAGAAGAAGAAGAAGAAGAAGAAGAGCGACGCAGCGAGGGAAAGGAAACATACCCGCAGCCACAAACAACGGAAACCCCTCTATGGTATTCGCATGGGCGGCTTCCTGACGCTTCAAGCGATTCAATTGCGAGCGGGTGATCTTGCCGGCCTGCACGGCGGCCTCGCCGTACTTGGAGAGGTCTTCGCGCGGGGCGACGTTGTGGTCGAGGCCGAAGAGGCGCTTGGCGGGGCGGGTGCTCAGGACGCCGTGCGCGAGGAACCAGTTGCCGATGAGGTAGGCGATGGCGTGGTTGGGGGGTGGGCCGGTGGGGGTTGCGTGGAGACCGAGGAAGTCGAGGAGGAAACTGGGGAGTTTGAGATTGAGATTGGGATTGAATATGGTTTCTGTCTGGGGTTGATTGAGGGGAGGTGGGGTGGGGGAGAAACTTACGACATGATGAATCGGAGACAAGTTCGTTAGCTGTGTTATGAGGTGGTGATGGATTGTGGCTTAATAGGTGAAGAGAGTGAGAGTAAGTGAGTGAGTGAGTGAGAGAGAGATGAAAGAAAGAGAGAGAGTGGAAGAATGGCTGAATATATGGACCATCGCGAAGATCGCCACATGTGCCGATCTTCATCGGCACCAACAAAAGAACGAGACTCAGGGTATCTAGATGACAAGTGGTAATTCCTCAATAATACAAGTTCTAAAGCCTATTAATGATACCCGGCTGGTGATCACATGAAACTTTTACGCCGCGTACATGGTAGTAAAACTCCCCGTGTTCCCTCCCTCCCTCCAACGCCTCGGCTCGAACCCTAAAACATGGTAAGAAAATCCTGGTCCCACATCTCCGGCATCCCGTAGTCAGTCATGTCGAACAGATTACCGAAATCCAGGGACTGTCGCATCGTTAGCACCCATTGGGCCACAGAGGGTAATATCGCATCACATACCGTGTCCAGGCCGAAGGAGGCGGGATCGAATGATATATCGGGAGTAGCCGCGGGGTTCAACGACGGGCTAGCAAAGGAAGGCTATATATACACGACATTAGTATGTGTGAGCATCCCGGAAGGAATGCTATGTACGAACCGTTGATTCGGTCTGGCTTTGATCTCGGACGGCCGCCCAAGATGCCCCCCGCATTATTTGCTCGCATGCCCGCATGCATCGCATGGCTTCCCGCTCAATCACCTTGTGGGGGGTCTCCCCACTGAGTCGCGCCTTGACGGACGCCAGGGCCAGGGAGAGGAAGAAAAAAGCCTTGCTTCCTTTACCACTGGCTCCTATCCGGCTGCCGAAGGTCTCGATCGTCCGTTCCACGGCCCCGATCATCACCTCCTGCTGGGACCGTACCAGGTCGTTCAACGAGGTCAAAGCACTGGACTGGCCCACTGTGGATGGGGTGGCTGTGTTGAACTCGCCCGCCTGTAGGTGCAGTTCAACGCAGACCGTCAAAGCTGCGTGTTGAAACTCGTCGCGAAACATCCCCCCGCTTAACTGTCCTAGATGCGGGCACGCCTGGTCGTTGGCTGGCGGTTCGTGGTGGGAGAGCATCTCCAATGCCGACTCCAGGCAGATCTTGCGCGAGTAGGAAAATTTCGGTGATCGTAAGATGCTCAGGGCGAACGGTCGGTTGAGGACAAGAAGAGACCGACGTAACAGGAACGCGAAAAGAGACTTGGCGAAGGACAGATCTTTGCCCTCAGCATATGGGTGCGCGGACCCAGGTTGATGAAAGGTCCCCAGACCATAGTGCATGGCTTGTACCAGATCTTCGCTAAGCCGGAGAGCTTCGTCGTATGGTAGGGTGAACTTCAGGCTGTTGATCGCTTTAGCGATGTGCAGTCGCAATGGCAATGACTGGTACAGTAAGACCTGGAACGTGCTCTGTGTGAGAGTCCCCGGATCCTTGGGAACAGGATCCTCCACCATGTCTTCGGTTAGTTGGGAGTCGTCGAGGTTAGAAGGCGGTTCGCAATCGTATTCATCCAGATCGATCGTCGGAAGCATGCCCCCGTCCAATGAAGACTGTAGATCTAGTTCTAGAATGGTGGCCCATAGCCGCCGGCGCATCTCCGCCCAGAACCTCGTCATCTTAGGGAAGCGATGGGGGTCACGATGCAGCCCCATGGTCATGGCGGTCCGGATCAGCGAGCCAGAGGAGATCCAGACGATATCGCCATCGACCGCATCTGCCTGTCGGGCAATCATCAAGAGACATTCGATCTGTAGGATGCTGAAATCGATTGTCGAGCTAACCAGCATCGAGGTCACCCATGACCGCACCCCGGCAATCCACTCAGCGGCGGTTTCATACAGCCTGCCCTCGCCGTTTATCTTCGTGGTTGGACTCAGAAAGCAACAGCTGGCAGCCATCAAGGCCAACAGCTTCGCCACAAAGGACGGCTCCCTCGGCCCCGAGCCCGCCCAGAAGGCCTCGTATTGCGACAGAAAGAGGGGGACGTGTAAGATTCGGTGGGTGGTCTCGAATGTGGACAAATACAGATTCACGAGCTCATCGGCGACATTTCGAGGCGGGACCATTTCCTCCAGCGTGGAGCGCTTATCCCGAAAAGCGCGCTGGTGGTCCTGTCTCTCTCGGGACCACATCTCCCCCTTGAAGTCCTTGAACTTTCGGTAATCAGGGTTCTTTTTCAGCGTGCTGCGACGACCTCTCATAAAGGTCCCAACCTCCTCAAACTGCCATGGGTCAGCATAGCAGACTATCGAGCGGCCCAGTGCTGTCCACTTACAAATGAAAGCGACACGGACGAGTGACAGCGCCCAACGAACCGCGTCCGGCTCTTCTTCCCCCGGAAGCAACACCTTTCCGGGAGATCCTTGACGTTGTCAATGAGGTTTTGCGCCTCCGGGCCCGCGCGCTGCCTGGTTTCCGATGAGGGGGCGTCATACCCCAGACTTTCGGGCGTGTGGATCGGCCCCGTCCTGGCCAGCGCATTCTCCAAAAACTGCACGCGACTGCGCAATTCGTGCAACTCGTCCGAGCGCACCTTGGGTTTAGTCACCCGGTTTGCGGCCTGGTGCTTGGAGTCGAAGACATACAGGCCGCTGGCATGCGCGGGGCTGGCCCGACTGCTGGCGACGCGGGCGCGGTCTGGCGGCGTGCTTTCGGCGCGCGACGAACTCGGCGCTTGGGGGCCGACATAGATGCACTGATCCGGCGTCTTTGACTTGGTACACTGCCCGCATGGCAGTGCGCGATCGCATTTCAACTTGCGGCGTCTGCAGATCGTGCAGGACAAAGGCGGTCGGCGTCGCCGCGGCGGGGACTTGGGAGAGGGATGGTCTCCATCCATGATACTGATAGGATTGGCGTCGTGCTGCTTATGATGGAGACACCGAGTTCACCCCAAGATCAAACCGTCAGTCGCCCGATCGTGGAGTGGTGGTGGGGACAGGGGGGGGGGAAACAAGTGCGCTGGAGGTCGGTGGATGACAGAGACCAGCAATGATAATGTTCGCCTTATCAGATCCATCAGCTGACTACCGAGCCTCCTCGTCGTTGCAGCCTGGCTTGGCTCAAGAGGAATCTCCCCTGGACGGTCGCTGTTCGCTCAGTTCGTTAGGAGTTCGTTGGTTAGTTCGCCATACGAGTCATCCGGGCTTACTCGCCGGAGTTGCCGGAAGGGGATGTCCGACTTCCTCGGAGATACGCTTTTGGGCTAGTGCACTGGATACACGGCTCCTGCTCCCCTCCAGCTAAGAAATCGAAAACCTCACAGTAGGGTATGTCTGGCTGATAGACGGATTAACTACTCATATACTATCTACCGTCAAAACGGTCGGAACTGTGAACCTTCGACGATGGAAGGACGGAGTTTTGTCATGGGGTTGTGTCACTCCTATATACATACAACTACAGCCAGCTACATCGTCCCCGTCTCAGATCAACAGCGCATGCCCTCTATAATGTACACACATAAGATCAATACACGTCAACTCGTTAGCATAACCTCCTCGTTACCGATATTGTTCCTGGAACTCCACTTCCTGCCGACGCTTCTTGACGCATTCGATGGTCTTCTCATCGTACACCTCTTCTACCTTCTTTCCGCCGAGAAGGACCTCCTTCTCATGGCGCGTGGCTTCCTCCTTGGTCATGCACACCAGATCTTTCAGCGCGACCGGCACGTAGACCTGTCCCTGTTTCATCCATTCGGGATCGGGTCCGAACCCTCTCTCCGGCCGTTCCCAAGGAACAAGCCCGATGCGACTGGGAAGACCGCTGACCGCACTCTTGCCGCGCCAGATCTCATCAATCAGATATCCGACATCCTCCTTGCTAATAGAAAGGCGAAGGCCAGTGAGGTTGGGTCCAAATTCAGCTCTCGCCAAGCGTTCGTGCGTTCCCTGCAAGGCGGCCAAGACCCCGTCATACAGCTTGTCGCGGCCCTTTCCACCCACACTGTAGTCCATGGGATAACCGGCAATGTCGCAGATGACGTGGTTTGCCAGCGTGTAGCCAAACACCGCGGGCATAGTGCCTAGCACGGGGAGGATGCGCGCCCGAAAGTCCGGCAGGACGCTCAACTCACCCACCTGTCCCTTGGAGAACTCTTCCTCGGCCAGCGGAAGAAGAGTCACCTTCCCGGGTCCGGGCTTCTCCGTCGAGAAGACCACAGGGATGCCGGTGTTCACCCCCAGCATCTTCAGACGTCGACGAGTACTCCGCGACAGCGGATCATCTGTGCTGAGCGAGATATCGCCGACCGTTACGCGTGTAGGATCGGACTTGCACCCCGCCCCCATAGCAGAGATGACAGGGATCGAGTGCGAGTGACAGTAGTGGAGTAGCTCCACTTTGGATGTGATGTTATCGATGCAGTCGAGGACGTAGTCGGGCTTACGGCCTTTGTCGCTGCCGTCCAAAGACCACGGCGCAAGAAGTTTATCAGCGACGGAACCTCCGAAGAGTTCGTTCCGGCAGTCAAACTTGATCCACGGGGTGATCTGCTCGAGTCTCTTGCGGATGCAATGCACCTTGGGCGTTCCCACATCGGCCAGCGTGGCCAGGGCGTGTCGGTTCAGAGACGATAGTGTGACTTGGTCAAAATCGATCAACCGGATCTTGGACACTCCCGAGCGGGCGAGAGACGCCACCGCATGCGACCCGACCCCTCCACATCCAACCACGATTATATACGACGAACGGAGCTTCGCGAGGCCCGCATCGGAGAGGAAGACGCGGTTACGAGCGAGTTGTTCGAGGATGAGCTCTAGTAGCCGGTATAAGTTAGCAGTGGCTTGACTATGGTCATTCCGGAGGGGTGGCTACCATCGTCATAGTCCCCTTCCTGCGCTCTGCGGGCAAGAGCTGCACTGCGTTCATCTTCCTTGCTCAGCTGCGAGGCAGCCGCGACACCGTAGTCCGTGAGCTTTAGTAGTGAATTAGCTGATGGCGCGATTAGGTGTGTTAGGCCGAGTTTGGTACCTTCTCCGCATGATGTTGTTCGTTGATGTCCGGGATGGAGTCTTTGAGCCGCCGAACGGCCTCTTTTCTTCTCAGCGCCTGGTAGCCGAGAATCGCACCCGCAACAGCAGCCCCCGACAGCACAGCTGTAGTTGCTAGCTGTGATTGATGGGAGCTCCCGTGTCGCTGGATCCAGGATGCCATCACTGGTGCCTGTGTGTATATCCTCTCTTCTGTCTATATGCGATGCGAAAATGTCGGGTGGCGAGTCTGATCGGATCACTGCTGGTACTTGAAACAGTTAGAATCACCGTTATGACGCCAATGGGACTGGGAGATGCAGAGCGCCTCTTGGGCAATCCCTTCAGGGTAGGCTCATACCATTGTGCCAGCAGAATCAGCGAAAATAGAAACCGGGATGAAGTGTTGCGCAATCTTTCTGCCCGCCATGAAGCTCGAGTGGGACCGTCAGTCGGAGTCACGTGCGTGCCGCGTCGGCAACAAAAACGCGTCAATTGCTTCGCGTATATTATTGCCATTCATCCACCCTCCACGCTTCTGGGTTTAGTTTGTCATGTGTGCGAGTCACTATCATGCGAGTGGCCCGGAACATGGCAAATATCCTCCTAATCTCAATGACGAAACCACACACATGAGCTTCTCATGACACCTTGCGGATTTTACGATTCAAGACGGTGGACCTCATCCTTCGGTTTCGAATGGAAGAAGACATCGTTCAAGTGTGAATGATTGAGAGTGAACAGAGATCTAAGAGATTAGCAAAAGACAGCCCCTTCTTACTGTTCCCTGGCTCAACTGAAGTCACCAAGATGTGTCCTCTTTATGTCCGAGGATCAGTCTTGGTGGATGAGTTGTTGCCGTTTCCAACCGGGATCTTGCTCGTGATACAACCCTATTTTCGTCTTTCTCTTCTGCTAACATCATTATTATTGCCTCTTTTGTCGATATCTCATTCAATCCCAACCCATCCCCAAGCCAACGCTGATGATGATCATCCAATCTAGCACTTACTCGGAGGCTACCTGCTCCATCTGTTTCGCCTCTAGAAGGTAACGATGTTGAGCATGCCGATGACGAGTGAAGCCTAAACAGTAGTTTTCAATCTGATATGGCAGGCTTATCCATCTTCCCAGTTCCCGTTTTCCTGTTTTCCTGGTCTCCTGGTTTCCTGCTTCGGATACTAATCCCCCATCCTTTCAACAGCATGCCACGGAGCTTACCTATCTATCTGATGATGATGATATCAAGTTCCGAGTCATAACACACCAATGGCTAACGCAGTCCAAAAGCAAGCAGCTCTCTCATGGCACTGACACTCCCCATATCTCTGGTGAAACTACATCTTTATCGTGTGGATAGAGTGGAGTGGAGTATCGGCATGAAACATTCCCCACTGAATATACCCCCACTGGATATAGAGGATGAAGAGCTGTATCTTCTGGATATATCCTTTCGCCTATTTTTCATCTCACAGCCACACAGCCCAGTGACGAGGACATACCAAAAGCCAAATTTGTATGGTATCCGGCCACCACATGTGTGCCTAGTGCGATTCACATCGGCCTGGAAATCAGTGAGAACCTGAGAGCTAATCTGAGGGCTGTCAGTGCTGTGAGATTTGATTTTTCTCTATTATATATGAATTTTCTTCGGTCGATAGCGATATGGAGTATAGACATCACTCAATTCTATAGTAGTACTCTGTACATCTGGAGCTGACTCAGGATCCCAGGAACCTGGTGAGGTAGGATATGACGTCCCTGTGCTGCTGGTGTCACGTGACCGCATCCAGCAGTACATCCGGGCGCAATCTTCCCCTTTGTTGTAAAACGCAATGGCAAACACCTCAAATGTCGCTGCTGCAAGAATTGTGTTCAATGCGAATAGATCAATACTTAGCTTTTAGCCGGACTATTAGACTGCATATAACGATAGTGGTTATGCGCCGCCAGCCCCTAATCTGTGGGCAGGTCGGGGTTCGGGAAATAGGGGGGTCCAATTGACAATCCGACCACGGAGAGCGCAGTCAGCAAGGAATAATAATAACCCACCTTTCGCCTTCACAATCCACAGTCATCTATCTCACTGCATCAAAAGCAAGTCACCCAGCATCAACACGGGGGCTGACATCCGCAACCCGCAAGGAGGCGCCCGAATTGATCGGGTGATCGGCTTAGCTAAGACCGGGCCTGGGCATGACAGTTCCGATGCCGCGACCTCTTATGTGGGTTGTGGAATAATGGTTGGGAGTAAAACTGCTGGGCAGAAAAGCTTGGAGGCAGTGTTCGGCTTTGTAAGTTTTGAAACACGGGAACTGGAAATTTAGTGGTAGAAAATCATCATCAAAACCAGTCCGTTGTCCCGTCAGCATATTTTTTTAATTTTAATTTTTTTTTTATTATTTCCCGTTAGGGGAGGGCCAGCAGCGGCGGTCCCGCGGACTCCCTTGACCCTGGCTACTTTAGTCGACTTGCTCGACCCTTAACGCAGAACCCTTTTTGACCCTTGACCCTTTATCTTGACCCTGATCGAGATTCTCCCATCCTTAAAATTCTTAAATGGCAGGCAGACCTTGGTTCTAAGAATAACCGGCTGATGATTGCACGACCGACCAGGCTGACGTGGACCGGGCCATCCCCACCGCGGCCAGTGGTTGGCGAGTGGGCGAGTGGTCTGGCCGCTAAGGGCGCAGGGAACAACAAAAATAGGCGATGGCTAGCCCGACTGGACTTAGTCGGCTTCAGTGCTCCGTTGCACTAGCCCATCCGCCGACTCCTCCCCCCTCCCCCAGCCCATTTCTGCAGTCCGGATGCTGCTGCCATCCTGACGCTGACGGACTGGACTAATTGTCGTCTGTCCCTCCCTCTCGTTCTCTCTGCTTCTGCTGGTTAATTCTTAACCGTCCTCTCGCTCGTTTTGCCGCCATGCGCCTATTTCGAGATTTTCTCTATGGGGGGTTGTTCCTCAACACCGCTCTTTTCTCCCAACTGGCCCGCGCCATCGATCTGGACATTAACAGTGAGAGTACGCGCTCCCCCCTCCCCTATCTCTCTCTCCCGACCCTTCCCTATCTATCTTTTGCCCTCCATTCTCCCGTTCGCGTCCCCTCGTCTGAAATAGATCTATCATTTTTCGCACGCCTCTATTCCTCCCCCGCCTCTGTTCTATCGCAACGGTGCTTGCAGTCGCTTGCAGTCCCAAGTCTCTGCCTGGTATTAATCAACCGTCATTGTTCTAGGCTCTGTTAAAGATGCCGCTAGCAAGACCGCCTACGGGTCCATGACCTGGTATCATGGCAACGAAACTGGCCAGATCCCCGGCGCGTTTCCAACGAAGTGGTGGGAAGGAAGCGCCCTGTTCATGAGCTTGCTTCTCTACTGGTACTACACCGGGGATTCCACCTACAATGCGGAGGTTCGCCAGGGCATGCAATGGCAGGCAGGGGACTGCGATTACATGCCGGCGAACTACAGTAGTTACTTGGTAAGCCCACCCGAGCGTGTGATGTGAGTATGTGGATGAAGCTTGTCTGACTTCCCGGCGCGCTCTCTAGGGTAACGACGATCAAATGTTCTGGGGTCTTGCCGCCATGACCGCTGCCGAGATCGAATTTGCCGATAGCAGCGACGGATATTCCTGGCTCGCATTGGCCCAGGGCGTCTACAACACGCAGGTCGATCGATGGGATAGCTCCACGTGCGGCGGCGGTCTGCGCTGGCAGATCTGGCCGTACGAAGCTGGTTACGAGATGAAGAACTCGATCTCCAACGGGGGCCTATTCCAACTCGCTGCTCGCCTGGCACGGTATACGAGTAACGACACATACGCTGACTGGGCCGAGAAGATCTGGGATTGGTGTACCTCGACCCCGCTGTTGAACAATGAGACGTGGAACGTCGCCGACTCGACAGATATCAGCAACGGCTGCACCACGCAGGGAGATAACCAATGGTCCTACAACTACGGCACATTTTTGATGGGGGCCGCGTACATGTACAACTACGTAAGGGATTCGAGTCGGTAACGTGTGTGCTGGGCTAACTCCATGGCAAATGCAGACCAAGGAGGCGAAATGGAAAAGTGCGGTCGATGGACTTTTGAACAAGACACTGGATACCTTCTTCCCGACAACATACGGTGGAAACATCATGTCTGAGATTCTCTGCGAGCCGGCTGAGGTGTGTAACGACAACGAGATCCTCTTCAAGGGCCTGGTCACCGGGTGGCTCGGATTCGTCGCTCTGGTCGTTCCAGCGACCTACGATACCATTTTGCCCAAGCTCCAGGGATCCGCGGTGGCAGCCGCTGCCTCTTGCAGTGGAATGACCAACAACACCTGCGGCGTTCGCTGGTACCCGGAGAAATGGGATGGATGGAACGGAATGGAGGAAGAGATTGCCGTCACCAACGTGCTCGCATCTTCCTTGATCAACACCAAGAAAACAGCGCCTGTGACATCCAGTACAGGAGGAAACAGCACCAGTGACCCGAACGCAGGCACGAACGACAACACCGGCTCCAGCACCACGTCCAGCAAGATCACCACGGGCGATAAGGCCGGCGCATCCATCCTGACCATTGCCTTTGTCGGCATGTGGGGGGGCATGATCGCCTGGATGCTTATCGGGGGTTAAATTTTCCGACCAAAATGGACTATCGGAATAGACTGGTTTGATATTATTTCTATGGCTTGGCTTGCGACTCTTTATTTGTATTTACCAATTCTTCCTTGTAAGGATGATTATTGTTTTTTTGGGTGGCTCTGGGAAGGTATATAGTGTGTACAGGTCTGCAGTTTTGTTTTTGTCATGTGCTTTCTCATGCATGTATATACTATAATCGAGATAACCTGGCTTTTTGTCTGGGTCAATGCCAGGATGCACATTGTGTTTATACTTGCTTTCCTTTCCTGGTTCCATCTCAGCGACGAGTAGTCATATCTACCTTGACCTGAGACCAACTTGAGCAGAATCACAGAGTACTTACTGACTCTGAAACGACAAAGCAGATGCATGATGTCTCCTAAGTATCCACCGAAGTTGACACTACAGTCCCCCCCCCCCCGGGGAACAAATCTACAAAAACAAAAAGAAACAAAAAAAAAAAAAAAAAAAACTACAAAAGCAAAACGCTCTCCTCCTCCGTCGGCAACCGGCACGAATCCGCCAACCCCGTCACCTTCCACGTCCCCTCCATCTTATGCAAGATAAACAACTCCACCCCGACATGATGCACCACGCCATCGATATTCGCGCGGAACGGCGCCCACACCGCCGCCAGATTGCCCGGCTCGTACACCTTCACCTCCGCATCCCAGATACATTCGTCCAGGTCCGCCTGGACCCGGGTGATCTGCTCCACGAAGGTGCCGATCGTGCAGAACCGGGGCAGCGTGGATGACGGCGGCCAGAGCGACATGCCCCCGGCCCGGATGCAGTATTTCTCGAATGCCGAGGCGCTTTTGGTGCGGAGCGCGGTGAGGAAGCCGTTGATGACGGTTATTATGGTTGTGGTTTCGGAGGGGGATGGGGTGGTAGTGGTAGTGGTAGTGTTGGATTTTTGGTTGGGGGTGGTGCTGGTATACAGTGCATCTTCTGGGCGTTGGAGGGGTGAATTAGTTGCAATGTACATAATCATACATGATGATAGGCGATGGCTTTCGCTTACTTGTTCTTCACGACCGATCATACCTATAAATGATGATGAATACCTTACCGCCACCATCAGTTGCCCCGAGTAGAGTTGAAGCACTAGGATAAGTACCTACTTTACCTACCATGTACTATACCTAGTAGGAGTATTTCTTTCCGTGCGCACCAGGCTAGTGCTACCAAGCCGGCGTAATATGCAAAAGCCCGGATATCCTCAAAATGTGCAATCCAGACGACGTTGGATAATCTCTATCTTTTCTTGGATCTCTGCAATGAATGAAGAGTAAGCAATGTTGTAGCATCTGTTAAAGAACTAGTGGCCATGCCATTTTCAAGAGGCCAGAGTAAAGGGCCGTGAGGTCGATCGAAATAGTTATTGCAGAGTGTTTAGCTCACAGTTTCTTTAATATATGTACCTAGGTGCAGCAGACAGGCCAAGCCGGTGTGTTACCGAGTGACTGTTGCATTGGTACTAGTACTACCTACTACCTTGGGTACCTATGTATGCTTGTTTCACGACGGTGCTCTTGCTTTCGGCGTCCAAGGGCTACATGATGCCAGTGGCAGCAGTGATTCAAAACTGTAATGAAGGTATTAGTCTGAGCATTACTCGATCATGCTGGAGATTTGATGCGGAATGACTATATGGTAGCTATCAATTCTTAGTCGAGTCTCCTATTCTCACCATCAAAATTAGCGGACTGAGTTGAGATAAGATTCTATGTGTATATTCCACGTAGTACTTACCTAGCTTAATTCTTAGATAAGAGTGACTCCATCCTGTTTATTACAAACCACTCAATCTAGTAATTATAACATAACTCCTTGTGCAATCATCCCACCAGTGAACCAGTGAGTGTCCCTTAGTTTCTGCAAGTACTGCATCGTCCTGCCTTTCCTTATTTAAGCTGATTATACAGATCGCTTTGTATCCATCATGGCCTAAAGAGACTGTTCATTTGTTGATAATTTCTGAGAAACAGACCTCATAGTCAGAGCTGTATACTACATAAGTCTGGATGTGCACCATATTTTTGAGCATATCTTCCATATCATCCCACTCATAGGAAGGCTGGATCCTTTCATCTCCCATCTCCCATCCCCATACTTCCTTTCCAAAAAAAAAAAAAAGCCCCTTCTGCGGCTTGTACGGGGATGCCTCCAATGATACAGGACAACGCAATTATTACACCAGTCCTCGGCTCCAGCAATCTGGCATGGAACCGAGGGTCAAAGCACTGCTGCACTAGGCTAAAACAACAGACGATGATAGAGCATGACAATATTTACCTCGTCAATCCATGGCAGGTAAAAGGATAAAAATCAACCCAATATCTTTTGCAAAGGTTGCACCCATCGCAGAATCATGGTCGTGTCTGAACTTTATCCTCTCCAGCCGTGGAAAGCCCGGGGTGTGACATCACATCCAGAGAATTGAATTCTGACCAGCAATTCCTCATACCACAGGGGAATGCATATTTCGAGGTGGATTCTCGAGCTCGGCATGTTGAGCTGTGAGCAGCAGCAGCAGCAGTATGGAGTAGGACTGTGTATTAATATTCTGTATTATTATTTGAGGGATAAACAGACGGTCACCCGACGCTACTAGTACTGAGTCGGAACCAACGGTATGCGGGAACCGAGTCACGTGATAATAATCATGTGACAGTATGGAACGGCGGGCGGGTGGTTCGGGCGGCGCGAGTAATCAATCGACGTCACGGGTCTGGACGACTGTACTAGGAAAGTGGAAAGTTGCCTTTTGCTTCCCCCGGAGCTCCTTCTCCTCCTCCAATCCCTTTGCTATGCCCGCTTGCCCGTAAAGTTGTCGTCGCCGTCGCTTCGTTGTCGCCAACTCCCTCTTCCCTGCGGAGAGTCCTTTCTTCATCTGTCTACCATGCCTCCTCCATGGTCTTTCCTCCCGCATATCCCGTACCCGCCCTCCAGGGATGGGTATTGGAGCCCCGTCACATCGACATTGAACTGGTGCGAAGAGGTACGCGGCGCTCACTTCCGCTGACCTGTCCCCTATACCGATCCCACTGCCAGGTGCTTACCATGTTGTGAACGAGACAGGACTACTATGCCACAATTTACTCCGCGGAGATCGTCAACACCCTGACAAACCTACTGTTCATGGCCCTCGGCGTCAAGGGCTTTCTCAGCTGCCGACGCAACGGACATGACTCTATCTTCCAGGTCGCATTCTGCGGCTATCTTGTCGTCGGGACAGGGAGCTTCCTCTTCCATTCAACGTTGAAATGCAAGTGATCATCTATATATTCCGGGGTGGGGATGGTGTGGGGATTGGTGTGGGAGAGATCCGCTTCTACCTACAGGTTACTAACCGGTTCCTGTCTCTTCGCAGATCCCATGCAACTGGTCGACGAGCTTTCCATGATCTACACTACATGCTTGATGTGCTATGCGTCCTTCTCATACTCCAAACCTACTGGCTTTCGCATCTTCCTGGCCATTTTCCTGACCAGCTTGGCGGTCTTCATCACCCTCTACTACCACTATCTCCAGGACCCGCTATTCCACCAGAATGCATACGGCATTCTCACGGCCGTGGTGATCATACGCAGTATATATACCATGGAGGTGACGCTCCGCCCTCGGTGGCGCCACTCAACGGAGAAAGACCGGCTGGCTCGGGTAAAGCAGGGCCTGCCCGTCCCGTCCAAGGAGCGGCAGCACTATGAGAATGTGCGGGACTCCAAGACCCTCAAGACCATGTGGTTTATGGTCGTATTTGGCTTGAGCGTGTTTCTGGGCGGCTTTGCGATCTGGGGCTTGGACAACGTCTTCTGTTCCAAGATCCGCGGATGGCGCCAGAAAGTGGGTCTACCCTGGGGTATCCTCCTCGAAGGCCATGGCTGGTGGTAAGTGTGTTCTCTTCAGCAATGCATCCATCCATCTCATGTCCAGTGTGCTAATGACAATAAAACGATGTTAGGCACGTTATGACCGGATTTGGCGCATATCTTTACATTGTCTGGGGCATCTGGCTCCGCCACTGCTTGAACCAGCGCCAGGAGGAATTCTACCTCTGGTGGCCTCACTTTTGGAACATCCCCGAAATTCTCCGCGCGAACGACATACACAAGAGTGAGAATGGCGGAACGAAGAAGTTAAATTAGGCTCCTTTTTCCTATACCTCGTTGTTTTGTCCACTTTATCATTTAGACCGGATTTTCTGTGAAAGAACGTCGAAGACCGGAGCTTCGAACCATGCCATGTCTCTCCCGGGATGATTTTGTTGCACGTGCGTTTTCCATTCCATAACCCCCAATTGATGATAAACTTGCATATAGAGGCCGGTTTCTGAGCTCCGAGGGAAATTTGGATTTCTGACTACTACGTACTGTTAGAGAGAATTGAGAGCGGAAATAGCCAATGTAGATTTCTGTACGGAGTACTTACTGTAGGCATACGTATCATCGGACACAGTATACGCCTATCTACATAGGTAGTAATGACTAACATTATACACAGCTGCCCAGGTGCCAAACCCTGACAGTCTATTCTATTCCTAACTGTGATCCAAAGCCAGAGCAGAAACCTTTATAACTTCGAATTCGAAGGCTTCTTAGACCGCTGCGGAACGGGAACATGCGCCTTCCACCTCGCGTCAATAGTGACCTTTTCCAGCTTCGACTTCCGATCCCACTGGTCCCTGAACGCCTGCTCCTCGGACCGCCATCGCTCAAGCTCCGCTCCCAGCCAGTCGCTCGCCGCGGCCGCACACTGCGCCGGAGCCTCCTGGGCAACCAGATGCCCGAATTCAGCCAGATAGACGTCGCGCACCCGACCGGCAGGGGCCCCGCCGCTGCCTCCCAACCCGGTCCCCGTCGCGGCTAGCTTATCGGCCATCATGTCGGGGAGACACATATCCGATTTCCCGGCGAAGATGTAGCAGACACTTGGACGGAGATGCGGGAGCCGGGCGAAGATCAGTGATGGCTCGGGACGGTAGAAGGGCCAGGAACCGAGGTGCGAGGCGTTGAGGTCTGGGTGGGTGGTTTTGTTTCGGGGGGTTTGGTTCCCGGCGTAGTTCGGGCGTGAGAAGGTGAAGACTTCTTGGTGGAGGGTTGTTCGGAGGGTCACGGGACGGGAGTCGCTTTCTTCACTGTGAGTGTTACTGTGAGTGTTACTACTGCCGCTGGCACTGCTACCAGTCCCGGATTCAGGGAGGCCATGGATGGCGGTGGGAAGTTCGCGGAGACCGTATCTAATCCAGCGGTCGAGGACGCGCGGATCCCAGGCTTGGTAGAAGGGGTTTCGACCGAAGGATTCGGCGGCCGCGGTTCGCGAGGGCCATGTGTCTCGTCGGTAGGTGGATAATTGGGTGGTCTTGGCGATTTCCGGTCGTTGGTGAAGGGCCATCTGCAAGGTATCCAGTTGGGTGGATTCGCGCTGGATGACAGGGTCGAGGAGGACGAGGGTGTGGATGAGACGTGGGTGCATGAGGCAGACTTGCGCGCTGGGAGGATGGGTTAGTTGGGTGGTTCCTGGGGGGGGGATGTTGCTGAAGAGGGAAGAGGGAAGAGGGAAGAGGGTTTGAAGGGTAGGTACTCACAGATGCGCACCGCCCATGCTATGCCCGATTCCAACAATCGGACGAGGCATCTCTTTGCGTTTTACATTGATGAGGTGGAGGAGGTCTCTGGGGTGGTCGAACCAACTGGCTGTGTTTGGGTGTCTTGTCAGTATATTGTATATAACATATCGCATATTGGTATTGTGATCGTTCGGGTAGTAAAGGCATCACGGCAGGAATGAGGTAATTCATACGGTCGTTTCCCAGAAAATCCTCGTTTACTACACTGCTCTCGCCCTGGTGGGCCACGTCCGCCATCCAGATACTTCTGATCCGGAAGCCATTGGCCTTGGAGCGTGCGTATAGCTCTTCCCATAAGGGTTCGTAGAGTTCCTGGAATATATACAGATGTCTTAGTGCATGTATTGGAAGCGGTTGTTGCATTTCGCGCGTGATGTTATAAGATTGCAGATTGCAGATTGCAGATATCTGACGGACTGGGTTTTATCATCAATATCACCGTACCTTGGGAAACCCATTCGCATGCGCCGCGAGTATGGTGACATCGCCCGGTCGAGGCGAGGGGTTATCGACGGGGATGTATTGCTTCACGACCAGGTTCAGTACGTCTTCTTGCGAGCTGGCCGTGGCGGCCGGATATTCCCTGATATGCTGGCATTCGACGATATGCTCCACGACGCGGAAGGGGCCAGAACGGGTGGGTGGTGACGACATTGTGTTTTTGTGGTTTGGGCTTTATGTTTTATCTTGTCTATGGGGCATTGGGGCCTGTGGGTGTTGTTGTCGTTGGATGGGGGGTTGTAGAGGATATCTCATATCTAATAGGGTTCGACCGTTCGAGAGCCGAGGCTGTTTGCAGGTGGTCCGGACCGTGGAATCGCTCGGTCGGCGGCCCGGCAGCTGGTCGGGTAGTTGGTGGTTGGCACTGGTCATGTGAGATCATCTGACTTTGGGGGGCACATTCCTAGTATCCATCCCTTCCCTCTCTTTCTTCTTCCTATGGACGAAGCCTTGTATGAAGTAGCCAACATGCCTTTCTTTCATCTCCTGCTAGACTTCCACATCACCAAATACGATGAATATTCCCGAGACAGAAAGAATGCCAAATCCCAGTTACCCAAGAGCTCACCAACGCTTCCCTTTTGCCCTTCTCCCTCCCCATGCATAAAAATAGCCCACGTCTGACACTGACACTGACACTGACACTGACACCCGCCAAACCAATCACGACACCATTCTAGCCCACCCCCTCCCTCATCTTCAGTCCCTTCCACTCACTACTCCGTAACCCCTCACAGTCAGCCCTATGTGTATCCCAACCCCAACGCGCTGCGCGACTTTCCCCCGATCCGCAACCCGCAATCTGCAATCCGCAGCGCTAAGCCCGTCCCCCTGATTGGCCCTCCCCCACCCAACAGCAGGCCAGCGCAAGTGAATCACACACAACCAAGCTTTTGCCAGTGGGGGTGACTGGTTCCCGCGATGTGTGACAAGCACGGGCTGAGGTGATCTCGCCTGCATATCAACCGCTGCTCGTCGAATCAGCATCGGGGATGTAGCGCTCTCCAGCACCTCCAGCACCTCCAGCACCTGCTAGCTATTCATCTTGTCGTTCAGCAGTGGGTTGAATGGCTGGCTGGCTGGCTGGATGGATGGAGGGAGGGAGGGAGCGGGATGGATGGTCCTCTTGCATTGCATGGCATGGCAGGCCTTGTTGCTTTTCAAACGCTACTGCCTGGGTGGTAAGTGTCCAGGTGGTGGTGGTGGTATTGTGTAGGGCTGGCTGGCTGGCTGGCGCTTGTCTTTCTTTCTTTCTCTCTTTCTCCTTTTTCGTTTTTCTTTTTTTGGTTTGTTGGGGATGTATAAAGGGCTTTGTCTCTCGTCTCTCTTCTCTCGTGACTTTTGATGTGTGTTTTTTTTTTTTTTGCTGCTGCTGCTGGTTCTGTGATCTAGCTATTTATTGCTTATTACTTGTTCGGTTGTCTACCTATCTATCTACTTACCTTACTTGACTACTACCTACGATTTGAAGCTGCTTGCTCGCTCAAGGACTCCTACTCTACTCCTACATCTAGTTATTCTACTCTACTCTACTTACTCTCCTCTCCTCCCCTCCCACCAATTCTCCCCCAAAACCAACTCCACACAATCCTCACCAACCAACCAACCAAACCACAAACACAAACACAAACACAAACACACATTCCTCCACCCCACCCACCAAAATGAGCATCGGCAAAATCATCGCCAAAATAATCATCATCCCGATCCTGATCATCGTCTTCATCTGCTACGGCATCTACCTCCTCCTCAAGCACCGCCGGGAACGCTCGCGGGAGCGCCGCGAAGACAAGGTCCGATCCGAGTACTACCGCGGGCTGCCGCAGTTCCAGGTCCCGCCGGAACATCAGCACCAGTACCAGAACCAGAATCAGAATCAGAATCAGATTCCCCACCCGGGGGCGGCGGTGCAGTGGGGTTCACATAAACAAATGCAAGCGCAGGCGCACTATTACCCCGGCGCTGGCGATGAGTCGATGATGAAGAAGCCCGAGCCGGTGGTTTATCCTGTTCAGGCGCAGGGGGCAGCGGTTGGGTATGGGATTGGGTATGGGCATGGGCTGGTGCCGCAGACGCAGGTGGTTGCTGCGAGTGGGGGTGGTGGAGGGGTGGTTTGATCATGATGGTTTGTGTTTATTACGGAGTGAGTGAGTAGGTGGGATTGATCGATTTCGATTTCTGCTGTGCTGGTTGGGTGGTGGGGGTTGAGAGGCGGGGTTATTATATTTCGTTGAATTTCGTCTCATCTTACCTCATCTGATCCTGTTATATGTCTTTTCATTTCTTGGGGGTTTGTATTTCTTCTACGGGAGCACCTTTTCTTTTCTTTTCTTTTTTTTTCTATTTGTTTTCATGCCGCAAGGTTGGTTGGTTGGTGTTGGATGGCTGTTTTCAAAGCTGGATTGAAAATTCTCTTACTATGTTATGGATGGTTTCTTTGTATGATGATTCATGAGGCTATGACCGGATTTGAATGGACGGGATTGAATTGGATAGGTCGGGCGTCCCCCCCCCTTCTCTCTTCTACTAGATAATTGCGATTTGTGACTATTGCAATCAATGTACCTGGTAAGGATGCCGGAGTGTGGGCGAGGTGATCAAATATGTATATGTAGTTATCCCGAGGGGCCCTGTTGATTCAGGGGTTTCGTACTTTATTTGTTCGTCAGAGGAATGGTCCCGTGGAGTGTCGGCGACAGGGTTAGTTAGTCAGGAGATAGAAGAGCCCAAGCAATAAGATCCATCCACAATGCACATTCGTCAAGCAAGTAAGTACAAAAAAATCATCAATCATAAGCGAACTTGATGTGGATGGAAGTCTGGTCCTGCGCAGCCGGCGCGTAGTCCACATAGTGCAAGGCGTTATCCTCAAACGGGCCATAGAAGCGCGAGCGATCATACGGGGCAAACGGGATACCACTTCGCAGCCTCTCCACCAAGTCCGGGTTGCTCGTGAAGTAGCGGCCGTAAATAAGGGCGTCGTAGCGGCCCTCCTCCACCACGCCCCATGAGTTGGTCTGGTCCCAGCCGCCGGCCGAGAAAAAGGGCGTGGACCCGAAGATCGTACGGAACGCGGAGAGGTCGACGTTCAGAAGTCCCCAGCTCTGGAGAAACTGGTCTTTTTCCTCGTAGTTGAAGATTTGCTCGTAGCGCTGTGGATGGTCAGTGCTAGTACAGTACGTTGCTCGGGATGGAATGGGATGGAATGGGATGGGATGGAATGGGATAGTCGTGCAGAGTGCAGTGCTTGGTACTTACGGGTTCAACAAAGCTGACGTAGGAAAGACCGGGATGGGTTTCCTTCAGTGATTTGCACAGATAAGTCCAGGTCTCCATGCGCTGCTCACCACGCGCCTGGTTGTATAACCCGAACGGGGTGAGTCGGATCGCCAGATTTTCCTCGCCCACCGTCTTGGCCACTTCGTCCACCAGCTCGAGCACAAACCGGCACCGTTTCTCGGGAGTGCCGCCGTAGTCGTCCGTCCGCTTGTTTATGTTCGAACTCAGGAACTGCTCGAGCAGGTAGCCGTTGCCGCCATGCAGCTCGACGCCATCGAACCCGATCTCGATGGCGGTCTTGGCGGCGTCGCAGTAGTCTTGGATGGTTTGCTGGATGTGCGCGACGGTCAACTCGATCGGAGGATGGTCTGCGTAGAGAGGGGGCTGCGTTGACCCCACCGGGGGATGGGTGTAGCGTTCTGTCGGGTCGTCCCAGGCACTGGCGGAAGCGGACACGGGAGGCGATCCGGTCATCTGCGGGATGGTCGCACGGCCAGCGTGCCAAAGTTGACAGTAGATGTAACCTCCCTGGGCGTGCACCGTATCCACTACCCGTTTCCATCCAGCAGCCTGCTCCTTGGTGAAGAGGCCGGGGACGCCTGGCATTCCATTGCTCTGTGGTTGGTGTTAAGCGAAGGAATGTCAATCAGGGCTTCCGGGGGGGAGGAGGGGGGGGGGATATTTACCTCCAGCGATGGAGGGACACCCTCCGAGATAATTAACCCGCCCGGGGTTGCGCGTTGACGATAATATTCGACCATCAAGTCCCCAGGATACCAGATCCTATTGGGATTTTCAGGGGCGTTGGCTAGGTTCAACGGTACCCCTCGGTTGCGAGTGAGAGGGGCGTGCACCACCCGGTGGCTGAGGGTAATTTTGCCATTGGCAATCTTAAGAGGCTGGAAAAGCTTCGAGCTGGGTCCTTGGGCCTGTCCCACCGTCATTGTATTCGATGATGGCTGGAAACCTGGAGAGGCCGTGAAGGAGGCAGAAAGCCAGGACAGCAGAGAGCAACAAGTACCAACTCCTGGTTTCAATTGGGGGTCACGGACCCTATACCGCGACCGAGAGCGTAGCATTAGGACTTCGTGCCGAGGATCTCTCCTCACGATCGTCCGCCCCATTGTGTGCTCTTTTGTGTGGACGCTGGACTGAAACGGGAACCCGCGGGTCCATCGATACTCGTCTGCGCGGCTTGGCCGACCCACTGTTGCCCACGAACGGCGAAGAAGAGCAAAGTTCGCTAGCAGGCAGTACTAGTGGACAGAGTAGATAGTAGTTAATGGGTTGCTGGCTTGATAGATATCTAGATAGTCAACAATAATGGCAAGTGTGTCAAGAGGAGAAGAGAAGATGAAAGAGGTTCGCATCTTTAGAAGTAGTGGCAGAGCAGCTGCAGGCAATCTGGGTACCAGCTATGCAGGGACATCGAACTGCCGAGACCTATAGTATATCTACATAGTAGAACCCGAGCCATCAGGCCAAGTGAGTACATCATATTAAAACTGCAGACGCAAGTCCACTACCATTGGGCCATGGAATGCAAGGAACTCCAATAACAATTGAAAGCCACGGTGCAACCTCGGGCGGGAGTCCCTTGGTTCCGGCCGGACGGTATTACGCTTTTTTCCGAGTTTACAGTACCGGTACGGAAACAGTCTCGAATGATACGACGGATACGGAGTACCGACCGCATGCCTCTGCCCCTCGAGGCCTCGAGGCTCGGGGACAGTTCAATAGCCGAGCGCGGGGTAATCGGCCTTTGACCGCCCCATCGGCAACGTAAATATCCCAAAGGGGAAGTAGCCTCATACCCCGCCGAGGGGTACGGAGTAGACTACAGACCAGTTATAACTACCAGCACCTCACCCCGTGATGCCATTACAGCAACCGATGAATCTACCCTTGTTAGAATCCTTCCTCCAGTGACCTACATCCCATACATACAAGAACCAACCAACCAACCACAATGGCAGCATCCCTCGCCTCGCTATTCTCCCTCAGCGGCAACACCGCCATCGTGACCGGCGGCACGCGGGGAATTGGACAGGCAATGGCCTTGGCTCTTGCGGAGGCGGGCGCCGATATCATACTGATTCAGGTACGCGAGGCCCCAAGCTGCAATCGGTGATTCTAGATACACATACATCCATCGCATGGGAATGAACGGATATGCAATGCGCTGCGATGCGACATAAACAACCTGAGCTGACCCGTTCTTGTCATGAACACCCAACAACAGCGCGAGGAATCTAACACCTCAACACGGGACACGATCATCAGCAGCACAGGCCAGAAAGCCTGGATCCACGTGGCCGAGCTCTCGAACCGCGACTCCATCAAGGGCATCATCCCCGCAGTGACCAGCCAAGGCCTGAAGCCATCAATCCTGCTCAACTGCGCGGGGATCCAGCGGAGACATCCGAGCGAGAAATTCCCAGACGAAGACTGGGACGAGGTGCGTATCTTATCCTGCCTCGCCTCGATTCTCCACACCTCTTACTGGAGTATATTTCCGCCACAAACGCAATGTATCAAACATACTAAACGTACCCCGTGCATCCACACCAGGTCCTCCAAATCAACCTCACCTCCGTCTTCACCCTCTGCCGCGAATTCGGCGCGTACCTGCTCTCACGCCCGGAATCAGAATTCCCCTCCTCCTCCCCCACGGGTGGTGGTGGTGGTGGTGGTGGTGTTCGACGCGGCTCCATCATCAACGTCGCTTCGCTGCTGACCTTCCAGGGTGGAATCACGGTGCCCGCGTACGCGGCGTCCAAGGGCGGGGTGGCGCAGCTCACCAAGGCGCTTTCCAACGAGTGGGCTGCCAAGGGCATCAATGTCAACGCCATCGCCCCCGGGTACATCGCCACCGATATGAACACCGCGTTGATCAACGATGCGGATCGCAATGCGGGAATCATGGCCAGGATCCCCGCCGGCAGGTGGGGGAAGCCGGAGGATTTCAAGGGCGTGGTGGTGTTTTTGGCCGGTCCCGCTAGTGGGTATGTTTCTGGGGAGGTGCTTTGTGTGGATGGGGGGTGGATGGGGAGGTGATTTTTTGCGTTTGGATTTGAGGGGGAAAGGGGGAGGTTCTTGGTCTTGGTGTATATAGATTTTCTCTACTAGCTTTCTCTAGCATTGATTGTGTTTTGTATGCTTTAATGGTTGTGAGTGTGAATGTGAGTGTAAAGGTTCGGATTCTGGGGTTTGGATTTCTGGGATTCAAGTCATGGGTGGATGGGAGTAAGTGTGTAAGTACTGGTGTAAGTGTAAGTGTAGTCGTCGTCTGATATCTGCTTCGTGTGACTGTGGTGGTTGTTTTCTAGGTCGTTATCTTCTCTTTATAATGATAACATCGGGGCACTTTGGGGGGAGGGGGGAGTAGGATAGGTCTGATTTGTCTTGTTTTACATAGGGTTCGTCATAGGAGGCGTTCTGGTGTGCAAGGGGTTGGATAATGAGGTAGATTAAAGTCGACAAGTGCAAGTAAGTAGTATACTCCATTCCATGCAAGGCCCGCCGGGCCAGGGCAAAGGAACACCAATTGGATCGAATTCAAGCTATGACTGCAAGACAAACAAACCATAATCCAAAATGTAACATGCATATAAAGAATGTGCAAATCGCTGGTAAACGCAGGGACATCCTCAAACCACTCTCTACCCTCCACCCTCTACCTCCCATGTTTGACTACCAGAGCTAGTCAGTCATAACAACATCCTCAGACGAGCTCGCCACAACCCACGGGAGCTCGATCTCGCCCGGGATGTTAAAGACGGGGTACCCCCTCGCCTGGTCACGGGTATATCTCAGGCCATTGAAGGTCAGAATCTCAATGAACTCCAGGATGCCACGACAGCGATCCCGCAGCGACCCATCCGGCATCCGGTGGTGGATCTCACTCAAGACGTCGCGAATATGCCGATAATAGCCCTGGAAGTTCATGTTGCGGCCGTTGATGCCATCGACATTGTCGACCGTCTCCTCCAGCCTCCGCACCAGGTAGATGGGGAGGCAACGCGGCTTGTTCTCGGCCAGACTCTGCAGGAAGGCCTTCACGGTGGCGTCGGCTTTCTCGAGGTCGTACCGCTGGCGCGCCACGTGGTGGATCAGCATCGCGTACGTGCTGGGGCTGAGCGTCTTCTCCGCGTTGTGGAACTCGCGATGCGCCCAGAAATGCGCCTTGCCCATCAGATGCAGGAACGATTCGCGGTACAGGTCGCTGCACCGGATGTCTTCGGAGAGTTTGAGCGTCGTGAGAAGTCCGTCCACGCTGTCCGCTAACCCCCGCAGTACGTGCTTGTTCGTTATTGTCCACGGCAGGATCAGCTTGTTCATGTATTCTCGTACCCGGGACACGGCCTGGAACCGGATCCCTAGTGCGATCATCCGTCGCCAGCCGCGGAAGTCGTGGCATGGGACCGTTCGGAGGTAGAGCGCCTGGAGCAGGCAGAAGAATGACTCGATCGCGATCGGGATGCGGATTTCCTGTAGGGGCGGGTATTCGACGCAGTAGCACTGCGTCGTTGCTGGTGGTTAGCCGGGAGGCTCTGGTTTGCTCATTCATTCCCTCCTTGCTTCCTGCGTGATATGATCGGGGATGAGCTGGACATACTGCTCCCCTGCGATAGATGCCCCACCCGCCGTCTTTCTCGGTCCTGGCTTCAAAATAATGCCCGTGACGTGCCGTGTACTCTCCGTGCTGGCGCTCCTTCCAGATATTCGTGTGCGCCTTCAGCAGGCGGGAGTGCGTGTGGAAGACCTGGCCGAACACATCAATGATGGTGTCTGTGAGTTCCTCGGTCTCGTTCGCTCCGCAGAGTATGGGCACGTGGATGTTCTGCTCGCGCATGGCCTTGAACGGGCTGTCCTTGAAGGATTCGATCAGATCCGGGACCACACTGTCGGCCAGGGCAGGGCCCATGCGTGGGAATTTCTGGAAGGCATGCTCGGGGATGGACGGCCGAGGAGGCGGCGTGTCGACCTCCGGCACCTCCGGCACCGTGGGCATACCCAGTATATCAACGATATCCATCGAAAGGTGCGCTGGATCTGTTCGGACGGTTGACGCTCAAGGGGCTGCATCCGGGCGGGCTGGGCGATTGAGGGGTTGAAGAGGCTGGGGAGGATGGCGAGTCTGTTCCATGGTGTACAGAAAGCCAAAAGCCAGTCAATATGAACTTTATCAATGGAGAAGGAAGGGTATCGGGCAGAGTTGATGCAGAAACTGACATCGTTGGCGTTGTGGCGAACCATGGCATGGTTGACTGACTAGGCACCGTGCAATGGACCAGACAAGATTCGATGTAAACGATAGAACACAATGGCATTGTATGAGATTTATCAACCCGAGGGAAGACACAGGCGAGGCTGTGACACCGAGTGCTTGTGATGTTATCGCGTGATTGCACATGATCCTACCACGTGCCGGACTCCTGGGCACATGCCTGCGTGGCTTTGCTGGCAGTCTGGGTGTGGGTAGAAGGAACGAGATACAACTCTTTTGCGGCTAGATCTGACTTCTTGCTAGATACTTCGTATAATTGCAGTGGAGAGACGAGAAAAATCGCGCACCGTCAGCGCTTGTACAACCTTCTGCTTACCCCCCTAGAATTGATAAATATTGTAAGATGAGATCGAGTTTTATCGCAGCTTCTCGGATTCATCAGAAAACTGCTCGGTAGAATTTAAGCTTGTGTATAGCCAGCATCATGTTTGCAAAGCCAGTGTTGCTCCTTCTCGGAGGATTCCCTTTGATATTCGGCAGACCCGAATGCCGGTGCCAACCCAACGAGACATGCTGGCCAGCAGACAATGCCTGGGCAGCTTTGAATGACTCCATCCACGGCCATCTCGTTCAAGTGCGTCCCGTTGGTAACGTATGCCATGAGCCCTTCTATGACGAGGCCTCCTGCCGTGAAATCGCCCGAGTGCAATCGGATGCCAAATGGCACGCCCAGCAGCCGGGTATGATCTTTTGATTGAATGTCAGCAGTGCTAATCAGAGTTGACGGGACTACAGGCGCCTTGCAGAACTTTAACTGGGAGAACTGGCCGGCAGAGCATGAGAACTGCACAGTGGATGGCAATCCCGCCTCCCCCTGCGAGCAAGGGCGTATCCTTCTATACTCTGCAGTGGTGCACACGGTTGAAGAGATTCAGGAAGCAGTCAAGTTTGCCATGCAGAGAAACATCCGCCTGGTCATCAAGAATACTGGCCATGACTCCAGCGGTCGATCCGGCGCTCTTCATTCTCTTCAGATATGTTCTGGGCCCTCCGCGGGGGTGGTGGGGGCACCTATGGCATTGTCACTCGGGCCACGTTACGAGCCTTTCCGGATATGCCATCGGTGCTGGTGACCATGCAGTTCACCACCCTACAAGCCGACAAGCAATTCTGGTACGGTGTCACGAATGTGGTGCGACTGATCCAGGCCATGTCCATCGACGGGAACTCTGGTCAGCTTATCTTGAGACATCTGGCCGAGGGCAGTTGGACTGTCAGTTGGACCTTGTTCTTTCTCAACGAGACTGACACCGGAAAAGTCAATGCTGAGGTTGCGCCCTATTTACGTCCGTTCGCCTGGTTGGGCATCCGATATCAGTATAATTGCACCGAGTACCCCAAGCTCAGCACATATCTCAGCATCCCCAAGGAGAAGAATGACGTCGGGGTAGGATACCTTCAAAGCAGCGCTATCCTCTCCGAGTCGTTCATGACGGGTCCTGATGGGCCTTGACAGGTTCCGACATGTTTACACCCCGGGTCTGTCGTCGATCGACCCCAGCAGTACGGGGGTGTATTTCAACGAGGCGGACCCGGACCAGACAGACGTCCCGGGGATTTTCTGGGGCCCTCACTATGGCCGGCTACGCCGCATCAAGGACCGCTGGGATGCCCATGGACTGTTTGTGGCTCGAAACGGCGTTGGCAGCGAGGGTTGGGACCCAGAGGGCATATGCCGGAAGCCATTGCCTTGGTAGATAGATGTGTTGATGACAGCAGAGCACGGCGGCAAAAGGAGTATCTACTCCCTCCCCACTTGTTGGAAGTCGCCGGGTACCCCCTTAGACTCAAAAGGTGTCTCGGCATCCTTCTAGTCATAAAGGTGCACTAAGTTCAACACCACTGCAGCACAACAGACCAAAGCTCCCACTAGGTAGTACCGTAAGATCTGAGAATACCGGATTCTGTTGTCCCCGAGGACTGTCTGTATAGGTTTCTGGATCAGTAAGCGTCAAACGACACGTCAGCGGTAGAGACACACCCGGTTCTGGGTTGTGGGCAATGATGCAGACAGTGGCCCGGAGAGGGAATTCGCCATGTCTTTCATCCCCCGAAGGTTGAGGGTCGGCCTAAGGCCGGAGGCAGCAGTATCCGAGACGGTAACGAAACAGCAATCGCACATCGTCCATGGGGGAATTCTCGACATTCCCTGCTTTTATCATCACTCGGTATACTCCATACTCCCTAAAAGTAACAATAACAATAACAGTAGCGATAGCGATAATGATGATGATAATGATAATACTAATAATACCGAATATTATTTTCTAGTCTTGCTTTGATTGGCAGGGTGAATAATTCGGCTGGTAGCGTGTGTATCTTATAGTCCGCCCGGAGTAGCCATCCACATGTATGAACGTTACCTCTAGCGACTCGGTACTAGTTAGTCGGCCCGCGGGGTTTCCCTCCCCCCACAAATCCTGTCAGGGGCGCTGGCCCCTTCTGTGCAATGTGTGCAATTTGCATCATCCCTCCGCCACTGACACTCTATCCCACACTCAAATGCGCTCCGTACATAGCCCACTAGAGTTGTCGGAGACCACTCCCAGCGAGTGGACAGTCGCCTCTAGAACGTCAGAACAGGGGCCGATCCCCGAAGATCCCCGATCCCTGGCACAACGCTCATGGAGGGTGGTGGTGACAGTCAGACTCAAAGAGAATGAGCGGGGCGGCCCATGGAATTGACTCTGACACGCATGTCCCGGAAAAGACGAGTGGTCCAGTAGATACACAAAGAGTGCCCGGCCATCTGTCTAAGGTGAGCGAGAGTGTCCAAAGCGGAGGGGAAAGAGGGGAAGAGGGGTCGAGGGGTCGAGGGAACGGAACAACAGCCCCGTGTGGCCTTTGTGAGGGTTTTGATCGAGTAAAGCAAACCTCCCACCGGGCCAGTATCTGAGTTTTGATCGAGTAACAGCGGTGTGTTGAGCGAGATACGAGGCAGCAGGGGAGGCCCGATGGCGGAAGCCGGAGGCGCCCGATCCCGACCCATGGTTCTGACTGGTCCGGCTGATAAGGAATTTTCTGTTTTTTCTCTCACCTGATGGGGCAAATCTGAAGGTGTACGGACGGACTATGTACCCCCAGAGGTGTCGGCCTCAGGCCTGCCGCGGTGGGAAAGGCAACGGGGAAGGCAGGAGGTCAGCAAGCAGCTGCTATCTAAGTACTAACCCTATCACTTAGTTATATCTAGATCTCGACAGTCTATCTATCTACGCAGTTCGCTCCGCCCTAAGCCAGTTAGCCACCCGGCCCTGCGTGAACTATGAAGACTGCAGAGAAGACAATGGAGAAACGGCCGGTGGATCCGTCGGCGAAGTGGATCCGGGTTTCGGTTACTCGATGAACAAGAGTGGAAAACAGTGGGAATCATCAGAGGGAAAACATTTAAAGTCCTTATCGTCCTCTCATCGTCCTCCCCCTTATCAGACCTATAGTATATCCCATCCTATCCCTTGCCTTGCCTTGCCTCTCTGTGGTGACTTCCTTATCTCTCTTTTGGGCCTATCTTCAGCTGCATCTACCGTGTCTACTGTAGCAGACTACCCTATCCTCTCTCGATCCATCGACACTCGATTTCTCGTCTGTCATTGTCTTCCTGTCTTTGCAAGCAACCCTGGCCTTCTTAGCGTCCAATCCTGGTTCTAGTTCGATCCTCTAGTCCAGCAGACTACGGCTATCACAAAAAAAATGGAGGCCTCGCCGATATCTCCGGCCTCAGCCACCTCTCTCAGCCAAATACCCTCAATTGCCGTCATTGCCTCCTCCCGCGCCGTCATCTCCGGTCGTTTGACATCCGCTACCATTGTGATCTCCCGCACCTCCGGAAAGATCACCGCCGTCTTCGATGTCGTGATCCCAGCCTCCGACTTCCCCGCGGGCGTTCCCTATACGGATTACTCCCCCCACATTCTGCTCCCCGGCCTCGTCGATGCCCATGTCCACCTGAACGAGCCGGGCCGCACCGAATGGGAGGGCTTCTACACCGGCACCCAGGCCGCGGCCTTTGGCGGCGTTACCACCGTCATTGACATGCCCCTGAATGCCATCCCCCCCACCACCACCGTAGCCAACTTCAAGGAGAAGCTGCGCGCCGCTCAGGGCAAGTGCTGGGTCGACGTCGGCTTCTACGGCGGCATCATCCCCGGCAATGCGGGCGAATTGAAAGCCTTGGTGCAGGAGGGTGTCCGCGGCTTCAAGGGCTTCCTGATCGATAGTGGGGTACGTATCTTTCTCTCTCTCGCTCTCGCCAGTCTCCCCAGTACCTTGCACATGCATATACTAACTTTCCTCAGGTGGATGAGTTCCCCGCCGTCTCGTCGGAAGACATCCGCAAGGCCATGGCTGAACTGGCCGATGAGCCCACCACCCTCATGTTCCACGCGGAAATGGTCCCGCCCACCACCGTGTCCGAAGAGAAGGATCTCGCCCTGGGAGGTCCCGAGGAAGCTTATTCCACTTTCCTCGCGTCTCGTCCCTCGTCCTATGAGACCTGTGCCGTGGAAGAGATCCTCTCCCTGTCCCATATCGCCCCCAATCTCCCCTTGCACATTGTCCACCTCTCCGCCATGGAGGCCATCCCTCTCCTGCGTAAAGCCCGTGCGGAAGGAATCCCCATCACCGCAGAGACCTGCTTCCACTACCTCTCGCTAGCGGCCGAGGAGATCCGCGACGGAGACACCCGCCACAAATGCTGCCCTCCGATCCGCTCGCAGCTGAACCAGGACGCCCTCTGGGACGAACTCGAACGCCACGCCACTGACGGCGTGATCAAGACAATCGTCTCCGACCACTCGCCCTGCACCCCCAATCTCAAGCTCCTACCCTCCCACGTCCCCGGCCACTGCACACCAGACAGCGATAGCCCTGTCTCCAACGAAGGAAGCTTCTTGTCCGCCTGGGGCGGCATCTCCTCCGTCGGCCTGGGGCTCCCGATCCTCTGGACCGAGATCAGTCGGCGCAAGGCGCTGAAGTCCGGCGACGAAACCGCCACCAAGCAGGCCCTGCAGGACATCGTGCGGCTCTGCTGCACCAATACCGCCGCGCAGGTCGGTCTGCAGCACCAAAAGGGCGACCTGGTCCCCGGCCACGATGCCGATATCTGTGTTTTCGATGACGCCGCCGAGTGGGTCGTCGAGCCCAGCACCATGCTCTTCCGCAACAAGTGCTCGCCCTACCAGGGCCGCAAGCTTCGTGGCCTCGTCCGCGAGACCTGGCTCCGTGGCGAGAAGGTCTTCAGTCATGACGCTGGGTTTAGTAGCAAGACGCCCTCTGGTGGATTGCTTCTTCAGAGCCGCGCTTGATTTATTCCATCTCTGTTTCCATTTCCATTTCCCTGTCCCTGTTTGCTCCCTTCTCAGTTGGCTCTCGGATCAAACAAGCATGAATGACCAACCGGGTGGTTCCTTATCAGAGGGTGAAATCTGACTCTTCAACAACGGTTCAACTAGGGCTTTTTTTCGCCCCCTCCAAGCATAAGCATTCTCGTTTCAGACACCTCGGCTTGATACCTGCTTACCTGCTTACTTGCTTACTTGCTTACCTGCTTTTGACGACCCACTACTAATGACTTTCTTCCCTTCACATCACATCACATCACATCCCACGGCATATAAACCCCCTCATCCATCAGCGTCTTACCTTTCCATATTTAGATAGATCAGCATTCGTCGAGCGATGGGTAATAGTTTTTTACCTTGCTTTTATTTCATATTTCTATGCATTTAGTTATAAATACACTATATTTTACTACGCTACACTACACTATACTACTATATACTACCATATTCATATCCATACTCTCATTGTGATATCCATATTGATATGCATTCATTTTCACTCAGAAATTATTGTATCCCCCCCTCTCCTTGCGTCTTCCCATTTCACATCACTTGAAGTAACAGATCAACAAACAATAGGTAGTAGACAACAGACAGTAGATAGATAATAGGCAATAGACAACCGAACAACCGAACAACCAACAACCATAAACCGACTATACCAAGTCAAATCAAATCATCCACAAACCTAGCAACCCCACAACCCCCTAAAGTAGATAGTAGACCCAGAGCCGCCCCCCCATCCCCCCATAACTCATCTCCCACCATACGTATAGTATGTAATGACATCACCCAAAAGCATGATATTCAGCAATGAATACTATTACTACTACTATTACTATTACTATTACTATTACTATTACAATCCATCTTCAACTTGATATTTTCCCCCATCCCACCCCACCGCATTCCCCCCCCCAATAGGTAGTTAGTTAGTTAGTTAGTGAGTGAGTTAGTGAGTTAATTATCTTATTGGCATTGATCGTCCATCCATCCATCCATCGCAAAGGCCAAAAGAACAAAACAAGTTAGAATCAGATGAAAACCGCTCCTTCATTTCCTCTCCAGAACAGGAACAGACCGGAGTTGGGGGCGTTGAGCAAGAAGAGAGGAGGACGAGCAAGAAGAAAGGAGCAAGAAGAAAGGAACAAGGAGCAAGGAAGTAAAGTTGCGTGGATTAGGTAGGTAGAGTGCCCCGTACTTACTTACTACTTAAGGTGGGTAGTTAGCAAGCCAGCTGACTGTTTGGCTGGCTGGGTAGTGGAAGTTTAAATAGGGTGTTGCGGGTTGCGTGCAGGATTTGGTACCTCCGTCCTGTTCAACCGAAGTGTCTACTCCATGATGCGCGTATACATAGACATAGACATAGACATACATACTCTCTCTCTCTCTCTCTCTCTCTCTCTCTGAAAGTTGAGGGGAAAGGTTCATTGGCAGCTAGCTACAAGAACATTCAAAATAGGTAAGTAGGTAGGTAGGTGGGTAGGTAGGTAAGTAGCAAGATGAGAGATATCGAGACGAAGAAAAAGAAAAGAAAAGAGAAGAGAAGGAAAGACGTCGACATCGTCACGAGTCCACAAAGCAGGTAGTAGGTAGGTAGGTAGGTAGGTAGGTAGACAGACAGGCCATGACATGTGCGGTAGATTTCAAAGGATATATGATGATGAAGATATGATGCCAATGATCCTCGGGAGTAAATAGGTAGGGTAGATCAAAACGACTGCTGTCTTTCAATAGTACTAGCCAGACTTGTCTCATCACTTTCCAGCAAGCCGACCTCCTCAGCGGTATCACCCAGATCGAACGTTCGATCACGCAAGGCGTCGTCGTCCTTGTGAGACGAGGGCCGGGTGACCACCGACCAGATGTCCTTCTTAGTGAGCAGACCCTGGAGAATGCCCTTGTTCACGAAGAGGACGTAGCGGAGGCCAAGTCTCTGGAACATGCGCAGGACGATCAGGAAGGTCGTGCTGCTGTTGAGAGTGATGGGGGTTTGGTCCATCCACGGGCGGAGGTCCAGGGTTTCAGCGGGATCGGCGAATGGCTGGTGGGTAAAGAAGACCTGGGTTTCGCCGGAGAGGGAGTGGTCTGCGGAGGGGGAGGTGGAGTATTTCAGGGCGTAGGCGAGCTCGTTGCGCGAGATGTATCCGAGTAAGATTGGGTTGGAGGTATCGGTGATGACGGGGAATCCGCGGTAGGAGGTTGTCAGGAGGAGGTTGCGGAGGGAGGCGATGGTGTGGCCAACGGCAACGATGACTGTCATGTCGTCGAGAGCGGTCATAACCTTGTGGGCGGGGACATCTGGGGGGGTTGTGTCGTCACGGTGGTCCAGGAAGGGGTATTGGTTGAGGTGAATCCAGGACTCGTAGATCCCGCGTTTCCCGAAGATATCGCCGCACCACTTGGACAGCATGACTGCAATCATGATGGGAATGACATAGGTCAACGCGCCGGTGAGCTCGAACATGATGACCACGATTGAGACGGTCATTCTCGTGGCGCCACCCAGTGCCGATGCCGCGCCGATGATCGCGTATATGCCCGGGGTCACGCATGGAGTATCCAGTTCACATTTGCTGAACAGGAAGAATTTGGGAAAGGCTTCCTGCCACATCCGGAAAGTCATGCCCAAAGCACGCCCGTATAGGGCACCGATAGCGACCGACGGAAGGATGATACCAGCGGGTATGTCCAGTCCAAAGGTGACCGAGGCAAGGAAGAAACCAAGAATTGCAGCTAAAAGCAAAAGAGCAACCGTTCCAGCAGAGGCAGCATCAGACTTGCAGAAGCCAAAAGGATCCGTATTGGTAGTTCCGGTCCCGCATTCGGCAAATAGCGAATGGACGAGCTCTGAGTTTTGGGCTCTCATAAATAGATTGGGAAAGTTGATCAGGGCGCTCAAAAGAGCCACAGCAGCCACCTCGATCAGTGGCCGGGCGATGCTTCGGGACCGTCTCCATTTCGTGATTCTCATGTTCAATCGAATGAGAAACGCCCCATAGAGGCCACCCACAATGCCGAGAATAATGAATGGGATCATTTCAAAGCGATGCCATTCACGTGTATATTTGACTTGGTAGAGCACGATATTACCGGTGCGGTACGGGTTGAGCGCATGCAGGGTGACCGAAGCCACCATGGCACAGACAAAGCTTTGCCACATGGTCTTGTCGGGGAAATAATAGGACAGTTGCTAGCGAGAAAGTGAGCAGGCATATGTGGTGGAAAGCGTCTTCGATACTTACTTCTAAACTGAACAGGACACCTCCAATAGGAGCCCCAAAAGCAACAGAAACACCTGCGGCCGCGGCCGCAGAAAGAACCTCACGTTTCCTCGCTGCAAAATTAGCCTGGGCTCTTCAGGAACGGGCCGATGCAGGTACCTTCATTATGATTCAGACTGTGGAATGGCTTCATGATGACACTGGCACAGCAGCATGCCACGTGAATAAGGGGGCCTTCTTTGCCAAGCCACAGACCAGATGCAACAGACAAGCACTTGAACACATTAGCAGGCTGCAGACGCGAAAGAACGTTGGGCACATACCAGACCCAAGGACTTGATGGCAAGTGTCCAAGGCCCCATGAAGCGCCTTATGACAAAGCCGCCAAGAACAGTTTTGATCTCAGGAATACCACTATGTCTTGCATAGATGGCGTAGCTCCTAACCAGGATACATGCACAAACAGCGAAAAACACCTGAAATCACATCAGCAGATGGTCAAAGGAAGCAGCGGAGAGACCGACGTACAGAGTAAAGCACATAGAAGAGATACTCCACGGTATACCCCCCACCTGACGAGGTGACCCCCAAGGCCTTCCTCCACGGCGTCCAGTCTAAGCAGTTGGAGACATCTGTGGCAAAGATCAATACGAAAACGCGCCAACCGAGGTTTATGAATTGAGCAATCGCTCACCATCGTGGCCCCAACAACAAAAGCTTCGATTCAGGTAAAACCTGCCTCCACCCGGGCCATTCCTGCAATAGCCCGTTTTAAGATCCGCGAGCCAGTCGCTGCTGATATCAATGCAAGCGGCAATGATTCCAACCAAGACGCCCGTCGCAATCAGGACAATCCAGACATTACTCGAGTCCAGGACCTTGCGCAGATATCCAACGACGCCCTGTCCGTTCGCATACAGCAACCTCTTCCTTTGTCGCTCCTTGGTATATTCAAAAATCCAATCGATGGCCGTAAGATCATCGTAACCAACTCGTCGTCCCGGCCCTTCAACGTACCAGTCCAGAAAGCCCGAATCCTTGTTCGCGAGGTTTCTGTTGCCGCCGATCGGCTCGTCTTGCAATGGCTGTATCTCTGCGGATGACTGTTCGTATTGGGACAGAGACCCGAAGCGCCTGTGTCCTGCGGACTCGGCGGAGCTGCTGGAAAAAAGACTGGGGAAGTGGAATCGGGAGCGCTCTTTTTGCTTGCGTTTGAATGAGACCCTATGTGCAAGTCGGTGTCAGTCTCACTTCAGATGCAGATGCCGGTGCCGGTACCGGTGCGCGGATGGCCGGGACTTACGGCTCACGTAGCCCTCCGCTGCTGCTCAAAGAAACATGAGGCTCGGGGGAGGCATTGTCGCTATATGGCTGGTTCGGCGATGGCTGGTCTTCCGTCTGTGGTCCTGGTTGTCTTATGGGCATCGCGGATGATACGTATCATGGAGGCGTGTCAGTCGCATCCAGTCGCATCACAAAAAACACAGCCTCGGTGCCTGTCAATGGGGATCTCCGCTGATGATCGATCAGGCGTGGCCGACAACTGGTGCCAATTACGGCGTAGTCTCGGAGTTCCAGCGTGACCTCCGCGGCTGGTCCGGGCGGCGAGTGGAGCGGTCAGGCTTTGGCCCCGGCAGTAAAACCTGGTCTCAAGAAAGTAACGTGATTCGAGATAATTGGGGGATTGAAAAAAAAAAAAAAAAAAGAAAAAAAGAAAAGAGGGAAAAAGATATGCCACATGATGCGCAATGCCTGACTTGTCTTACAGTTTCGATTTCTGCAAACGGAATTGGTGAGAGGCGGACATTCTAGCCACTTATGCGGGACTGACTTTATGACGGGATTAGGAAGTGTGTATGGATTGATTGTAGAGGGTTCTTGCGCCGATTTGTGATTATTGCCAAGAAGCAAGAAAGACGTGTTTATACACAAGAAGACCCATTAAAGCTCTATAGTCATGATGGTACATATAGGTCGGCTGAAAAAGCTCCTCATGAGAGCGTCTTCCGCCGAAAAGATAGATAAGCCTTCCAGGGAAGCTTCCAGTCGGACTGGAGAAGCTCGGGGCGGAAGATATCAAAATCAACACTTTCCAGCCGGTCCAGCCAGAGCCGCGTTGCAACGGCAGGCATGAAAACACCAAAGGCTTGGTTCACCTCATCTAATGGCGTTTTAGTCTGCTGGTCCTTGAACTGATCCGGCAAGTTGTATTCATGGCCCTCCTCGCCTTCATGCTCGAACTCATGGCCCACATCCTGGCCAGCGTGGAGATTGCTCAGCATCTGCTGTACGGTGATCAAGTGATCACTGGCCCGAGTAGCGACTGTAAACACGGCATCACGGAGCCCCGGAGCCTCTGCGCCTAGTCTGAACACGTCTTCTTCCTTCACGCCTGCCTGGGCCATCACATCGAGAGGAAGCATCACAGCCCCCTGCTTTGTTGCCCCCGGCATCGTACCAGTACCAGCCTGGTCAGGGCGATTGTGAGTCGCAGCCGGGAATGCTACCAGTGGCAGACCACGGAGCACCGCTGCAATACCAGCTGCTTTACCGATATGCGATGCCACATGATCTGCCGTGACGGAGGTCATTGGCAAGGCCGACAGGGTCAAATATAGCAGTGTTGAGTAGGTGTTTTCGGCGTATGATTCCAGAGCCGCAATATTCGTGTACGGATCATTCACCAGGGTCTGCTCGCGCGCATTTATCATCCGATTAAGCCAGCCTTTGCTGATACGTGCGCGACCCTGCGTTCTCTCGTGCAGGTCTGACATCGCGGAGGCCAGGAGGATAGCGATGGGCTCTTTCGGGGGCGAGCCGGATAAGGCTTTGGCGACGGCATCTCTCCAGAACTGGAGTCGCATGAGTCCGATCGTGTGGGATGAGGTGGTATCGGGGATCGTGGAGAGGGAGACGTTCAGCGCCCGGAGGGCAGTGTAGAATGTTTGCGCATTTCGCGGGATGAAGGTGCTTAGGGTGTATGAGGGGCGATCGTATTTCCTAAGGAAGAGTGCCGTGTTAGTGGGATGGTGAATAGCTTGAAGGCTAGGTAGGTGCTGTACAGAAGAAGACTTGAGCAGTATTTGTGAGCAGCTTGGATCTCTGCTTCAGCCGCCCCTGTCACCGAGCTGGCCGCGACTGCGCTAGATGGGCTGAATTGGCGAGCTTGCGATCGCTGTATTCTTCTGCGAGAGATGGTGTGTCGCCATAATTGCTGGGGCGTGCGGCACGGCTGGAAGATATGCTTCGAGAGAGACATCGTAATGGATGGAGGCTGCTTAGCGATCGTGCGGTTCCTGGTTTAGAAAGCTATGGGAAGATAGCTCTGGCGCATCGCGGGTGGCATTTCTTGACAGGAGCGGTCAGCTCAAGGATCGCGGGCGCCGGGGATGGCAGCACGACGTACAGGTCAGGAGTGATGCATTCTTCAAGCCAGAGGGAGAGAGAGATGGGGCGATTACGAAATGCTCTGTAGTGGTTGCGAGTAGCACAGCAACCCCGGATCTTTTTTTCTTCGTTCGGCCCGAATGCATTCGCGCTTTCGGCGCGTCTTCCGGCCAGCCAGAAACCGGCCATTAATATTACGGTCGATCCTCCTTGGCTGAAGAGGTACTGAATCTACGCGGTCGCGGGGGCGTCAATGGCAATGCTGGTCTCCAGCCCCACTGTTGACACTTGACACTTGACAATGGAATGATGGTTTAAGAAAGGAAACGTGTGTACGTACTATCAAAATGTATATGGTTTGCTAAACGATGAAACTTGAATAGATTTCTTCACATCATACTCCGTACCTCAGCACACTGTACTCCCAATCCCATACTGCCCCGATCTGCCCACCGCCTTCCCTCCTGTGGTGGAAAGCACACTCCCGATGTTATCCCGCACTGCCGTCCAACCCCCCCTCCGCATCCAGTAACCGCACCACTAACCCTCAACATACCATACTCATCTACTGATATCCCGAACCCAGACCTTTCACCCGACCCCTAACATACACCACGCCCCGCACCATGCGTCTTCCCTACGCCCCCTCCTCCCCACCGACCGCCGACCCCGCGACCGAAGACATCTACACACGGATCGCCGCCCGCCGGCATCCGCGGCCGCTCATCCCCCTCGATCTCTCGCTGCTGCACTCCCCCCCAGTCGCCGACGGCTGGAACAGCTTCCTGGGCGCGATCCGCACCCAGACCGTCATCGACCAGGGTCTCCTCGAGCTGGCCGTCTGCCGGGTCGCCGTCCTCACCACCGCCATATACGAGTGGAACGCCCACGCCCCGCTAGCCCTGAAGGGAGGCATCCGGCCGGAGGAACTCCAGGCCGTGCGCACGCTGTCGTCCCTGGCCGACGGGGCTGTCGAGGCCTCTGAGGCGCTGGAGCAGAGCGTGTTGACGGCCCAGCAGAAGGCGATTGTGCGGTATGCGGACGAGATGACGCGGACGGTGCGCGTGCGGGATGAGACCTTCGCCGGGCTGCAGCAGACGGGGTTCTCCGATCGTGAGATCGTCGAGTTGACTACGGGCATCGCGGGGTATAATTGCGTCAGCCGCGTGCTAGTGGCTTTGGATGTGGGGGAGAATAATGATAAGGAGATGAAGAGTGTGGAGGAGTTGGTGGCGGGGTTGAAATAGAAATCGTCAATTCAATTTTCACCTCCGGTTCTACTACGTATGTTACTTGAGCTTTGCTGATGGTTCTAGCTGTAGGCGCTTCGCCGATAGCAGATGCTCGATGTCTAGACATCTGGATTGCTTCGCGAGACTGGAGTGAGTGAAAGAGGGGTTGGATCATGTTCAACTAAACTATTCCCTGCCGCTCTTTTCAGGGTGCGGGTGTGAGAAACGGCCTTGATTATGCTGCATGATTATGTATAGATATCTCATGTTAATATATACTCTGGCGAATCGGGAATGGCCCGCGTCCCCTTCATCTCGGTCATGGTCTCGTCCCACACTCTCTTCTGGATGGTCTGGCCTGCGTCCGTCTGGAAGGAGGGGTGCATTCTGCGCAATCAGCATACCGATCCAAAGCATAACAAGGGTGAGGGGACTTACGGCTCTATCTTCTCATCCCCAAAGAACACCCCATGGCTGTCGTCCCCAGCCACCACCGCTGCGTTTACTACCAGCCAGGCCGCCTTCTCCGGGCTCCGCGAAACCACCTTATGCATCACCCACACTATCGGCTGATAAATCGCGGGCACGTTCCGCGCCAGCTCGGTGGCCACCGCACCGGGACACACCATGTTGACGACGACTTGATCGCGGGTGATTCGCCGGCAGAGTTCATAAAAGAATGCCAGACAGAGGTGCTTGGCCTCGCCATAGCGCGTCATCAAGTCATAGTGCTCGGGATCGTCATAGTATGCCAGGACGGACTGGCCATCGCCCGGGAAGGCTTGTCTCGCGGGTACCTCGTAGGCTTTCCGACTGCCAACCCAGGTGACACGGGCGACTCGCCCGGATTTCTGCTTCGAGGCCTCCAGATGTGGCAGCAGGGACAAGAGCAAGAGGACGTTGGAGAGGTACATAGTCTGGATGGTGCGTTCATGACTCTCGGCGCTGGACTGCATGGCCGGGAAAAAGCCCGCGCCGGCGTTCAGGACCAGGAGATCGACCACGGGGATGTCGCGGCGGATCTCCGCGGCGAAGTTGTGCACGCTGCTGTAGCTATCCAGATCGAGGGACCTGAGTTGGACGGTGTCTCGGGGGAGGGAGGGGAACTCGGCGAGGAGGGTCTGGCGCGCGGCCTCGGCACGGGTCGCATCTCGACAGGCTAGGATCAGGGTCTTGCATTGCAGACGGAGGAGTTCGCGGGCAACGGCCAGGCCGATGCCAGTGTTGCCGCCGGTGACGATGGCCGTTCGGTCGCGGAAGGTGGTGCTGGAGGGGATTGGGGGGGCGGGTGGTTGACGGAGGCGCATGATGGAAGGGATAGGATTGTCCTGAGATGCGATGAGATGCGATCGCAGGATCCTGTGGGGATGTGCGCATCACCACCTTAAGTAGTTGTCCATGTCATGTTGGGGGATTTCTCATCCTGATCGAATCGCTTCCATCGCGCGACATGAAGCCACTGTCGGAGAGATGACTGATTAACTGCGACATGATTGGCGAGATCGTCTACAACGACCTCATTGATAACGAACGGAACGGCAGAATCCGGACTCCGGCTCGGATGGCAGCCGGGCCGGCAGGGGCAGGTGCACCAGCTGAATAAACTGACCTGTACGGAGTAGGAAACTGACTATCTACTAGATACTGAAGTACGGCAATAATGATCTTATGTCCTGCTCCTAAATTCGAGACTCAGCAAGAGGGCTCTATGTCATGACTTGATTCGACCAGAGATTATTTCTTGCTTCTAGATTTCATGCTTCAACTGTATCTCCGTGGCAATCACAACCTCACAAGCCTCTGCATGCCCGTTCAATCTTATTTCTTCATGGCTCACTGAAGGCTTAAACTGTAGCCAGCTCATAGTAGATACTCGAATAATTAGCCTGCTTGATAAATATCGATGTTCGGTGATGATAGTCTCCTGGGCATAACTGTTGCCTAGGATAGATCACCAAAACAGTAACAACGCGTTTACGTGAGGATTTACTGGACAGGGCAATGAACAAGAACTTAACACCTCAGCCGCAAGATAACCCGGAAACTGACAACGAATTTACCCAGTGATATACAGCCCATCTGGGCTACTCGTGTGATCATTATCGCCACAAAGCAGCGGCGCGGTGGTACATTCCTTCACCACCTCCAACACAGTCTCGAGGTCTGTCCGACAACTATATCGTTGCGGGATATTTGCCAGTCGCCACCCTTCTACACACCAAGAGCCCCCGAATGGCTGAAGGGCGGCGAGATACCAAGTCGGAAACACGGCAGACGACCACTCATGGTCATTGCGGGCTCGAGAAGTAATGTTGGACCGTTGGTTAAAACTTAATAGGGGCCGTCCCAGGAATGAAGCGGCGGTGTTTACACTTTATACACACCGTGGAATGTTACTGCGCAATGTTGGTCGAGCTGACGCGGAGCCACATTCCGGGCCACATCCATGACTACCGGGCTAACGTTGCGTTGCTGAGCGAGCGGACATGGGAACCGCATCGTCATTCTGATCTGGGAATTGCGGACGAGCCGACGAGGAAACTTGGTGAGCATGCCATTGGCAATGGCTTTTTATAATAGACACTTTTCTGCCCCGTAACCCGGTCAGTTGGAATGTCCGCTGTTTGTCGTGGGGTAGGGCACAGAGGGAGCATACCTGTAGGCCGTCGCGAGACTTATAAGAATAGTCTCGCTGCTGTGCTTCGACGAACTGGTTGTCTTGTCTAGTGTTTACCCCTAGCCACACACTACCACTCTTTTGGATCCAACGAGTAAGTGGTGGTTCTGACCATCTTCCTGGGTTGTCCTTGTTGACTGACTTGACTGCCTCTAGGTCGAAAGGCTTTTAGCCATTCATTCTACTGCCCATTAAAAGAAAAGCCGCTATCCAGGGCTCATACATTCGTTTGATTGCTTCAAGATGAAGAGTGTTCTTGTCATGTGCGGCCTGCTGGCCTCGTCCGTTGTCGGACATATCCAAATGTCCAAGCCGTATCCGATTCGCAGCCCGTTGAACCCGGATGGAGATGAGTCTAAGAAGGACTACTCGTACACAAACCCTCTGTCCACCAGTGGTAGCGACTACCCTTGCAAGGGGTACGCCGGCGACGCCTTCAAGTCGGTGGCCACCTACTCGCCTGGAGGAGAGTACGATCTGGAACTGCAGGGGAGTGCCACGCACGAGGGCGGTTCCTGCCAGGTGTCTCTCTCCTACGACAGCGGGAAGAACTTCCAGGTCATCCACTCGATGATCGGCGGATGTCCGCTGACGGAGAGCTACAAGTTCTCGATCCCCTCCGACGCCCCGGGCGGCGATGCGCTCCTGGCCTGGACCTGGTTCAACAAAGTCGGCAACCGCGAGATGTACATGAACTGCGCGCAGGTCACCATCGGCGGGTCCGCGTCCCGGAAAGAGACCACTCGCGAGGTGAACGAGAAACGCAACGCCCTCTCGTACAAGAGCGCGCCGCCGGTCTTTATTGCCAACGTTAACGGGCCCGGACAGTGCACGACCATCGAGGGCGACGAAGTCAACTTTCCCCTGCCCGGAGACTCGGTCGAGGGCTCCGGTTCGGGCCAGGGCTACACCTGCACCGGCTCCGCTGCGTTCCTGGGCAGTGGATCCAGCTCCCATTCCACCAGCACCTCGAACAGCGGTAGCACTTCATCCGGAACCGGTGCCTCTGGCAGCAGCAGCAGCAGCAGCAGCAACAACAACAGCGTCGTGGGCGGCACATCCGCCCACTCTTCTTCCCAGGCATCAACCCCCGCACCGTCCTCATCGAAGATGGCCTCGCAATCCGCCACCCCTGCATCCTCATCAGCCGCCGCCTCCAGCAAGGTGGCATCGAGCTTCGGCTCCTCGTCCGCGAAGACGGTGCCCCTCCCCACCTCTGCATCCGACGGTTCGAGCGATCGGTTCGTCCCCGGTGGGCCTTGCGTGGACGGGGCGATCATCTGCGGACCCGGCGGCAAGACCTGGTCGTTGTGCAGCAACGGACGTCCAGTTCACATGGGAGCTGTAGCAGCGGGGACGTACTGCGACCACGGCGTGATCGGCGGGCTGTACTAGCCAGCATTCAGCAACCAGGCAGTACCTCTCTACTTCCCTTTCTTTTTTTTTTTTTCCCCTTTCCTTCTCATCTCAGTCTAGTCCATTCCTCTCTGTCGTTGTAAAGTCCAGGGTCATATATGTGTGTGTGTATGTTTGGGGAAGGATTTCCAGAGTCCACCGGACAGACGGACGGTCAGACCAGTGCTCTCGCTCCTGTTTGTTGTATTTCCTTTTTTCGTTGTATTTTTATGTCCACTCACGAGCATACCCTTCCTTCCTGTCTTCTTTCTTCCTTTCCTTCCTTCTCTTCTCGATTCTCGAGTCTCGATCACCGGTTTTTGTGGCTTTGGATTTGTCAAGTACTTTGTATCATGTCTATTCGATGTATGGTATGACCTCTTGAGTAATTGCAAATGAAAGTTTCTTGCACTATTCTTTTTTTTTTTTTTTTTTTTTTTGCTGTGATGTTCTGGTTCTTGATGACGCTATAATATGATGGTGTAGATAGAGGCTACTTGTTTTCGGCTGTAGTGAAATGTCGTAAATAAGGTATTGTTTCTTGGTTTTTTATTGTTTTCGTAGCGCAAGGGCTGGATGGATGGAGCGTGATGGAATACCTAGGTACTCCACCTTGGTATACTATACTATATATCCCTACGGTATGTACGTACCACTTACCACACATCAGATCCTAGCAGTATTAAGTAGTACTAATAGCGAGGAAACCACTCCCGATCTCATCCTAGACACTCCATCCATCACACAAGTAAATAGAATAAATAATATATTGAATATATCCATATCCATATACATATACATATACATATACTACATAACTTACCGCATTTCAACTGCAGATAATCTCTACAGCTTCGCATTCCAGGCGGCACGATCCGCCGACTCCAAGGGCCGCTCCCTTCCATCCCAAAACACGGGACACAGCTGGAACCACTTCTCGCGGCTGCAGATGGAATGGACGGAGCGCTTGTGGCCGAGGTCGACGTACTTGCCGATGACCAGGCCCTGGGAGTTCTCGTACGACAGGATGGTGCCGCCGGTGGCTTTGGGCTCGCCCACCACGTTGGCCGTCCGCGGGTCGTCCAGGAAGCAGTAGTGGATGCAGCTGGAGTACCAGGCGTTGACGCGCTGGGCGCCCCGGAACGAAGCGTCGCCGACCAGCGAGTGGCGGCCGCGGTCGTAGTCGCCTGCGTTGTAGTGTGCGCCGTAGTGGTCTTCCTGTTGGGGGTGAACAAGAGATGATTAGTACTGGAGTGCCGGGGGGGGGGGGGGGGGGGGGAAAGCCGTGGGAGAATGGAAATGGAAATGGAAATGGAAATGGAAATGGGTAGGTAGGTGGTAAGGTACCTTCGCCCAGTACAGCTCGAAATAAGCGAAGCGGGAATCATTGAAGCGGCCGAACAAGCACAGGACGTGGGGATCGACGTGCAGCTTGCGCAGGTACTCGCGATGCTGGTCCAGAGAGCCGGTCTCGTTCCACCCGGAGGCGACGCGGGGGTCGTTCTGCCAGGTGTTGAATAGCTTCAGGTGCGCCTGGTCCTGCCAATCGACGACCTCGAGGGAAAAGTGCTCGTCCAGCTCGGGGATGTAGCGGCTGTAGACGATGGAGCCGGGGTGCGGCTTGGGGCGACGGACGGGATGTCGCGCATACACGGCCTCGTCGGGGAATTTGCGGGTGAATTGGTAGTTCTCGGGCATGGCCGGATACTGGGCCAGCGACTGCCGCAGAGGGCCGTCGGTGCCGTCGCCAACCACCCAGATCGGGCGCGGGCCCAGAGGCGATGCCGCGCCTTGCCAGAAGGAGCTGCGCAGGATGAGGATCTCGTTGGAGGTGAAAGGCACAGGAGCGTTCGCGTGGTCGGCGCGACGCAATGGCTGGGGGTGCTCGACTCCCAGCCCGGTCGAAAGCAGTTCGTTCTGCAGCATCTCCTTGCCGGCGCCGACGAGAGTCAGGCGGAAGAATTCGTTCGTCGGGTGTGCGAGGTATATGGCGTGAATGACGTTCCAGATCTGTCCCAGTGTCGGGGCGCTATTGTCGGGCCATTGGAATGTGGTCTGCGGGCCTCGACGCGCGCGCGCCCAGGCGCTGTTATCTGAAGGAGGGGGACGGTCGGCCTGGGGGGTGAAGGACAGGTCGTGCCATGAGAGAGAGTCCAGGTGTAGCGCTTGGGGCAGCGCTCGGCCAGTGGCGGGCTGATCCACGAGCGTCAAGGTGTGTGTGGCCGGCGTGGAGGAGTTGGCGACGGTGCGCACTCGATATGTGGTCAGAAAAGGATGTGGCAGCTTCACCAGCGGGTAGGGGTGTGGAGAGGGGGGGTTGGGTGCCATTGTGTGTGTGTGTTGGGACTGTTTATTTCCTCAGAAATGGAAAGGAATTGAGAATTGAGCTTCAAAAAAAGAAAGAAGAAGGGAAAAAAAAAAAAAAAAAATAGGAGAAGGGCTTTCCGGGACACGCAAACAGGTTATATACACTGGGGAGAGAGACGGGGAGGGGTCAAGATTGATTAATCAATTGGAAAGATAAAAGACAGACCGAGGCAGAACGCCATGCCATGCCATCTCTTGCGTATCCGAGTACACTTGTCTCAGAGGGTGGCCAATGGAGTCGATTCATCAGGGCTTCTGGACCCGGTAGGCACGGCATGCTACCCGTGTGTCCCCACCAAGTCCATATCACGCCAAAGATTTTATCAATCTATAAAGCCGAGGGGGGGGAAGGAAGCTAAGAGTCTAAGTAACCCGCCCACCTAGACAGACAGACAAACAGACACACAGACAGACAGACACAGACACACAGACAATCACACAGACACAACACACAACACAACCATGTCTCTCAGATCCAAATCCCTCCAGTTCCAACATTTCCAAGTCTCGTTTCCGCACGAGCGCGTCGTCCAGGTGACGTTAACCCGTCCAGAGAAGTTAAACTGCATCAGCCTGCCTACCAGTCGCGAGATCCAAGAGATCTGGGAGCTCTTCGACCAAGATGAGAGCTTATGGGTGGGCATCATTACCGGCGCGGGGAGGGCATTCTGCACGGGGGCCGATCTACAAGGTGGGTGTCGTCGCCTCCGTCCCCAGAACCGTTTTCTTGTCCTTCATTACTGAGGCGGTGGGTGTCCAGAATGGAACGCCATGAACGAAGCCGGGGTGGTTAACGACATGGCAGCCCCGGGGCTAGCCGGACTGCCGCGACGGGCAGGCAAGAAACCGATCATCGCGGCCGTCAACGGACTGTGTATGGGAGGCGGCTTTGAGATGGTGGCAAATTGCGATTTGGTAATAGCATCGACAGCGGCGGTGTTCGCACTACCGGAGGTGAAGCGAGGCATTGTGCCCGTCGCGGGCTGTCTACCGCGATTGACCAGAACGCTTGGACTGCAGCGCACCATGGACCTGGCGTTGACCGGCCGCAGCGTGGACGCTAAAACGCTTTACGACTGGGGCCTGGTCAGTCGACTGGTAGATGCCACCGGCGATATGACCGTGGCTCAGGTGGCCCTGCAGATAGCGCGCGACATGTGCAATAACAGTCCGGATGCCTTGATTGTTGGCCGTCTGGGCATCCGGATGGGCTGGGAGGCAGGAGGTGTGGAGGACGCGGTATCGGCGCTGGCGGATCAATGGTATCCGCGTCTGGTCGAGGGCCCCAATTTTGCCGAGGGCATTCGAGCATTTGTAGAGAAACGGGCGCCGAGCTGGAAAAATTCCAAGCTGTGATTATTATAATCCTTGTACCTGCTCTTGTTTACCCTATAATATAATAGTATACTTCTACTACTAGATAGCTACCCACCCAGATACACAATATTTAGTAAAAATGTGAAAACTGAATATTGCTTTAATCTCTCCGGCCCAGGTTAAAGCTCGGTGTGTGGACCGCCGAAGATTTGGTGCTAGCAACCAACAGACAGAAGAAGTCCAAAACCCCACCCACAAGTGAGATTTCATCATACAGACTTTTTTTTTTTTTTTTCAGTGCCGCCACGACCCCAGGAACTCTGGGTTCCATTTTTATTACTCTATATAAATTAGTCACCAGTATCATGCTGCGTGGGAATCCGGAATCGTGTCCAGGATCCTTCCGACAAACAACTCCACTGAAGAAGAATTTTCATCTTATCATGGATCAGATTAGATGGTGCCTAGCGGGGTGGTGGTTTTGCGCCGGACCACCAAGCTGAGGTTTCACAATCAGATAGGGGGCACTTCGGCCCGCTCCAGGCACGTGATATAACTAGCTGTCGCTAGTGCCATACGGGGATAGTGCAGGAGGTTGAAGAAGAGGAAAGAAGGCCGTCGATCGCCTGCCAACGACGGTCACCTGACCTGTCGCGGATCAACACGGTATCCGCTTCAATTCTCCTTTCGATGCAGTATCTATAATACTGTATAGACTGCGTACGGAGTACTCAGTGCTGGAAGAGAAGGTCTACTCTAATTGTTCGAATTCCTCGTGGTGGTGAGTACTAATCTCAATGTTGTATATTATTATTCCATTCTGTCATAGCTCCATGATATATAATTCTACCCGTTAAATAAATCAAAACCCAATACTTTCAATACAAACGACCACGTTTTTAGGACTGGAGGGGCTCGCCCATGCCACCGAAGGTAACACTCTTGACCGTCAGGAACTCGTCGATGCCGTACTTGCTGCCCTCACGGCCGAAGCCACTCTGCTTGACACCACCGAAGCTATTTCAATCTGGTTAGCACTGCGCCATATTTCAGCTTCAGAGGGGGGGAAACTCACGGAGAGGCAACGTCGCTAATAAGCCCTGTGTTCACACCGACCATACCCACTTCCAGAGACTCCGCGACACGGAAGATGCGCTTCACATTTCCGCTGAAGAAGTACCCGGCCAGACCGACCTCGGCGCGGTTCGCCAAATCGACAACCTCCTTCTCTGTCTCGAAGGGGAAGAGACCGGCGACGGGTCCGAAGGTCTCCTCCGAAGCGACCAGCATGTCCTTGTTCATCTCACCGAGAACGGTCAGGTCGAAGAAGTTAGGTCCCAGGTGCGCGGCCTTTTGACCTCCAGCCAACACCCTCGCGCCCTTGGACACAGCATCCCGCACATGCTCCTCGACCTTGTCGGCAGCCCGGGTGTGAATGACGGGACCGTGTGTGACGCCTTCCTCGAACCCTGCGCCGAGCTTGAAGTTCTTGACCTTCTCCGTGAAGCGCTTCACGAACTCATCGTACACGCCGCGTTGCACGTAGATCCGGTTCGCGCAGACGCAGGTCTGGCCAGAGCTGCGGAACTTGGAGGCCACGGCTCCTGCAACCGCAGCGTCAAGGTCTTCAACATCATCGAAGACAATGAAGGGGGCGTTGCCGCCCAGTTCCCAGGACACCTTCTTCACAGTGGAAGCAGCCTGTCTCATGAGCAGCTTACCCACATTGGTCGATCCCGTGAAAGACACCTTCCGGACATCGGAGCTGGTAGTGATAGCCTCACCAACCTCCGGGGTGTTCTTCGAGGCGGTGACGATGTTGACCACACCCTTCGGGATGCCCGCGCGGTGAGCCAGCTCCGCGAGAGCATTCGCCGTGAAAGGCGTCTCACAGGGTGTCTTCGCAACGACCGTACAGCCCGCTGCCAGAGCGGGGCCGATCTTGCGTGTGATCATCGCAGCGGGGAAGTTCCAGGGGGTGATAAGACCGCAGACACCAACGGGCTGCTTGAGAGTCATGACCCGGTTTCCGGCCACCGATGAGGGGATGGTGTCACCATAGATGCGGGGGGCTTCTTCACTGAACCACTCGAAGAAACTGGCCGCGTAGTTCACCTCGCCCTTGGCGTCAGCCAGCGGCTTTCCGTTCTCCCATGTTATCAGCGTCGCAAGGTCGTCGGCGTTGTCGATCATCAGCTGGTACCATCTACGCAGCATGCGGGCGCGCTCGCGGGCCAGTGTGGTGCGGAACTTGGGGAACGCCTCATTGGCGGCTTGGATGGCTTTCTCGGTGTCTGCGGCTGTGAATTCGGGGCAGGTTCCGATGAGCTTTCCGGAAGCAGGGTCTGCAGGGAACGAGCGGTCAGTCTTGATGTTGTATCGAAAGGGCGGGCGGGCGTGTGTGTGGCCTACCGTGGACTTCGAATGTCTGGCCGGATTGCGCGCCTACCCACTCGCCATTGACATAGGCCTTCTGGATGAAGAGGGTCTTGTCTTTGAGCTGTTCAAGTCGGTGTTATTAGGATACAGTTCTCCTGAACATCCAGCGTGGATGGGATGTGAGCACAAACCGGAGGCACAGTGTGACCCATTGTAGAGAGGAGGCGTTTAGCGTGGATTGGGGGAGGGATGGTAAAAGGATAACGAGGGCGCGGTCTCAACAATTGCCGTGATACTGTACGAAGAGCGCTCTCCATGGTTGAAATATTCCACACCGAGGTGGATCGTCTGAAAATTGGGAGGAGGAGGTTCTCTTCGCTCTTCTTCCCGAGGGGTGTGGGGGAGACTCGGGAAGGGGGAGGGGGGAAGTTGGAGATGTGGCGAGGGGTATGTTCTGGGGTGTTGCTTTTCCCACAACTTGGCTGCAATGCTGTTTTCTGAAAATCAGAAAGAAGTTTCCAGCCGGTCCCGGACGAGCCCAGCTATTTATTGTCAGGATTGGGAGTGGGTTCTGGCGATAACTAGGAGTCGTGAATCTTACCGTCTCACAGCAGGCGGGGAAGCTTCGAGTCACGTGGTATGATGCTATTTGGAGTCCTCGCATCGCCGTACCGCCCCATTTCCGGGCAGTGAGCTGGTTTTGATGTTCAGCAGTGCTCCTCTGCCAGTCCAGAAGCCTTTTTTATGAAGAGAAATCAACTTCAATGGCATATTAGCGATTATTCTACCTTGTCCTATGTATACTTGAAGATATATTACCTTGTGGTATTGATATTACCATTTCGGTACACTATTTATGGTCTCGGTGCTTGTACCCAATCACAGCGACGAATGTGACAGCTCCGGTCGCTCGCACCAATGGTTTGATACTTAAATGCCGGTATGTGTACTTGAAATACCGCACATAGTACCTTATCTACATAGAATATCTTCTCCACATTGAGGCTCTCAGAGCCAAGGTGACGATCGTGATAGACTCGATAAGCCTTGATGGAGCTCATTTTCAATGTGTGATAACTGTCAACTTGGGGTTAGAGACAGAAGTAGGTGCAGGAGTAGCGCGGAGTGACCAGTCCTTAGTAAGTAAGTGACGTATGCCCACGTGACATAACACGTGACCAGAAACCTGTCTACTGACGGACCGAGGCAAAACTCTCTGATACGTATAGTAGCTGCTTGGCAACTGATCGCTGGCTTGAGGGCGCGAGAGAGAGGAACAAAACTTTTACCTCGCTACAACTATTTAACAAGAGATAGCGAAGTAGGTATTCCGTATATGAGTGGATACTCCGTAATAGGCTGGACCTCGGCCGCGATGACGCATTGCCGACCTGACCTGGTCGGATCAACAGTTCCGCCGCCGGTATCGGTGCCTGTGGCTGAAAAAGTGAGGGCGACGGAGACGATCCAACCAGCGCACCACAATTACTGTTATTCACCTCCAGATCTGGTGATCGCCTCCACTCTTGCAGTCATCCCTCCCTCAATTATCACTCTCGAAGTCGCCAGACCTCAATTTACCAGGTCCCAATTTCATCCCACCACCTCACAAGTCAACCGTCCCTCACCATGGCCCTCCCCGCCCGCACCGCGTCCCTCTCGCGCTACACCAACGAGACCAAGATCCAAGTCTCGCTTTCCCTCGACGGCGGCCCCCTTCTCCCCTACGAGCCGACCACGCACTTCCCCGCCCCCTCAGACCCCAAGGAAGCCGAAGCCGCAAAGACCGGCATTGTCCCACCCAAGGACAACACCCATGCCACCCAATTCACCCCGACACAGCAGATCACCGTGAGCACGGGCATCGGGTTCCTGGATCACATGCTGCATGCGCTGGCGAAGCACTCGGGCTGGAGTTTGGCTGTTCGCGCGAAGGGGGACTTGTTCAGTACGTTCTCTCTACACCTCACTTCACTTCCCTTTACCCCCCCCCCCCCCCCCCCCCCCGCCAGTTACACCCAATCCATACATACCCATCCAGACCACTAACAAAACCCCGCCCAATTGCAGTCGACGACCACCACACAGCCGAAGACACCTTCCTAGCCGTCGGCTCAGCCTTCACTGAAGCGCTGGGCGCGCGGCAATCGCTCGTGCGATTCGGACGCGGCGACGCCCCGCTCGACGAGGCGCTGTCGTGGGCCGTCATCGACCTCTCGAGTCGCCCCTGGGCTGTCATCAACCTGGGCTTCCGCCGCGAGAAGATCGGCGACCTCAGCACCGAGATGATCACCCATGGGCTGCAGAGCTTTGCGCAGGCTGCCGGCGTCACGCTGCATGTCGGCTGCTCGTACGGCGATAATGATCACCATCGGGCGGAGAGCGCGTTCAAGGCCCTCGCTGTGGCGATTCGCGTGGCTTGTACTAGGCGCGTTGCCGGGGAGGTCGGGATGGGCGATGTGGTTAGTACTAAGGGTGTGTTGTAGATAAAATATTTCTTTTCCTTCCTTTCTTTTTTTTTTTTTTTTTTCTCTCCCCCTTTCAATAAAGGAGTTCAGTGATGTGAGAATCCATTGATGGACATGATTATGATCATGATAACGACAATGATGATATTGAAATCAAGGTGGAGGCGGAGCAGCAGGAGGGGTACTCACTATCTCAAGAGAGCTGATATGATAGCCGATAGCTTCCCAAGACCCTGATTATTGACAGTGCAGAAAGAGAAGACGCAAAAAAAAAAAAAAAAAAAAAAAAAAAAAAAAAAAGAATAGACATGTGCAATTCCAACAGACAGATACAGGACTACTCCAATATCTTAACTCCCATCCTATATCCTATCCTATCTACCCGACTCCTACACCGACACATCCACATCCACACTCCCTCTGATCAAACCCTAAGAACTAACCCCCAGAGCCTGCACCGCCCTCTCCCAATACGCCTTCCTCGCATCATTCGCGTCCGTCCCCACGCAAGACTGGATATAGGCACTCCACCCCGCCTGGGACCCGGACTGCAACTGGGTGCGCACATCCGCGCTGCACTGGGTGGTCAGGAACCACGCCCCGGATCCGAAATCGTACTCCTCGTTGCCGCGCAGCAGATCCAGGACTTTGGTTGCGTCGCTCGAGACGCCCGGCTGGGCGAGCGCGGAGGCAAGCGCCGAGATCGACGAGGCATATTTGCTGTTGAAGGTGGGGGATTGCATGTTTCGGGCTACATTCGTTCGATTTATTGTTAGGATCTGTGGATGTGGATGTGGATGTGGATGTGGATGTGGATGTGGATGTGGATGTGGATGTGGTGTGGGGTTGATTTGGGTTATAGGAAGGGAAAGGGAAAAGAAGAAGGAGGAGGAGAAGAAAAGGAAGAAACATACTCCCCTGCCCCGGCACACCTGGGAAATGATTCTTATTATACTTGAAATCATCGCTTTCGAAGGCCATCAGCGCGATGACGGCGGCTTGTTCGGCGCGCGAGCTGACATGGTACGTATCGAAGGATTTGGCGATGTTGGGCGCCGCTTGGTCGGCTGTTGCGCATTCGCCGGCTGCGGGGGGGTTGGCGCAGCTGTTGGATGTTGGGGCGATGGTGAGGATTTGGTCGGTGGTTATCCCTGATGATGATGATGATGATGATGATGAAGATGATGAAGTATCTGGGAGCAGGACCCGGCCTTTGGTGGGAGATGCAGATGTAGTGGATAGGGTTAGGAAAGGTAGGAGGGAGAGGATGGTGGTGGTTAGAATGGATGGTGATTTCATGGTTCTTTCTCTCTCTGTTTCTGTTTCTGTCTTTCTTTCTTTCTTTCTTTTTTTTTCAGGGTCAAGGAAGGGAATAAAAGAACCAAGCCGATTATGACCCTTGTACAATATTGGTGATGTATAGTATGTGTATGTGAACCCGCACGACTATTTACTTCATCAAACAGCCCGGACAAAGACAAAGACAATGGAAATAAAATAGAGTAGAAAGGGTATGCAGGATCGAGAGAGGAGAGATTCTTTAAGTAAAAGTTCATTCCCATCGCCATCGCAAATTTGGGGGATACCATTCCAGGTCCAATGCTTCGCATTCCTCAAGGTGGAGGGAGATAAAAGGGTCCCGCCGATGCGTCTCGATCAGCCAAAGAAGGCAGACGACAATGTGGCCCCCTCCCTTCGGAACCCCTTCGCGGGGGTCCAGGGTCCATCTAACGCAAGACCCCATCTGACAACATTTCGTCAATCAAAGGGCCAGGCCAGTGAGACGGGCAGTCGGTCTTTGGCTCACGGGTGGGTGTTTCAAGGAATAGCCCTGGCGAAGTCGATGGCGAAGCCGATTGGCCTGGTCGTTAGGGCGATGCGGTTACTAACTGTTACATCCTAACTTCGTGGCACGGATTCTAGGGAATTTCCAGGTTACCAGAATATCGCTTGCTGGGCGGTCGTTCCTACAGTATATCCGATATCTGTTATCTACGGGCAGTACAGCGTGCTTATATCCAATGGAACGGGAGGGCGCGCCCCCTCCACAAGCTAGGATATATAATTACGAGTTAGTATAATTATATAGAGTAAACCTGTCAATGATATACAGTCACCACCCAGCGAGACGCAAGGCAGGCCCGAAAGTCAGTCACGGCACATCGTAACCCAGAAATAATTAGACAACGTCAGACCGGTGTAACCAACTCAAACAGGTCCGGGTCCGTTCGCAAAACTCCAACCAGCAGCAATCAGAGCAACCGTCCACTGTACTCCGTATTCCGTATTCCCACCCCGTCTAATGTATGTGCGATCCAGCAAGACTCCCAATCTATACAATCTTGTACACACGCTTCGCGATACAAACAGAGGCAATCGCGAAGAGAACCAGGCCCGCCGTAACTGTGAGGACCCCCGTTAGCCCAGGATAGATAGAGTGAGGGGGGGAGAAGGAAAGAAAAAAAGAATCTTACTGGACCAGAACCATGAGAGACTGTCGACATCCTGACCCGGTACCTTTACGTTCATCCCCCACATACCGCAGATGATGTTCAACGGAAGCACAATCGTTCCTAGCACTGTCAGCTTGCCCAGCACATCGGCAGTCTGTTCCTGTCGCTCATTCATCAGGATGTTGATTTGCGCCAGGTAGTTGGAATGGGCACGCGACAGAAGCCTACACAGTCAGCATCACACTATCCGGAATTGGGGGTCACACATACGTTTCATAGTACGTCAGACTGCTGGTCATCGTCATGATGTGATCCTGAATATCGCCAAGGTAGAGTCCAATCTCAGACTTGGGGGCCACTTCCCATTGCTCGTTGCATCGCTTGGCAAACCCCTTGACAACATCCGCCTTATTGCTCAGCAAACGGTACATCCCCATCACTTTCTTACGACACACTCCCACTCGCCGGAGCATTTCTCCCGGAGCGAGAGAGGTGGCCACGCTATCGTTGTCGGCTTCCTTGTTGCTGGACTCCATCCCCCGCTCGTCGGCGTGCATCTGCATAATCTTTTCGTCGATTTCGTCGACCTCATCCTCAATTGCCTGGATTAGAGGCCCGAAGACGTCCGTGATGTCGTCAATCAGGGCATACGATATCCAATCCGAGCTCAGGATCAGATAGTCCATCAGCTGACGGATACGTCGACGGACATTCGCCGGATGAGGCGTTTGTGAGAAGTGGAAAGAGAGCACCCCCTCCCGGAATACAACCACATACATATTCACGGGCTGCAGGTAACTTTCGCTGTTGGGGTCCTGCTCAAACGTGCGGTAGTTGACAAAGTAGTAGTTCCGGAACAGCTCGACCTTCTCCCGCGCTTCCTGCATCATGATGTCCTCCGTCGTCAAGGCGTGGATACCAAACGCTTTGGCAAGTACTCGCATCTCCGTGTCCGTTGGGGAGAGAACATCCAGCCAGAAAGTCGGGCGAGGCCCATATCGCTTGGTCTTTTCCTGGGCCGGCTTTGGTAGGGGGGAGGCGTCTGCCGAAGTGCGTGCTTCCGAGACCGCCTCACTAATGACTGACGTCCGAGGCTGTTGCTTTTGATGATTGTTATGATTAGTGTAGATGGTATTGCTGTGGTTGTTACCAGGCGGCGATGTGACCCGAATCCCATTTCTAGGGCCAAGATAACTCGGGTGGCTGTGATCCGCTGCGTCTTCGTTCAAAGGGTGATTCGACTCGATGTCATCTTCATCGGAGGAGACATCCAATTCGGGAGGCTCGGGAATAAAGAGCTCGCGGAAGCTACCGCCAGGCTGGCATAACTCGGATATGGTCTGCGCGTGGATAGTGCTCTGAAACTCTTCGTTGAAATACGTGAACCGGTACGGAGCCTCCTCCTCCTCGCGTCGCCAGAGCCGGTACTGCGGGCGAAGACGGCCCTCGACAAGCATGGGCTCGTTGATCTTCTTCGCACGGAAAGCACCGGATCGTTCCTCTTTTTCCTGGCGGCTCCAGTCCTCCAGTACTGACAGATCCGGCCACTCCCTTAGTCGACGCCTCCGACGATGACCTTCTCTGGCCGCCCTTAGCGCATCTTCGTCGGCTAGTTCCGAAACTTCCTCAGTGGGGAAGCACACATCCTCTTCAGCCGGGAAGGTTGTCCGGCGACGGAGACGCTCCTGAGGCGCAAGGTGCGGCGACGTTGGGGACGACCCGGCTGACTGGTTGGTATGATTGTTGGCCCCATCCACATCAATTAACAAGTCATGCGTCCGAGCCAGTGCTTCCATCCGGTTGTCAATTGACTTGGCCAGGGAGAAGTCAAACTCGGCCCCCGTAACCACTGCATCGTCGTAGTTCATCTCGGGTCCTATCTTAGGGGACGACGGCATGGATGGGGGGTTATTGATGTCATAGTCACGATCGGGGTCAGCCATTCCGGGGCTTGGTATGGCACGAGGCGAGCATCGAGACGAGTTTGAATGGAGAGACGATCGTCGCTGGCGGAACGATAGCGGGCTCGACTTGGAATCGGTCCCGTATCGCGGTAACCCATTCTTATGACCCGAGGATGGCCGTATCAATGGGGTCCTATCGTTCACTTGTTCCGCGTCACTGTCATTCTCCATCTGATATGGTCGAGCTCCGGATGGGGGGTAACGGGAACCCGTGTCGGCAGGACGAAAAGGGGAGGACAAGGAACCGGGCCGGTAGGATTGGGCCAGGCGGCTCTCTCGTCGGGGCCGCATCGAGGATTGATAGCTATGCCGATGACGTGGTTAGCGACTGCAGTCCTGGAGGACCACGCGGGAGGGGTAGTACAACGTACCGATGGTCGAGCAAGGCTTCACTCTCCAGACTAGTAGTGCTCAGGTCCCTGCCTAGCTTGTAGAAAGGCAAAGTCCCCTGGGGCTTGTCCTGATCGGCCGCCACGGTGGCTATGTTCTCTGCGTCAGGGACCGAGGCATGGGCAGAGGCGGGAAGGGGCTCCTCTGCAGCGAGAAACGACTGGCGGCGATGACGACGCTTCCGATGACGAGGTTTTTTCCGTTTGGCAGACTTGGGTGTTCCTGACCTGCTGTCCGCGCCATCATGCGGCCTCACCTCCGAGCCGGGGGTCTCGTAGCCCCGGGGGGTTGCCGACTGGGTTTCGGCGGGTCGGCCGTTGTGCGCGGAGTGCTTGCTGGGACTGGGAGCGGTCTGATGCGGAGTGGACGGTGAGCGGTTCATTGTAATGGATGGCCTCGAGGGGGCGGATGCATGCACGGGGATCGGCCGAAAGAAAGGGTCACCCAGACTACCCAGTAGGCGTTATCTCAGTGGATACCGCGGCAATCGACTCGGGGGGAGGGAGGCGCAGGCGATTCGGTGAGCGCGTGGAGGGGAAGCGAAAGGGGGGGGGGGCAGGGTTGCAGGAATAAGGATAGTAAGGATAGAGCACGCAAGGCCAAGGTTCATGCGGAGGAAGCAGCAGCAAGCCTGGTAGGGCTCAGCATGGCCAGACAATTCATCGGGGCGCCAGGCGAGAAGCGATTGGAGATCGGCGAGCGAGGGGCGAGGCGTGGTGGAACATGAGGCGGCAAGGGCGATAGTTGCAGGCAGTCAACGAGAGCTGAAGGGTGGGGGGAGGTGACAGCAGTCAAGAAGGAATCGGCTGGCCAGGAAGTGCCGGGGGGGGGGGGGGGGAGGAAGACCAAGAACCAAGGCTGAGGGGTAGACAGATAGTATACTTTGTAGTAGGAGTGACTACTCGAGTCGAAAACCGGGCGAGAAGCTGGGAAGCCAAGGCTTGGTGTCATAGCTTCGAGGCCTGAGCTAGTCCGCTTTGGGCCTCCGTTGACGGCGTGACGGCGTGACGGCGTGACGTAAGTCGGCTCTCCCAAAGTGCATCACGTGTCATGACACGTCCTCCGTGTTCAGTCACATGTGGTCAGGTGATATGAGATTCCCCGCTAGTACTATCCGGGATGCATAACATCACGTGGTTTGGGTCCGCGGACAACCGGTACTTATAGTACTACTCCGTACTACTCCGTACTCTGTATTACTCCGTAGGTTACTCCGTACGCCCACTACCACTAACTATACCTATCCAAGTACCTACCTACCTAGGTAAATACTAGTAGTCTATCCACCTCCACTCGTCTATGCAGGTGAACGACGTGATTACTCCGCTATATGATTCTCCAGCCGGCCTCCGACGGCCTCTCCAACTTCCCCTCACGACCCAGTGCTTACCTACCTGAACAGGATAGTCCTCAGCTGGAGACCCTCTGCTGCCAGCGAATAAGCAATGAATGCCAGCATTCCCAATCATGCAATCCACCGACCCTATCACAATGCTGCCTAAAGTGCATACAGCAGGTCTGCAGGCCTTTCTGCAACGTGCAATGTCCATTTCCACGCCGACAGATAAAGGCCATGCGTCCCCAGCCAACTCTCACGGCCTACGCTGCACTCACACTCGATTGAATATTCTCTCACTCTTCTCGAGAACTGAGAGGACATCATGCGTGCGACAACAGCAGTTGTTTCACTAGTACTGCTGGCTGGATCGGCCGCCAGCTTGCAGAATCCCCATCGCCGAGATGTGCCCGCACCTCTCCAGCGTCGGAGCTTGGCTTCTCAGGCAGTGACCATGGAAAGCAAGACTGGGGATTATGAATACCTGACCAACAAGACCGCAAGTGCGTATTCCCTATCATCCATCATCCCGCGCAAGTGTGCGTGTGCATGTGCATGTGCGTGTGCATGTGCCTAACCATCGTCACCCACAGGGTTCGTGGTCAATGGAACCAGCATCCCCGAAGTCAATTGGGACATCGGCGAGTCCTACGCCGGTCTTCTTCCCAATACGCCTGCCGGTAACACCAGCCTTTTCTTCTGGTTCTTCCCCTCGCAGAACCCAAAGGCTAGCGATGAGGTTTGTCTTCCTCCCCCCCCCCAACATGTCCACCTCCCCCAACTCACGAGATAGATCACCATCTGGCTCAACGGTGGCCCAGGATGCAGCTCCCTAGACGGTCTGATTCAGGAGAACGGCCCGTTCCTCTGGCAGGAAGGCACTTACCAGCCTGTGCCCAACCCCTACTCCTGGACCAACCTGACAAACGTGGTCTACGTTGACCAACCCGCGGGCACGGGCTTTTCCCCCGGCCCCCCGACTGTCAACAACGAGGACGATGTGGCTGCTCAGTTCAACAGCTGGTGGAAGCATTTTGTCGATACCTTCGACCTCCACGGTCGCAAGGTGTACATCACGGGTGAAAGCTACGCGGGCATGTACATTCCCTACATCTCCTCCGCCATGCTGGACCAGGAGGACACGACCTATTTCAACGTGAAGGGTATCCAGATCAACGACCCATCCATCAACTCCGACTCGGTAATGACCTACTGTATGTCCGCCCCCCTCTCACTCCCTGCCACCTCTCAAACACTAACAAACACCCTCTAGCCCCGGCAGTCCGCGCACTGAACCATTTCAGCAACATATTGGCACTCAACTCCACCTTCCTGTCCTACATCAACGAGAAAGCCGACGTATGCGGGTACAACGCATTCCTCGACGAAGCGCTCACCTACCCACCCCCCAGCCCCTTCCCCACCGCCCCCAACATCACCGACGACTGCCTCGTGTGGGACGAGATTGTGATGGCCGCCTACAACGTCAACCCCTGCTTCAACTACTACCACCTGATTGACTTCTGTCCCTACCTGTGGGATGTGATGGGATTCCCGTCCCTCGGCTTCGGCCCGAACGACTACTTCAACCGGACCGACGTGCAGAAGGTCCTCAACGTGCCCCCCACCGACTACTCCATGTGCTCTGAGACCAACATGTTCCCGAACGGCGACTCCTCCGCGCCCAGCTCCTGGGGCCCCCTTCCCGGTGTCATCGAACGCACCAACAACACCATCATCGGCCACGGATGGCTCGACTTCCTGCTCTTCTACAACGGCTCCCTCATCACCATCCAGAACATGACCTGGAACGGCAAGCAGGGCTTCCAGGACCCTCCCGTCGAACCCCTCTTCGTTCCCTACCATTACGGTCTCGCCGAGCTGTGGGAGGGTACCGAGCCCTACCCGTATAACCTCGACGCCGGCGCCGGATACCTCGGTACGGCGCACACCGAGCGCGGTTTGACTTTCAGCTCCGTATACTTGTCTGGTCACGGTACGTTTGCATTTCTTCCTTCTCTTTCTATAATTTTTTCTTTTTGGCTCTGGGAACTCGGCGATGCAAATCGTCTTCCTGACTTATCTTCCTAACTGGCCGGCTGACTGGCCGGCTAATGCTGATAACTTACTAACTTGACTATCCGTCTTAGAAATCCCGCAATACGCTCCCGGCGCAGCCTACCGCCAGCTGGAGTTCCTTCTGGGTCGCATCAGCAGTCTCCAGGACCAGGGTCCCTACACTACTGCATGATGCAAATGCAGTGAATTGGGTGTATATTCCGTAGGAATGATGTGATGCGATTCGATGATATAAGATGATGTGAGATTATATGTATGACACGAGACGAACTGGGCTTGGGAGATAGCCGCATGTGACAGTAGCTGGATTCATGTATAGTTGGTTGAATACCTAATGTAGGGAAGGATCTATCTGTATCCTGTACAGCTGAACAAATTATTCATTAGTATGGCATGGCATGGCATGTGCATGCACTATACGTAACTATGACACCTAGTAGTAATTAAGGTAGCTGGAAGGTCTCAATTCTATTTCAAAAAAAAGAAAAAAAAAAAAAAAAAAACAATGTGTGCGTGCGTATATTGTTTCTATCGATCATTGTTGTTACTACACAAAATAAAATCTCATACGCTCATAACCTATCTATCCAAGTACAGCGAAGAGAAGAAAATGGGGTCGTAGGATTCATATTGTCAATGGTGTCGGGTGGGTCTTCCACGCAACCGTTTGCCAGATTAGTATCCCAAACAGGCGAAAGAGTTAGATATAGATAGATACTACGGCGTTCTCGCGCCCTCCCCAATGCCCATCAACCCACCGGCAAGCCCACTCATTCGACGATCAAGCAAGTCCTCCTCACTGGCGAGACTGGTCAGGCTGCGGTTACGCTCGCGCAAGGGGGCGGGACTCCGAGGCTTGGAGATGAACCCCTCGGCGGAAGGAATGCTCAGCTTGGAGGGGACAAGATGTTGTTGTTTTCGGGCGAAACCAGGCCGGAGAGGACGGCCCCGCGAAACGCTTCGGATTCGCTCGTTCTTCGCGTGCATAGCGTCGGGATTTGCGGGGTCCTGGCTGTGATCGATCGGGGCACTGGCGCTTCGGGCCACGGGTGTCAGTGGGGTGAGCTTGCTGATGCCCATTTCCAACGGTTTGTCTTCGTCGGCGGAAGATTCGCCGGTTAGATGGCGGGTGTGGTTTCGGGCGCGGCCGCCGCGAAGAGCGGGCTTGGAGCCTTTGGGTAGTTGGGAGGTGTTGTAGAGGGATTGCAGGAGACTGGAGGACCGTTTGGCGTGGGCGATCTCGAAAAGGTCCTGGATCCACGTCGCGCAGCGATAGATGTGTTTCCAGCTATCTGGGAAGAGCCCGGCCATTTGCATGAACCCGTGGGAGATTCCGGGGAGTAGCGAGACTTCGACATGGTCTTTCTCGTTGAATAAGCGATAGGACCTCTCGAGACCGAGCTCTTGGCGTTCTTGGAATTGGCGGAGCTTGGCCTGTCTTAACCGCCCGGCGAAGATCACGGTGTCGTCAACAAGGGGGTCGCGCTCTCCGGTGATGAAGTATGTTTTGGGGAAATTGGCCAGAAGAGCCTCGGGAGCCAGCGCTGGGGAAAGCAGATAATCCGTGTTGAAGTCGGGACGGTTATGAGGCCCAATGTAGAGAATGATCATTGCTCTCATCATCTCCGGTGTCAGGATCCGATCGCTCACATACGAGATCACTGATGACACGGCTAGTCGAGTGCGAATCTGCTTGGGCTGGTGCTCAGCAACGGCCGCTGCCTCCGCTGCATGGACATCTAGCCTTTGTTGCTGTGCAAGTTTCTTTGAAGCAATGTCACCCAAATTACTTCCCTCCTCATCGGCGTCAGAAAAGGAGTCATGCTGGAAATCTCCAAACGAGGTGCCTGGGGAGGTGTAAGGAGTCAAGCGGTGGTAGTCCATATCCTTCCTACGAAGGACGTTCTCGTTCGTGCGCCGCGTGCTCTTCTCTTGGATTAATGACATCTGTTCCTCTGTCATCCAGCTCTCTATTTTCATGTTCAATGCGGGGTAGGCCAGAACCAGCCCATCTGGTGGCGGAAGCACGTTTTGGCTCTGCCAGTGTGAGGCATCACTGGTGCCAGATTGGAGTATCATCAGCGTGACGCCAGTAGCAAGATTTCCGCCAGCACTGTCGCCTGCAAGAATAACGCTAGGGCGTGTTCGCCCGTTGAGTCCGAGGCAGCGACCCCGGGTGGATACAATAGTATGATACACATCGTAGCATTCGTTCAAAGCGTATGGGTACGGATACTCCGGAGCTTTCTTATAGTCGAGGCTCAAGATCGGAACCTTCGTCTTAGCAGCCCATGCTAGCAGCCGGTCTTCGGAATGGCGAGGGCTCATTGAAACAAATCCACCTCCAGGGATATCCAAGACAACGCAGGTTTGATCCCGTAGCGCGGTTAGAGGGCCATCGAAGTAAAGCCATGCACTGGTCGGCTCGTCGTATATTGACGACGGTGGACGAGGAATTCGGATCGCACGGGGAGGGTATCTGGTGAGTCGTGGGCGTACCAGACTAGCAAGGGTCCAGAGATACGGTGTGGTACTCTTATTCCATGATACACGCATATGCTCCACAGTCAGTGTGGCCCGTACCCGGCGCACTTTCTCGTCCGCCCGCTCTGCTGCGATAATGTAATACCCCGAAAAGACCATGGAGGCAATATCCCTGAGCCATTTTGGCTTGACTCCCATTGCCGTCCAAAAGCCAGCATCTAGCGCTGTGGTGAGCCATGTTGCCCGGAAGAAAGAGCGCGAGTACAGATTTGCCATGGGTTCGGGACACTCAAGACCGACGATCTTCGCAAAGTTGCGGGAGACATAGAGCCAGAGGAAGACGATGACTGTGGTTTGCCAGACGCTCAGCTTTTCCGAAAGGCGGGAGGAGAATCTGCGGACAACAGGAGGGCCATGCTTGTTTCCTCTGCGAAACATTTATTAGCAAACAAAACAGCCAGTATATATGTGGCCAGAATCGACATGCCTGAATAGATATAGCGACCAGAATAGGAATACAGCAAGGACCTGGATCTTGCGGAACTTGGTGGACGGTCTCCCGAGGAGATGGTCTGGATATCCTCCTGCTTAGTTTGGTTGACAACAAACCATCTGTTCGACTTCAGCCTACCTATCATATTCCCGGCCCTTCCAGGGAAATAGAAATCGACAGTCTATAGTAAAAGGAATAGAAATCCATGCAGCGGCGCGATCAGATCGAGCGTGGATAAGGAGAGAGAAGCAATCACACAGAGGTTTCCATGTTGGGTGCGGCGAATGGTATTAACAAAGGAGTACAGATCTAGGAAGGATAAAGAATGTTCGGAAGCAGAGATTCCGTGGAGGAACAGGAAAAGGGCCACGGTCTAGCACGAGAACAATCAAGAGCCCGCAGGACCCGAATTGTGGGATTGTGTGGTGGCCAAGTAACCAATATACAGAGTATGGGGAAGATGGAAATGAGGGCGGAGACGGTTGGCATCCATGGATCAGCAGCCAGGAAATGCATGTGAAACCCCCACCAGGCACTGGCGGGCTGAATGGCTGATCTGGCCATTCTTCTTATTGGGATTATGCGGGCCCACACTGCTGCAACAACCGGGGTAGTGGGGGACTCTAGTCAGAGGACCAGCAGTGATCGCTGACTGCATGGCGGAGGAAGCCAGAAGGAATGAATGACGAGTCGCTGGCATCATCGCGGTCGGCACGGGATCGCCCAGCATCACATGTCAGCCAGCCCCAATCCCGTGACGCCACGAAGTCATGTGAGCCACCTCTTCCATTAGTTAGTATGTGCGAAGCACGAAGTACTTATTTGTTTTGGGTATCTAGCAGCAATACGTGAGTGATGCGCCCGACAGCTCAGCTCAGCTTAGCTCCACTCTGCCTCTCGTCACAGCTTCCGACACCAGTCCCTTCCATGGGCATCCTGCCAATCACAAAGCCAGACCTCAAGCACCATACTGATAAACCCGGCAATGCAGATACCTGCCGAGTCACTGACGGTTGTTGCCCCGAGAGAGAACTCTCGGTCTTCCTTGGGAACTCGGTCCCCGATCTCCGCGAACGTATTAACGTAGACCAGCCCGCCCAACAACCCTTCCCAGAAGACTATGGCAAAAATGATGTACACACTTGGGATGAATCCAATCACGGCGTGCGCGGTCAATACAGCCAGGTTGACAATCTGCAACAAGGAGGGGAGGTACAGATTATGGATGCGAAAAAAAGGGGTGGACGATCGCGAGATGAAGACGCCAACCTGGTAGATCGCGTTGTATGCTGGGTAGAAAGCACGGTAATGCTCAAACGGCGAATCCTCGAGGGCAAAGAGTAGGGTCGGGGAGACCCCTTGGTTGATCGTGTACTCGGCGACATAGACTAATAGGAGCGGAAGCATACTTGGCAATCCAGTAAGCAGATTTGACGTTAGCGTTAGAGCTCAGGCGTATACTTACAACGGAAAGAACAGCCCTTTAGCCCGCTGTAGATTGGCCTTGAAAGCATGCCATCCAATGCCTCCCTCACCATCGTCAGTTTTCTTGGGGCCCTGGCCCAAGCGAAGGGAGGAGCTAAGCAGCCCTTCCGTTTCATCCAGAGGATCATGAGGATCCTCTGCTCTGATTGCACGATATTCGGCGGTTCCTACTCCTGCCAAACGCATCGGCGATCTTGGCAGAATTACAAAGAAACTCATAATCATGATAGCTGGCAAGCAAGCCGACGCCAAAAGCGTTGCCTTGACACTGAATCCCAAGGAGGTAGTGGCTAGCGCATACGCACCGGCACCGACCAGTCCAGCTGCCCCAGTGCCACTGCCCCAGGCAGCCAAGCTGAATGGCCCATAAAAATGCGTCATTCCAAGGAAGCTCAATTCACCTCCTCCGCTGGACAAGCTGGCCAGAATGATGCCCGCAATCTTTGTGGATATTGTACCGCCATCGGTATACGCCGGGCTCAACGCGATGAGGAGCATGCCTGTCGCGGAACAGAAAACAAAGAACATTACCCGGACAGGGTATGGTACGCTCTGGATAAAGTAGGGAGCGACCAGTTTTGTTCCAAACGAGGGGATGACGTCTGCGAGAAGGACAACTCCCTTGGGGACACTAGGCCCGACCAGGTCAAGGGCAGCGGAAAGGATTATAACGTAGAGGACATTGTTTATCAGACCTAGATTGACTCGCATCCTAGGTTAGTGACCCGGGGATGCCTCCATATCAGTTCATGAGTCTACGGACAGCTTACCAAGTAACCAGAATGCGACGCACACTCTGGGGTCAGCGCCATGGAACAATCCACGAAATCGTTCTTGAAGCCGGGACCATGACGAGGTCACCAGGATCCCAGACAGAGACAACATTGATGGTCTGTCTGCTTCAGGAGCTGAAGACATAACCGGGGGTGATAAGGGGATCTGGTTCTAGTACGCTACAAAAGAAATCGTAGTGTAGACACAGGACGAAGTATAGACCATCAGGAGCAATGCAGTCAAGGGGTAGAGCTGCCGGAGTCGAACATGGCGATCATGGAGCTTCTGGGCGGTGAGTTGATGATGATGCTGAAGATGCTGGGGAGATCACCTGGCATCATCACCTGGCTGGAAGCGGGCCTGCCACGTGACAGGTTGCTCCATATGGATGCGATAGGCCGTTCAGATAACAACTCGGACCAACTCCCTATGCGTATCCACCGGATTGCTTCAAAGAACGCAGAGTAAACAATAGCCCCAGCATCTCAGGGCAGCTTAGTCCCAGTACTCCCAAAGGAAGAAGTCCAGACCGCTCGAGGACACTACATCGTACAGAACAGCATCGATGTCGATCTATTGGAAGCCGCACCAGCCACCCACGCATTTGGGCGTCTCCGCCTTCTGAATTAGGACACATACTGGCAGAATTCTTCCCTGTATCATCAGGTCTCACACAATCGCTGCCTGTATATTTAGGCTGCCAATGTTTAGCCTATTCGCATCTTGCACAGAACACACGTTGATATCACCCAGCCTAGACGCACGGTCCCAATCTGAATAGTTAGGCATAGCTTATTTGCGTGCGTCACATATTCAATTTGTCTAACTACCTACTTGTCTACCAGTCTAAAGCACATTGGATTCTACTTTATCAACATCCCAATCAGAAAGGCGGGGGTCAAACCCGACTTGCTCCGTACTGCTCCGTACTGCATGCTATCATTTCATCCCGACATCCGCCGCTCCGCAACTTCTTGCTCCAAACCACCCACATCCCACCGAAGAGAAAAAAGTCCCGATACATCATACCTCTAAACAACGAATAACGGCCACAATGTCCCTCCGCACCCTCCACGCCCTTCGCACGAAACCCACCTTCACTCTCCACCTCCCCACCCGCCTGTTCTCAACAAACACCACGTTCCTTTCAGTTTCCGACAACGCCCCCTTTGGATTCCCCCGCTCCCCCGCCCCCCCGCGTCTCCCCAAGGAAGACCAAGAGATCTTCGAGGAACTTCAACGCAAATCCACCGGCGCATTCAGTACTCCGCGCGTCAATCAATCGCCCGACGCGGAGCCCGCCGCGGCGGCAACGGCAGCGGAGATCAACGCCACAGGCAAGGGGGAGGAGCTCCATCCGGATATAAAAAGCGGACCGAAGCCTGAGTTTGAGGGAGAGAAGAATCCCAAGACAGGGGAGGTGGGGGGACCGAAGAATGAGCCGTTGAGGTGGGGAGCTGAGGGGGATTGGAGTTATGGGGGGAGGGTGACGGATTTTTGAAGTATAGAAGTGGTTTTTTTTTTTTTTTTGCATGGATAGCGCTGGGCATATGGCTTCTTCATGGTGGTTTCTTAAAGAGACCCTCAACCCTCTCCTCTCCTTCATCGGTGATCTTTTATAGTATGAAAGAGATTATGTCAGGCTGATTAGTTAGTCTGCAGTCCTTTATGAAGTTGTGTCAGTCCCTCTTCTTCTCACTTCCCATATTGAAAGCTCTTGAATTGAACATCAATATATCAACCAATATTCTCCCTACTAACCTTCTTACTACATGTCCTGTGTGTATACAGCTCCGTGCGAAGTACTCCGTACAGGCAACGGAAAACGGTGCCTCACCAATGGCCAATCAGAGGTCCCACCTGAGCACCCCGCTTCAACCTAGTGCGCTCGGCTGTCGGCTGGATTGCCCCCTTGGTCAGTTTCACCTTTCAATGGGGGTTGACACAGTTCTCTATGAGTGAGTAGTTTCTAATAGTACCCGGTGGGTAGCTAGCAGTAATGTGCCTGGAGTATACATTACCGAAATTTCCTGTTTGACTCAAAGCATAGTACTCTGTGTATCAATACTAATACCCTATACTCACGTGCTAGACTAAGTAGTACTCTCTCTCGTCGAGAGCGGTTAAGCACGGGCCGACGGGAAAGCCGCCCCCGGACCGAGGCTGGGCGCGCCCCAGCATTATCCCTCCTCACGCTCACCTCCTTCCACCTCACTCTCCTGCCATTACGAAACTCCTTTGTCAACTGCAGTTAACCCCCTATCGGCGGGACTTTCGAATCCAGATCATGCTCCGTTCAGTTTCTCGTCGACTTCCTCGGCGAATCCCCCGTCTCTCGTCGACCGCAGGCGGTCCTGGTCCAGCTTATTGCGCCCTGCGCACCTTCACGCGGATGCCGGCATCACAATCCCCTATTGACCCCGCCACGCCACCCGCACAACTGCCAGGCGATTCCTATCAACTCCTGTCAACGGCTGACAAGACCGGTTCAGCCGAAGATGCTCTATTCGACCAGCAGATCAAGGATGTCGAGGCATGGTGGAAGTCTCCGCGGTTTGAGGGGATCAAGCGTCCCTACTCCGCCGCGGATGTGGTTAGCAAGCGGGGCACTCTGCAACAAACATACCCGAGCTCGTTGATGGCAAGAAAGCTTTTTAATCTGCTGAATGAAAGAGCGGCAGAGGGAAAGCCGGTCCATACAAGTAAGCTGGCTCGCTGGCTACAGTACAGGCCGAGGCCCACATGCTAACTCATTCCCCCTCCCAAGTGGGTGCCATTGACCCGGTTCAGATGACGCAGCAAGCACCAAACCAGGAGGTTCTGTACATTTCCGGCTGGGCTTGCTCCTCTCTCTTGACTACTACCAACGAAGTCTCGCCCGATTTCGGTGACTATCCGTACAATACCGTTCCAAACCAAGTCCAGCGATTGTTCAAGGCCCAGCAACTGCACGATCGGAAACAATGGGATGCTCGGAGAAAGTTGACGCCGGAAGAACGCAAGACCACACCGTACGTTGATTACTTGCGGCCGATTGTGGCGGATGGCGATACAGGGTATGTGCCCCTTCTTGGTACTGGAGGGTAAGGGTAGCTGGTTAATGTCTTACAACAGGCATGGTGGCTTGTCCGCTGTGTTGAAGCTGGCTAAGCTCTTTGCCGAGAACGGGGCTGCTGCTGTCCATTTCGAAGATCAACTTCATGGTGGGAAGAAATGCGGCCACTTGGCAGGCAAAGTGCTTGTACCTATGGGAGAGCACATAAACCGACTGGTTGCGGCCCGCTTCCAATGGGACATGATGGGCGCGGAGAACCTGGTTATTGCTCGGACAGACTCGGAGAGTGGACGCCTAATCAGCAGCGCGATTGACGTGCGCGACCATGAATTCATCCTTGGCGTCACGGAGGACGTCGAGCCCCTGGCCGAGACTTTGCAGGCCATGGAGCGCGAGGGAGCTTCTCCTTCGGAAATCAACACTTACGAGTTGGACTGGGTTAAGGGACATACGCTTGTCACTTTCGACGAAGGTAAGCAGTCTCTCCCACCATTCATTCATTCATTCATCCTAGCGCTATCCATCCTGACTTCCAAACCCCTCAACAGCCGTCGACGCGCACCTCAAAGCAGAAGGCGCCCCTCAGTCCGCCCGGGACGCTTACAAGAAGCGCGTCACCGAGAACCCTGACCTATCCTTCTCACGCCGAAGAGCCCTGGCCAGTGACTACTCCAAGACGCCCGTAGTCTGGTCCTGCGATATTCCCCGCACACGGGAGGGATTCTACCACTACCAGGCCGGCTTCCCGGCCGCCACCAAACGAGCAAGGGTATTTGCGCCTTATGCGGATCTCCTCTGGGTGGAGACAGGCGATCCCGACGTCTCCAAGGCCGCCAACCTAGCCGGCGAGGTGCGCAGCGCCTACCCTGGCAAGAAACTCGTCTACAACCTGAGCCCGTCATTCAACTGGATGGGCCAGGGCTTCGACGAGGCGTCTCTCAAGTCTTTTGTCTGGGATCTGGCTAAACATGGGTACGTTTCATGCAACCAACCAACCTTTTATAACCCCCTCCCCATCCCCCTCGTCAAGCTAATGAATGCATTCTAATCCATCTACGAATATACAGCTTTGTCCTCCAACTCATCTCCCTCGCCGGCCTGCACACAAACGCCACCATCACCACCGAACTATCCCGTGCGTTCAAAGACGAGGGCATGCTCGCTTACGTCCGCATGGTCCAGTCGCGCGAGAAAGAGCTCGGTGTCGATGTCCTGACGCATCAGAAATGGAGCGGTGCTCCGTACATGGATGGCATCTTGGGCGCTATTCAGAGTGGCAGTAGTAGTAGCAGGAGTATGGGGCAGGGGAATACGGAGACTGGTGAGTTTGATTGATTGATTTATTGATTGAAATGTGCGAGATGCTAATTTCTTATGTAGGCTTTTAGGTTGGGCTATGCTAGGCTGGGCGAGGCTGGGCTGGGCTGGGCTGGGCTGGGCTGGTGTAGCGTCCCTGGGGCTTGGGCATCTTGGGTTGTATTGTACATAGTGATTGGTTGAGTTAGGTAGATAATCATTAGGTGATGGAGTCATTAAGCCACAACGTACCTACCTACCTACCTACCTACCTAAAACTGGCAGGTAGTCTTTCCCATACAAACTATAGTGCTTGAAGGCGTCACTACATGAAGAAAAGGAGAGATGTGGTTACAGGTCTGCCAGACAGAACTATCAATATTTTCAACCCGTGATGTAGGTAGGTAGGGAAACAGCTAGATGATTGTTGCAAGCATTATATACGTCTTTCGCTTCATCTCGACCCTTTTCAGGCGCTGGTGCTAAATAGCAGCACCGCACCGCACCAGCATCAACTAAAGAGTTACTGGTATAGTCGATCGACTTGTCCGTTCAGGAAATGTGTTTCAAAGCCAGCTCCTACAGAGGTGGAAGAACATAGGATAATAACAACAAAAAAAAAAGTAGGATTTTTCCATCAAACGCCGAAAATGCAACAAGAACTAAATATGCCATGCAAATGGGGAATAGTGATGCCAACTCATAAAGAGCTAAGCGTTGCTCGGGTACTCCACCTTGTAGGTGGGGATGAACTCCTCCTTGATCGACCGCAGGCTCACGAACCGCGACAGCAGGTTGCCGCTGCCGGCCTTGTCGTTGGTGCCGCTGGCGCGCGCACCACCAAAGGGCTGCTGGCCCACCACGGCACCGGTGCTCTTGCAGTTGATGTAGAAGTTGCCGGCGGTGTTGCGGAGCAGGTCATCCGCCGTCTGGAGGACCTCGCGGTCCTGCGCGAAGATAGATCCGGTCAGAGCGTACTCGCCGGTCTGGTCGATCTTCTCACACATCTTGGCGAAGTCGGCCTCCGTGGCGTCGGGGTAGGTGTGGACGACCAGGACCGGGCCGAACAGCTCGCGCGAGAGTAGAGGGTGGTCCGGGTTGGAGGTGCGATAGACGGTCGGCTGGATGTACCAGCCCTTGGAGGAGTCGTAGGTTCCACCGGCCACCAGCTCCAGCTCGGGGTCGTTCTTGGCCTCATCAATGACCTTGGACAGCTTGTTGAAGGAGGCCTCGTGGATGACAGGGCCGCAGAAGTTGGTGAAGTCGGTGGGCTCGCCGACCTTGAGACTCTTAGTCTCGGCCGCGACCTGCGCGAGGAACTCGTCGGCAATGGACGCCGCGACGTAGGCGCGGGAAGTGGCACTGCACTTCTGGCCCTGGAACTCAAATGCACCGCGCACGGTCTGCACAGCTGCGTTGCGGACATCCGCCGACTTGTGCACCAGGTGGAAGTTCTTACCGCCCGTCTCGCCGACGATGCGGGGGTAGCTGCGGTACTTGCCCTCGGCCACGCCGTTGGCAATCTGGCCGTACAGGCTGCGGAACACGGCCGTGCTGCCGGTGAAGTGGAGGGCCGCGAAGTCGGGGTGGTCGAGGACCGTGTTGGTCACCTCCGCCGCATCGCCGGGGACGAACTGGATGACGTTCTTGGGCAGACCGGCCTCAAGCAGGATCTGGTGGACGAGCCAGTTGGAGGCAATGGCGGACGGAGACGGCTTCCAGACAACGACGTTACCCATCAGGGCCGGGGCGCCAGCCAAGTTACCGCCAATGGCGGTGAAGTTGAAGGGGCTGATGGCGTAGACGAATCCCTCCAGGGGGCGGTATTCCACGCGGCTGGTCTGGTTAGTGTTGTCATTGAAGCAGTTGGGAGCTACTCACTTCCACACGCCCGGAGCATGGTGAGCGGGCTGCTGAGCATACAACTCCTCGGCGTACTTGACTCCGAAGCGGAAGAAATCGCACAGCTCCGCAGCGGAGTCGATCTCAGCCTGCCAGGCATTCTTGCCCTGGCCGTGCATGGTCAGCGCCATGATGTCGTAGCGGTACTTGGTCGCGATCAGGTCGGCCGCCTTGAGGAAGATGCTGGCACGGTCGGCGAAGGAGGTGGCGGCCCACGACTTGCGCGCAGCGAGGGCAGAGTCGATGGCGGTCTTGACGTCGGCGATGGAGGCGTTGGCGTAGGTGGCCACGGGGGCGTGGGAGGAGGGGTTGCTCTGGGTTTCGGACTGGGCGCTCTTGATCTGCTGAGAGTTAGAGCTGGTTTGTCGCGGACCAATTCCGTTGTCTAACCTCCTGTCCGGCAATCACCAAGGGCACGCTAAGGGGAGCACTCTGCTTGGTCTTGAGGAGGGCCTCCTCGAGGGCCTTGCGGTCGGGAGATCCGGGGGCGTAGTGTTTCTGCGAGCATGAGCATGAGCATGAGATAATTGAAGCGACCAATAGATGAGGATACTCACGTTGGGCTCGTTGTCAATGCGAGGCACCTTGAAGGTCGCGTAGGAACCCATGGCACGGACGCTGGGGCGAACGAGACTGGGAGAGGGGCACTTTAGGGACAGGCCCCGGGCACGCAGGAGGAATGAGGACTGCATGATGGATGTGCTTCTGGGTGTAATGGTGAATGAAGCGAAATCCGAGGGAATCACAGAAGAGAAGGGAGTGAGGAGAGAAGAGAGGAGTGAGGAGAAAGACGGGCGCGCGGGGAAGCTCCGATGATATAGTCCGGCCGATGAGAGGCCGCTTACTGCCGGTCGGTTAGTCAGCTGGGTGTGAGGAGTCTGCTTTTAAGACTGGCGGTGCATCCGGGGCCAATGATCCGGTGGGAGAATGCAAGTTATCCGGTGAGGAGAATTATTGTTGTCAAACCGTCGAAGGAAGACTACGTAGAAAGCAGCTATCTCTTTCTCTATCAGTACGACCGCCGGCAGGATCCCGGTGGGGCCACCAGCGACCGGGCCGGACTCGCCTGCCACTAGCCGGCCATCTTCCTGGCTAGATAGATAACAGTGCTACTCTACTGCAACCACGGTTCACACAACACACTACTTATATTGATGATTGAGGGACATGCCAGACATACGCTGTCTCGACTAACCAAAGGTGGCCGAAGTCATTCTACACATCCGGCTGATTTGGAGAAAAAAAATAATAACGAAAGACACAAGCATATGAGTATCTTTCTTCTCGATGCCATTGTATCTGTCTCGCCAGAGTTGATCGGAGTCGAAGCTACATGACGGGGTTCTGCAGCGGCCAGGTTGGAGAACAGTTCCTATGAGCCAACCCGATAATAGCCTATTCATCCCACACAACACTGCTCAGTCCCTGAGCTGTACCAACCTGACCAGGATCTCCGATTTTTAAGCTAGCAACTTCCTCTCCCAGTTCACCGCTGGCGGGGTCTCTCGCTACAATGGCGACATTTGAAGAGGCCTGGTCGCCAACAGCAACCAGGTCCCCGGCCTTGTTTATCACAAGTGTGCGAGGAACAGTACCGTACGAAGACGTGAGATCTCTGAAGGCGACTGTGCCATTAGACGAGCGATCCAGAGTCGCAATGGAGTCATTTGGCGGGAAGCCATGATCGGTGCGAATTGACACATATAGGTAGTCGCCTGCTTGGCGGATTTCGGACAAAGTGGCTCCTTCCGGGAGCTGTCCTTCGGGATACGGCACAAATGACTGGATTTCTTTGAAAGAGAGACAGCCATCTGGTGTGTAGGAGACGGTGAATGCCTTCAGGTGCCCATCTAGCTCATTGACGGTATATAGGAAGACATCGTCTTGCTTCCGGGTCTTTAGTTGACTGGTGAGTATGGGATGGCTATTCTCCCAGAAAAGACCGTGTCGGGGCCCACTGCCGGCCGGGAAAGTGAGATCGGAACAGTGGCTGTCGAGTTCGCCTGTTGTGTTGTTGATTGCATACACGCGAACGAGGTCTGCGCCTAGGTCGGGGGCGAGGATGAAGGACCCTGAGGGATCAAGGAAGACTTGGTGCGGATGCGGCGCATCCTGTTGTGGTTCTTGACCGGGTTGAGAGAGGTTGTAGTGGAAGACTTGAAGGGTCTCCGAATTGGAATCCAGGGGAAGGCGAAATGTAGACACTGCGGAACCAGTGCTGGGACAAATTAGGGCCCTATGCGCATGAGAGAGACACTGGGATAAAAAACATACTAATGAGCTATCGCCAGGTATCTGGCACCATCGTCACCATTATAGATGACACTATCCACACCACCACCAGGCGCCGTGGCTGTGGTAATGTCTGTCAGGGTACCGTCCTGACCAGCAGCAAGGGAGGTCACGGATCCATCAATCGAAGCATCGCCAGTTTCATCGGAACAGTATAGGATTCGTGAGGTAGAGTCAAAGGTTAGCCAGCTGGGCATGGAGCCGCAGGTCTCTAGCGAGCTGGCAAGACTGAGCAGGTAGGAGCCATTGTTGTCGCGATCGAGGGAGAGGGTGGAGACGGTGCCGCTATAATGGGTGGCATAAAGGTTGGTTGCTGTCGCCAGTGACAGCCATGCTAGACATGCCAGTACACTGTGGTTGAAGCACAAAAACATATTGAGGTGTCAGTTGATGCTGTCTTCGTAGTTGTGGTTCCTGCGGATGGGGTAAATAAACGGGGAGGCAAGGATGGGGAGCTGGATGGAATGGATCTGCATTCTGCAGGTGAGTTGTTCCAGGTCGTGCAGAAGCTCAACCTCTAGGTATGCGGTAGGTCAGGCAGGCTTCTTCCCTTTTGCACATGCCACTAGACCATTGTAGCTTGGCTGTCCTTGCGAGGGACCAAGGTCTAGGTAAGTATCTTGTATGATCTCATGTTAATAGGTATTGTGCACAGGGCACTGGCCATCAGAACTGCAGACTCGGGGCTCCCTGATACCTTTGAGCCTGACATGTGATATGTATTATTGTTCATTCTGGACCAACAATACTCTCAGGGCCGGATCCAAACAAAGAGAGGAAGAAGGAACTGACGTGTCACCTGACCGCGTCTTCCCGATCGGGTAATGCATCAACCAGACGAGCAACCCGAGCAACCCAAGCAAACCAGACAAACCTTATCGGCTATCGGCGGGGGGATAAGAGCAACCGACGTCAGGGCCGAGGCCAGCCCCGACGCCAACCGGGTCTCCTCCGCATTCCCCAGAAACACCCGAGAGGAGGGGGGGGTTATCAACCTCCCTTCCTCTCACTCGACCTCGAGGGGGAAGGCATTCTTGCGACCTGAAGATTCAGGTCCGACTCTTTGTTGCAGCCCACATTTTGACAATGTCGTCAAGTCTTTGGAGGCCTGTATCTCGTTTTTCGCGACCGCTATCCAAGCTCCCTCGCCGATGGAGTGGTTCCATCTCCCAGCGCCCTGGATCGGACCGGTAGGATCGATTTCTCCGCATCAATCCCGCCCAAGCTCATGAGGCCTGGCTGGCTGGCTGACTGACTGACGGAAACAGAGTCCGATTTCCAGGTGCGATCAATAGCAAGTTCACCACCGACATGACCTTCGTCAACCCCGCCAACGCACCCAACATCCCCACCTACCGCGTGATGGACTCGGACGGCGTCCTGGTCGACAAGTCTCGGAAGTCGATTGACGTGCCAAAAGAGGAGATCTTGACATGGTACAAGAACATGTTGACTGGTGGGTTGGCGTCAGAAGCATTCTCCTCCAGCTTTCGTCCTGGTTCTCTGACGGAAGCTACTGCCTAGTGAGCGTCATGGACGTGATAATGTTCGAGGCGCAACGGCAAGGTCGCTTGAGCTTCTACATGGTATGTACATCCTACATCCCGACACTCCGAGCATCAGTCTCGCTCGCGATCGACCACTCACTTTCCTCAAGGTCTCCGCGGGAGAAGAGGGCATCAGTGTCGGATCAGCCGCCGCATTGACGCCGGACGACGTGGTATTTGCCCAGTATCGCGAGACAGGGGTGTTCCAACAGCGAGGCTTCGCGCTGAAAGATTTCATGAACCAACTGTTTGCCAACCGGTATGACAACGGCCGAGGCCGCAACATGCCCGTCCATTACGGATGCAACTATCCTCGAACCGTGAGTATTCCTCCTTTCCAGCAGCCCCGATCCCCATCCCAATCTGACCAACCCAACACCAGCACACCATCTCCTCAACCCTAGCTACCCAAATCCCCCAATCCTCCGGAGCAGCCTATGCCCTGAAACTCCAACGGCTTCAAAACCCCGACACCCCACCCCGGATAGTAGCCTGCTACTTCGGCGAAGGCGCCGCCAGCGAGGGCGACTTCCACGCGGGGCTAAACATCGCCGCGACGCGATCGTGCCCCATCGTCTTCATCTGCCGAAACAACGGGTTCGCGATCTCAACACCCACGCTGGAGCAATACCGGGGCGACGGGATCGCCAGCCGTGGACTCGGGTACGGGATCGACACGATTCGCGTCGACGGTAACGACATCTTCGCCGTATACGAGGCGATGCGAAAGGCACGGAACATCGCGCTGCAGGACGGCGGCAAGCCTGTGCTGATCGAGGCGATGAGCTACCGCGTCTCGCACCACAGCACCAGCGACGACAGTTTCGCGTATCGCGCCCGCGTCGAAGTCGAGGACTGGAAGCGACGCGATAACCCGATCATCCGGCTGCGGAAATGGCTGGAGAATGAAGGGCTGTGGAACGAGGATCTCGAGCGCGATACCCGCGATCAGCTGCGCAAGGCCGTGTTGAAGGAATTCGGGGATGCCGAGCGCGAAAAGAAACCGCCGCTTCGCGAGGCGTTCGGCGGCGTGTATGAGGAAGTCACTGAGGAAGCTGAGGCGCAAATGAAGGAGCTCAAGCGTATTCTTGAAACTTATCCCGAGGAGTACGATCTTCGTCAGTTTGATGAGGGAATTAATGGTCTGTGAGGTTAGTTGGCCTTGTGATTGGATGTCTCCCACCCAGCGTATAAAAGCCGAGTTTTGCAAAGAATTAGCGTACGTACAGAACAGACACAGGACAAGATACTGTTTATGGAATGCAAAATACATAAGTTCTTTCATAACAGTCGCTCCCCCCATATCCCCAAATGGGTCCCGAACGACCGTTCACAGCCCTATGTACACTGGACACTGGACACTGGACACTTTGCAATACAGCAAATATCATACGTACACCGAAATCATTTCCAAGTTGAGAAAACCAAGATGAATGACCCCGTTGCCTACAACCGGACACTGCTAGAGCTAGCTAGCTACCAAATGCATCCGTTTTAGAAAATCCCGGATACTCCTCATATCCACAAAAGAACTGATAACCAATGGCCAGTGACCTAATCTCACATTAACCAGTCAGGGATCGCATCTTCATCTTCCGGGTCCTGCGACAACAAAGAAGCTTCGTCGCTATGGTAAGATTTCTGGCTATTGGACTCAGGGGACGAAGTATGCGGGTTTGGAGCAGTCGGGGGCGGGTGAGATTCCAATATTGTGGGAGCATCATCCTCATTGATAGAAGCATCTTCCGCGCGATTCTCAACTTGTGGTGATATAGGGCCAGGATCCTGGTTCGCGTATCCTGGCTCAATGCCTTGGGTTGAGCTCGTCTGACTTGATTTCTCGGTCGTAGGCACGACAACAAGCGTGTATTGTTGGGGCTCTGCTGGACGAATTCTATGTTCTGGTTTGGGCCACTCTGTAGGATGGGGTAAGGGCGTTTGATGTTCACTTTCTTCCGGAATAAATCCTCCTCCTCCGAATTCATCCTCAGCTACAGATGCCGAGGTCTCTATGTCCATGTATCCTTGGCGTGAATTCTTTATATCCAGGGTCGCAGGCGGGCTTATTGTCCCTTGGCCCGGCTCAGGGATAAATCCGCCACCAGCTTCCGATGAGTCCTCATAGTCTTTCGTGCTTATATCAGGGCTCGCTTCGTCACTGACATGCTCCCCTTCCACCATGTACCCTTTCACTCGTTCTGCAATGCGCAGTCTGAGCAGGAAATGCTTCCATGCTTGCAAAGCTTCGGCCGACTTCTTCTCTAGCTTGGCTTGCAACTTTTCGCTTTCAAGGCAGTCTAAGACTTCTTCAAGTGCCTCCCGGTACTCAGTAGCAATGACGACCCCCTGGAATACAGCTGTACCATGGCGGCCCTTGAAGCTGAACCCAGTAACGGCTGCTGAATAGTCAATAGCAAGGATTCTAGCAGCATGTGCAGCATCGGGGTGGGTGATATGAACGCCACCCGGCGGTACCATGCTAGGTACGTAGACGTCCAAGTTGCCGTAAACGTTTTTGGGTACTTTCCCGCCAACGACAGGCGGCGGTTCATAAATTCTGGTCTGGAAGAAAGCGTACAAGGGTGTTTCTGCAACATCCTCCCCCTGCTCATAATCGTCAAATCCTCCAGCTTGGGGCTTTCTTGAAGGAACGCGCTTTAGCGGTTGCTCGCCAGTTTTAAGGTCCCGTCCCAGGCGATACCATTTATCTGCACTGCGAAGAGCATGGACATCAGACCGGCGATATACGGCTTCCAGGGCCTGGTTCTTTGATCCTGTTTTACCAGTGCCGACCTGACCAATCACCCGCTTCGGAAAGACAACCTCGTTCCGGCGAAGATGCCGCTCGATCGCATAGATGGGGTGGTTTTTAAAGTCCTGGATATTCCGAGGCATGGGCTCCGAGGCAGTCTTTGAAGTAAGTTCACTAATCTCCAGCTGATCCCGATCCTCCAGGAATGGTTTCTCGTAAAAGTAGAGCGCTTTATTCCACCAATTTGGGCCGTTCTTGATGCTCTCGATTCGAAATTTTCGGGTCTTCGCATTGAATGCCTTTGTATAACGCCGAGTAACATCCCTAGCAGAAGCGTCGTCCTCGAATGCCACCACATAACTCATAAGGTTATAAGAATCACTACTTGGGGGTTCGAACTTAAAGGATTTGGCGAGTGACTTGGTTACCAAAGGATCAACGGGTATCCATTTTTGGGTTGCTTCATTCAATGCCTCAACCCAGAAGACGGGATATGATGATTCTCGAATGCTGTTATGTGGCCCTTCGAACATTAGCCCCATTCTAAAAGTGGGAATGCATACAAAACTTACTGCTAGTGGGTGTTTCGGCTCGTCGTGGTGCTCCGAACTGTGGCCGACCAAGCCTTCGCGTATTTGAGCGTGGCGCTGTATTTGTTTGTCCAGGGACTGGTCCTTTGGGTGAATCCGGCAAAATCGGAGCGTCGTGTGCAGTAGGAGTGGAAGGAATGGTATTTTTTGTTGTGCCTGAGAAGGGAAGTGGTTGCAAAGAGCAGACAAGCCTTGCTTCTATAGCCACAGATCGAAGCAGTGCACAAAATAATTGAGCACCAAAGTCTCGCGACCCTTGCATTATTTTTGCCTGTTCGCAGAAATCTTGGCGTGACAGGAAGACTTCTGCATCCGTTATGATGGATTCCTAGGTGATAATGTTAGACATGCTATGCTTGATGCCAGACATGGTTATAATACCGCTCGTTGTTTCAAGGATTGTGGATTATCTGCCCAAAAAGGCCGCTTCAAGCCTGGCTTTGTTATTCTAAACCTCCTGTTGAATATATCACTAGCTTGGTTTAGCCCGTCGATAAATGATGTTGATCTGGTGTATTGCGGCTTGTTTTCAGGTGGATGTATAAGTGAGATTATTTGTTTTGGCAGCATCTTTTTCAGAAAGCCCTATATATGAGTCAGATGGCTATAACCTCATGAGCTCTGCTCATCTACAATGGAATTCATTTCCCTTGCTCTCTTTTCTCTGCCAGGGCCTCCATTTCCCCAGGCACCTTTCGTACTGGACAGAGAAAACATATAAATAGCCGACATAGAAAGAACTAACCTGTAATTCCTCATCATTGCACCAAAGGTTACGTATCTGTACATGGCGCAAAAGACAAAGCAGATGAACCTTGTGGATATCTAATCGCATTCGCCTCTCTGCGGCTGTGATTGCCCTTCGTCGTGGGACTACATTGCGCTTTGGATCCAGATGTCCATCCAAGGTGACCTGGATCGTTGAATTGTCTGTTTGATCATTATATGACGGTTGTTGGATATCCACCTCCTCCCATTCCATGTCCGATTCTTCGGACGACGATGTTAGCGAATCATACACCGTCTGGACATGGCGTGCCTCAGAACTACTTTCCTCTGCTGCAGAGGCGACTTCTTCGCTAATAGGCTGGGGGTCATGTGTGGGTTTCCGGGTGGCAGCTCTCCTCTTCTTTAGCGGGCGTTCATTCTCGGACCCGGGTGGCTCCCGGGATTGGACCTCAGCCAGCATCTCCTGGTATACTGCTGGTATTTCTTCGGCTGGGTCATTGTGCCGCCTCCGCTGTGGGTGCGTTGCAGCTAGATTCCTTCTAGAACGGGTGGATGGAGTTCGACTCGCCATGGCGAATTTCTGTCTGGAGGAGGCCCGGTTCCACAGCAATCATGCAGTCCGAGCATCTTGCGGTACTAGACCTAGGAATTCTTGCTCAGTTGTTTCTCGACTGGTCCGCGGAAGTCGCGTTGTCGCTGATGACGCTGAGTCTTGCACGTGACTGTTATGTTTGCCCTGTTTGGGGGTGTTGGGTGCCGGAGGCAGCAAAAAATAACAGAATCCGTACGATTGCGTCATAGGTTTCTGTTCGTTGAGAAAATGGAAAATAGGGTAGTGGGGGGGAGGAGTCATGGAATAAAGAAAAAAAATACAGACCGCTAGCTAGGTAGTTGTGTACGTACTACGTACGTACGATGAGCAAAAAGAAAACAAAAAAGTGATTCTCGGATATGGGCCCGAACCGCGATTCGAACGCGGGACCTCTCGCATTTCTTAACAGGTGTCAAGTACATCTACTAGTAAATAGTAGGGGAGGATACCTTTCCCGAAGCGAGAATCATACCACTAGACCATCCGGGCATTTGTTATTGTTTGGTCAAAAGTATTACTACATGAGCCAAAGACCAAGGTTTGATCATCGCTCACTTTTAATCCACTCTACTCAAACCAGACCATAGGCAATTCCCCAAGCTTCACACCTATAGACTAAATATTTGCCTAAAGGCTTTATGAGTATCAGTCGCAATGCTCTAAGCTATGTGTAAAGCTAAATACCCACCCTATTGTTGTAAGGAAATGATTGTTATGTTTTGTGACTATATATATTGTAGTATTCGGGTAGTTACTATATAGTAGAATAGCGCAATATCAAAAGATGGAATTCACAACTAGTAGTACGCGCAATCCACTTCGCAGAAGTGTAGATCTTCATAGTACTTAGGCATTACAAAGCTCCCCCTAGGTCCGCCAATTAAGCTGGAAGTGGGGTTGGGAGCGCCTGCAGGCCATATGTCTCTCGCGCCTTCACTATTCTGCCTAGAAGCCAGCGAACTGCAACATGAGTTATTTTCGACAGTGCTCTATCTTCCCCCCCTCCCTACCCCCCGAATTTCTCACTCCCTGAAGCACCCCGGTAGTAGTGACATCACAGGCCTTTGACCAGACACTTTGCAGGCCGCACACCTCGTCTCTTGGACTGAAATTATGAACACGGCTCCACACTAAATCTCTCCCCTACAAGTTATGTACGTTTTAAACACAACTCTTACTTACCTCGACATTAACTCTCAAAAGAGTCTGTCGCAAGCGCCGAAGAATCTTGCTTCCTTTCCTCGTTCTCAACCTTAATAATATGGTTTTCTATAAGCCGATTACTGCTGTCGCGCTATTTTCATTCAATCGCCTGAAATTCGGCTAGTATCTTCTGGGTTACTGCCGGATATTACCTCGCCTGGTTCATTGTGCAGTTTCCAAGGGGCTTTTTATTCCTACTAACGTGACTAGTCCAGGAGCGTGCAGGGTGGGCAGTTAATAAAGGCTGCTGGCTACATATCAGTAGTGGTCTCATATGCCATGCGCATTTACCCATGCAGTAAAATCACTGGAACTTCAGATAGGAATAATCCTATGGCCGAGGCAGTGTGCACGAGTATATACGTACATGGCAATATACACTATTGTCAACTGAAGGAGAGAGTGGTGATTAGGGGGCAATGATTCAGGTCCAGCTCATTCTTGACCTGGGGAAGGAGGCTCTCAGGAATGGAGACTATTCGGGCTTCCCGGGAGGATGACCCTCCGCCCAGTGTTGATGTGATCACAACATGCATTGTACCACTACGGAGTAAGAACTACGATACTGCTTTTACCGAATTGAAGTACCGAGCCTTGTTGGACATAGTATAGAATCTGGCTCATGCATCTGGCGCGGACTAACTGGTGAATTAACCTAAGTAGGTATCTTGGCAATTCATTACCACCATCCTTAGCTCCATGGTGTATACTAATCGTCTTAGCTACCTATCTACCATTTGCAATGATTCTTTAATGAGAGTGCCAAGCAATAGACGACGCAAAAGCTTGATACAATGCCATGCAAGCTTCAAAGGCATTGCTATGCTTGTGAGTGATTGAATAGCCTGTGTAGGCTTGGAAACATGGAAGATAACCTTCAATAGTGCATTGGAATCTCAAAACCTTGGATGGAAAAGTAAGTCTCCTGGCCGGCGTTTGTTCAGAGCTACCCTGGAAAAACAAGATATGCTTTATTTCATTACTATGGTAGTTCGGCAAGGCGAGGATCAACAGCGATGTCTACCTCATATAGAGTGACCGGGACACCTGTTTCGCGGTATGGAATGTGAGCAGAGTCAACAGCCCATGCTGTCTATCAGAATGTGAACCTACCCTCGGGGGGGGGGGGGGGGGAACGTCGATCCTAGCTACCTCTAGTATTCCCGGCACAGATCAGCCGTGGATGTTTGGAGTTCAAGACGGAGCCTCTGTGATCACCGGGCTTTGCAGCGTCCGTGGTCCATAGTCTGGCGTAATCAAATCCATAAAGCAAGGGATGGGGGAGTATATGGCTGCTTGTTGGGAGGAATGCAAGTCAAGACGACACGCGGTTGCTTCGTTTGTTTGCCCGGGGTAAGGATATAAATATAGCTTCTGCACTCGCGCTGAAAGACATGTTTCAAGAGAAGAATTCCGCCGCGGATACTTTATATTTTATATACTATACCTGCTCATTTTGTTAACGAAAGCCACGATTACCAATATGAAGACCTCTAGCATTTTGAACGCAGCCGCCATTCTGGCCTCCATTCCCTTGTCATTTGCAAAGATTCTCAACTTCGTCGCACATCAAGATGACGACCTCCTCTTCCTCAGCCCGGACCTGATCCGAGACATCCTGTCAGGTCAGCCTGTCCGAACCGTGTATCTGACAGCCGGAGATGCTGGCCTGGGATCGGACTACTGGTCAAGCCGCCAGATGGGCTCACAGGCGGCCTATTCCCGCATGTCAGTCGCCAGCAACAACTGGATCGAGTCTGATGGCGGGATCGAAGGAAAGGAAATTTCGGTCTACACCCTGGCGGATGACGAGGACATCTCCCTGGTGTTTATGCGTCTGCCAGACGGCAACCTGGACGGCTCTGGGTTTGCATCCACGGACAACGAGAGTCTACAGAAGCTATGGGAGGGATCGATTGATCAGATCACCACGGTTGATGGATCGGGGACGACATACTCGAGAGACGATCTTCTCCAAACACTCACCGCTCTGATCGATGACTATCAGCCCGACGAGGTCAAGACTGGCGACTTTGCGAACGACTTTGGCGAGGGAGACCACAGCGACCACTATGCGACAGGGTACTTCGTCGACCAGGCGTTGTCCTCCTCCAGCAGCAACGCCAATCTCGTCGGATATTACGGATACCCGATCCAGGACTGGGCCGTCAACTTGGATGATTCGGACATTGAGGACAAGACCAACATCTTCTACACGTATGCCGCGTACGACACGGCCACCTGCAGCACCTCCGACGCGTGCTCGAGTCGGCCAGAAGCCGCTTGGCTGCAACGTGAATATCAAGTCTAAAGCGTGTTTTCCTTTTCTTTATTGCAGGCTGATCAGGCCACTCATGTCTCCAATTATGTTCTTGAAACCCCATATGCCTTTCGAGCACGCCCTCGCTCTCCGCGATGTTGTACGGACGCTTGCTTGTTGTGTTCGGGAATCGACAGTGAATGCGATCTGGAAAGTTGCCGGGAATGAGGTGTACGTTAATTACGATATCACTGTTTTTTTTATTCCATTTTCTTCAATACAGGATAGCCCAATGTTATTTTTGCACATGGCATCGATTCCCGACTTGGGGCCGCTGGAAGCGCTCCTCGAGAAACTCACATACGGAGTAAATTGTAAACAACTGTCCGAGTCAGCACCAGTGATCATAGCAACATAGAGCCCAAGAAACCATGATCTGTCCGAATGAGAATAGAGCAGCCGCAGTGTACTCTGCTGCAGCTGGTTACATTCCAAGTTATAGACTTGGGAATGTTGGGGATGGTCTTTTGCTACTGGCACTCAATAGCTTTAGAGACACATGCCTGGTAACCAGGGAAGGAAGTCCCCATCCAAGACCTTCTTTTCCACGCCCACATGACCTCACATGATCGCCACTAAGAATAAGTACCTCCGGCACAGGTCACCGCTCATCCCCCCCCTTTGGTGTACAAAGTAGCTTTACTCCGCCGCACTCCGTACTCCGATCTTTCATCTTTCTGGAGTAGTTTCTCCATCTCTCCCATCTGGGCCCTGGCGGTCGGAACCCCTGATAAGACTGGCGGCCGGCCGTGAGGGGAAGGCGAGCGGAGTGGGGACTGTTTGTTGATACTTATCATGCAACAGGGCCCAAGGTTACACCCGCAGGTGGTATGGAGCCATCTCGAGTGAGTGAATCCATTCATTCATGTCTGTCACCCAACTGAGTTAATAATAAACATGGCCACCCCGACCGTGAGACATGCCAGGCTCCCCTGGCTTCCCTTTCTGAGCTCCGCCCCCCCTTCCCCCCCTACTAACGTGACTTACTCTGCCTCCCAGGGGATCTACTCTCTTTCTTCAACCATTCTCATCCCTTCCTTTCTAATCCTACCTTGAGTGCTGTTTGCTAGGGTGGGATGATCTATCTATCTTGAAATTCCACCATGCTTCTCTCCCGCTTTTGGCCAGTGTTTGTTACACTGGTCACCGTCTCTGCCGTCAAGGTCAATCCCTTGCCTGCTCCCCGCAATATCTCCTGGACTGGCTCCGGCCCCAAGAACCTAGCTGGCTTTGTGACGCTCCGTGCTACTCAGGATACCAACGACTCGATCCTCGCCAATGGATGGGATCGCGCCTGGAAGACCATAGTCTCCCTGCAGTGGGTGCCCGCTGCCACAGAAGCTCCTTTCCCTTCCTTCCAGCCCTTCCCGACCGACACTGCTGGGCTCTCCAAGAGGGCCAAGCGCGCCTTATCATCGATCCAGTATGTGGACGTCGCGGTGTCGGATATCGACGCCGATCTCCAGCATGGAGTGGACGAGTCCTACACGCTTGAGGTCACAGACGATTCTTGCTCGGTGGTCATCCAAGCGCCAACTGTGTGGGGTGCGCTTCATGCCTTTACCACCCTCCAGCAGCTCATCATCTCCGACGGCCAGGGCGGTCTGATAATCGAGCAGTCAGTGAAGATCCAGGATGCGCCGCTGTATCCCTATCGAGGCATCATGGTCGACACCGGCCGCAATTTTATATCCATCAACAAGATCTACGAGCAGCTGGATGGCATGTCGCTCTCCAAGTTGAACGTGCTGCACTGGCATATGGATGATAGTCAGTCATGGCCTATGCAGATTGACGCATACCCAGAAATGATCCTTGATGCGTACTCCTCGCGCGAGATTTTCTCGCACACCGACATGCGTAATGTTGTCGCATATGCGCGGGCTCGAGGCATCCGAGTCATCCCGGAAGTTGACATGCCCGGCCATTCTGCAGCCGGATGGAAGCAGGTCGACCCTGAGATGGTCACCTGTGTCGACTCCTGGTGGTCCAACGATGACTGGGCCTTGCATACCGCGGTGGAGCCGGTCCCCGGTCAGATGGATATAATTTATAATGGAACGTACGATGTGGTGCGGAACGTCTACAACGAGCTGTCGGATATCTTCCCGGACCACTGGTTTCACGTGGGGGCGGACGAACTGCAGCCCAACTGCTACAACTTCAGCCGTTATGTCACGGAGTGGTTTGCGGAGGACCCCTCGCGCACTTACAATGACCTGGCTCAGTACTGGGTAGACCATGCGGTGCCGATCTTCCAGAACTATAGCTCCTCGCGCCAGTTGATCATGTGGGAAGACATTGTCCTGTCGACCGAACACGCGCACGATGTGCCCAAGAACATTGTGATGCAGAATTGGAATAACGGCCTGGAGTACATTAGCAAGCTGACGGAGCTAGGCTACGACGTGATCGTGTCCTCGTCTGACTTCATGTACCTAGACTGCGGCCTGGGAGGGTTTGTCACGAACGACCCTCGATACGACGTCATGAGCAACCCAGATGCGAGCACGCCGAACTTTAACTACGGTGGCAACGGGGGATCCTGGTGTGCCCCATACAAGACCTGGCAGCGCATCTACGATTACGACTTTACGACAAACCTCACCGATGCGCAGGCCAAACATATCGTTGGAGCTGCGGCGCCGTTGTGGTCCGAGCAGGTCGACGATGTCACCGTGTCCAGCCACTTCTGGCCGCGGGCGGCCGCTCTCGCCGAGCTGGTGTGGTCCGGCAACCGTGATGAGGAGGGAAACAAACGGACGACGTGGATGACACAGCGCATCCTGAACTTCCGCGAGTATTTGGTTGCGAATGGAGTACAAGCAACAGCTCTCGTGCCCAAGTACTGTCTGCAGCATCCTCACACGTGCGACTTGTACCGCAACCAGAGTGTTGTCCAATAAGAGGACCTTTTGATTTTGGCTGGATATCTTGCGAACGATGTTCATGATACGCACTCTTGGCATATTGATCTAGTTCTGGAATTTAGCTACATAGTCAATCACATGTTATGCTTATATTACACCATCTCCACCTCAGATGAGAGAATACCCACCTCCCCCCCCCCCCCTTTCATATTCATGAGCTCAGGGTAGCCTATCGTTTTTTTTTTCTCTTTTTTTTTCTCTTATTTCTCTGCATCAATGTCCCATTCAGTCTCCAGTCTCTCGGCTATCGGACTAAAACAAACCCAAACGCTCACACCAACGGCAAACCACTCGGCATGCCGGCGACAATTTTTCCGCCAACACGCAAGCTCATTACAATAGTAAGGTAAGCGTAACTTGCCTGACAACAATGAACCAAACCAAACCAAACCATAAATGTGCCGCATATCCATCCCTCCCTCTGCCTGGACTCGTGTGTAGTCAAAAACGAAACTTAGGAGCCGTACTCGGGAACGACGGGATGCATTGTAGATAGGTCAATGCAAGCAAGCAATGGGGAGCCCCTCCGGGAAAAACGGATGTCAGTAGCAGCAGTGGCACTGGTGCGTGCGGGCAGATCCTCAGGAACCATGGCTTGAATGGGTTGGTGAAGAATCCGAGGGCCGGACGGGAATCGGGGCAGGAGTGCGGTACCTAGATACTATAGTAGTTATTTATCTACGCAGTCCCTGTACCTATCTAGTACGCAGACGGCACTAACTCAAGGCACAGTAGTGCATGCTACCATAGTAGTGTAGTTGCAGATAGTGTGGTAGTACCCACTAGTAGTAGTTCCGCATTATCCGCTGCTCAAAATTCGAGACGAGGACATGCATGGACATGGATTATTCGGGCTGGACGGTCGGGAATATTCTTTGGTCCTGGCTGGTCTCCGCTGAGTCAGGATGATGTCATGGCTAAGTTAGGGCCTGCCTCCTATGAGGCTGTGGTAGAGTTGGTTGCAAGGGATGAGAGAGGTAAGACTCTATTTACTTTGTACGACGGAGTACTTCATAGAGGTTACTCACCTTAGTAGGTGGTTGATAGGTGGCAGACAGCAGTATTGTGTAATAGCAGTAGTTACTACTCCGTACAGTAGTAGGTACTACCAAGGTAGTACGGAGTGGACCAATGAGGGCCGAGGGAATAAAGCAGACCAAGTCCCGGGAGACGCTGCCGAGGGGACGGTCACGTGGGGCTGCCCCAGGTGCCGAGGTGGCTAGCCGCTGCCAGGCCGGCAGACCCGCCGGCGCCTCTTGCGTCGCTCTCACTCCCCGAACTCGCATCTCTCGTCCTCCCCGGCCCTGGTCTGTGTGGCCACATTGGCCAATGTTGGTAGCCCTGGCGGCCCTGTGCTGCTGACACACCTGATTGCAGCTGGTTCTCCCCACAAACCAAACCCTTCCTCGATCCAACCGAAGATGAATGAATGCCGTTGTGGCTCGCCGATGTCCGTCTCATCGCTGTTTTCGGGCCTCTCCCCCCAGGCCTCCTCGCGATATTTATATGCCCGTCCCCGTTCCCCCATCACAATGGACTTCTCATCCAGATCAGCTTCGCATCGGCCTCTTCATCTCTTCTTTGCCTTCTCTTCGATACCCGGGTGATGCTCTGAGGTGGTAATACTACCTTCCACCTACCTACCACCTTGCATTGCGCATACATCCAGATCCCCGCCGGCCACATCCTCCTCCCCCACATTCCTGAAGCTTGGTTGTCCGCCAGCCACACAGTGTCGCCAACATGGCCCCCTCCCAACAACAAGAAGACAAATATGACATCGTCATCGTGGGCGCTGGCCCCGTTGGCATTGTCCTCTCGCTCTGTATGTCCCGCTGGGGCTACAAGGTCAAGCATATCGACAACCGCCCGGTGCCGACCGCCACCGGCCGTGCCGATGGCATCCAGCCGCGTTCCACCGAGATCCTCCGCAACCTGGGCCTGAAGCGCCAGATCATGGCCTACAAACCCGCCAAGGTGTACGACGTTGCCTTCTGGGATCCCCTGGCGGGCGGAAAAGGGATCCACCGCACCGGAAGCTGGCCCAGCTGCCCCCGCTTCATCGACACCCGATACCCCTTCACCACCCTGGTCCACCAGGGTAAGATCGAGCGCGTGTTCCTGGACGAGATCGAGAAGGCCGGTACCACGGTCCAGAGGCCTTGGACGATCGTTGGGTTCAAGAACGATGGCCTGGACGAGACATATCCCGTTCAAGTGCAGCTCAAGAGCCTCGACACGAACGTGATCGAGACCGTCCGTACCAAATATCTCTTCAGTGGCGAAGGCGCTCGAAGCTTCATCAGACAGGAACTTGGCATTAAAATCCAGTACAAGGACCCCATCTCTTATGTGTGGGGTGTTATGGATGGTGTCGTGAGGACCAACTTCCCCGACATTGAGGTAAGACACCTTGAATCTCCCCCAGCACTCTCGGAAATGCAGTGGGCTTGCTGACCATCTTCCCCATCAATAGACTAAGTGCACCATCCACTCCGATGCCGGCTCTATCATGGTGATTCCTCGCGAGGACAATATGGTCCGTCTTTACGTCCAGATCGCTTCGTCCAGCGATCCCGATTTCGACCCTAAGAAGACGGCCACGGCGGAAGATGTCCAGGCGATCGCCAAGAAGATCCTTCAGCCATACTGGCTGGAGTGGGATCGCGTGGAATGGTACTCGGTTTACCCCATCGGCCAGGGTATCTCCGAGAAGTATACTTTGGATGAGCGTGTGTTTATGGGAGGTGATGCTTGCCACACCCACAGCGTAAGTCAATCCCTTATGACCTATTGAGTCTTCCAATCAACACGAACATCGCTAACCCATACCTTCCAGCCCAAAGCGGGTCAGGGCATGAACACTGCTTTCCACGATGCCCTCAATATGGCCTGGAAGCTCCACGCCGTGGAGTCTGGTCTGGCCAAGCGCTCAATCCTCAGCACCTACGAGAGTGAGCGCCAGGATATTGCAGAGACCTTGTTGAGTTTCGATAACAAATACGCCGCTTTGTTCTCGAAGCGTCGCCCCACTGCGGGCGAGGTAGGCGAGGCCAGCCATTCGGCTGCTGCTGACGGCAACGGCGAGGAGGACGAGTTCGTCAAAACCTTCAAGTCCTCCTGCGAGTTCACCAGTGGCTACGGCGTGGCCTACAAGCCCAGCGTATTCACCTGGGACCCCAGCCATCCCGCCCAATCCCCACTGTTTGACGTCCCCGGGGTGAAACTGACCCCAGGCCGCTCATTCACACCCACCACCGTGACCCGGTTGGCCGACGCCAACTTCGTGCACCTGGAACAGGAAATTCCCGCCAACGGCGCATTCCGCATCTTCATCTTTGCCGGCAAACAAAAGCAGACCAGCAAGGCGATCGCCGACCTGGCCGCCAACCTCGAGAAAGAGCGCTCGTTCCTCTCCGTCTACCGCCGAAGCGACATCGCCGACGTCTCCTTCTTCGAGCACCACCTCCCCCACTCCAAGCTCTTCTCCCTCTGTCTGATCTACGCCGGCGAGAAAAACCAAGTGGACATCGACGCCGTCCCCACCATCCTCCGCGACTACCACCATCACATCTACGCCGACAACATCCCCGACGTCCGGGCCCCGAGCGCCCAGTACGCCGCCCACGAGAAACTGGGCTTCGACCCCGAGAAGGGCGGTGTCGTCGTCACCCGCCCCGACAGCCACATCGCCTGCACCGTGCAGCTGGTCGAGGGCTCTGGCACCGTCGACGCCCTCAACGCCTTCTTCGGCGCTTTCACCACTAAGCCCCTCGGCCAGGATCAACAGCAAAGCCGTCTGTAATCGTGCTTTCTTGTGTATTTTACCCCCTCCCTGTCCTGTTGGCTTATTACCCGGGGCTCTCTTGTATATAGTATACTTCGCTTCTTCGCCCTTGGCTTGGTTACTGTTTAGCGCAAGTCATTGTGATCCTCTGGCTGTTCGGGTTATCTGAATATTATATGTTAACTAGAATCATCCACTCAAAAAAGCATATCCCCCCACCCTCCTCCAGCCGTAAAAGTAGCTTAGGTACATGCACTCATCCACTCACTCAAACTCATCTACCGATCTACACCCGAGTATTGAAAATCAGCGCTGCCTTTCCTATCCCATCCAGAAAAGGAAACCCTCCCCACTTCCACATAGGTACCATATAGATTATAGATACGGAGGAGTACTGTGCCGCGCCGCAAGAAAACCAGAGCCAGAAAACTGAAAAAGAATATCCACCCCCCCCCCCCGGCCGCCCGCATCTACCCGCAGCCGCACACCGACCGACCGACAACCCCCGGGATCTTGTTTCCGGGGGCTGCTGCCCTGCCGGCGGTAGGCGGTGGGCGGTGACACCGCAAAGTATCTAAGCATCTAAGAACTAGTCTAACTAAGAAGGCAAGGCAAGGCAAGGGGGATCTACGCTAGTCGATACTATTTCTTTAGGGTAGAGGGGGAGGGTGCGCTAATGCTTAATTTCTTAGCCGTGATTTCCTGGCCAGTTGGTCCGTCGGCCAGTTGGTAAAGGTGAAGTACTTACCTACTTAGGTGGTATCTAGGTAGGTGGTTGTTGGGTTTGGGGGTTGGTATTTGTTAGTGGAGATAGATAGATATCTAGATGCTTATGGTGGAAGGTGAGGGAGTAGACTTGACTTGGACACAGAGTTTACGATGTTGCTTTCTCAGAGGGAGGGAATAGGATCAGAAAGTGAGCGGGCGTGCGGGCGTGCGGGCGTGTGGGCTCCAGTTTGATTTGGTTCACGTGGGAGGATCTAGATACATAAATGTGAGGGAAGGAGATACTACTACCAAGGTAATAGGTATAGTATAGAGAGGGAGGGGTAGTGGTGGATAGTGGTACGTTTGTGAATCACGCTAGGGCTAAAGGCTAAACGGAAAGAGATAACGCGGACAGAAATACATGGCCCGGGAAATGGGATGAAAGAATTGACAATCAATGTCATGGGGAATCGTTCTCGCTTTATTGCTTTTTTGTTTTTCTTTTTGTTTTTCTTTTCTTTTATTGTGTCATTTTACCACTTGATGACAGGGTTGGGGAAGTATTCGTTGATGAGCTCGAGGTAGTATGGCTGGAGGACTGTTAGATACCGTGTGTTGTTCTGGATGGGATGGGATGGGATGGGTGTGGTTCTGGAGGCTTACCTTCAGTTCTTCGGCGCTGGGAACGTCATCGCTCTTGCTGTATAGATCGTACGGGTTAAAGGCTTTGACGGCCTTGAACATCTCCCGGTCGTGGTCGTTCATCAACTCGTGGTAGGCACCGGCGTTATGCCACGGGTAGAAAGAGTGGTAGCGGATCATGGCCAGGGCCTCGGCGGGGAGGGTGGACTGGTCCTTGACGACGTGGTAGAGGTACTCGTCATGGCCCCAGGAGATCATGATGGTGTCGAGGCCGCAGCCCGGGCTGTAGATGCCGAACTTGGTGTCGTAGACGGGGTGGCCGTAATCCTCGTTGTCTTTGAAGGATTCGCGGCCGTAGATGATGCGCTCATCGAAGCCACAGCCGACCGGGAACGTGTCTCCCACGACATCCCACTGGCCCTGGGCGTCGAAGAAGTAGAGCAGCTTGCCCAGGTCGTGGATGAGTCCGGTCAGCTGCATCCAGCGGGGCTTGCCGTCGCGGCGGATAGCCTCCGCGGACTGGAGCAGATGCTCGATCTGAGAGAGACTGGTGTCCGGATCGGACTCGTCAATGAGCGTGTTGAGCTTCTCCATCGCCTCCCAGATCGTCATCTCCGCACGGGTTTTGGAGTGGAACTGGTTGCGGGCTTTGAGATTGTAGGCCACGGTTTGCTTCGTGTGCTGCTCCTTGTAGAAGTTCTTGACTCGGTCACAGGCGTCCTCGTATTGACGGAACTTGGTCTTGTCCTTGTTCTTGTCAAACTCGGATTCTTCGTAGAGACCCTTCTCCTTCATGTTGTCCTTGAGGACGTTCACATTGTCGATGGCGTCCGACAGCTCCTCGAGAGCAAGTCCGTCACGCTTGGTGTTGAACACCGGGATTTCGGGGGACACTGCGACCGGTGCCATTGTGTTGTTATAGCTTGGAGGCGAGAGCTTTCTTTTACTTACTCGCTCTGATTTTCGTGGGACTTGGGTATCAAGGTGTTGCTCTTGGAGTCTGTCACTGGGAGGAAAACAGCTGGAGGGGTCGCGGTCTAAATATCAAGGGGATTCGCAATAGTGAGATAGTTCCGAACCCGTCCCACTTACCTCATGACGTTTCATGATTCTAGAAACCCGACGGCGATCCATAATAGAGACGTAGACGGTGGCACCTCGCATGCCAGGAGCCCGGATTCTGGCTTCCGCAGGGGAGAAGTCCTGGGACTGGCCCGGTGGCCCCTGGGGATCATGCCCACTCATTGTGGAACATCGGGCGGATCGTCCAGATCTGGGTCCAACCAGATGCAGCCCGGGACTGGGGAGAGGTGAACTCATGCATTGCCAGCCACGGCCTCGGCCTGCTGGGGTGGGCGCGCATCAGGATATTGGTTTCCGACGGTGGAGCGAACCACTGGCTCCCCCGCACGGCCGGCCGCCAGCCAAAGAGATCCCTTCCATTTGCTACCGCGTCTCCTGGCAGACATGATCATCCTTCTGATCACTGATCCTTATCTCGATTCGATCGCCATCGAATGCCTATCAGAGGGAAGTCGGATTCCACCCCTCATCCCCGAGGTTGGGCAAAAGAGGGGTTATGCTGCTGTGATTTCACCAATTTCGCTCCTTTCGCCTAGCGTGTGGAGAGTGGAAGGCCATCTCAGGTGACAATGGACTTTGTGAAACAAGAACACTCGACTAAGATGTTCAGACACCTAGATAGGCTGTGGCGATGCAGACACAGTCTATTTTGACAGACTTTGAGATGGTGAATCCGGATTGTGGGGAACGGCCTCTCTCCATTCTCATACTGCGGGGTATCTAGAGGGACGAGTCGTTGTCACTCGGTCGCGTGCATATCCAGAAGAGAATCCGTGTAAGACAACCTCAGACACCACTGGCAATCGTCCCTTTTCGCTGGCATCCCAAGTGATTCAGCTTCGATCGAGAATCAATGACGTAGACTTAGAAATGATGTCGCCCTGCCAAGACTGCGCCACGGAGGTGTTAGATATTCCGGACCGAGATAGCCAAGCTGCAAACAGGACAAACTTCGGACTTATCGATTACGAAAAATGAGCGGCCGAAAAAAAGAACTCGTGCGCGAGCAGCAATTCCTCCCACCGCCAGACTTCAGACAACTCCATCATGCCTCGTGAGAAGGTGAAGAGAGGCCGCAGGGCCGCTGAAAAGGCCGACAAGGAGGCTGGCAAGCGGAAACGCGACGACGCCCCGGAAGACGTTGAGCCCAAGCGATTGAGACCCTCGACTGATGAGACTAACGAAATCACGGAGGGAGCAGACTATATCGCCCTTGACGATGGCCAGGAAGGTCAAGAAAATTTTGCATCAGGCGACATGCCCTTCTACGGTCTTCTGGACCCCGAGGAGCAGGAATATTTCTCGCGCGCGAACGAAGTCCTGGAATTGAACCAGTTCGGGGACGCCGAGGAGCGGAGCGTCTTCATCGAGAGTGTTTACAAGGAAGCGGATGGGAAGGAGCTGAAGATCGCCTGCAGTCAGTCCTGCTCGAGACTCATGGAGAAGATGATATCCATGTCGGACATGCGCCAGATCCGGAGACTGTTCAACAAATTCATCGGCCATTTCCTGCACCTTGTCCAGCATCGGTTCGCGAGTCACTGCTGTGAGACGCTGTTCATCAATGCGGCGCCGGGATTGATGGAGAAAGCCCCGAAACCCAAGAAGAATAAGAATGAAGACGAAGACGAGGAGGACCCGGAGCCTGAGCTGTCGTTGACAGAGATGTTCATGGCGGTCATCCAGGAGCTGGAGGGAAACTGGGGATACTTGTTGACGGAGCGGTTTGCGTCGCATACGATTCGCGTTCTGCTTCTTGTGTTGGCTGGCGAGCCTGTGGACCTGTCATTGACTGAGTCGATCGTTGCTAGCCGGAAGAAGGAGAGGCATGGCCTCGCTACAGACACCCAGGAGGAGAACCCTGTCGCAAAGAAGAGAAGCGTACCGGAATCTTTCGAGGCGACCTTGAAGAAAATCATGCAGGACATGGTTTCTGGGATCGACGATACGTACCTACGGGCCCTTGCGACGCACCCAGTCGGAAATCCGGTTCTTCAAGTGCTGCTGTACCTGGAGCTCTCGCACTTTGGGAAATCCAGCGCCAAGGACTCGAAATCGGTCCTGAGGCGGTTGGTTCCCAACGACGAGTTTGAAGAAGGCACGGAAAGCACCATCTTTGTCCGCGGACTGCTCTACGACCCGGTGGGATCTCGTTTGCTGGAGACCATCGTGCGCTATATGCCGGGAAAGCCGTTCAAGGGACTTTATAAGAACTTCATGCGTGACCAGCTGCGCTCGCTGTCACGTAACATTACCGCCGGATATGTTGTCCTCCGGGTCCTTGAGAGACTCGGAAAGGATGACCTGGAAAACGCCGTGGAACTACTTGTCCCCCAAATCCCAAACCTCATCGAGCGGTCCCGAGTGATTGTCCCCAAGACGCTGATTGAGCGGTGCATTACCCGTGGCGTCAACACGGCTCCCATCGCACGCGCTCTCGAATCCTCCTACGACAGTGATCCCGCCAAGAGATTGAGTCAGATGCTCTGGCTCGAGGGTGCCCCCCAGGAGGATGCAGAGGGAGAACAGAAGCCCAACGAATTTGGTTCTGATTCCAACGCCAACCCGAAGCCCAACACAGGAGCTAAGTTGCACAGCTCTCTGTTCGTCCAGACCATGCTCACGGCACCCGGGCCCGTCAGCGGTCTGGTTTATTCAAGTCTGCTCGCACAATCGTCAGAATCGCTTGTCGAGTTGGCCAAGGACTCCACGACCTCGCACGTCCTCCAGAAAGCCCTCACCTTGCCTACCTCCACCCTCCAATTCCGACGACAGTTCGCCGTCCGATTCACCGGCCAGCTGACGGATCTCGCCTTGGACAGCAGTGGATCTCACCTGGTTGACGCACTCTGGCCCGCCACCAAGGACCTTTTCTTCGTCAAGGAACGCATGGCACAGGAGCTGGCCCAGAACGAAATGGCGCTCCGCGACTCATTCGTTGGCCGGGCGGTTTGGCGGAACTGGGCAATGGATCTCTACAAACGCCGGCGGGGCGAGTGGGCGGCCAAAGCGAAGGGGCTCGATGACAGCAACGGGGCTGGAGAGAAGCCCAAGTCTCGGATTGAACTGGCACGGGCTAAATGGGCCGCTCAAGCAGCGGAAAACCCCAACAAAGCGGCGGAAAACCCCAATAATGAGGCCGTAGGTTCTTCAAGGTCCCAACGATTGGACGGTTAGATTAGGTAGCGATTCGTGGATTTTTTTCAAGCATGTATATCTAGGATTCTCTGATAGACCAAAAGCAAGACATCATTCAGCCTCAATTCAATTCTCTCCCTATCATATCTGTATGTAGATACCGTATGCTTCAGCAACTTCACGACCCGGTCACGTGGCGGTCCTCGAGTCGGGATCGGGATCTCCTCCGTCGTGCCGTACCACCGCGCAAGAAAATCCTCCGCCATCATCCTATCTCCGCGACCTTCCTCCTCCATAATACCCTCCTCACCAACAATTCGAACCATGACCCGCTCACAATCCCTCCTCACCCTCTCCCGGAGGTACCTCACCACCGCGGCCAGACCAACAACAACGACGGCAGCAGCAGGAACAGCACCCAGCAAATTAGCCTCCCACTTCCCAACCCATCCCCAACCACGCCTCCAACACCTCCGACACCACTGCCCCTACACCTCGAGAACTACCCGCCCAACCATCCGCACCTACCACTCCGCGCACCACCCCGCCCCGCTCCATGAATACTCCAACTCCCAAACAACCATCCTCTCCGCGTCGCTGCGCCATGTCCCGACGCACGGCTTCTCGCGCGACGCACTGACACTCGGCGCGCGAGACGCCGGGTTCCTCGACGTTTCTGTGCAGCTGTTCCCGCGCGGAGAATTCGATCTGATTCTGTTCTGGCTGGCGAGTCGTCGGGGGCTTCTCCGGTCCAGGGTGGAGAATGACGCTTTGTTGCAGGCTCAGGACGGCGGTGCTCCCCTCTCCGTGGACGAGAAAATCAAGGTCTTGATTATGGAGAGGCTGCGCATGAATGAGGAGGTTAGGGATAAGTGGCAGGATGTAGGTTTATGTTTCCCCCCTCTCCCTGTGTGGTGATGGTTGGTGTTTGGGGGTGTGGTTATTGGGCTCAATGGGGAAGAAGAAGAAGAAGAAGATAAGGAAGAAGAATTAGGGCTAATGTGTGTGGTTGTTGCGTCTAGGCTCTGGCTGTCATGTCTCTCGGCGAGAATGTCCCCCTCTCGCTGTCGGAGTTGCATTCTCTGCTGGACGATATTCTCACGCTTGCGGGGGATGTCTCGGTCGATGCGTCGTGGTATTCGAAGCGGTTTGCCCTTGCGGCTGTTTATACTTCCTCCGAGTTTGTGATGACCCGGGACTCGAGTGCCAATCTACGCGACACGGAGGAGTTCCTGACCCGGCGGTTGGCGGATTCCAAGGCTATTGGGGAGAAGATTACGGGCGTGAGGCAGTGTCTGGGGTTTATGGGGTCAACTGCCGTGGGTTTGGGACGGAGTTGGGGGTTGAAGATCTAATAGGCATGGGTGCTGTGCTGTGTGTGCTGTGTGTGCTGTGGTGGAGGGTGGAGTAGTGTATTATTATACTTACAAGCAATGGAACTGTCTAATATGTGTCAAGGTTCACAAATACTACTTAGGCACTTGCACTTGACTTTTCGCGAACTGTGCGGGCAATATTCGCCAGCCGCACCAGCCGCAGTCGCACCTGTAGCCGCTCCATCCAGCCATCCGGCCCAAACAACTCCCGCACGGCTTTCCGGTTAGGTGCCAGATCCCACCACGGCTCACGGATCAGGGTCGATGATGCCTCCCGTTGCTTCTTTGGCTGCTTCTGCTCTTGCTCCTCTTGCTCCTCCTCGTGCTCCTCCTCTTGCTCCTCCTCTTGCTCCTCCTCTTGCTCCTCTTGCTCCTCCTCTTGCTCCTTCCACAGCTTCTCACGCTGGACCTTTTGCCGGTGTGTGCTGAGATCCTGCTCCCGCTGGCTGGCAATCGACTGCAGCAGCCCGAGTGTCCGCGCGTTCGGTTCCACGCCAGTCACGTCCATCTCCCGCAGTAACGACACCACCCCGGGAAGATCGGAGCAGCCGCGCCAGTGGAAATAGATCAGCTCATTAAACAGGTCCGTCGACCCGCCCATGATGGCCGATTTCTTCCCCATCGACCGGATGGTAGCGCGGAACTGGCGAATCAGCTGCGATTTGGGGAAATGCAGCGTCAGCAGCCGGAACGCGCGAAGGAGCATGTTGGGGTACAGTTCGATGATGATGGGCTCCACTGGCACGCAGGCGGGGATCGCAAGACGATGTCTCTGATCGCTGCCCCAATCCACCGGGGACTGGACCGTCTTGTCGTCCTGACCGCGGGCATAATTTACAATGGTAAACACGCGCCCCTGGCAGACGCTCCACAAGCTGGCCTCGTCTTTCCCTTCCTCGATGGCCTCCCACATCGCATCCTCAATCTTCGACGACTCGCGTGCGATCACAGACGCGATGGCGCGATCCATCGAAACCTGTCCCGAGGACAGCATCTCCGCCAGCTCGTCGTCCGTGTAATCCCCCGCCTGGAGCCTCTCATCCGCCATTTTTCGTTCTTCTGTTATCATTTCCGGCTCCGCCTGTCGTGTGCTGTGAGTCGGCACCCGCTCTCGCTTGACCCGCAGATCATGCAGCACCGAGTTGAAGATGTTTGATATATTTGACAGTTCATCGCGCACCTCGTTGCGCGAGCTCGACTTGGTGCCGCTCCCGGACTCGACGGCTTCCGGGGCCGGACTGCGTCGCTCGGCGCTCAGTTGCTCGAGTAGGGTTCCGAAGATCTGTTTCTCGTCGCTGGTCATAGTGAGGGGTCTCGTCTGGGGAGGGGGACGGGGAGAGATGGGCTCTTCTTGGGGCTCGTCGTCCAGCTCGGCAGCGGCCGGCTCGGGATTTTGTCCTTGCGGTTTGGACTGCCGGCGCGGCAGTGATGATATCGTGGCGGCCTTTCTTTGCAGGAAACTTCTCCGCGGTCTTGCCCCGGGCTGCACTTTCGGCGACGGCCCATCGCGGGAGTCGGAGGTCGAGTCGGACTCGGAGGTCGAATAATGGTTTTGTTGTTGGTGTTGCAATAGGCTGGCGGCCAGCGTCCGAGTCTGGTAAAGGATCGGGGCTGGAGAATTGCGAGTCGCCAGGGCCAGCAAGGCACGAGTGGGAACTCGGGCGCTCATGGTCATGTGAACGTCGACAAAGTCGAGTCGTTGTCGTTGAGGCTGAGATTGGATTGGACTGGACTGGGACTGTCAAAATCGAAGAGGCGCTAGCAACCCGTCCAATTTCTGCCGCCGGATATCTCACGTGACGGCGCGGCGGAGACGCGGGTTCGCCGCGACGGCCCCTGCTTATTATCGCGTGTGTTTATATTATATTCCTGCGTTGTGGTCATTAGATCATGGCTGTTCTTGTTCAAGAATAATATCTATGGATATCCGTCCCCTATGTCGGAAGATGAAGTATACACTAAGCTTGCAAACGAGAAGAACGAAAAGCAACCACTATCCTCTGGGAATACTCCGTACAGATCCACCGATCTGTCGACCGCATCATCCCCGATGCGGGGGTTTCGTGGGAGGATCGGACTTGAGCCGAGCTGGTCCTGAGGGGAGCCGGGATCGGGCTCAGGATCAGGATCCATATCTCTCTGCTCTCCCCCGTCGTCCCATTGCTAAAACCGACATCACATCCACCTATCCAACCCAGGGACTATGGCGCACCTAAACGACATCCGCGGCCGATTGGCACTCATCACCGGCGCCTCGGGAGGGTAAGCAACATCCATCCATCCATCCATACCTACCCAAGTCTCCCAGTTACCCCCCCCAAACAAACCACCCACAGCATTCTAACCCACACTCACCCCATCCCATCTTTCCAGAATCGGCTCAGCATGTGCCCACCAGCTCGCAAACAAAGAAGTCCACCTAGCCCTAACATACTCCTCCAACGCGAGCGCCATCACGTCTCTCCAGACCGACCTCCTTGCCCAGCATCCGGCGCTTCGCATCTCCATCCACCAGGTCGACGTCGGGTCCGCAGACCAAATCGACGCTCTCTTCGAGCAGATCGACCAGCACCACGGCCAGCGCCCGGACATTCTCGTCTCGAATGCCGGCTACGGCAAGCGCATCCAGAATGTCTGGGATATCTCGCTCGAGGAGTTCGATTACACCCTGAATGTTAATCTCCGGGCCTCGTTTATCCTGGTGAAGGGCGTCGTCGAGCATATGAAGAGTCAGCGCTGGGGGCGCGTGATCTTCATGTCTTCCATTGCGGCGTATGGGGGTGGAATCAATGGTTGTCGTAGGTCTTCGTCTTCTTCTTCTAATACTACTTTTTTCTTTGGTTGAGTTGGGCTCAGGGAGAGGGGTAGCGGTGGCGATTTCTGATTTACCGATTAACTGGCTCTGGCTAACCCGTTGATGCATGGGAATGGATACAGATTACGCCGCCTCAAAAGCTGGAATGACCGGGATGATGCGCAATCTCTCGACGCGTCTGGCGCCCTTCAATATTAGCGTCAATGACGTGGCGCCCGCCATGATCGGGGAAACAGGCATGATCCCTAACGCGGAGGCTATCCCCGAGGTTGCGGCTGGTATTCCGCTCGGGAGACTGGGAGTTCCGGAGGAGGTGGCTAATGTGGTGACTATGTTGGTGACGACGGGGTATATGACGGGCCAGAGTTTGTTGCTGGCGGGAGGGTTGAAATAGGACCTTTGCCCTTGGTAGACCCGATGGGCTGGGGGGTGACTTTGAATAATGTCATATATAATACTACTGTGTATGTGTGTAGGTGTCTCTGCTCTGGACACCTTTTTTACTACGTGGGGGGGGACCGGACCTTCTCCGCGTCGGCTATTGACGTCGACGGCGCAATAGCCGATGGTATGTGTAATGTCGTATTACACATGGAGTCCCTTTTTTATTCCATCTCGTCCGGCGTGTCGGATGAAACAGAAGAGGGGGGATCTGTTCCTTCCGTACTCTCTGATTGATGGTCACAGCCTACTTACCTAACTACATTGATGTTTCCACTGATGTAGATGTTGATACCTCCTTCAACCTCGGGTGTCCTCCCTCCCTCCCTACGTCATGTCCATACGTTACAATACAGACAGATTGCCGTCCCCCCACGCGAATCTTCTCAATGAATCAATCATAGTACCTAGGTGGTTAATAAACAAATAAATAATGAATAACCACCGGCTCAGCTTGATTTCTCTTCTTTATTTTCTCCTCGTTTCCTCCTCTTGCTGTAACCTCCGTACTGCACCCCTCCATTGACTTGCTCCCCATCACCTTCCTTCGCCTACCCCGCCCCCGCCCACCATGCCCGCCGCACTTCTAATCGGGGCCATCACCCACTCGCGCAAAGAATGGGAAGACCTAGCATCCACGCTGACCTTGCAGGTGGGATCAGTCCAATTTGCGGAGTAAACAGGTACCGGGCTGAGTTACTGACTATATATCAATTAATGTAGGAGTTCCCCTCAGGGTCACGGGAAGAATTCATCCGCAACTGTCAGGCTGGACAGTACGACGAGGTGGAGGTGATTTATCGGTCTAATACCTCGACAAAGGTAGCCCCCCCCCCCCCCCCCCCCTTTCACACCAATTTCTCAGCGTAATGCAAAGAAAAAATCAAGGAAAGGCTAAGTTTCCCTGTTGCAGTTCACTGGCCCGTTTGACGCCGAGCTGCTCGCCGTCCTGCCGAAATCTCTCAAATACATCTGTCATAATGGTGCGGGGTACGATAATATTGATATCTCGGCTTGTACGGAGAAAGGTACGCTTGACTTGAGATATTGTTCGGGGGATGGGAGATGGGAAGAGAGGAGAGAGAGAGAGAGAGAGAGAGAGAAGGGAACAGATCAGATAGCTAATGAGTCCCAGGAATCGCCGTCTCCTCCACCCCCGTCGCGGTCAACAATGCCACCGCGGACGTGGGCATCTTCTTGATGATCGGTGCGCTACGACAGGCGTATGTTGCGCTATCAGCCCTTCGAGATGGTGAGTCAGTCAGTCAGTCGAGCTGAATCCCACCGACAACCCAAGTCAACCCAGCCCACCCCAATACTAATACTCATACCAAAAACAGGACAATGGCTTGGAAAGGCCACGCTTGGTCGTGATCCCCAGGGAAAGGTGCTTGGGATTTTGGGTATGGGGGGGATTGGTCGTGTAAGTTCACACACACACACACACACACTCTCTCTCTCTCTCTCTCTCTCTCTCTCTCTCTCTCTCTCGCAAATCAAAAACCTAATCCCCCACCCACCAAAACCAGGAAATGGCAACCCGCGCACAAGCCTTCGGGATGAAAATCCAATACCACAACCGAACGCGCCTATCCCCCGAACTCGAAGGCACGGCGACCTACGTCTCCTTCGACGAGCTGCTCGCAAACGCCGACGTGTTGAGTCTGAACCTGGCCCTGAACGCATCCACGCGCCATATCATCGGCGAGACAGAGTTCCGCAAGATGAAGGATGGGGTTGTGCTTGTTAATACCGCGCGGGGGGCGTTGATTGATGAGAAAGCGTTGGTTAGGGCGTTGGATGAGGGGAAGGTGAGCTATTATCTACCTATCTACCTATCTATCGATGTATATCTCTTGAAAAGGGTGTTGTGCTAACTAACACAAACCACACCAACCAGGTCCTCTCTGCAGGTCTCGACGTCTACGAAAACGAGCCGGAAATCGAGCCCGGGCTGGTGAACAATCCCCGGGTGATGCTGCTGCCGCACATCGGGACGATGACCTACGAGACGCAGCGGGAGATGGAGCTGTTGGTGCTGAGTAACTTGCGGTCGGCGGTTGAGAAGGGGGAGATGATTACGTTGGTCCCGGAGCAGAAGAAGGTGTTTGGGAAGTGAAGAGAAGTAAGTAAATGGAGGTAAAGGGAAGGGGTTTCTGCAGGGTGGATAGGTGGATCGTTTATCTATCTATCTATATACATAGATATAGATATAGATACAGTAGATATATATATATATATATATATATATATATAGTACTATATGAATCAATGGCTCCCAGGTCTAATTGATCAATCGTACTATACTTCAACTGCGTCATGTCTGTAAGGACAAGATATAGCCATCATTTTTTGTGATCTACAATTCATGCTGAAGAATGGTATTCCAGACCAGACCACACACCAGACCATCACCCTATCTATCCCTTTGGAGTGGAGTGAATGGAAGGGAAGAAAAGAATCACCCTTCCATCTATACATAATTCCACAGAGACAACCAGAATCAGGAAGAGCATAAGATAGGTGGTTGGTTTACTACAGGAGCTAGCTATCATATTAACCCTGGAAATAATCTATACTACAGTTATAGACATATACGGAGTAGGTAGGTTATCAAGGTACCCTTTGCGGAGTCCAGTTCAGTCCAGTCCAGTTCAGTCCGGATGAGTACAGTGCCATTCTGATTCCCGAACAATAGATCTAGGGGAAGCGGAAGGGACGGATGAAATGAATAAAGATTCACGACTACCGGGATGGACCTAACTAGATAGACCAAGCCAGGCATCAGAGAATCGAGATCACAGAGTACTCCGGAGCTGAATGGATTCCTTCTGGACTGCTCATTATACTGCGGAACAATTTCAATATCGCTGGTCTGGCGTGAGGAGACAGACTATCTACACTACCATGGAACCAACGGTAAAGCATAGGATGAGAACGTGCTCACTGCACATGGATGGTTACCTGATTGTCTGTCGAGAGGGCCGGGTAATCTCATCCCGTAGACACTCCGTTGGTAGACCTAGATACCGAGAAGTATTCCGTACCTGACGATCCAGGCAACCTCGAGCCGATTCAGGATGAAATGAGCAGTTGCTCACGACAATAGTTCGACTGTAGTACTGTTGTTAGCGTGGGACTGGAAATTAAGATCCATCTGGAATAGGTAGTAAGCATGATCATTATTGCATGGGCCCCTCGTAATCGATCTGATCGTCCCATGTGAGCTGATTGATCCTCGCCTAATCCTGGCTGATGGCTGCCAATCGGCGCGTCTCGTTGCATCGGTGCCTGGAATCCCTTCCCTGTTTATGCAGCATTCCGGGGAAGAAGGGAATTCCATGACATGGTATCTAGCTCGCTTGCTGCAGACTAGACTAGACTAGATGCTGACAACCATGAGTGCAATCTTATGAGATAGACGGTAGCCGAGTCGGGGAGAGACTAGGAAACAAGCAAAGCGATCCAGTAGACAAGGCTTTGAGGCTGACGCTCCTGCTTCCTTCGCGCCGGACTGGCGGTTCTGCCTTGGTTTATCTGCCTGGCCTCCTGGGCCTCCGGAGTACACTTTCTCCGCGTGTCGTTGCTTACTTGGGGGATCGAGTTGTAGCGTTGCTGCTAGTAGTAAGTACTCCGTAGATACTGTGTAGATAGATTGCAACCCATGCGGCCCACAGGCCACCCACCGCGGGCCCCGACGGCCATCCGCCCGGATCGACTCTTTACCGGCGCCACCCTCCCGGCTTCCACCGGGTCACCCTGGATTTAGCGTCCTCCACAGCTCCACAGCACTGAAGGATGCAGACTGCAGACTGCAGGCGAAATCCTGATAGTACCGTGAAATGTTTCAAGAAGTAAGAATCCAGGAACCACCATTGGGGGCCAAAAACCAACCAACCAGCATCATGTATTCGTAGTAGGCATGGTCCTATCCATCCACCCTCAATCAATCCGATCAACCATGTCGGGTCGTTGTCGGATACCGCCAGCCCGAGTTGCGCGCAATCTCATCGTCTGTCAGGATGTCTCGCCACCGGCGATAGCACACCGCCAGGTCGGCATCCGGATCGCTAGTCCACAGCCCCCAATCCTCCATCCGGGATGCCTCCCAGAACAGGAAGCCGAACTTGCGATAGGGGTAGAAGTGTATGGTGGCGAGGGGAGCCGCCCGGGGGTTCGCGCGGAAGGTGCGGAAGAATTCCCAGCCCACGGGTGGCTGGTTGAGATCCTCCCATTCGTACTCTGGCCGGCTCTCTAGGTGGACCACCGGTGGTCGATGGTGCGCCGGGGTGCCTGGCAGCGGGGGGATGCGCGGCGGGTCGGGCGCCCGTTCCCGGGGCTGGCGGTCCGGTGCCAGCGCCCGTGAGGCCGGGGTCGGGACGGGGCACAGCGCCAGTCCTCGGGGTCCGGCGGCGGCGGCAGGGGCAGGCGGAAGCGATGGGGCGGGTTTGTCCACTCGCGCGCGATGTCGACCATCATGTCGTGCGGGTGTTGACCGGTCAGGTCGTGGATCAGCTCAATGGCCGTCCATGCCTGCTCGCTGAGCAGCAGGTCGCGGAAGCCCACCGTGCTGGGGTTGGCTTTGTGCAGACGGGCCCGGTCGTGGGGGGACCAGTCCAACCCGCCGCCGTCGCGCGCGGCGACCTTGAGCTCGTAGAAGAACTGCACGCGCCAGAAGGCCAGCAGGGCGCGCTGTTCTTCCGTCCAGGATGGCGGGGACGATGACGATGGCGGCAGGCGCAGGGCAGCCTCGCATCGGTGCAGGCACCGGGCCAGACACAGGTGCGCCAGAGCGTGTACGCGATGCGCCAGCCCCACCAGCTGGCGCAGCATGGGCGCGGGGACGGCGGGGTCTAGGTGCTGGCAGACGGCCAGCGGGTGGGAGAGCATCTGGTGGTAGGACTGGAATTCAAAGTGATGGGTGCGGAGGGCGACGATGGCCTGGATGAGATCGCGGGTGGGCGGCGGCACGGAGGCCCGCAACACTGCGTTCACGATGTCGCCAGCGCCGGCGTCAAAGATTGCGGAGAGGCGGGCGGAGGCGTGGATGAGACTCCAGAGAGTGGACAAGTCGGGGCATTGGCGGAGGACGTGGGCCAGCAGCTCGTTGGGGAGATGTAGTAGTACTAGGGAGCAAGGCATTGTGGTGGGATCTTTTTTTGGGGGGGGGGGGGGAGACAGGCAGGGAGGGAAAGAGGGGGGGGAAATAAGTAAGAAAGAACTTGAAAGTGAAGGTGTTGGTGGTTACGGCTTTAGTAGTAGCATGACATTACTCCTACTACGATGATGGCGGGTATCAAGGGTCAAATAAGCAAGCAACTAGGCACGCTGTAAATTATATATATATATATATATATATATATATATATTTATGGAAGGATAAATACATAGATATTGACAGATAGTACAAAGTAAGTAGCAAGTCAGTCAGACGTAGTCAATCACGGCACTGTCGCCCACCCCGTGTAGTACTCCACCACCTGGCCGTTGTAGGGCATGTTCTGGGCATACCAGGCGGCGCCGGCGACAAAGGTGTAGCTCTCGGCGTTGCTTATGGAGTCGGAGCCTGTAAACAGGGGCTGGTTGTTGGCGCGGGCCATGGTACCCATGATGGCCCAGGCATTGTACTCCTCGCCGACGCTGGGGACGAAGCCCATGTCGGTGAAGAGGTGCAGCAATTCGTGGAAGAAGGTGGCGGCGGCGGGCATGATGTCGTTGATGGGCTGGTTGGGAGTGGGCGGGTAGTTGTTGTTGGCCTTGTAGCTGGCCAGCGTGACGGGCACGGGGGCCACGGAGCCCAGGGTGCCGGGGGCGAACGAGGAGGGGCACAGCGTGACCGCGCCGCGCTCCGAGGCCTGGGAGTTGGTGTAGCCCAGGCTGTTCTGGGCGCACTGGTACTGCAGGGCCGTCCCCTTGGCCTCGTCCATCCAGTACAGCAGCTGCGTCTTGTCCCAGTACGGATACACATCGCTCACCGCCACCTGCAGGCTCGTCGCAATGCTCTTCTGCCATGCTACCATCTTCGGGTCATCTTTGATCAGGTAGCTGCCCTTGCCGTTGGGGTTGGGATTTATTTGGCCCTGGGCGTCGCGCATCGGCGTGCTCATCGTCACCCGCTGCGAGTGGTCTTCGCAGAACAGCAGCGGCTTCTGCGTGCGGCCGGTCAATGGCCCCCCGTTCTCCAGCCAATACTCCAGGTACTCGTACCAACTCTTGGCCGACTGCACATCGGCTGTCGTGGGTTTCTGGAAGAACGCGTCCAGGAGCCGCTCCGCCACCGGGTCCGCCTTCTGGTAGTCGTCGCATGCCTGGACGCCCGCCTTCGCCAGCTTCAGCGCATCCGTGACCAGCTGGTCCAATTTCGACGTGTACTGGGCGCAATTCCCGTTGATGGTGGTGGACGTCACCACATCGAAGAGCGACGCCATGGGGAGCGCCGCCGAGGCCGCCAGCCCGGCATGGCCGGCCAGGATGAGCCCCGCAGGCGAAAGAACCTGGCGAAACAACCGCATGATAGAACTCGAGGGAAGAAGAGGGGACCAGGTCGGTCGTAAGGAATTCAAAGGACGCGGAGGACTGACTGATTCTCCCAGCAGCCAACCCACCCGGACATCAAGGCCTTTTCTGCAGACCACCTCTGACAGCCTCCCTCCGACCAAGGGCCTCCTATTCCCCATCACTACCCGGGGAAATTACACGAATCTGCCGGGAGATCCTTCGTCGCATCGCGGCCACGGAGATAGGAATTCCGCTAGTCTAGTGGGCTGGGAAATGAGATGGATCCGGCCGATGGAATGGATCTTACGCAGGATCTGAAGGCATCGCCATAGCCCGGAAGGGTGGAGCCTTCCTGCAGGTACGACAAGTCCACATGGCCGTTGATAAGCACACCCCTGAATGGAAGAATACCTTGCCAGATGGCCAAGCTCGTCCCATTTATCTGCCGCTTTCCCTGCTCCAAGGAAGAAGGAAGCAGCAGCAGCAGCAGCAGCAGCAACAGCAACCACACGGGACACGATGCGGTTGATCCAGAAGCTGGGACTCCTGTGGCTCGGTCTGCAGGGCGTCGACCCGGTTGCTGCACATGTACCCCACGGTCATGGCCGGCAATATCACAATCATCCCCATTATGGCTATCAACAGATGCCCCGGGGAATTTCTTCGGTCACCGCGACAAACGGGACGACCTCCAATACCCGGCCCCCGTTGCCCCCAGGAACCCCTCACGTTGAGTACCACCCAGTCTGACGGATTGATCAAGGACATGGACACTGACACTGCAATAGCCCCCACCCCCTTACATGAAGGATAACGTCAATAATTTCTACGGCACGGCGCCAGACCGGGGTAACGCGACAGGCCCCTGGCTGGGCACCCGTGATGACTCGACGCTACACGGAACCATGGCCACGGAGTCCGATAACTCAGACGATTACTGGCTGTCGACCATGGGCAGTGCCGGTGTGGTGAGGGCGACATCGCATCCCCCGGTTGTCCAATGTTGCTGACTCTGGTATAGATGCCGCTGGCTTCTTCCGACTACCAGTTCTTCCGCAATGTCAAAGACTTCGGTGCGGTGGGCGACGGAGTGACGGATGACACCGCCGCCATAAATCGCGCGGCGGCCACTTATGGCCTGGATGATCTGACCCAGCTGCGCTGTGGGAAAGACTGTGGCTCCACCTCGATCCTGGGGGCGGTTGTCTACTTCCCCCCGGGCACCTATCTGATCAGCTCCCCCATCATCCAATACTACTACACCCAGTTCGTGGGCAACCCGTCCTCCAAGCCGGTGATTGCCGGCTCCGAGAACTTCACCGGCATCGCCCTCTTCGACTCGGACTTCTACATCCCCGGCGGCGATGGTGCGGAATGGTATATCAACCAGAGCAACTTCTACCGCCAGATCCGCAACTTCGTCTTCGATATGACCGGCATGAACTGGACCAATACCGATGCCGGGCAGACCTATGTGCCTACCGGCATCCACTGGCAGGTCGGCCAGGCCACGAGCATCACCAACTGCGACTTTGAAATGTCCGTGTCGAGCGGCGACCAGTCGGCCACAGGGGTGGGGATTTTCATGGAAAACGGCAGCGGTGGGATGGTCGCCGATTTGACCTTTACCGGAGGGTAAGTCGTCTGAACCCAGAGAGAAGGGATGGTTGCGTGCTAACTCGGGCAGAAATATCGGGTTCGTGGCCGGGAGCCAGCAGTTCACCGCAATCAACATGCAATTCACGTCGTGTTTGACGGCCGTCAAGTCCCTCTGGGACTGGGGCTTCACCTGGAAGAATCTCTACGTGCTCTCGTGTTACATTGCGATTGATGCCACCGAATACTCGGGCACCGGGCATCAAGGCACCGGCTCGATTGCCGTCGTCGACTCCCACTTCGATGGCGTCCCCTATGCCATCACAATCGCCCGCGAGGATGACGAGCAGCCGAACATCGTGCTGGATAACCTGCTGGTCGAAGATTCCACCTCGGTGGTGCTGGTCTCGGGCGGGGATACCATCCTGGAGGGTTCCTCGGGGGCCCTGTACTACAACTCGTGGGCCAACGGCTATGAGTTCCTGCCGGACGGCTCCGGAGGCATCATGACGGGATTTATGGACCCGGCACCAACTAAGCCAGAGTCCCTGCTCGACAGCTCGGGCGCCTACTTCCGGCAGGCCAAGCCGCAGTACGCGGGGGAAACCCCTATCCTCGCCACGGACAACGGCGTCTCCAACGACATGAGCGGGGATCAGTCCTCCGCTATCAACACACTCCTGGCCGATAACGTGGGATCAGTTATTTTCTTCCCGGCGGGTATCTATCTCGTTGAGGACACGGTCAAGATCCCCGTGGGCAGCCGCATCGTCGGGTCGGGATGGAGTCAGATCATGGGCACGGGTTCCAACTTCCAGGACGAGAAGAATCCGACCGCAGTGGTTCAAGTGGGAGAAAAGGGGGACTCCGGTATCATCGAAATCAGTGACATGTTGTTCACGGTCCAGGGTCCGACGGCGGGAGCCGTTCTGGTAGAGTGGAACGTGCATGAGAGCACGCAAGGCAGCGGTAAGTCGACCTGAGACCCATGGCGCATATGCGAAATTTTCTGACTCACGACGTCTATCCTTCAGCGGCCATGTGGGATAGCCACTTCCGGGTTGGCGGTGCTAATGGCACCAACTTGGGGCTGGAGGAGTGCGCGGCCGGCTCCAGCTCCGTCAACAAGGACTGCATGGGGGCCTCGCTGATGTTGCACATCACCTCCGAGGCCTCGGTCTACCTGGAAAATGTCTGGGCGTGGGTGGCGGATCACGATCTCGACAGCCCGCTGAATGCGCTGGCCTCGGAGACCACGTCGGGGGTGCCCGTGAATGTTGACACGGACGTGACAGTGTACGGCGGACGAGGTATCCTGATCGAGTCGCAGGGGCCAAGTTGGTTGTACGGCACGGCCAGCGAGCACTCGCAGCTGTACCAGTACCAGTTGCTCAACGCCTCGAACATCTACCTGGGCCACATGCAGACCGAAACCCCTTACTACCAGCCCAGCCCCGATGCCCTCAGCCCCTACACCATCGGGCTCTTCGCGGGGGATCCCACGTTCTCAGACTGTTCGGACGACCTGTGCCGGGGCGCGTGGGCGCTGCGGGTGCTGAACTCGACGGACGTCTTCATCTACTCGGCCGGCTTTTATACCTGGTTCCAGGACTACGACGAGAGCTGCATGTACGAGGAGATGTGTCAGCTAGCGCTGGTGGACACCAACTATGCCAACGGGCTGTGGCTATACAACCTGTTCACAAAGGGCAACGTGCAGATCGTCTCGCCCGAGGGCGATCTGGAAGCGCTGTACTTCAACTCAACGACACAGGACGGGTTCACTAGTGAGATTGCGGCGTGGCTGGCCCTGGCCGAAGGGGGTGCAGACATCGGCTCGAGTGGGAACGACTCGGGCATTGTGTATATCGACGACATCATCTGGAGCGAGCCCGACCCGGTCAATATCTCGTGCTGGGAGCCGTGCGAGTACGTCCTGCCACCGATAATCCTACCGACCAATACCACCTTTGTCTATCCTCTTCTCGTCACGCCCATTGTCTATGGCCAGGAGGTGCCGACCGGATACGTGTACGACGGCGAGACCATTCACACGAGCGAGTATGTCACCAGCACCACCACCATGACCATCAGCATCCCCTCCGTCGTCGCCAACTCCATCAACCAGTGGAACGTCCCCATCGGGTCCAACACCAGCTCCACAGTCATCACCCCCTCGCCCAGCGTCATTGCTCCAGCCTTCAACGTCACCTATCCGCCCTTCACATGGAACGGCACCGTCTACTCGCCCTCCGTCTTCCCTTTCTACCCGCCGCCCTGGCCCGGCGTGACCGTGCCCCCCTCCGTGAGTGCTACCACCTCCTCCACGGCCCCGGACGTCGTCACCTGGGTGAGCAGCGGCACGACCTGGGTGACGACCCTTTCGGCTTCGACTTCGGCTTCTTCCTCGACTTCCACCTCGGCCTCAGACTCGGAGTCCGCATCCGCATCCACATCCTCGCAGTCCGACACGGCTACCACGACGACCGACGGTGGGGGCAGTGACGACGACCACGGCGGTCATCGCCATCGCCATGTCACCCATCATCGCGGGGCTCCGAGCCCGACGGCCCTGAAGCCCGAGGGCAGTGTTTGCCACGAGGGCATCCTGGGTGGCATATTCCATGTGTGCAAGTCATGCTGGATCGGGTGCGGTGGAGCAGACTGTATGTAGCAGCTTCCAGGCCCCTGAAGAAGAAGATGACGATGCTAATAATCACGTTACAGCGCCCAACGACACTCCCAACAACCCCAACAAACCTAGCAACCCCGACGACCCGGATGACCCCGACTCCAAGAGCTCAACCTCCTCGGAATGTTCAACCGCTACCTACAGCTCGTGCAGCACGGCGTGCATCACCGCCAGCCCGTCTGAAAGCTGCACCTCTACCTGCAAAGAGATTGTCGGTTGCGACACCACCGGCACGTCCGAGAGCGTCACCTGGACCCCTGCTCCGCTTTTCACGGGCAGTGCGGACTCGTGGTACGACTATGACGAGTCCGGGTCGGCGCTGGTGGCATCCGAATGGTCCGCCGGTGCGGCTGTCTACAGCGAGTATTCGACCATCACTGGCATCGACACTCCGACTGCGACGGCGACTGGCACGGCTACAGGCACAGGCACCTCCGGCTCGAGCTCCTCCAGCGGAGATTCATCTAGCTCAAGCTCGAGTTCCTCCAGCGGCGACTCATCCAGCTCAAGCTCGAGTTCCTCCAGCGGCGACTCATCCAGCTCAAGTTCAAGCTCCTCCAGCAAGGACACATCCAGCTCGAGCTCAAGCTCAAGCTCCTCCAGCAGCCACACCCGACAAACCATAACCGAAGTGGTGGTCGTATCCAAGACCATAGAAACAATGACAACCAGCTACTCGAAATCCGCCGGAATCGCCGCCATCGCCGCAGAATGGCGGGTGGGACTCCGCGGGGGAGAGCTCCGCGACTACGACGTCGCCTTCATAACCAACTCTGAGACGTTCGACGTCTGCCGTTTCGGGAAGGTATACGGCGTAGCCACCCCGACGCCCACCGCCTGGTCGGAGCTCCCCCGCGAGGTCTCCTTCTTCTCCACCTTGACCGTCCTCTCGACCAAGTACTCCAAGTGCATCTACACCAACTCCGCCGCCCCCAGCGCCGGCAACGGCGGCACCTTCTCCTGCGAGAAGGATTTGACTTTGCCCTGCGAGGTCGTCACGATCCCTGTCTTTGGCTGTGATCCCGATCTGCTTATTGGCTATGATACTAGTATTAAGGTCCTGGCGCAGTGCACTCTCTCCACTATGACGACTGATTACTCGACCACTTCTACTTATATCGCTGTTACGACGGAGCCGGCTTCTTAGGCTGTTTGTCTTCCTGCTCCTACCCCGGAGTCTGGCTCTACGATCGACCTCCACTTTCTGTACATATACATATTTGGTTAATCGCATTTGTCTTGAGGTTATGGATGGTGCTGGTAGGACAGGATAGGGCTGGGTATACTGGAATCCACAACATCACCATGCACGCCACTCCAACCCAACCACCATAACACCAGCAGCTTCTCTCTTCAGCAGGTTTCCTAATCTACAATAACCTTCACATCTATTACCCATCCAACTGTTTACTGCACTATACCTATATATCTCCTATGTTCTATCTCCGCCACAACACTTTTTTTTTGATTTATTTTATTTATTTTTTTTCCCAAAGCGATAAACATACCCAGCTCTACAATAACCTTCACCCCAGGAAGACTATTATTGACACAGAAAGGGTGATTAATATTTATATATACTCACCTTATACCCTTTCCAACACAGCCCTGCTCACCAGATATTATCCTACGAACTAAGCCAACCACTGTAAATTCTACTAGGCTACGCTACTAAAACTGGCTCCTACATACAACCCTCTAGATCCGCTAAACACAATTACTATGTTAGTGGTAACGAAGTAGTTAGTAGATATATAGTACTATACTTACATCTAGAGGTCAGTTTGTTGCTTTATTACAAAACAGGCGTGGAAATAATTTCTGTCTGTCCAGGACTGTTTGGATGGTTTTCAATTTTCAATTTCTACTGCATTTGCAGAGTACAAACCTATATTCCATATTCCATTTTCCATATCCTATATGGTATAGCTACTTAGCTATGCTGGTCCGGAGGCTGAGCTGAGGGCCGCGGATCGGATCGGATCGGACAAAGGAAGGTTCTCCGTCGCCGGTCCGGAGTATTTATTACATTTATTACATTGGACTGACTGGACTGGACTTCGAAGGAGTCGACTCGTCGAATCGATCTGCTGATGACCTGATCTGATCGCAAGCATGACAATACCAATGCATCTTAAGCATCTCTATAATTGATGCCCATCGACCTATATCCATCTATTAATCTTCTAGGGTTATTTCTAACTGAGTGGGGTGAAGGTGGTTGGGGTGGGTGGGTGTCCTCGGGCTTCTCTGTGCATCACTGCGTAGTGTCCGTACCGCGGCGGCTAGGCATTTGATCGAACAGGATTCTCGGATATCAGGTGGAAAGGGCTGGAAATTAAATTAATATATTCGACTGTTCACTTTGATTCTACATCTCTATACGCTGTCTGTCTCTTCATACAGTTAGTTAGTTAGTGCTTTCAACTCGCATTTTCAGCTGCGCACAGCGAGCAGGTTGACGATGTTGGGGCACTGCATATTGCTCGATATGCATGGCATCCCAATGGTGAGCACGGAATCTACGGACCTACGGAGCGCGCGTTCTCAACCTCAACACTCAACAAGTCCGGCGCTGCATCGCATCTAGACCGCATTATTGACCGATGGCACCTCCGGGTGTCCGGTGAGTCACGTGACCCACGTTTGCAGGGTTTGCAGAGGATGGAGGCGCATTGCCGAAGAGCGGCTTTCCCCCCCAGCGTTGCCGGCGGGGAGAAGGAAGTCAGACCAGCGTCCTTCATAATCTCGGCGTAGAGAAGAATATTTGCTTGAATATCCAGCAGTCCGTCGACTTTTTTTGTTTTGAAAACCTCGAAAATCGTTGTCGCAAAATTTTCCTGAACCAGCTACCATGGCCAACACCACAGGTATGTGACTCAACAGTGCGAGCCCCCTTCTTGGCATTTCTGGATAGGACTCGCAAAGCGGCGGCCCACAGATTTTACCTTTTCTTCCCCCTCAACTCCCTGACCACGTTGCCCCCCCCCCCCTGTGCCGAGACATCTTCTGCCTCATAGCCCCCTTCCTATCACATCATGAACTCCACAAGGCTATTTTGGCGATCAAAATTCTTGTCACCTGGAACGAGGGTGTGTCCGGGCTCTCGCGCCAGCGTTCCCCTTTCCACTCGCCATACCCGACCTGTATTCCAACGCACAGAATCCCGGCTGTGTGCTAATATCAGTACCTCTTCAGACCGATTCACCTCTGCTCTGCACCAGAACAAGGACTGGGCAGCCCAGATTGCCAAGGAGGATCCTTCCCTGTTCCCGACGCTTGCGAATGGCCAGTACCCCGAGATCCTCTGGATTGGCTGCTCCGACTCCCGATGCCCCGAGACGACGGTTCTGGGTCTCAAGCCTGGTGATGTCTTCGTTCACCGCAATATCGCCAACATCCTGCACGCCGGCGATCTGAGTTCCTCTGCTGTCATCGAGTATGCTGTGCGATACCTGCAAGTGAAGCATATCGTCCTCTCGGGCCATACTAGTTGTGGAGGTGTTGCTGCCGCCTTGGGCAACAAGCAGCTGGGCATCCTGGATCCCTGGCTGCTGCCCCTGCGCCAGCTGCGTCAGCAGAACCTGGATCTGTTGAATTCCATGACGCCCGAACAGGCCAACCTGAAGCTGGTCGAACTGAATGTATTGGAAGGCGTTAAGCTGTTGAAGCAGAAGAATGTGGTGTTGGAGGCCATCGAGCAGCGCGGCCTCCAGATTCACGGGCTGATCTATGATGTTGCTTGTGGTGTTCTGCGGCAGTTGGATACCGACGAGTCGGAGGAGGCCATCAAGGCGCGGTTGACATCATTCAAGACCGATGTCTAGGGAGGGGTTGCGAGAGGAGGAAAGGGGGCGATCGGCGGCTCCTGTTATTCGTGTTATCCTGTTTTCATTGTACCTGCCATTTCTTCAGCGAACAGCAAATGTTGATGTATTTTCTCCGCGATGAGCAGCTTTCCACATCAAGCAGCCAAGTTTTCTCGAGTCTTGTCGGCCCCGTAAAAGCAGATCAAGTCTGCAGTAGCCGTAATGCAGCAGCCACTGCTGTTCACATTTCGCAGACGAAAACGTAATGGAGGAGATGGGCGGAGGGGCTGTGTCGGACGGCGAGGACGGCGAGAAGAATAGGAAAGAGGAGAGAAGAGGAGTGAGTGAAGAGAAGGGAGAGAGAAGGACGCACTGGTGCCCCGGACTGAATAATCAAGACCAGGGCAGGGACGCGTTCACTCCCAACAGCACCGGGCGTAGAAGTCCCTGACTCGTAGGAACTGTTTCTCCATCATACCGAGAGGGAATTCCAAACCGCCGGTGGGCCGATCCGGGCCAGATCTGGTCTAGCCCCGGCCGAACCGGATTTCCTTCGGTAGATTGCAGTTTCGCAGTTTCGCAGCCTCGTTGCCAGATTTCCGTTCGGGATATTTTTCCACTGGATTTAACAGTACTGCTTTCTATCCATCTGTCTTCGTAGATAATGAATATGTAAAGAATAGTACGGAGTACGTACTCCGTACTAGACTACTACTAGTAGGTAAGTTGATATGGCCCATCCGTTGCAGTTTTTGCAATACTCGATCGTTCCCCCGCACTTCCCTTATTTGGTAGTTTTCAGGGTCGTTTCTCAGGGAGGGAAGAACTCCAGACTTGCTTCACCGCTTATGGGCTTCCTATATTGATTGCTACTGTGGTGCTAGCTCGATGCGAGTTTCTATTCTCGATTCACCATATTCACGACCTTGCTTTTCATTCGGTAGACCTGCATCGCGTCCGACATCCTCGTAAAGTCATCTTAGACTGCCGTCCCCTGCACACGTATGGCATTCTTCCGTTCAACCCTCCGGATGATAACAGCCTGTACAAAGGTTAGCAACCATACACAGTCAAGTCGTGATGGTTGTCGTGCTCGACTGCAGGTCACGTGTGTCTAGCGCCTTCTCCCTCTGTCGCCAAGTTACTACATTTTCATATCATCAAGCATCTTTTCCTTCAAACATTATGAGTTCTCCCTGGTGCGCTTTGCTGGACACTATACACCGTTCTACCTATTTCTGCCAATCCTCGCTTTTTGGAAACCTCTCCATTATCCAAACTCTGCGAACTTTCGACAAAACCGCATCATATGGTCGTTTGACTGGATCAACATGATTTCGAGTCTTACTACTTCCCTTCAACATCTTCACGGTTCAGGCACCAATATCACCATTCTAGACAGGGAGTCCACATCAATGCTTTCAACCGTTCCTTCAGGTGTAGATCTTCCGCTTGTCTGACAATTCCCCACGACGATCGACCTGGGAAACTTGAAGATCTTCACAGTATTACAAAGCACTCCGTCCACACCGAAAACTCCACCTCAAGTCTACCAACCAGACTTTGTGGCTTCATAATACAAATTTAACGTCATGGCTTCATTGCTCTGATCAGTTGAAACCTTCATTGCCTGGATTACTTGACCCTGCACCTGAGCGGCCTTCGCGGTTTCATAAAGCAAAGCTTTCGTTACATACTCAAACTCGATTCTAGCCTCTAGTGTTGAAAGACGTTTTCGAAATCAGTGTCAAAGCTGTGTCACAAACCTCGCTGCCAGTCATTTGAAGTCCATGAACTTGATGGACATGTATACAAATGGGATGAACATGTATACAAATGGCGTCTTAAACCGTCTGCTCCGGGTAAGTATACTTACTACAGCGGAGTCTTTCACGATCACTTAATTTACTATCACCTTATAATCCAAAGCTCCCTTGAGAAAATGAAGAGGTTGTACGATCATGGTCAATCTGCTTTACCTTGGTAGGGTTGATTACACTAATCGATCCTATCATTTGATATTAATCACAGGTTACGTACTTGCTGCTCTTCGTCTGCTGACCGCTGCCTAGCTGGTCTTGAGGTCGTCATGCTTCTCCTGCTGAAAAACAACACTGACCCACCTTAGCCACCGCCAGTACGACCAGGCGACCGCCGGCGCCTCCGAAAACAGGAGGTCGGGTTTGATCATTCAGGTCACTCAAGGAAGGACCACTTCGAACCAGATAAAGCAAGAGGACCAAAAGAACCTTCGGCATATCTAGCCCTCACTGGTAGAGAAAGCGAAATGATGGGATAACATGACGGCTGTCCTAGAATCTACTGTGGGCTTCTGAGAAAGGGGAAACTCTGCCTTGTTTGTCGCTTGCAGGCCGAAACCATAGCCTCGGCCTCTACTCCGTATGGGATATCCCAGTGAAATGAGCAGTTAGAATCCATCATCACCCGACATGTCCCGACATCGAGACCTCTATCACCTCGCTTTCAGCACAAGACTGCACCTATGATTGGGTCCAATTTTGGTCGAGTGTGAAAAGATCATTATTTGATCAGCCAACCTTGGAATCTTGCCACTCCATTCATCTGAGGACGTTGTGGCAACCAGATTCCGAGTAAACACATACCATTACTTGGGCAGAAGCGATAGCAGTAGTGGCATCATAGTATTTGTCAAGGTGGACCAATAAGATCCTACCATCGATATTTTCACACTCGACTAAAGTAGATGAAGGTGCCAAGAGACATCCAGATGGGCTGTTTCAAGCGCATCCCCTTAAAGAAGTATTACAATTACATATGTGGATGCCCTCGAAGACTACGTCTGATAGAAGACGATGGTATAGGTTTGTGGAAGGAAAGACCTTGGGATACTCCCAACACACTACGGAGTACAGCCTTTTGTACATTATGACTGTGGATGATCTCAAAACCACCCAACCATGGAGGCCTGTTAATGCTAACAAACTTTATTGGTACCTAGTCTAACTAGACGCAAGGATTTCAGCCCGAGAAAAAAAAAAGCATTAACAAGCGTCTAAGTACTCCGTACGTGGGAGAAAATCTGAGACACCACGCGATCCATATTGGAGGTGGGCGTTCCACAGTTCCATTTGTCCGCAATTTTGACACAGAGTTCATCTTCAATTCTAGACTAACTAACCACTGTCTAATTCCAGTGGAGTTTTTCCAAGAAAAAGCTATGACTTGTCCATGACTCCATAGTCATACACCACTTCACTCGAAAAAATTTAACCCACGCCCCTCTTCGGTGATGGGGTTAGTGATTAGCCGACAGAAAAAAAAGCTCTGTGCTTGCAGAAATCAAGCGAATTCCCTGTTCCTTGCGGGCAGCCGACGGCCCTTGCGCGAATTTCTGTTTGTAATTGGTAACATTGCGATGCAAACTGTTGCCGAATCACGCCACTAGAATGGTTTCCCCTCTTTGGCTCCGGAGACAACTTGTCTGGAGCCCTGGACAGTGGACAGGACACGAGCGCCACTGGACGCCAAAGAGGATCCCATCCGACAGCCAATCTAATCAGATGGCCACATCCTCGTCAATGACTCGACGGTCATTTTCATTCAGGCCATGCGGGCCGTTGGCGGCAAAATGGACGTGTTAGTGCTAGGGCAGAACCAATAAGCGGCCGTATCATATCGCACCACCTTCTCTGTTGCTTCCCACTTTCCAGTTTAGCCCCTCTCCAAGGTTGGAACCAGTCCATTAGTGGAGGCCAGCTCCGAACTCGGGTCAGATTCATCCACCATGAGTGTCACAATCGGTATCTCGATCACTTTGTCGAACGTCGAAGCGATGCCTTTGCGAAAAATTTTTCATGCGGTTCTCGGACCCGCCCTCCACGAGGTGCGAAGGGGAAGACGGATGGGGACGTATGGGCAACCGCGAAGAAAGTTATCAGATATGATCCTTTCACGTTGTGGGTCGCCTCCGAGACAATCCACGAATCAGGGCTCGAAGTCCAGGAGCTATCTGATTCTCGGCTTGCGCGGCATGACTAGAGTAGGCTAGTAGCGGTGTTAGCTCCGCCTGTTTACTTTGGTAGCCGTCTTCGGCGATTTATCAATCAGTGCACCGGCGGGGGCGCTAACGCCAGGTGTGATTGATAAGGGTAGAGATTTCCTCGCTCGCTGGCTAGGTCTGGTCTTCTTTCTCATTCATCTGTCCTTCATCCTGAAGTCAAAGAAGATGGGGCTCACGAATCCCTTCAGTCGTCAGACGACGGACAACACCGTCACCCAGATTGATGTGAACCTGACCGAGGACGAAAAACGAGCTCCTTCCGATGTTGCTATTGCTGAAAGCAATGGCGACGGAAAGGGGGAACTGCCAGAGACCCCCGAGGAGGAACTCCAGCCTGGTGTTCGAGACATGGAGGCCATGACCAAAAATTGGAGCAAGTGGTCGCTGTGTGCGGTGTTCTTGAAGTATGCTTTCTTTCCCCGGCTGAAAACCTAAGTTTATCTTACTCACTGATCAACAGTATTTGGATGCTGTACTTTACCAACGCCTTCCAAAGCGAGATTCTCGCCAGTCTGCTTCCCTATGTTTCCAGTGCATGGGAAGCGCACTCGCTGCTGAACACTATTTATATCGTTGCGGATGCTATCACGGCTGCTTGCTACGTCCCCGTCGGAAAGATGATGGATCTGTGGGGTCGAGCGGAAGGCTTCCTTTTCATGACCATTTGCGCTACCATTGGTTTGATCATGATGGCGGCCTGCAACAACCTTGCCACTTTCTGTGCTGCATATGTGAGACTGCCGTGGCGATTTTACTTGAAGACCACCAGTACTGACAGTTGGCTAGGTGTTTTACTCTCTCGGATTCGGCGGAATGACATATTGTGTGGATGTCATCACGGCCGATGCGTCCATGTTGAAGAGCCGAGGCTTGGCCTACGCTTTCACATCCTCTCCCTATATCATCACGGCCTTTGCTGGTCCCAAGGCAGCGGACGATGCTCTGGGTGCAAATGGTATTGGTATGCGGTGGCCTTTCGGTATCTTTGCCATTATCCTCCCCATCGTCGCGGCTCCTCTGTACGGAGTATTGAAGTGGAACATCCGCCAGGCCCAGAAGGCGGGTACGTATGTCAAGGAAAAGAGTGGCCGCACGATGCTTCAGAGCATTTGGTTTTATATCATTGAGTTCGATGGTAAGGACATGAACCCTTCATGATGCGGTGTGGAACACTAACCTTGGATAGCTGCTGGTGTCTTCCTCTTCTCCGCCGGTCTGGTCCTGTTCTTCCTGCCCTTCGATATCGCCGGCGCCGCTCCGAGCAGCTGGGACACGCCCTATATCATTGTCATGCTGGTCATTGGGTTTGTTCTGCTCTTTGTCTTCCTGATTTATGAGAAGTGGTTTGCCCCCAAGCCCCTGTTCCAACTTGGCTTCCTCTACAACCGGACAGTCATGGGTGCGTGCTTGCTGGACGCCACGTATCAGCTCTGCTACTACTGCTGGGACAACTACTTCACATCATTCCTGCAAGTGGTCAATGACCTGAGCGTGGCTGATGCTGGATATGTCGGCAACACCTTTGATGTGGTGTCTGGTGTATTACTGATCCTTGTTGGTATCGCCATCCGGAAGACTGGCCGCTTCAAGTGGACTCTGTGGGTCGCCGTTCCGCTCTACATCTTCGCCCAGGGCTTGATGATTTACTTCCGTCGCCCGAACCAGTCCGTCGGCTATCTCGTCATGTGTCAGGTGTTCATCTCGATTGGTGGCAGTGTTTTCATCATTGTTGAGCAACTCTCTATCCTGGCTGCCGTCGACCACCAGCACTTTGCTGCCGCGCTTGCCCTGCTTAACGTCGTTGGCACTGTCGGTGACGGCATGGGCGCCACCATCTCCAGTGCTATCTGGCAGAACACCTACCCGAATGCTTTGAGGATGTACCTCCCCGAGTCCGCCATGGACAACTTCTACAACATCTACGAGGACATCGACACCCAGCTGAGCTACCCCGTTGGGTCGGAAACCCGGATTGCAATCCAGCGGGCGTACGGATACGCCCAGACGAGAATGCTTGCTGTCGGAACGGGTATCATGGTTCTCGCCTTCATCTGGACCATGATGATCAAGAACATTGACCTGAAGAAGGTTCCCCAGGTCAAGGGCGTGGTTTTCTAGATGGAATGACCGTTGTTGCTCTCTGTCCGAACGTCGGTATAATTGCCATTCCGCCGTTCACCTCCCCCCTGTCGGATATGAATCGTGGCTAGGGTTTCACTTTCTAGCGCGGTCGCATCCTTGCCCTTTAGTACTTACATTAATCTCCTGTCTATATCCCAATACCCCAAAACACCATGGAAACCCATGAGCTTATGCAGTTAATGTGATACCTACATCATTATCATCATCATCATCATAATCGAGAATTCAATCCCGTCATAGCCACTAGAGAACCTGTTTTGTCGGTTCGCAACCGGGACAGATGTCAGACGGTAGAAGGTTGAAAGTCGGTCGCGGGGTCAAGATCCGGCCCGCACGTGACCCCTCCGGCGAACGGTGACATCAGCCATCCTCTGACAGATCATGTGACCTGTCACTCTCGCGCGATCGCCTCTCGCCTTTCGCCTTTCGCCTTTCTCTTCCTCTCGAAACCCCCTGCAGCAGTCTCTGATCGGACTGGAGCATGCAGCGATCAAGCCAGGCAGGACCTGGTCTGGATTGAGGTCCGAGGATCTCGCGCAAGGCCGGTGAAGAAGGTTTGCTGTCATGCCGCACACTCGTCATTACTAGTGAGGGGCAATTACTGTTTACTAGCAACTAGTGGGCAGGTCCTGCCCATCATCCCACTTTCTGTTCGCCTTCATATTTTTGCCCCTCCCCCCTCCCCCCTCTCTCCCTCCCTCTACCTCGTTGTTTTTTCTTGCCTTGTCTACTCTTGTAGTTTGGCTTCGCATCATCGCTGGCATTATGCGCAATCACATATGCCATCTGCCCAATGGGCAGTCCTTCGTCGTTGCCCGCGTCTTCGGCGGCGCCACTTTCAAGTCCAACGATGTGAACCCAGGCCATTCCGTCGTCTTACCGGGCTGGAACATTGTATTATCCACCCAACGCCAGGAGTCTAAAGTTGACGATCGCGATGACGACCGTGGTCGAGCCCGCGACACCCCGGAAGACGACCACCGGTTCACCTCGCCCACCCTGCGCGATGACTCGCTTTATATCTCCTACATCGTCGATCCACCCAGCAGCGACTACAAACCTGTCAGCTCGCCCACTCGTCAAATCGCCATGATGCTTTGGGTTACACTTTGGTGGTACTTCCACGAGCCCGAACCCGACTGCCACCTACGGACCGATGCCTCCTCCAAGACCCCAGACTCTGGAAAACCTAAAGGCGACTGGCGTGTGTATATTAAGCGCGAAGGCTTTTTCAAGGGCCGCACACTTCTACAGAAGCTAGAACGGATGGGTCTCATAGCCTCAGAGGACTCCTCCGTCGGCGCAGAGCCCTACGACCCGCAGGCCTGGTCTAATATGTTCATCAGCCGTCGCAGTTTCTGGCAGATCGATCCCCGCCTATTCGTCTTCACGCTCAGTCCGCAGACCATCCCGCAAGCCGTGTCCGGCTCACCTTTTGCGCAGCGCATGGCCTCTCCTTCGCGCGAGAGCTTCTACCTCAATAATGCCGCCGGTCTAGAAACGGTACACTACATGCCCAACGAGGGCCCCTTCGCTTCCACCAGCCATCTTCCCACGTACTTCCCTCCGCCCCCAACCCAGTATACCTTCACCAACGGTATCCACCACCCTATCCGCCCTAAACCACCACACCAAGGCGACGTCTTCTATATCCGCTACATTCCTAGCGTCCAGAAATACCTCTCTTTTCGGACCCCCTACCTCCCCCCCACCATGAAATCCAGCACGGCATCTCTCCCAGCAGGCGGATCAGGAAACCACACCCTCAACCTCTCGACCAGCAGCCTCGACCAGCCCCTGACAACGGGCCCCTCTGACCTGGAAATCCTTCACAAATGGATGAACGACCCCCGCGTCAACGCAGCGTGGGGCGAAGCCGGTCCCATCGAACACCAAGAAAACTTCCTCCGCACCAACCTCAACAGCAAACACAGTTTCCCGGTAATCGGCTGCTGGGACGGCAAGCCCTTCGGATACTTCGAACTATACTGGGTGAAAGAGGACCGACTGGGCCCGTTGATTGGTGGTGCGGACAATTACGACCGGGGCATCCACCTGTTGGTCGGAGAGCCTGAATTCCGGGGTCCTGAATATGTGCCGGTCTGGCTGAGCGCGCTTGTCCATTACTGCTGGTTGGCGGACTCGCGGACTCAGTCAGTGGTTCTGGAACCGCGGGTGGATAACGCGAAGTAAGCTTTGTTTTTATTCTTGTCTTGGACACATAAATCTGCATTGTTGGGTAGATACTAACTGCATGGTGAACAGGGTGATCAACTACCTTCAACAAGGAGGGTTCTACAAGGAAGGAGAAGTCGCGTTTCCGCACAAGCAGTCAGCTTTGATGAGAATCCGGAGGGATGCGTGGGAGTCGCCTGTCCTTTGATTCCTTCCTCAAGGAGTTTTCTTCGCCCTGATGGCCGGACTTTCTTCCTTTATTCCTTCCCACTGTCTTCTTGCCTTCCCAGCGCCGAACCGAACCGATTCGATTTCTCGAACCAGATACCCACACCCGTCTTCCTCCGCTATAGATCTTATAGATCTTGTGTCTTTCAGACGTGTGAGAGAGCGTTTTGTTTGCTATGGGAACCCACGGGCTGCAGTGTCCTTCGGCGGGCCCATAGCCATAGAGAGTGTGGGTCCTGTGACTGCTCGGGCTCGGGCCCTGACGCGGGGGCGTTGTGCAGTCGAAGTTCTAATGATTGGGGATGAATGATGGATTTAAAGCTTGAATGATATCACGAGAACATGTCTTTCTGTTTCCATGTCTACTTACCCATCTACCTATCTACCTAGTTATATGGAGAGATACATACATACATACACGCACTCCCAATAGGCCGTGTGTCATCTTAGTAACAAGCCCGAAACTTTCTTGATTGCAATCATGATAGATCCCTATCATCTCCATAGAATAATATAATATGTGGGGAGAACATCCGCAGAACAAAAGAAAAAGAAAAAAAAAAAAAAAAGGACCTGACTAAGCCTGCCTCATGTCCAATGAAAGCAGTACAGCATAGCATAGTAGCACATCACAACACGTGAAAAAAAAAACATAATATCATGACGCCCATAGCGCATACACATCTCACATCACACATCACACATCACACATCACACATCATCCAGAGGGATACTACCAGCTTAGATACTCCTTGGTATACCCCCCTCTCCTACCCCCCATCCTCAACCAACCCGATCCAACAAGCCAGTCCCCAAACCCAAAGCCAAACCAACCCAACCCAAATCCAAAGCCAACGAAAGACCAGACCAAAAACAAAGTCCAAACAGAAAAGTGAAAAAAAAAAAAAAATACTAATACCCCCACATATCCCCATCATCCCTAACCATATCATCCTCATTCAGGACCTTCAGCCCACTCTCCTTCCCCTCGCGTCTGCGCTGCCGCTTCGTGACCATACGACTGGGGGTCAACGGCGTGACGGGGGTAAACGGCATGTAGGGACTATAGGGCGTGGGGATGCCGGTGCGGGGCCCGTTGAGCGGCTTGACGGGCCGTTCGAGCACGGTCAGCTTGGTGGCGGGCGCGCTTTGCAGCGGGTAGGCGTCGCGGAAGGGGAGGGACGAGGAGCTGCGGTCAGGGTTGTTGGCGCTCGTGGGGGTCGTTAGCGTTAGTGGGGAGGGGCGGGGCGCGGGAGGTGGGAGGAGGGAGGGCCTGGGTTGTGATTGTGGTTGTGGTGTTGGTGTAGGGGTCGCGGGGAGTCGGGGGTTGGGGGAGGTGAGTGTTTGAGCTTGAGGGGATTGTTGGGACGGGGGCACGGGTGGGGGCCGCGCGGGGTTGTAGTGGCGGGGTGTGAGGGGGGTTGGGTTTCGGGGTAGGAGGGGGAGGCCATGGGGGAGGAGATGGAGAGTTTGCGGAGGGGGAAGGGCGCGGGGAGCGGAGCTTGCTGGAGGGGGTGGAGGGTTGGGGTTGTTGGTTCTGGAGTGGGATCTGGGGTTGTTGCTGCCGGGAGTCGGATTTGAGGTTGAAGAGGGAGAGCGAGGAGATGCGGGATAGACGTGAGCTGCTGGCTCGAGGGCTCAGGGGGAGGGGGAGCGGGGAGTTGTTGGCTGTAGAGCCGGGCCCCGATGATCGGTCTGTGAAGGGGTTGGTGGGGATGCTGTCTGGTGAGGGGATATCTTTCTCTTCGTCGGGGGGATGATGGTGTTGGTTGTTGGCGCCGCGGGCGGTTGTGGGCGTGGTGGAGGAGGCGGCGGCTTCGGCTTCGGCTTCTTTCTGGGCGTCATGCTCCATCACCGCGGCATAGAGCATCTCGAGGTCTTCTTGTGCTTTGCGGCGGTCTGATGCCACGATGGACTCGTCGATGGTGGCAACGCTGTTGTTCCCGGAGATGTGAGCCTGGGAGCGAGGGGCCTTGCCCAGGCTGCTCCAGGACCGGCCGAAGCTTCTGGGGCCCGGGCTGGGCAGGCTGATGGAGATGGGGGTGATGGGACTGGGGTCCATGCTCGGAGGCGGTTTCACTGGCTTCATCATTTCGACCTGGAGGGAGAAGTTGGAGGCGAGGACGGCTCGTCGCAGACGGCGGCCCACGAAGAGGAGCAGACTGAGGAGAATGGCCACAAAGATCACGTAGGCGCCGACAATGCCTCCGATTTGGATGGCCAGCAGGGATCGATTCAGGTCTGGTGTGGTGGGCAGACCTTTGCGGCGAGGGAAGATGGATTGCTCTTGGGATTTGGAGCCAGCAGTGGTAGCAGTAGTCGTAGCCGCAGCAGAAATGAGGCGGGGAAGTAGTGCAAAGAGAGGCAGCAGGTAGGTCATTATATGGAGGCCCCTACTCGATCTGGGGATTGCAGCAGATGGGATGGTTAAGGAGCAGCCGCAGACATGCTGTGGGTGAGGAATGAGGCTGCAAAGTCTTACAGCAGGAGGGAAACATGCTGGAATAAGAAGGAAGGGGGCAGAGGAGACGGACACACAGGATATGATTGAGTGTCGGGGGTGATTGGATGTGACGGATGTGAAGAGTTGGTGATCGCGCTGTGACAGCCATCCCGCGCCGGCCGTTGGTGGGTTTACGCGCCCACCCTGCACGCACGGCTCCCTCCATCACACCCGGCGGTTGACCACTGGGGGGGAAGGGAAAGTATTAATGAGTGGGGTTGTGCTGAACTGCCGCTGAGCAGCTTCCAATGACATTTCTGTGCCTTACCGATAACCCCTACAGTGTACGGATCAGTGCTAGTATGTGATATCTTGGAAGCGCAATTGCGCAATGTGCCCACTGTCCCCAGTTGAGTGAGGATTCTTACAATACCAGGAAGCACTTATGTTCCTACACTGCGTGGCTGATGTGAATTATGAATTATATGCGAGTCATGACGAATCAAATGAAAACCCCCAGGTCTGGCTGGAAAATGACTTCCTGCTTCACCAGGAAGCGCCTACAGGTCGCGAGTTGGATTGAATCATCATCATACTGTATGCATCTGGCTCTGCATTGGTTCCGGTATGTACAATATCCCCATGGGTGACGGATGTTATGTGAAGGGGTTTCTCGCTCAATAGTCGAGAGTCTGTTTGATAGCATCATATATCCCTGCCATGGGTTAGTGGTGGCTCGCGGACACAGAGTTTTGCACTCACTGGCAACATCGGGGAGGATGAACTTCTCATAGACGAGTCCTGTATGTGTACTCCATCCCGCCACCCGTTTAACCGGCGCCTCTAGGCGTAAGAACGCACCGTCCTGGATAGTGGCTGCGACTTCGGCGCCCACGCCATAATTCATCATACTCTCATGCACCACGATGGCTCGTCCCGTCTTCTTTACGCTGTCTAAAACGGTCTGTCTATCCCATGGGTAAATCGTGCGCAGGTCGATCAGCTCTATGCTGGCACCCAGAGCCCTCTCCGCAGCCTTGATCGCGGCGGAACAGAGATAGAGGGGCTGGCCGTATGAGATGACGGTCACATCGTTCCCAGGCTTCACGACCTCCGCTGTATTCAAAGGGATGGTATAATACTCGTTCGGCACGTGCTCCACGGCCGCTCGGTATAGCACCTTCGGTTCCATGAAGACCACCGGGTTTTTGGATTCGAAGATCGACGACAGGAGGAGGCCCTTCGCTTGGGATGGAGACCGAGGCATAACCACCTGCACACCAGGGACATGCGCGAAGAGTGCCTCGGGGGACTGTGAATGGTACCTAAGATAGCGAGCCCGTTAGCATCCACGCCACCAACCGTCCCCGATATAGCCTACAAAGCACCATGCCCGACTGCACCACAAGGCATTCTCACGACCATCCCGCCAACGTCAACCCCCGTGGCTCCTTCGCGGTATCTGAACTTCGCCGCTTCGTTCACGATCTGATCGAACGCGGGAAAGACATAGTCCGCAAATTGGATCTCCGCGACGGGCTTCATGCCCTGTGCGGCCGCCCCGATCGCAAACCCGACAATCCCTTGCTCGGTCAGCGGGGTATTGAACACGCGCTCCGAGCCGAACTCTGTTTGTAGATCCATCGAGCAGCGGAAGACACCGCCGAATGCCACATCTTCTCCGAATAGCATGACCTGATTGGATCTGGATAGCGCGGTTCGCAGGGCGGAGTTGATTGCCTGGTAGAGGTTCATCGACTTTGAGGTGGAGGATTCCGGAAGGTCGATCGTATCGGACAGAGTCGCTGGGGTGTGGTGGAGGAGCGGTGTTGATTTGTAGTCGATGGGCAGGTTGAGACGAGAGGAAGGGGATGCCGCGGTAGAGTACCGCCGGGGTCTGGGTATGATTCTGGGGAGACGGAGAGAAGCCATCGTGTCGGTGGTGGGTATAGCGAGCAGTCCGAAAATGGGAAGGAGAGCAAGCAGAACAAGCAGAACAAGGGGGGGGGACACCCCCCTGGGTTTTATCTATTAACCTAGGAGGAGCGGCGAGCGCATCTGTTGCATCTCATCATGCGGGGAATGCCCCGAACCCCGTGGATAACCGGGGTCGCTCGCTGCCCGGGAGCCTGAAATTCGCGCTGACTCAGCACATTGTTGGTGTGTCCCTGCCTGAACTGGACTTGCTTGTACTTGCTTGTCTTCACCTTAGCAACACCGTCAGAGATCTCGGAGAGTGGCCAGTAGCGCATGCAAAATCACATTTACAGCACGGGTATCATATGTACAGTGCAAAGACAATATATACAGGTAGAATCCATCCAGAACTGCGCTCAAACAAAGATGGTGGAAGGGAAACAGGCCAAGAACATCTCGAACACCTCGAACACCTCGAACACCCGCGGACATCACGCCTTCCGAGGCGTAGTGCCCCAGAGCAGCAACGCTTCAAACAGACCCCTCGCTATCACTGAAAGCGACTAGTTGGTACTCACTGGTTCGAGAGCGACACCGGCGGAAATATCGACCCCACCCGCAGCACGTGTACAGACCGAGGAATAGGCCGACTCCGCTCATGACAAAAGCAATCACGATGATCCAATAGTGCGGGCTCATGATCTGCTCGAGGTTGTTGCCCTGCTCCCTCTGGAGCAACTCGGTGACGCCAAGGACATTCCCGTCGGCATCCAACGCAGCAAGCCGAAACAGCGGGCTCTGGAGAACTTCCGGGATCTCGATCTCGGTCTCAAACCCATCTTTTTCAAACTGGGCCACCACACGGAACGAGTTGTCGTTGAAATCCTCCGACTCCCACGCTTCCAATCTCCATGCCACTACTTCGGTTGCACCGTTCCAGCTCACATACGCGTGGTCACCCGTCACCTCGGCATCCGGGACTGTCTGCGGTCGGCCAACCCAGGAGCCTTTGAAGGCACGATAGGATACCACCCTCCCGAATCCGAAGAAGGCAGAGGCCCCGAAGTGGACATTGCACAGCAATTGACCATCCGCACTGTACTCGCTAAACGCCGCATTATGGCCCCATTCCACTAGAACGCGACCACTGTCGTCTAGCATCTGTACGTTGCCCTGCGAGACGGACTTCATGTATTGGGGGTGGTAGTAGGCGGCGCGCAGTGCTGCTTGGCGAGCGTCAACATCTAGTTCGATGGCTACTCCGTGGCTTTCGTGGTCCGGGTCATGGGCTGAGTGAGCTGCGTTGTCAAAGAGAGTCAGGCTGCCGTTGCCGTGCCAGCGTGCGTCGTGTTGCCAGGCGAAACCGGTAGCCTGCCCGTCCGAGAGATCTTGAAACTCATTGAATTTGCCACCCAGTGTCCACAGCACTTCGCCAGTGTCCTTGTCGATACAGCTAACCGAATGGGTGTGTCGTGCGGAGACAATGTAATTGCCATCATCATCCTTATCGACGCTGTTGATATGGAAGAAGTCGAAGGCATACCCCCGCGTTCTTCCTGATTCCTTTAGGCTGTCATAGGTGCTGTTGATGGGGTAATGTTCGGATGCGCGCCATTCGAAGACGAGTTCACCAGTGGCAATGTCAATTTCCTGGAAGAGGCCATCATATATCCAACCCAGCTCGGGGCCTCCGATCGATGTTAAGTCGGCCGGCACCGGGTCATAAATCGTCACGAGAGCCGTTCCTTCGGGAGTGATCTGAAATTCGTGGAGATCGCCACCGTAGTTCCCAACGGGAGTTATCACATACCGCTGGGTATACGTGGAATCCAGCTAAAGTAGGTCAGTATTCTACCCGAATACTGCTCCTTGTCAGGGTTACGTACCATGTACCACGACCCATAACCCCGGCCCTCAGTTTCACCCCCCTCCCAGTAGGTCAGATAATCAGTGTCCTGGTAGCGTTGAACCTTGAAGTCCTGGGTTACCTCCCAGTTGTGCTTCATCCACACCAATTCTCCCTTGGAGTCGAGTATCATGGGGCCCGGCTGGGCGACGGAGTCCCCCCTGGGCGCAAAAAAGGTATACCGCTGGTCGCATCCAGACTCCCATTCTGAGATCTGTACCAGGGGAGAATCATAATCGAAGGAGACATAGCTTTGCGACGGCCCAAACCCATACAATCCCATGTCATACCAACTCAGGTCTGTGTGGAAATGCAACCTATGCAGCTGGGGTACAGCGAAGGTATAGAAGAGGTAGCAGAGGCTGATTAGAGCGCCAATCGCAACGGCCTGGAGGCCCGAGAGCCTGGAGCGCAGGCGACTGGCGCAGGAGAGTATCCTAGTCCACGAGGACATTGGAACATCGCGGACGGGCAGAACGACGAGGAGAGTCCGGGGAAGAGGGGAGCAGGGAGCAGGCGCGGTGTTGTGTAGGATTAAAAGGCGAACACTCCTATCTGCGAAGATGGCTTTCTCGGAACCGACGGTCAGGCGCAAATTCGTGCATCATGTCATTGAGTTTTTCGACGCCCCCGGAGTAGGAGGGAGAATAAGAACTTAACCGTCGCGCCTGTTGAGTTGGCCATTCAGGAGACATGGCTCCAACTCCCGAAACGGATGCCAGAGCGCCCCATCCACGCGGCGTGAAATCGATCCACAGCAGCCGATGTCCATCACAGCGGAGACCAACGTCAACTCGAACGGCCCCTGAGAGGCAGTGATTGGCCTGGATGGGATTTCTCCAGCTGTGCCAAGAGAGCCACCGTGAAGCCACCATGGATCGGGTAGAGGCTGGCCCACTCTGGCGGGTACGCGAGTCTGCATTCGCCATTCTGCCATTCCTCCCACTTCGCACGGCGGCACTAGATACGCACCGGGGGGTTATCTGGGAAGTGGGCAAGTCCTATACAAAGTAGGCAATCCCCGCCGGCGTGGCGGTGCCGCCCTCATCAAAAATTCATTTCTTGCTCTCTTGGCAGAAGCGCGATAATAGCTTTATCCGGGGGCGGCTACCTATTGGCCCTGGGCTCGAAGCTCTGGCGCAACATCTGCGAGTGACGGGGGTTACGCATTAGGGCGACCAGAAACTTGAGGGAAGATGTGGGTTGGGAACTGGGAAAAGCAAGAAAGCCGGCAGGATGTCCTATCCGGACTCACAATCTGATCGGTGGACGAGAAGATAGTTGCGCCTGGGATGGTTGGTACCTATGACGACCGATACCGCGGCGGCCGCCACTACAGCAGCCAGATAGCCACTCGGACCCGCCCGCGTCGTCACCGCGCTAACCTTTGAAGTTTACTGGGCGGTACTCCGTGCCCACTACTTACTGCCAAGGCAGATGGATATCGGGCCCCAGGCACACCTCGAGCGACTTCCAGAGGTAGATACATCGAAGACTTTGTATTTGCCTACAACAACTATATAGATTCACAGTGTAGAGTGCAGATTTAATGATGGTCATGATTTGCCCTTTTTTTTTTTTTTTTTTGGCGACGCGTGTCACTTAGATACCCTTGAACAGAGTATTGTGAAACAGGAGAAACAGGAGAAACAGGAGCTTCAGACAGAGATCTCCATGGAATCATCTATTATTATATTATTGTTTTACTATTATGATTATTATTATTTTGGACTCCTCATCAACAATGCGCGGGTGAAACCAGTCGACGGAGTACCTGAGTCCGTCCGGCTAGGCAGTGATTGGCCGAGGGTTGGCGGTGGGGCTGCACGCGTGACGGAGTCTCGGCATTACGGGGTGAAGCGTGGTCCCTCTTCCAATCAGATAGGGGTTGGCTGTGAACTCTGCACTATGAAGCGCGAGCTGAACGGCCGAAGGCATCCAGATTCTGATATTCGGACCGTCCCCGCCATGGACTGCGAACTGCGAATTGCGGAAACTGGAGCGAGGGCTGGCAGTTGGCAGTTGGCAGTTGGCAGTGGGCAGTGGGCAGTGGGCACGCGATCCAAGCGACCAATCTTGGTGGCGGGTGGAGAGAGGGATTAGACGAGGACCGTACCTCACTATCTTTACACTAGCGGACTATGATGATGCCTGTGGCTGCCATGCTGGTGATGCTATCTAGATTCTAGGTACTCCGTACTAGGTATGTACACACTGTGTTAGGAGCCCGGAATTCCTCCTAGTATCATCTAGAAATAACTTTCAACTGACAGTAGCCTGTCGGCTCTACACAGGGTCGTACCCGTACCCCCTGTTCAAACTCCGGGGCGCTTTCTATTGACATTGAGACATAAATAGATTATCTAGGGGGCACAGTACATACTATCTACAGAGTAGATAGATAACAGGGCGCAAAGGCAGAATAATAGATAGATAGTGGAGGAGAAGTAAAATGAAGCAGAACACACGACCGAACCAGCTACCCCACTGTCCCCACGGACATCTCAGAATCCAGGCTAGGCCAGCCGCTATTGTATCTATCTACTCCGTAAGGAAAACTACTTCAAACCCGACGAATCAGTAGCACGGTCCCGTTAAGCAGAAGAGATATCTCCTCCGTATCTATCTAGATATCTGACTTTGTACGGAGTTTTGTCCAGATATTTACGTTGACGGTACTTGCCACCAGCGGTGTTAGAATGACGCCATCGCACCGGCCAATCCAACCCGGTGCTATGGAATACCATGTCAATAGTACGAGCATCCCATGATCATTGCTCCAATAGATCTTTCGTGCTGGCAATCTAGCGCTCGTGCATGAGATATTCCGTAATCGGTTCCTTGGGGTCTATTTGGCAATTCGGCCCGAGATCGAGAGACCCGAGGGTCCTGCTCGGCCGTAAGTCAAGTTAGCTGCAAAGTGATTGCGTGTTAGTCTGCTAGACGACGATATCATTGGTTTGGTCATATAAGTAAGTTGGTTGTTGGGGACTTGGGGTCCTTTCTTTGTTCGGGTGATTTCGAAGGATCTATCTAGGAACTTGGGTACTGGAAGTCTGGAAGGGTGTTAGTTTACCCCATGTTATCTATCTATCTATCTGTATGTCAGGCTATCACATCATTCGTACGTGGAATGTCGTGTGGCGCGAGTTCTCGGCCGGCTGATGCAATGTATCCCTTGGGTGCCTGGGTACGCATTCCCTTGGTCGTGGAATTGAAAAGATTTTGGGGATTGGGATGCGGGGAGATTATTTTTCCGCTTGGGAATAATTATGTACTTTGTACATGCGCCGCGGCTTTCGGTACGGTCGTGGCTGTGGACCACTTGAGCACTCCATCCAACCTATCTACTAAGATCCCTGCCAGTCCAACTGACACTCACCTGCTACTGCTACTGTCTACATAGGTTTCCCGGATCTTATGTCCGTAGTAAGGGTACTGCATACTCAAAGACTTCCCCCACACCATCTCTGTGGCTGAAATCCTTGGACTCCCTGAGGGTCACAAGGAAGTGTGCTGGCTCACTGCATATAAACCCTGAGCTCAGTCAGGAGAGGATTCATGCAATGCCTCGATAGATGCGTCCGACACTGATTCTAGACCCAGGCAGGTAATAACACTGTATAAGGGGCCTCGATAATCTTTGACTATGTCGAGTTGCATTGGAGCAATCCCCTTGCTAATTAACCCGTTTGCGAACAACTGGCAGTGAATTAAGTTGCTTACCTACCTACGGAGTAGTAACTATTTGATTGATAACGGTGACTAACTGCGGATCGTCATGTGTTGATGGCCCCTTTACCTACTTTGTACACTTTATACGGAGTACCTACAGTGTAACATCATTGGCCCCTATTCAGAGGACCCTTTTTGATACCCGCACTCCGTACCTTGACGATGAACTTCAATTATAGTATCAGATACCGTGAATTTGTCTGTCTGTCCTCAATCATGCCCCCTTAGTTCCGATCTCCAGTCCCAACAAAGAATCTTTCTTCTCCCGTGCTAATCTATGACCTCTTAACACCGGTATAGCAACTAAACAAAGCATTTCGTCCTGGAATTATTTGCATTCTTATCCACCTCGGCCGCGGATCCTCCACTAATCTAATTTGACTGCCGCGATGATCGACCCCCTCACAAAGCCTGAAAGTGTCAAAGTGAAGAAGTCCCTTTTCTGGGTGGAGGTACGGGGTACACAGTGCAATGAACTCCACCACAGACTGCCAGTCCTCCAATCAGTCTCTGTGGCATCATTCTGCTAGTTGGTCAAAGCTTCCGTAGCCAGTGTCATCTACAACTCCATAAGAAGTTTACAGTCGACGCCTTGCAATCTTCTCGGTGAATGCCCATCAGAAGCATAGACTGCAACCCGAAAGTTTTACCTTATGATCGCTATAACAAGCTTGAGCTGATGTGAGCTGATCAGCTGGGGCATTGCACTTCCTTCCGTGCAGCAGCGCGTGTAACTTTCCTCTTCTATTCTCAGTCGTGCTGAACTGGGGAATTTGTTTAATGGCAGGTCTTCCCACAACGCTGGACAGGCCCCTTGTATAACTACGGAGTACTGATAGCATCTGTCTGCTTACTGGGACTTCGTTGGCTCTTCGAGCTCGAGGATCCTTCCAAAAGCAGGGACTCCATTAGTCATGCCGGCCACCAATCACAGACGGTGCCTTACGATCACGTGTATTTTTTTTCGATTTATCGGCTTCATTCCGACCGTGCTCCAAACATCGGTACATACCTACCAGGTGCCGGTATGGATACAGTAGTTTTGGCCTGCTAATTAACAACATCTTCTTAAATCCAGTTACCCTTTCCTGAATGATACCTCCATGCGGCTTCTCGCAGCAGCACCAGCAGCAGCAGTGGTGGTGCCCCTGAAGCCATCGCCGCTAGAATAGACTCTAGGCCGGAACCCGGGCGACTAGTGACCACTAGTCGAAAGCGAAAGCTGCGCTGGCGGCGACCACGGCCATCCCTGAACTTCAGAAGCCATGCAGCACCTCGTCGGCCGTTCCTGTGCTATCTCAAGTCTAGGACTTGTCTACAAACTCTTCTTTTTCTTGTGCTTGTTTTCTTTTTCCCCTGTCGGTCCCTCTCTCGTTGCCAACTGATACCCCAAGCATTCGATTGCCCGCCTTCCTCCACCCTATCGTGGCAACGACCCCACGATCACCATCGCTTATTAGTTCCCGGTTCGTTCGTTTTCTGACCACCGTGCGGCCTTCACTGGTCTGTCTCCATTTTTCTTTCCTTTCCCTTTTTCGTGTGTCCTTTGCTGGTGTTGTGTCTTGCTAATCGATTTTCTATGGAACGTTAGCAGGCTCGTCCAACACGCCTCGTCTCGTCCCGTCCAGCGACCAGCTACAGCGTTGAGCTAAAACCCCCTTACACACCGCGAAATCACTTCCCCTCCCCCCCTCACGCAATGACCACCCAGTGATACACATCACCCTTGACTGTGCCTTGAACGCGGTCGATTCGATTTCGCAATTCTTATACGTCGACTCGCCCCACGCACACCACTGCAGGGAACGGATCTGGCTTTCGCCTATTGGTGACTGCACCCACGGGACGACTGGGTGCCAGCGCATCGATCGTGGATGGCAGCGGTGCTTCGGAGTCTGGAGACAACCTTTTCAAACTCTATCGGCTACTGTTGTTTTCAATGCCACGCATGTCAGGAGACCTCCATCATCAATAGACCGGATCGCATGATTAGCCAGTCTCAGAATGCCTCCGCAGCATACAAATAGTCTACCACAAACACCCCCTTCCGAAGCTGCGAATGACAAATCCGCAAAGAGGGGGGCTCATTCTCAACCTTCCGTACGAGAGACGTTTCTAGATGACTTCAACCCGGCAGATAATGCAAATGACAGCAATAATTCCGGCGACGAACGAGATCCCCACGACTTGTCGCTGTCCCCGAAACATGCCGCCCGCACGTCAATCGTCGATAACATGCTCCTCTCTCTAGACCAGTTTGCGTCGGGTTCTGTGCTGGATGACTACCGTTTATTTAATTCGGTTTTTGAAACGGATTTATACGGCCGCACTTCGCAAGACTCGTTTGCTCAACGACGCTACCGGGGCCATACCTTTTCATCTTCTATGTCATCGGACGTGGAAGGGAATTTCGAGGATAGTACGGGGGGCTTTGCGTCTCCGCCTGCACGAGGCCGTCGGAGTAACAGCAGCTTGAACTACCACTCTAGTCTGAAGCAGTTCGGGGGACCTCGCAGCCGGGAAGGAACTGGTTCGCGCGGTCAAATCTTTGATTACCTAGCAGGCTCTTCAGCCGCTGCAGGAGCTCACGCCACTAGAAATGGGAGCAAAGGAAGTTCCTCTTCACACGCGGACTTTGGACCTCCCTTACAACGTCGTCGGGCGGAATCCACCGATGAAAGACGCTCATCGAGCTTTGACTACGGTACCAGACAGACATTCGTTCCCTTTTCCGACCCAATTGTCGATTACGGGTCTTTTACGTTTGATGATTTTGATACAGCCCCTACACCCAGTATTCCCAGCGGACCAAGCAAGTTCCATTTGTCGTCGCAAGGAGAATTTGCAGGGTCTCTTAATCCTCAACACTCACGGACCCCTGTGGCCTCACGAAGAAATAGTATCAAGTCTCCACGAACAAATAATACTAGGAAAACTGGCCCGGAGAATATTAGTACTGCAACTGCCAGGAGCCCGGAACCTAATATTACAAATATCGGGAATTCGGGTCTGGAACCTCCGCCAGTAATCCCGGCGGCCTCACTTGACCCCCCTGCACCGAGTCCGACCATTTCATTCAACAAAACGGCTTTTCCGCCACCTCCTGACCCAGTCCCGGCAAAAGAACGGCCGGGTTTCTTCCAGCGAGTATTCGGCTCCGCCAAGGTTCCTAATTTTGGTCCTTCCAATTTTAATCATTCGGATTATTCATTCACCCAAGAAAACGATCCCAAAGAGTCCAGTGGGCTAGGCCCAAGTACAAAGAGTTGGAGGCAGCCGCTCAAGAATAGTCCGGCGGGCTTCAATGCAGCCCGTGAAGGAAGCCATCAGGTAGTGACTAAGAAGTCTTCTTTCTTCCGCCGGCGGAAGAAGTCTGTGGCTGAAAGCGCACCACCTCCGATCGTGCTTCCTCAAGAGCTCGCAGGTCAGAAGGCGATAGACTCTATTAGGTCAGAACCTAGTCCGGCCAGCAGCTTGAAAAAAGCAATGAATCCTTACACAGTGGACCCTAGTGCCCCAAGGTCGAATCAGCCCAACAAACCGTTGGATTTACGAGCTGCGCCAGACGATGCTGGCACCAAGGCTCAAGCGGCACTGATGCAGAATCAGAGGGCAAGTCTGCTCACACCTTCAGGGCAATCAAAAGCCAAATATAGTCTTTATCCTGCAATATTGTTGGGAAGTGCCAACGATACGTCATTCTTGGGGAATAGCAGCGGAGACGAAGAGCCGATCATTGGATCTGGCGGTCAAGATCCAATCCCATCGGTCGATACCCAACAAAAGCAGCCGGCGTCTAGGGACGGTGCTACATCGCGTGGAAGTGACATGGATTCCGTGGATGGTGACCAGTTTGCTGCTTTGCAGGGTAAGCTGAGCCTGCTGAGGCCACTGGAAACAGCTGTTTCTTCGCTCTCGCCCGTCGTGGAGAATTTCTCGAACACAAGTGCGGCTCCCACAGATGGCTCTGAGGACGCCCTTCGTTCCAATTCGAAGGAGCTCGAAGCAGCCAAGAATACCCATGCTTCTGATTCGCATAAAGATGGCCTTGATGGCCTTGGCCAGTTCCCCACTCCCGCCGCTGGTATTAATATCTCACCACGACCCTCAACATCGGAAATATCAAACTACTATACGGCTTCTGAAACGGCAGCCGTATCCTCAGCAACAGACCCAAAGCCCCCCGGTCTGATCGGTTCCAAAGTTGATGATGCTGCCGCCGATGAGCCAACTACTTCGGAAAGAGAACAGGCGCAGATGCTCTTTGATAGCCAGGATCAAGTCGTGGGAAGCGAGCCTGCCGCAGCATGGCTTGGTGATCCGGATCGTTCCATGATTCGAAAAGCATATATGGATTTCTTTGACTGGTCGAATCTCAATATTCTCGCAGCCCTCCGAAGTCTTTGTACTCGGCTGATATTAAAAGGCGAAACACAGCAAGTGGACAGAGTTTTGGATGCCTTTTCACAAAGGTGGTGCCAATGCAACCCGCGTCATAGCTTCAAGGCTTCAGGTCAGTTCTGTCTTTGACCCTTCGCTCTATCGCGGTGAATCTAACTTTCGCCAGACGTTGTGCACACAATCTGTTATTCGCTTCTTTTGTTGAACACTGACCTGCACCTTGCGGATATCGATCAAAAGATGACTAAGAGTCAATTTGTCAGAAACACGATGCCGACAATCCATCGAGTCGCTGCTGATGCGACGTCACTCGAAAACTCTCGATCAACGAACAAGTCGAAACCACCGACTCCAGACCCGGCTTCGAGTAATTGGTCCCAGTCGGCTGCCCCCGACGAGCGTACAGACAAGGCGCCTACAAAGCTCGTAAACCGATTATCACGGACGGATCTTTCGGTTAAGATGGCCGGCGATCCCGAAAGTGACAGCGGGCCCCTCATCAGTACGCCATTTTCTGGCACGATGCGAGCATGGGAACAACAGGTTGAAACTGTGCTGAGAGATTTCTATACCTCGATCCAGAAGCAGAAGCTCCCGTTGTATGGTGCTCAGGTGGAGAAGGAAGGGCCGCGGGCGTCATCGAACAACCTGCTTGGCCCTCATCCAAGTGGCCTTCGCAGAAGCCCCAGCACCGTGAGCAAAAGCGGCTCAGATATCTATCCACGCGGTCGATCCGCGGATTCCCGCTATGGAACAGCACGGTGGTCTTCCAAACCCCGCTCCCGTGCTAGACTGTACCCGCCTTCCACCATGGGATCAAGCAGAACCAGCTTAGACGATCAGGCATCCCTCTGGAGCCCTTCTGCTTCCAGTACGTGGAGCAAGTACTCGTCGGGAAAGCTGACATCGGCGTCGGTGGACTCTTTTGGTTCAGATTACCCACGCGGGGATTACCAGCAGTCGATAGGATTCGCAAATGCATTGAGTCAGGCTATTATCCGCGAAGACTCTGCCCACTCGATTGCCAGCTCCGAGGACGTCGATCGGACGACACCTCTTCTGGAAGATGAGACCCTACAACTTGCCGGTGCCCCCTGGGCCAAGGAAGGAAGCTTAAAGCATAAGCATCACCTTGACTCCGTCGACAAGAGGGCGAAAGATCGCAACTGGAATGAATGCTTTGCTGTCATACAGCAAGGTTGGATGCGTTTGTTCTCTTTCAATGCTTCCATGAAGACCCTCCGGCAGAAGGCCAAGCAACGGCATCCCGGCGGAGTCGTTGTAGGAGGGGGGAATTGGACGGAAAATGCGGAGGAAATTTGGAAATTCCTTTTGCGACAAACCATCGCAAGTGCGCTCCCCCCTCCAGGCTATTCTAAGTCTCGCCCACATGTGTGGGCTCTCAGCCTGCCTACCGGCGCGGTGCATCTCTTCCAGGCGGGCACGCCCGAGATTGTCCGGGAGTTCGTCTCCAGTGCCAATTACTGGAGTGCCAGGCTTTCCAAGGAGCCTCTAATTGGAGGCATCAGTAACATGGAGTACGGATGGAGTGATGCCGTCATCAACAGCGCCCTCATCTCCGCCGAGAGCAGCAGAACGCCGCCATCGTCTTCCGGGGCGCGACCGAGCATTCAAAGCTCGATCCGGAGTTCCATTGACCAGCAGGGTGTGCGGCCCAGACTCCCGGCCGATCGTGTCCACATCAGCGACTGGGCTCCCCCGCAACAAAGCATGATGGCCTCGGCGCTGCCCGAAGCCGAACAGCTGAAAGCCCTGCAGACATACGTGAAGAATGTAGAGGATGAGCTGCAGCGGCACAACGAACTCCGACCCGCCATGATTCTTGCGTTCTCCCCCCGGCACCCCAACGCAGCGAAGGCATTGGCCAACTGGGAGCGGAAGTCCTCTTACCTGCTTCGGGAGATCGTGAAATTCCGCACCTATATTGATTCTCTTTCCGCGGCATTGGACCAGAAGAACCGAATCTATGCCAACCGGGAAGAAAGCAGTCCCCCACAGTAACACCACGCCCAGGCACGCCTGAATTCCCTACTCTGAGCTCGGGGTTTCGGAGCCCGACGGCTTCTCTCTTCTTACCTACTACTTATTTATACCCCCGCCTTGAGTTCCACCGCCTTTATCCAGGCCCGTCCCTTTGTGCAGGTTTCTCCTCCTTCCCTTTCCCCCCCTCTCCTGTCATCTGTAGAATCTCCGTCTACGAGCGTGCGCCATGAGATCGATCCTGGGGCTTCCTTGTATTTCCTATCTTTGGCTTGTTGCTCTCTTCTTTACCAAGATCTTGTCCTTTCATCGTTTCGGTCAGGTATGATGGACTTTACAATGTGGGTGAGATGAGTGTTTCAGTATCATGGGTATAACGAGCGACCTGATAGATGTAGAGAAGAGCATAGAACGAAGTCTACCTACTGCGTACCACCACCACTGCTACTGCTTGGATATCTTATCCATCGCCGGTTGTCGGCGATCGGCCGGCGAGACAGACGGGCCGGGTGCCTGATGACTAAAGGCTTGGCGGCGGGATCACGCCATAGCTGCGAAAGTGGGTTGGAACTTTACTTTTCTCCCTCCGGCCCAGGCCCTTCTAGTTCTCCTCCCCCTGCAGTCTTCTGCTTCTTGGAAGCTTCATTCATTTCTCTCCTCTCTCTATCTCCTGCTTTCGTAAACACATACACACAAAATGTTCCGCAGTTGCGTAACGTCTGCGGCAACTACTGCCGGCCGCTCCGCCGTCACCGGGCAGAGGACCCTCGCCACGGCCTCGCCAGTGGGCTCCGCGGCCCGCAACCACAAAGTCGTGGTCATCGGCGGAGGTACGGCCGGTCTGGCAGTCAGTCACCAACTACTGCGATCGGGCAAGTTCTCTCAGGATGACATCGCCATTGTTGACCCTTCCATGTGGCACCACTACCAACCCGGCTGGACCCTGGTCGGCGGTGGTCTCAAGACCAAGCAAGACCTGCGACGCCCGCTGCACAGCCTGCTCGACCCCAAGCTTAAGTTCTATAACCACGGCGTGGGCAACTTCTCCCCCGAAAACAACCAGGTCACTCTCGGCAACGGCGACAAAATCAACTACGACCAGCTGGTCGTCGTCCCTGGTATCGGCATCAACTACGACAGCGTCAAGGGATTGCCCGAGGCCCTCGCCAACCCGGACTCCCTGGTCTCCTCCATCTACGGCTACGACACCTGCGACAAGGTCTTCTCCACCATTCAGAAGCTCCAGAAAGGCACCGCCATCTTCACCCAGCCTGCCGGCGTGATCAAGTGCGCCGGCGGCCCGCAGAAGATCATGTGGCTTGCCCTGGACCACTGGAAGCGCGCCGGTCTCTACAACCCCAGCAACCCCTCCAGCTCGGGCATCCAGATCAGCTTCGCTACCGGCACGCCATCCATGTTCGCGGTCGCCAAGTATGGCGCCGCCCTGGAAGCCCTGCGCAAGGAGCGGGGCGTCGAGGGCCTGTTCCAGCACGACCTGGTCTCCATCTCCGGCAACAACGCCACCTTCGCCCGCCCCGACGGCCAAGAGCAGGTGACCCGGAAATTCGACCTCCTGCACGTCGTGCCCAAGATGGGACCCCACGCGTTCATGAAGACCTCCGCCCTGGCCAACGCCGACGGCTACGTCGACGTCGACCCCGCCACCACCCGCCACACCAAGTACGGCAACGTCTGGTCCGCCGGCGATGCCTCCAGCCTGCCGACCTCCAAGACCGCCGCGGCAATCACCTCCGAGGCGCCCGTCCTCGTGCGCAACCTCCTCCAGACGCTGGACGGCAAGGTCCCCGATGCCGCCTACGACGGGTACGCTTCCTGCCCGCTTCTGACCGAGTACGGAAAGGTCCTCCTGGCCGAGTTCAAGTACGGCGGTGAGCCCAAGGAGACGTTCGGCAAGTGGTTCGGTATCGACCAGGCTGTTCCTCGTCGTGCGTTCTATCACCTCAAGAAGGACTTCTTCCCCTGGGTGTATTACCAGTCGCTGGTTAAGGGTACTTGGGCTGGTCCTGAGGGCTGGAAGAACTAGAGCCGGTCTGGATGGGACGGGGGAGATCACAACATGTACATTACTCGATCACAGCGCATGCGCATCCAACTACCCAAGTGATGAAAATTCTTCAGACGGAATGTATATAATAGAAAACCGGCTCCGTGGTTAACCCGCACTTCTAATTCGTAGATCTCTTTTAGGAGCCGACGATGCCTTCCTGGTTTAACTGAAGGAGTTCCGGCAATACAACGACAATGTTTGACATCTACACAGTAGTGAAATAACTAGCTCTAAACAGTCTCAGACCAAGGACCCACTTGAACAAGGATGAGGGAAGGATATCACAGATTCCATGCTTAGTATGTACGTTATATAACAATCTATTCACACATAACATCATCATAAATTAACCCACGCGGCGACGGAGGGTAAGGAAGGCTGGCAGAAAGGAAAGAAGAGGGATGAATCATAGGGCGGACTTCTCCCAGACGATTTCCTTTCCATTGAGACCCTCGATGGCGGGGATCTGCGCACGGAGCGCGTTACCGTAATCACCGGCATTCGGCGTACGCAACAGGGTGTGGATGTGGAACTTCTTGGGCTCTTCGTTGTTGAGGAAGACGCCGGAGTGGTGGTCGAACTCGATCAGGATGACGGGGCTCTGCAGACGGTAGTAGAAAGGGTCGCTGTCGCCGGCGGCACCGATCCAGCAGAAGTACGTCTCAGACTCGAACTCGCGGATGTGGTCCAGCTTGAGCTGGCGGGCTCGGGCGGGCAGGTACAGCAGGTACTGCTCGAAGATGCCGTACATGTATTTCTTCTGCTCGTCGGTGAAAGAGGAGACGGGGATGCCTTCGTTGGGGACGACGCGGTTGTCGCGGTACGCGCCGCAGACATGGCGCTGATCGTCACGGTTCCAGCGGCCGGGGGGCATGGCGGGGTCGTGCATCTCGGCGAAGACGGTGGCCTTCTTCTGGAGCTCCGGGGTCAGGGACTGCATCAGACGCAGGCCCAGCTCTTCCTCGATCTGCATGATGCGGGTGCCGGCGTACGGGCCGGAGTCGATCTCGTTGGGCTCGGCGCCGGTGAACCAGGGGGAGGCGATGATCTGGCCCTTGTACAGGAAGATGTTGAGACAGAGGTGGTGGCCGTAGAACGACCAGCCCCAGGGCCGGGTGGTCGAGGGACGACCGAAGAGGACGAAGTTGTAGGAGAACTCGTTCATCACCTTGGTCGACTCGACCAGCTCGCCCAGGAAGTGGTTGATGCGCATCGCCTTGATAGCCTTGTCGTAGCCCTCCGGCGACAGCGTGACCTTCAGGACGTTCAGGATCGCGTCCCGCAGCTTGTTGTCAATCTCGTCCAGTCGGAGTCCCTTGTTGCTGAGAAGGAATTCGGGGTTCGACCACGTCCGCCATTCGGGCGAGTCGATGTGATAGGACAATGCCTGCCGCTGCTTGTCGTCCGCCAGGGACAGCACGTTCTCGGTGGCCTCCACGATGGCGTCGATTGGGACATCCTCTTCTTGGAGTTTGAATAGACCGGGGCGAACGTTACCTTTTGAGGGTCTAGTTAGCGAAGGGAATCAGGAGGGGGTGGCGAGGGGGAGTGGGAGGGGATGTGGGTGGTGCATAGGGAACCATTGGCGTGGCTAAAGGAGACGAGAGGAGCGTACCGTCGGTTGTCACGCCCTTGAATGGCTCTTGCAGCAAATCCAACCAGTGCATGTACAGGCCGTGCAGCCATGGGGGCTGCTTCTGTGTCTTGAAAGCGTGGGCATATTCGTGGGCATCCTGCTCGCGCATCACCTGGAAGCGCTTCAGACTCAGATCGGGCAAGTATTGGCGGTATTCGCCCGTGGGCTTTGCCAATTCAGCAGCGGAGTGCGACATGATTGTGGTAGAGCAACAAGGGAGGGAGAGAAGAGACCAATGTTGCGAAGAAGAAGAAGAAGAAGAAGGGAGAGGAGAGGGATGAAGAGGATGAGGGGGTGGGGTAATGGGGAAGTAATTATAGCAGGAGCTTGTACGGGGTCGGCTTCTGCCCCCCCCGTGGCGTCAACTCCCCACGCTTTCCCCACGACCGCCCCCACACCGAGGGTGGGCGAGCGGCTGTTTCCTTACCCGATGCACTCTAGGCTTCGCCTCTTCCCCTCTTTCCCCCTCCACAATCGTAACGGACTGCCGGAAGCTTCACCATCTAATGAACTCCTACTCCGTACTCTCTCGACTACTCTCGACATACCCGTCGGATAACTGTATCTATCCCCAGAGTCGATCCAACAATCTCACATCAACTCCCATCAGGCCACTCCCCCTTCCCCTCACCTCCCCGACGGCTCTGATTAACTCCGTCTTCCCACCTGCCCTGAAGCGATCCCACACCGGTATATACAGGTAGAACTCCGTATCGACTATCACCCGGTACAGTCGTACCCCACTAAGATCCCCCGGATATTGAAATCGCGCTAGAACCAACCTGTTGGTCGGGTGGACTAGAATGGCCTGGCCCTCCACCAATCCCATTCGTGCTATTCTCCCCAGGTCGAAGGTCAACGTCACGTTTTCCGACACCCATGTTGGTTTTCAGCCCCGTACATTTGCCGGGGACTTGCCGTTTCGCCTCTTGAAGGATCCCACCTCCGATCATTAAACCTCGGGGCCCGGGACTGCTTTGAGAGATGCATACGCAATCGGATGGCTAACTAGTTCGGTACAATGCGTCTAGACAGTCATATAGTGATCGATGTAGTATCCTGATATTGGTTCTCATCTATTGTCTCATCCCAGTATCGTTGCGTGCTTTGCCCGGTTAGCTATGCTAGACATTATATTCTGCATGCATCGCTGCATGATAGCCACTGCATAGTATGCTTTCAGCATGTTTCTGTATATGTCGAGCATCTTCCCCCGCGGATCATCTTGCTGGCGCTGCCCCTCACTTCTTGTGCCACTGCTTGGCCCGACCGAAATGCCATTGTTCTCGACATCCTGACTGGGAAGAATTTCGGCACCTACACGACTGCTCAGTTTCCCAGCTCCAGTCTGGCAGATTCCCCAAATAGCCGATCCATCTCTCCGCAATCTGCAACAGGTATACCGTGACCAAGCGAGCAACACCGCAAGGTATCGTATCCGACGAGAATAAATCTCATGGACATGTTTGTGAGTCTTCAAAAGAAGCGTTCGTCGGGAACATTATGGTAGGCATCGAAGACGGAGGCAATTGTATGTCTGCAAAGTCGGCTTGGGTTGGCCCTAGGTATGTCCAAGTCCCTCGGTCTGGCTAATCGAGCAAGCCACGACAACCAAGACATTGATGTAGCTAATTCACAGACCAAAGCATTTCGTACCAAGATCCAGCGCCTTTCATGCGACGAAGCCAGCGGCATCACCTAGACGGACCTGCGAGTCGGGCCTCCCGGATGTTGATCAATGATTTCCTCAACATATCACAGTATCCCGTAGCCCATCCACCACACGCCCCATGTAAGTGGCACCAGCGCTCCCAGAACAGCAGCGCCCACAGAAATCTCCAGAATGCTCCATATCCACATCGTCCCGATAGCAGGTGCCCCCTTCATAACAGCGTAGTACGGGTCTTCGTTGGTTATGACCATCAGCTTACAGCCAAGGAAGATGGCAAGCGGGAGGAAAACCAGGGTGCGTAGAGCCGGAGGGAAGAGGAGCTTTCGAAAAAATTCCAACGACAGCTTATCGCTGTCCCATGGGAATAGAGATATAGTTTCAGTGGTTTTGGAGGCGCCGGCGAAGAAGGAGATGACATGGCCGTGGGCCAGATGAATGAGAAACGTCAGCATCGGGAAAGCGACCCACAAAGACTCGCGCACGATAATGTCGAGTTCGATCTTCTCCGCATACTGGTGGGCGGCGAGGTAGGACAGAGTCATATGCAGTGTGGTCAGGGGCACGGACAGCAGCAGCGTATCGATGACGGGCGGGATGAGATGCTCGGGATCGGCTTCGTTCTCCTCGGACTGTGCGTCATCGTCCGACGATGCGTCTTCGGTGATTTCTTGGACCCTTTCTCCTTTCCCTTTGCCTTTTGCTGCAGCCAGCTCCGATGGGTCGAGACCAGAAATCTCGCCGGTCGTTGGATCCACGGTGACGAACCGGGTCCCTGGACTCACGCCTGACTCGGCCCCGGCGACAGTGGCTTTGCCGATTAGTTCACTCTGTCGTTCAGAGATTATGTCCATCAGTGTCCTTTCTTTGGCATTCGAGGACGACTTCGGCGGGGGGCGAGAGAGAGGGATCGTGGACGGATCGAACGCGTCGCTGTTGGCAGTCGTTGCAGCTGTCGCGGCTGCCCGTCGCTGTTTTCGGTTCCTGGAGCCCTCCATCTGGTAAGGCCTTGTAAACGCGCGGAATTATTGATTTGCGGGGAAGAGCGCACTGGTTCGTGGTGCAGGTGAGGAGAGATGGGATATATTTGACGGTAGAGAAGCTCAAGAGGTGTCAACTTGAAAGTAACGTATCACCGCCGGATTTAAGCGGGGTTAACCCTTATTAGTAACAACAGGAGGTAACTTACCCCGGACTAGGGATTTTTTCTACATACTGAATCAACGACTTCGATTACAAGATTTCTCATTTTATTGAACTGGCTTCTGCAGAATATGGATCTGTCTCCTGGAAAACTGGACGGACTAACAATACCAGCACACCGACTTTACAAAGTCCAGGCATTGGAGATGTAAACAGTCACTTCCCTCATCCCTTCGTCGTGTTTACTATCGTTGCTGTAAGCCGTTACCTACACCCAACCGGGCGGATAACATCATGCGGCACCTTCCGGTTCGATATGCAATGCTCTGTCTTCATAGGTCATGTATCCAGCCTGTGGCTGACGACACTAAGTACATGATCCTGCGGTGGTCGATGTTCCTCGGCAGCTCCGCATCGGGGTCTCGATTGGGTTGGGCAGGATCCCCCACCGCCTTCCCAGAAAAGCTGGCAGAAATTGACCATCTCCCCGCTCATGCGGAAAAGGTTTCTTGGATTAGAAGACAACCACACGCAATTTTTTATTTATTCCCAAGCCCTTCTTTGTTTATATACTAGAGCGTTTGCGCGACGGCTCAAAATGCCCAGAGACCCGTTGATTGGGCTGGTTGGGAAGGTCTGGCCTCTCCTCTCTTCATACAAGACGCTGCTAATCGGATGGAGGGGCATGTAGCCATCCAGCGGAAAATCAACGACACTAAATAGTTTGACTGATGCTTCCTCGAAAGTCGGTAAGCTTGCTGTTTCTCCTACATATCTTTGTCTCGGCACCGTTACTCATCGATTTATCTACCATCCAGGAAACTTCCCGTACGTTGACCCCAACTGCGCGTCGTCGCTATCATACCTGGAAACCGCCCGATGAACCTCACAATCGCCCCCCTCTTCGGATCTTTTCGGACCTCTTCTGACCCGCGACACCTAGATTCACAACCATTGATCCTCAACGTGCCATTGGGTATCTCCAAATAGAATGCGCCTGCCAGCGATTCAATCTTTCCGATAAATGCAAACCGAACTATGGAGGATGTGTGGAGGGACGACGCTCCGTTCCGATCGAACTGCTAGACGTCGCAGGTCTGGTGCCAGGCGCACATCAAGGCCGCGGTCTGGGCAACAAGTTCTTGGATGATCTGCGTCATGCTGATGCATTAATTCACGTGGTGGATGTTAGTGGAACTACGGATGCAGAAGGTTTGCGACACCAATGGATAGCGTCTTGCAGACTCGCTTATATCACTCAATCATTACAGGCAAGGCAACGCGAGGCTATGACCCTTCCGTGGACATCGAGTGGCTGAGATCTGAAATTGTGCGCTGGGTACTGGGCAATCTCATGCAGAAATGGTATGGCTGCGCTAATCAGCTGCAGGAATATAAGCTGATGTTTGCAGGGGCTCTATCAAGAGGAGACATTGTGCGATCAGTTAGTATACCATGCACGTGGCCACTCATTTGGATTGGTTATTGACATGGGACTAGAATCGACGGCCGTGGAGACCCTACAAGCCCAGTTCTCGGGCTACGGAGGTACATCTACAATCGTTGCTCGATGTCTGGACCGGATGGGGCTGAAGGAGCCTCTCGAGGAATGGTCAGAGGAGACCATCCAAAAGGTCGTGGAAGCATTCATCGAAGAGAAATTCCCCACAGTCTTCGCCTTGAACAAGATCGACCACCCGGATGCGGACAAGGTTTGTTACTCTTTGATTTGAGAATATTCATCTTACTGACGTAATGGCTTTAGAACATCAGTAAGATCGCGAAGATGCAGGACCCTCAATCTATCGTGCTTTGCTCTGCCATATCAGAGGTCTTCCTTCGGAGACTAGCAAAGCAAAACTATATTAAGTACGTCGAAGGAAGTGAATTTGTGGACACGAGAGAGGATTTGATAGAAATGGGCGAGCCCGATGGAGGTGGCTTGAAAGAGATGGATGAGAAGTTAAAATCGTACGTGCACATCATACCCTCTCATTGATAAAGAAACTTTACTTACATAGGCAAAGGCGTGTCGAGAACCTCAAGGACATGGTACTCTATCGCTTTGGGTCCACCGGAGTCGTCCAGTGTCTTTCGCGTGCCGCAGAGCTGCTAGGACTCGTACCGGTATTCCCCGTCCGCAACATACATACCTTCTCCTCCGGGGCCGGATCTGCTCCTTTCCGTGACTGTGTTCTCGTCAATAAGTAAGTATTCCTACGACTGGTGTTATAATTAGAGATTCTGACACCGTTCAGGAACACTACAGTCGGCGATGTTGCCCGTAAAGTCATGGGCGACGTGCCCATTTCTTACATCGAGGGCGTTGGGGGCACCCGTGTCTCCGAAGACGAGATCGTTGAAGTAGGAAAATATGATGTACGTGCTTCGATGTTCAGATGTTTTGCAACCTCGATGCTAACTTTTCTTTCTCTCTGCAGGTACTTTCATTCAAGCCTGGCCGATAGATCCCGTTATGTTTATATACAGCAAACGTTATCATGAAAGAGTAACTTATATGATACAGCCCAACAAGGGCATCTTGTAAATTGGAGAACCTTATTACCTACCACATACTACAATCCATTGCATAGCTATGTGGTGGATGTTCAAGTTCTTTTAATAGTGTTATTGAAGTCGTACTGCCTGGTTTCTGGCACCTCTGGTATTCTTCGCCATATGGGCCCCTTGCCGTCTCCTGCCTGATCGGGCTAGTCGGTTGACGAAAGGGAGCCTCTATTTACACCGTAGGTAGAGTCACCCTCTTACCTATTCACAATTCACCATCTTGTTGCCATGTACAACATGCTTTCCCTCTTCTGAATGGCTTTATCTCCAGCCCGTTGGTTTCAATATCCCTTGTGGGGATCTCAATATGGACTTCACGTGACAGGCCATTTAGGTAAGGCAGGGGGCAGTGAGACGAGCTCGTATTGAAAGCATCCCCCTAAACAAACTCCCTAAACTGTATCATCTGCCTGTTGTATTACAAAGCCTATGAGATTGTGCACCCAGTACTCGACTAAGATACATCCTTGCAGATTGCGGCTGATTGATGGGTGCTACAAAGTACCTCAAAATAGTTGGCAGAACACTCCTCCGATGACTTTCTTTCACCATAACCCTGCCTATTGCTCTACCACATGACCAGAGGGATAGAACAGGCAGACATGGCTGAGAACGAGCAATTTCTTTCCGAGCCGCATCCTGCCAGTGGTGCTCAACTGGCTACGACTTCCAAAGATCCAATCTCAAAGTGGGATTCGCTTATTCTTGACACCTGGTTCTGGGAAATCATCTCACTGGGATTCAGTATCACTCTTTTTATCGTCATCGTCGTTTTCCTAAAGGTTTATGACCAACATGAAATGCCCACCTTCCCATTAGGCCTGACGCTGAATACCATCGTGTCTATTCTGGCGACTGGCTCCAAGTCGTCCCTTCTTTGTATGATCAGCACGTCTATTGGCCAGTTGAAATGGATCTGGTTTCAAGCAAAGAAGCGTCCGCTCTATGATATGCAATATTTCGATGATGCCAGTCGAGGACCCTGGGGCTCTATGCAAGTGTTGACGACGGGGCCACGTCAAGGAAACATCCTTCTATCAATTGGAGCTATCATCACCATTATGGCTCTCACATTTGGTCCTTTCATGCAACAGATAGTCAGGTTTCCTGTTAGACAGGCCATCGGCGACCATAGCAACGCAACGGCGAAGCAGGCGATACTTCCTTTTCCGGAAATAGACGAAGTCGATGATACCCTATTGATGGCAATGGAGGCCGGGGTGTGGTCGACGACTGGCTTTGTGCCATCTCCTTCATGTCCATCAGGGAATTGCACCTGGTCTTCCTTCAAATCTGCGGGCTGGTGCAGCAAATGCGAAAATGTCACCTCTAAAACGGCCAGCGTTGGCTGTGACATCACTTCGTTCAATACCAGCAGACATGAAGATCAAACTGTACCCTGCAAAATTACCTTCCCGGACGGGTCTTGGATTACCAGTGATTTTCTAGGTGTTTGGAACAAAACTGCCCAAGGTTTGGTAATAAGCATCCCATATATCCAGCTGAAAAGTGTCAACGACCAAAAAGGGCCATATCTGAACCAGACTATCTTGGGAGTATACAGCCCGTTGTCAGTGCTGGCCTATGTTCAGTGGCAGTGGTATACAACATTACTGGAGCCATCCTACTCCGTCAATTCGCTACAGAGATCAATCAAAGTCTCTCAAGCCATAGAATGCGTCTTGTCCCCATGTGTGAGAGCATACAATATTTCAGTCTCTATGGGCGTCTTGTCAATCCAACACTCGCCGCCAGACTTTGGCGAAATCTTTCATCCCGAATGTTATCCTGGCATGGATGTTACATTACAGCAGTTTGATCAGGGGTTAGTTGGTCACTATGTCACGGAACAATACACATCTTGGGAAGCCAGAACACGCTGATTCTATTGATATTTTCACAACTCCTGAAAATCGGGCGATCAAGTCTAACTTCTGGAACGACGGCACCAGATTTGCAGTTTGCCCAGTCATGGCAGATCTGACAGAGGAATATTTAGGCGGAGAGTTAATCGCAGAATTTCAATACGATATCGTGAATAACACATGGCATAATTTCAACCAACCGATGCCTGTTTCCCCGCTCAAGACTTTATTGAGTGTGGAACACTCCAGTTTCAGTGATGTCATAGGAAATGTTGCAGCATCAATGACCAAGTACGCCCAGGATCTTAGCAATCATACGGCTTCCGGCACAGTCATTGTATCTCAAGTATGATATGTCTCGGTAGACTGGGTCTACCTGACACCTCCTGCGGTGCTAATCGCATTGGGAATTGTTTTTCTTGTATCAGTGATCATGGTCAACCACAGACCTGCATTGGGTTTGTGGAAGTCTTCGGTTCTACCTGTGGTATATAATGGATTACCTGAGGAGATTGGTGATGATTTCACTACTACTATTAGCTCAATGCAGCGCGCGGCGCAGGAGACCACTGTCAAGCTTGAGGTTTTAAATTCTAGAAACAGGCTGGTGGTGCAGAATACTTCTTAGATGGGGAAGATACTACTACTATGACAAAAGCAAGTTCCTTAAAAGAATAAACAATGGTCATTTCACAAGATGGTATAAAAAATCAGAATCTAGAATAAAGCAAAACCAATCTATGAGGAGATGTCATCTCCTCTTAATGCTTGAACTGGTCTTCCGTCACACCCTTCCCCATGGCAGCCGTGCTGCTGATGCCACCCGTCACCATCTTCAACAGGTTATCCACGTAGTTGGCGCCACTCCATTTCTGGTGCGTAACCACATCCACGCCATGCTCGATTTCTGGCTCCTGGACCAATTCACCGTACGCCCGCATTCCTTGCTTCGCGTACGCCTTGGCGAACTGATCCGTGATCAGCGCTGTTGTGTGCAGGCCAGCCAGGGTGATGAACTGCCAGCAGTATCCTAGAGCACCCAGACGCTGGATGTATGTCTCTTGCTCATCGCGCGGCATCGCCTTCTTCCAGTTGAAGGATGGTGACAGGTTGTACGCCAATCTGTAGTTTTGGGTTAGTTTTTGATGCCATTCAAGAGGGAATTGGGGTAGAGCTTACTTCTGTTCGGGCCACACGGCGTGAACACCATCAGCGAACTCCTTCGCTTGAGCATAGTCGGGGAGCTTGCTCTCCATCCAGATCAGGTCTGCAAATGGAGCGTAAGCAATGGCTCGGTTGACCGCACACTGCGTGCCGCCCTGGTACCGGTAGTATCCCTCCCGGGTGCGGGGGGCATCCCAGTCCCAGTGGATGTCGACTCCGGTGATACGCTTGGCGATGTCCCGGGATTCACGGTTGCTTTTGCCCTTGGCCTGCTTCAGATAGTCGGTGACGAGAGTGTCCTTGTTGGCGTGGGCGCCCTGCTTGATGGTGTCGATGACGGCGTCGCTGAAAAGCTTCAGGCCAGCCTGAGCATTCCATTGGTCTTCGATGGCTTGAAGTTCCGCACCATTCTTGCCAGCTTGTTCAGCAGCCACCATGAGATCATTCAGGGGCTGCAGGCTCGCATTCGTCGAACCAACGACAAAGGCATGGTCCCGGAAGTCGATAGTTGAGGTGATGAGGGTGGCCGCTTCGGAGTCAGTCCGAGCAATAGCAAGCAGGTCGGTTCCTGAAGATGGATCAGTTCATGCGCATATGGGTTAATGATGCGGGTTGTATTTACCCATGATATCTGCCTGTGCCCGAATAGCCACCAGTCGGTTGATGTGTTCACTGATGGGCACGAGCACCTTACCAGCCATGTGGCCACACTTCTTGGTGCCAGGGGCTTGATCTTCGATGTGAATGCCGGCGGCACCGCGCTCAACAAACAGCTTTGTCAGCTTCATCACCGCCGTCAAGCCACCATGTCCCGTATCAGCATCTGCGATGATGGGTCGCAGATAATCCACATTTGCGACCTTGCCACGTTGCTCCTTGGGGGTAGTCACGCGCTCTTCGCGCTGCTTCCGGTCATGGAATAGCTGAGCCATAAAGAGCTGGTTGACCTTGTTGGGGACGGTGTTCTGGGTTCTGGTCTTAGCAAACGCAGAAAAAATCAACAAGGAACCCTTGAACATACCATGGGGTAATCGGCAAGATCGGGAGATGGTTCATCAGTAGAAGAGGCGGTAGAGGAGCTCTGCCAGCCAGAGACGTAGACGGTATCTAGGTATTTGGCCATTTGTGTGACCATCGTGGGCTCAAGGCAGCCATAGGTGAAACTAGGGAGCTTTTTCTATTTGTTCAAAGAGAAGCTGTGAGTTCATAGATCTTTCCACGGGTGTTCTGCAGGGCGCGCGAACCTCAAAGTTACTCTCCAGGATTTTCCACAGCTTCTTGCTCTGCACATTGGAGGGGTATTCGATCTTCAGATTTCCCCGCTTGGCCACGATCTGATCTGCAGTGAAGGGCCGCTTGGTGTGTCTCCATCTGGAATCCTTCCACCAGTTCTGGACGGCCTGGACATCTTCCAGATACTTCCGGTCCTCGTCTTCAAAGGAACCCATCGTGTGTAGAGAGATGGAGAGACAGGATCAAGAGAAGGTATATAATGAGCCAGGGTGCAGTACCGATATTCAATACAAGGTATCGAAGATCAATTATATAGGAAATGAAAACCTCGAGACAATCCAATGAGTCACGAAGAAGAAAGAAAAGAACAGGGAGAGCGGAGAGTCAAGAGAAAAGCAGTTGAAGAGCGAACCAGAGAAAGGACACCAAATCTACTCTCCAACCCGGAATCACAAGCCAAAGGCCCAAGTACTTAAAGACCAGCAGAGGCACGCGCCATCCTCGATGCGTCACAATCCTCGACCAGCCAGTGGTCGGTAAACGTTCGGTTCAGCGGGACAAGAAGGAAGCGCAGGCGCCCCCGACATCTTGAAAACCGGGGGGAAAGCAAGGCTGAGTGGTCGAGAGTCGAAACAATTAGGTTAACCGTGTCCCAGGTTCACAAGCCAGACCGGGGCCAACGGGGAAGCTGAGTGGTGGTGGTTCGGAAGAGAGGATCTTCGTCAGGCTCGATCCTCGGTCTAAAGGGACCAGCCCGAGAGAGTCGGCGCGGCCTGAGGCATTTCCGTACACGGTACGGCTTTGCCCACCGACCCGAGTGATACAGAAATACCGCTGTTGGACCGGCACTGGTAGTAGTATCTTCGACTTGCAACCGAATCCTAAAATCTTCAGGTTGTAAGGTCATAAAATGACCCAGTCTCACGAAACAGAGCCCGCAAGCCCATAGCGTTGGGCTTCGTGTAGGTGGTAGGGTGAACTAACGACTCTCAGCCATGACGTTGAAGCATGTGCCCGTATCCTGGCAGACCCTGTGACGATACTTTACCATACGCTCCCCCACATCTCACCCCATGATTGGCCCCCGTGCCAAACCTTCCTTTCCTCTCCGTAGTAACTACCCCACATTCAGGCCTCCCGGAGGCTGGAGTCTGGCACGTCCGTCGCCAGAACCCCCAGGCATCAATACCCTCGTGGAACCAAGTCTGCCCCGGCATTCCCCAAAAGGCAGCAGCCTCGGCACGCCCTGCGCCAATCAGCGGTCGTCCACGAAATTAGATCACCCTCTGCTCCGTCCTGTCTTCTTCTCAGACACGCAACGAGAATCGCCTCGGGGAATCAAGGAGCGCTGTCCCGAATTCTTGCGAAATGCCGCAACGCCATAGGCGTCATGCACGTCGCCAGGGTGCTGGATTTCGGACATTGGCCGAGTCACTGCATTTCTTATCATCATCATTGCTACGACTTCATATCGTTTCGGAGAAGGATAGCCTCTGGACAGGGATACCTGCATACATAAATCGGGCGTGGATCAATCAAATGGTGTACCCAAGGCAGAATGGGGAGCCAGCTCGGGGGTACGGACGTGCTGGTCTGGGGATGCGGATGTCGCCCACCCGCTGAAGCTCGGGGCTTCTTGGACATCGATTCACATGCGAATTTACCCATTTGTCCTCGCAGTGCTCCGTATTCTTTTGAGAATGCGAATTATTACATAATTCTTTAAAGATTAAAAAGCCTCACGCAGGGCTTTCAACTTTGAAGGAGCTGCAGCAGCCACGGGGAGACTAGGAGTCCGGTGGGGACAAAGCACCCGGCCTACCTACCGTAACTTATGACAAGGGGGGTCTGGACTAATGCACTTACAAGGTGGTAAGAAAAGTCATCCAATAAACATAAGAAATGGCATCGGGTAATGCTCAACATCAATGCCTTGAGCCGTGATATTTGATGTCTGACCCATAGGGAGAAAACGGACTGCTCGATACTACTTACTATATACGCAAAACACAAGGCAAAGAAGCAAGGAGCACGTGACATGCAGTGACTGGCGATTGATGGATGAGAAGCTAGCAGTGTACTTACTGTGTGGAAGGTCCAAACCATAACAAACCGGTACAAGGCTGCTAGATTCTATGGCCTTACCGATAGTGAGATAATATGGCATTCAGGTAGTGAACGACAGCAACCTGGACTTCTCGTTCAACAGTTGCAATGCAGGATGGCCTCTATCTACGAATACTTCCCAATCCGGACTTAGCTAGGGCTAGCCCCGCTCTAACCTGATTGGGACAGGCAGACCGGGGCCGGGGAACTTTTCAAGCTCCAGCGGCCGCATGACTTCACTTGACTGCTACTGCAACACGACTGTCCATCGCCACAACTATCACGATGGAGGGCGCTGATATCGTTGAGTCCCCGCGCAAGCGGCTTAAGACCGACAGCACTCCTGTTACAGATGATGCGGCGCTTCCTCCTTCCAATGGGACAGTTGCGGAGCCCGACCTGGCCAAGACCACAGATGAAGAGAGGGAGATTGAGGTTGGAATCACCGAATTCGTCAGTGATAACACTGGAGGGTTCTCGGGGATTTTGAAAAAGAGGTAATTACAACTTGCGTATGAGAGATATCATAAGTGCTAACTTTCTCCACTCACTAGATATACCGACTTCCTTGTGAACGAAATTGTCCCATCTGGTGAAGTCCTCCACCTACAGAACATTCCCGCCCCTGAAGCTCCCGCCCAGCAAGACAAGACCGAATCTTCCGAGAGCCGTAAAGAGAAGCCGGCAGAGAATGGGCAAGATAAAGCACAGAGCACGGCCCAGAGTGATGCGCCAGCAAGCACCGAGGCTGCGCCGGAGTTCCAAATTTCGGAGGAGGACAATGCGCTCCTGGACTCTCTCTTCGGGCCAGAGCCTACCGCGAAGATTGTCGCGTTGAACAAACGTGCCCTCGCGAGCCCGAAATCGAAACCGAGTGACCTTGGAAAGATCAATACTATCGTTGTTACCGACCGCGACACACGCATCCAGATGCACCAGGCCATCCGTCGTATCTTCAACTCCCAACTCGAGTCTCAGACCGACAGCGAGGGACTAATGGTCATCTCTGCTGCGCCGAACCGAAACAAACGAGACGCGCCAAGCGGTCGTGGGAATGGGCGCTCCCGTGCACCGGTCAACTGGGATGAGCTGGGCGGCTCCTACCTGCACTTCACCCTCTACAAGGAAAACAAGGACACCATGGAGGTTCTCTCGCTCATCTCACGTCTGCTGAAGGTGAACTCCAAAAACTTCCAGTTTGCCGGAACCAAGGACCGACGTGGAGTGACGGTGCAAAGGGCTTGCGTGCATCGCTTACAGGCCGATCGACTGGCAAAGCTCAATCCTACACTCCGCAATGCCGCGCTGGGCGACTTTTCGTATCACAAATATGGTCTCGACTTAGGAGATCTGAATGGCAATGAATTCGTCATCACTCTTCGTGAGTGCGATATTCCAGGAGTCGACTTCCAAGACCGCGAGGCTGCCATTGCGAAATCAAAGCAGCTTGTGGGCACGGCGCTACGGAACCTCCATGAACGAGGCTACTTCAATTACTTTGGCTTGCAGCGCTTTGGAACCTTCGCGACCCGCACCGATACTGTTGGTGTTAAGATGCTTCAGGGTGACTTCAAGGGTGCCTGCGATGCTCTTCTCCAATACAGCCCCAATTCTCTGGCTGCTGCTCTGGAGGGCGAGAGCTCGACTGCCATGGTCAGCTCAGATGATAAGGCTCGTGCGGAAGCAATCCACATTTTTGAGACTACCGGCAACGCGACCAAGGCCATGGACAAGCTGCCTCGGAAGTTCTCGGCGGAATCCAACATCATCCGCCAACTCGGCCGTGCCAAGACCGACTACCTCGGAGCTCTTCAGGCCATCCCCCGCAATCTGCGACTCATGTATGTTCACGCCTATCAGTCGCTAGTGTGGAACTTCGCCGCAAGTGAGCGTTGGCGGCTACACGGGGACAAGGTTGTGGAGGGTGACCTTGTCTTGATTCACGAGCACAGTGACAAGGAGAACAGTTCCAGCGAGCCTGTTGCTGCTCCCGGTGATGTCGACGCTGACGGCGAGGTTATTATTGCTCCCCAGACGGGAGACAGCGCATACGTCGCCGAAGGCATTGCGCGTGCACGCGCCCTGACGGCCGAAGAAGCCGCCAGCGGCAAGTACTCCATTTTCGACGTGGTTCTCACTTTGCCTGGCTATGATGTTCTGTACCCGGCCAATGAGATGACCGACTTCTACAAGCGCTTCATGGCTAGCCCGCAAGGCGGTGGACTCGATCCGTTCGACATGCGCCGGAAGTGGAAGGATGTTAGTCTCACGGGAGGATACCGGAAGTTCCTCAATCGGATGGGTGCTGAGTATTCTTTCGACGTGAACCTGTACTCGAAGGACGACGAGCAGTTCGTGCAGACGGATCTGTCAAAGCTGCAACAAGATAAGACCGAAGCTGCTGCCAGTGAAGCGGAGCCCGCGGGTGCCCAGGACAAGGTTGCCGTCGTGCTCAAGTTCCAGCTTGGCTCCAGCCAGTATGCCACCATGGCTTTGAGGGAGTTGACCAGGGGTAAGGTGAGAGCCTACCAGCCTGATTTCGGCAAGGGCAGATGATATCTATAACCATGCACATTTGTATATATACGATGCGGCCAGAGGCCCGGAATACAGCAGGCATAGATCAACAACCAGAATCGTCATTGTAGAGCAAGCGAATATAGTATGTAGACATTCTAATTCCCAAAGGAGTATGTATCCACCTCTTCCTATCATTCCTACATGAAAACCTCGATATAAGCAATATCCCACTGGACTTCTCTCCAGTATAAGCAACAAGACACGTAGCGTTGGTCAATTTGCTTCCTCGCGAAACACCTTTCTTAATCCTCTCTCCTTACTAAACAGTCCGATTGACACCCCCCCCCCCCTCTTCCTCCTCCTCCCCCCTCTTGTTCCTCCTCTCTCCGCGCCCCACCACACCTAAAAGCCCTATCTCCCGCACACCCACACCTGATCGCATGTGTTCCACGAGACCTACAACCAGCGCATCACCCCCTCCGTGTCCCGCATCCTGTCCTCCCGATTCAGCTTCCTCAATTCCATCCACGACAACAGCCACCATAACAGCATCACCGCCAGCAGCACCTATTACAACGAAACCGGCACCACGCGAGACAATGGCCGGATCTCAAGAAGGTCATGTTTAAAATAATCACAGAATATACGGATGGGGAGAGGGGAAGGGAGGAGAGAAGGTGGGGGTAAAGGAAGAGGAAAAAGTGAAGATAAAGCTGAAGCAGAAAGAGAACCCCAACCTCAACCCTATCGACTACACCCCCATCTACACCATTCACCACAGCCTCACGGGCCCTGTGGTGTGTGTGGGCTTTACAGAATCTGCAACTCTACGAAGAGCAATAAGAGGTACCCTAACCGGGCGTTTCTTCGACGGCTTGCGTGCGATGGAAGGGTGATTTTGCAGAGGGAGAGGGAGAGGGAGAGGACGGAATTGCGGCGAGGGGATGTACGGTTTTATTTTGGGTTGTGATTTTTAAGTGCTCGGGGTGTGGTTTTGTGGAAGATGGTGCTTTGTATATGGAGGAGACTTTGGTTTCTCTAACTACTACTAAAGTAGAAACTATGGGCTCGTGGACCAAAAAGGGGAACGAGCGGCCGAAGCGAAGCCAAGCACAACCTACAGGGTCTGATTGAATATGTCAATCATTGAAAAAAAAAAATAAAAGATATAAACTTCTACGTAGATCTATATAGCTCCCAGGCAATACGGGTCTGAACACTATAAACAAACGGACGGAAGACGGAGCGGGACGGGACAGGACGTCCATGATATATTCGAGCGGGGTGAAAACCGTGACGGTACGTATCATGAATTGAAAAGTATATCGAAGGTGACCAGCCACCAAGGACAAGGGAGGATATTGTTAAGGCAATGGTGACTGTTTAGATCTTCTGACCAGCGGAAGCAGCCTTAACATCCTCCTCGGAGCTCATGATCTGGACCTTGATAGCCCCGGTCTTGGGGTTGGCGGCCGTCTCAAAGGCCTTGATAGCATCCTCCAGCGGGAAGCGGTGGGTGACGAGCTTCCTCAGATCAATGACTCCGTTCTTCACAAGGCGAATCGCGCGGGGCCAGGTGTTGCAGTACCGGTATTGGTACTGAAGGTCGATTTCCCAGGTGCTGAGGCGCATGAACGGGACGGTCATCTCGTTCTTTCCGACACCAATCACAAAGACCTTGCCGCCGAACTTGACACTCCAGATGGCAGACGCGACACTGCTCTCCACTCCCGTACACTCCATGGCTATGCGGGGCCTCAAGGCTCCAGGGGCAGAGCCCTCTCCGTCGTTGAAGGCGTTGATAATACCCTCTGCATTCTGCTCAGCAGAGAGGCCGATCTGCACCTTGTAAGTGCGGATGCCGGGGGCCAGGGACTTGGCGAACTCTAGTCGGCTCTCATCAATATCGGTGATGACGATGGGTGATGCACCGGCCGCGCGTGCACTCAACAGGGTGATGAGACCGATAGGGCCAGCACCGGTGATCAGACACGGATCACCCAGACGAAGTCCACTGCGCTCAATCCCTGCCAGGGATACGCTGAGAGGTTCCAGGAGTGCGCCGTCTTCGTAGCTCATATCACCGATCTTGTGGCACCAAATAGCAGGGTGGTTGACATAGCGGCGCAGCAAACCGTCGACCGGAGGGGTGGAGAGGAAGAGGACGTTTTCGCAGCCGTTGTAGCGACCGGTCAGGCAGGGTTCACAAGCATTGCAGATGACGTTAGGCTCGACGGCAATGCGGTCGCCAGGCTTCAAGTGAGTGACATCTGGGGCCACGGCAATCACCTGGCCCGCGGACTCGTGGCCCAGGATATGGTCTCCCGTGACGATCATAGGCCCGATACAGCCTGCATGCCAGAAGTGGACGTCGGATCTGACACCCAGGGCCAATCGTTAGACAGAGCTTCGGAGCCAACTATCAGAGGGAGGGGAAGGGAGAATATACCCGCAGATTCCCGTGCTGCGAACCTCGACGGTGACCTCGCCGGGCTTCAGTCCCTGTCCGCTCTTGACCTCCTCCAGGGTGGGCTTTGTTTCCGCAATCCACAACTCATGCTTGGTATTGGTAAAGACGCCGATGTTGGCCTTCTCGAGAACAGTTGCGGAAGCCATTATGGGGAGGGGGAGTGTGGCAGGCGAGGACAGCAAGATCGGCCGAGAAAGCGCAAAAAGAGGGGAGAGGAGGGAGGGGAAGAAAGATGAGGAGAAGACACGGGATGGATGTGCAGGTGCTGGACTTAAGTACCAAAGAAAAAAAGATCGTCCCCCAGCGAGACAGGCCGCAGGTGGTAGCTGATTCCGTTGCCACCTATAGGAGCGGAGCCCAGCATGGCTGATTGATCACTCGATCAGCGAGTGGATGGGGAGGAGTTGGAGAGGAGGGGAACCTGAAGCCAGCCGCCTGCTGCTTTTACCCGGGGGCCCCTCGCGGGGTTGTCCCTCAGGGGAAGCAGTAAACACTCTGTGGTTAGTAATTAATAGTCAAGTCCACGGTTCCCGCTTTTCGCTTTGTTGTACGTCTATCTGTGTTCTGCGACAGCACTTGTGGTGTAGATAGTATCCGCTCGGTTAGACGGTTAATTGCATTTCTGATGGGGGAAGCTTACTACTGTAGTTACTATACGTATTCTTAGCCTACCTCACCGATGGGGCCGGGATTACTGCTCCCTCCTACATGCTTGATACATCCCATTCGTACCGACGACCGACATGGTGGCCTAGAACAACACATCAAGCTGCTTCTGACTTCATAGTACTACTGCTAGTACCCGGAGTGGCAATTCTCCGGTGGAACTTCTTGCTCCAGCCGCTGGTGGAGTCGATTAGTTATGGAGACCTGGCTTATCCACCACCCCATCATTTGCTTTCCATGCCCGCGCGAGGATAAAATGAAGGCAGGCTGGACCTGGTGGTCATGGGATAACTAATTTTCGGCATATTGTTATTTCAGAAGATGACAAAGGATTACTATCACTTCTGTCCCGTACCAGTGATCCATTTCTTCAAAGCCACCATTCACTCTTTCCCGTCGAGTTCCTCATAGTAATCCAACTTTGTATATATTGTTTACTGGTATGGCGGAATTCAACCAAAGTAGATCACTCCTCTACGGGCATGAAAGCCCGCATACTTAACAGCTAACAAATGATATCAAACATCTGTCAGGCTCCATTAAGTGGGGGGAAAAACTCGACTGGCTTATCCATCCAACTCCCCCCTCATCACCACCCAGGATAACGCGTTCCAAACCAGCAGAGATGTATCCAATTAACTAAATATATGAGACTATACTCTCGTGTCTACCTCTTTCTGAGCTGTATAACTATGAGCAACGGTCCAAGTATCGGACAGGCGAAGAAGCAGTGTACCTAAAAGCAACCAAACACCGCCCAAGACTGATTCCTCCAGCGACTGATGACAAATTCCCTTCTCTTTCGGTCCCATCGATATGGTATGTGTTGTGTACGACATAACAGTTTCATCTCAAAACACAGCAGGCAAAAGCAGAATCTATACCCACTGTCTGTATGCACTCTGCCATCCGATTTAGGTCTCTATGGAAACCGAGCCCGCATACCCAATCTTTGCCAAAAAGAAAAAGAGGGGAAAAAAGAAAAAAACCAGTGAATGATGGAAAAAAGCGAACGTCGTGACAGGCTAAAGCAGATTACCGCGCGGAATGCATTTGTTCGTTGAATCTTTGTCCGTGATCATCCAGCATCGATTTTTAAACCCCATCCTGGGCAGCCACGGCCTTGATGTAAGTCTCGTAGGGCGTGATGGCTCCGAGGGCGCGGCGCTGGTGGGCGTTGAGGATCTCCAGCCCGTATGCATAACTGGCATTGACCCATCCAAACCTAGAGAAGGGACAAGGTTAGTGTGACATTCAATCTGCAGTCTATGATTCAAAATCTTACCCTTCGCGGGGAGCACCCTTGAAATCCACGCCCTGGTTACCGTACTCGGCATCCACCCGGTGTGGGTCAATAGGCCGAGTGACGTCGTACTTTTCAACAACGACGCCGTTGAAGTCAACAAAGGCCTTTGTGATCATATATAGCCATTTATAGGTCAGCCGCTCGGCCTCATCCTGGTAGCCGTAGCGGATTAGTCCTGTCCATGCCAGCATCTGCTGGGGTGCCCATCCGTAGGGGTAATCCCATTGCCGATTAGGCCGATCCAGGCCAACGGCACCTCGAGATTCTTCGGTTCCGGAAACCAGGCCACCATAAGCCTCGAACCGGTTGAGAGCCTTCACCATCTGTGATGCTTGAGAAGGAGTGGCGAGACCTGCCCACATTGCCCAGTAGGTTGTGGCACTCTCATATGTTGTTCGCTCTTGCTTGGCAGTATCGTAATCAAAGTACATTCCCTTCTCTTCGTCCCACAGATAGGTATCCATTCTCATCTTTCTTCTCCGGGCGCGGCGATCCCACACCGACGAGGACTCAATGGCGATATCCCTGGTCGTTGCCGTCCGGAACTCTTGAGGAATGTCCAACTTGTCTTTGAAGTAAGTCCGGATGATGCGAGCAATGTCTACCTCGTACTTGTACAACAGCGAATTCAGATCCACCGTCGCCAAATTGGCACAGACTCTCTCGAGACGATAGCTTGTATCATGACCAGATTCTCTCACAGCTCGATCATGTAGGAAGTACTCGTCAAGCTCTGGTTCCAGAACCTGTCTTTCGTTGTAGGCTTCGACAAACTCATCGAACGACATGCCGTGCTTCTCGGCATAGGGAGTGAGAATGTGAACGAAGTGTGTCGGCTCCGTCTCCGGGGGCACACCCGCGCCTTCCGGGCGGTATCTAGAAAGACCAGACACCGGGTCGAGCCGCGGCTCTGTCGCCCAAACGCTGTAGTATTCCTTGATCGCGGCAAGCGTAGCGTTGCGAAGGAACTCCATAGAATCGGGTTCGTTCTTGATGCGTTCATACACACGCAAGGCCATGTCGGTCAAAAACGGGGGCTGAGAACGGGTCAAGTAGTAAGACCGGTTTGCGTTCAAAATCTTGCCGTAATGCTTGATACAGAAACAGAAGTTGACCACCATACCTCGGGCCAGGTCAACTCTGTTGCTGACCAGCAACCCCAATGACATCATGTAACTATCCCATCCGTACAGCTCATTGAACCTGCCTCCTGGGACCACGAATGGCACTCCGCTATACTCTGTTTTTTGGGTAGTTTGATCAATTCTTTTTTCCATTGCCAGTGCCAGAAGTCCAGGCTTAGGGTTGAGCTTCCTCGCATATTCCGGTGTGATCTCGGCCTCCAACAACTGCACATCCAGGCGCAATTCTGGATGAGTCTCTGCAATGTTCTTGTAGTACTCATATTGCTCAGGGGCCCCCGGTGGAACGTAGACCCGGGGTCGCGGGTCGTCCGTCCAGTCTTTGGGGTCCCGACCAGCTTCAGCAATGTTATGTCCATCAATACGCCGAGTAAGAGCATTCCAGAAGGAATTCTTGATTAGCCGGGAAAGACGTGCGACGGGATTCTCACTCAGACGAGCTTCATCAAGAACAATATGCTTCCGACCGTAATCCTGAGCAATCGTAAGCTCTTGGAGGAGATTGGAGAGCATATAAGTGCCTCGCAGGTCAAATCTATTGTATCCCGAAGACGCAGCGGTCCCTACGGAGAATACCTGATACCGAATTGTCAGTAACCGATGGGTCAATGGGGCCTCCCAGATCCCAGGCGACACATACTTTGGGGCCCACATCTTCAATCGTTATCTGCATGTTCCGGTCCGTATCTTCCCGCTCTAGAAGATCATGCAGTGTAGTATCCACGTCAATGAGGAACTTGCGGGGATTAACTGGTGTCTCGTCTGTTGGCCACATGCATCAGTCCATGTATCCCAATATAGTCCCATTTGCATTGCATGTATTGCGCACCATGACTAGCCCGTCGTGCAGGAAAGCCGCCTCCTAGAAATTCTTGGATATCGTCCCGGTTGAATGATTTCAGGGTCTGTTTAATGGCATCCAGGGCGGGTTAGCGGAGCACATTCTGGGCTTATCTCACGATAAGAGGGGGAGGGGGGGGGGGGGGGGGGGGGCTTGCAACGCACCGAAGAAAACGCTCGCTTGCGGTCTCTCATGCGTGAACGGTTGTGCTCCTCATCTCCGTAGTAGACATCCGGGTCGGAGAAGGGATCGAGAGAGCCAGTCCGCCGGTGCTGGGCACTTGGTGAACTCATTGTTAGGGGATTGTGGGATGGTAGAAGAATTGTTCAGTGATGACAGGTCAGGAAAACAAAAGGCTAGAGCGACAAGGGATCCGAGCAGGGGTAGATGGTTCGCCAGCTAAAGGGGGTCACACGGCGACGCCAATTATTGAAGACGCTAGGCCCGTTCGTGGCGTTGTGCTCTTCTCGGACTTGACACGAAACCAGCAATGGAGGTCTACCACGCCGGAAACAATCTAGCCAGATCTGAGTGTGGTAGGACAAGATGTCGGGCCTCGATGGTTTGTTGGGATGGGATGGGATGGGATGCTATGGGATGCTTGCAACACACAGCAGAGGAAGAAAGGTGACCCCCGTGGAGTTTGGGGGGGTACGTCACAGCCACCCTACCGTATTGTTTTGCTGGTTGAGGATGGCGGTCGTTGGTGTGGGACAGGCGGTGTGGACGGGGCTGGGAGGTTTTGTCTGGGACTGGCTGGGACAAAAATAAATTTGCGAGGTTCTCAGCAGCAGTAGGATTGGGAGACAGCACACCCGCGAACTGGGGTAGGGGTTTTTTAATATTGTTCCAGGGTTGAAGTGGGTGGACAAAGAGGCGGAGAATGAAGTTCCCTTGGAGACTATGACGCCACGGGCCTGATGATGTCGCCGCTCCACTCAGACGGTCTCGCTTCTTCGGTACTTCCGCGGCTGGCTCCGGTTCCTCAAAACCCCAGCTACGGGGGGGCCTTCAAACGATCGATGTATGTCGCGACGGTTGAAGGGACTCAGGGGGAACAGTCTGGGATCTGTCGCGAAACAATGGACAATTTAAGTCCTGGAATGCGAAGGTCTGTGGGCTATCTGCACCTTCCGGTCCCAGACCTTGACGTGGCGCCCGATTTAGGATGCGAGCAGGAGTGGGATGCTCGAAGGGGGGGGGAGGGGGTCGCATTCTACCGCGTGCCCAGAGTATATCTCAAACAAAGCAAGAAAGCCTGATGGGGTAGCCCAAGCTAAAAGCTAAGCAAACAGCCGTCCTACTGGGTGGGGTGATAGCTCTTTCTTTCCATCCTTCTGTCGCGTGGCAGTGGAAGATGAGGCCCGGTATCAACTCAGTCGGCCAACAAGCCGGTCACTGGGCAGTTTTCCTGCCCGGTCGAGCTCTAATATGGCAGTTCGCCGATATCACCCGCGAATCACCATCTAGCAGACAGCTACTTTTGCTGAAGATATCGAACTGCCTCCTGAAGCAGGTGGAGACGGTTGGGTATCCTACACAGCAGACTCAGGCCAACGTTTCTACTTTGCATATGTTAGGTACATCTACCGCACGCACAAAGGCCATGGTTCAAAGGCACTAAAGATGAGGTTTTTTGAGAGTTCAATCAGGAATATTAAGTATAAGAGCACAAAGTTTTTTGATCGGGATTGCGAGTTACATGATGGCTTGGGCTGCGACCTGGTGGTATATAGTATGGGTTGGGCTATACTAATATTCATCTGAGTTGTGAATACACTTTAAAGAGATGGATGCATTCTCGCACAGTACCTTGGTGTGTAAAGCTATGCCACCAGCATGTTCTGAATCATATGGAAAACGATATAGTATAGATACTAGTACCACTCTGTGAACAGGATATAGAGTAAGGGTAAGCATCATAATCTTCCATCATCTTAACTCTGCTAAAGTGTCTTGCCGCAGCTACACAGAATATCAGCTTTACGGGAGTATATTCCTTACAGCCCACGGGTCTTTCCCAAAGGTCATCATCATTTCCATAATTGAGGAAGGACAATTCAGTGTTATACACTGCATAGTGAATACTTTTATCCACGTATCGGGGATTACAAGGTATACATAGTATGGGGAGATCGTTCTAGAGAGTTTTGTTGTTGGTCCCTTGATCTGCTGACTTGCGTAGTAGGCAAGCCGGAGTATCTATCTGCTGTCCCGGTCGGGTCGGTCCTGCCACTTTGCTTCATAGATACAAAAGTTGGAAGTGCTTCTTCCTCTTGCCAGAACCTCTAAATATACATAACTGGTAATACCTTGCTGATCTTCGGTCCTAACTTCTGCGCATGCCTCCCAAAAGAGATATAGAGTTTGACTCTGGTTGATTGATTATCGATTGATTGATTCAACGCGCATATGTCAGCCCTAACAGCCGAGTGGCGGAAGGAGCTGGGCTGACCACAAAGCACGCCACCGGCGTGGGGGCTGTCACGTGTCACACATACTCGGAAAATAGAAGTATTGCAACACCGCAGTACGTACAGATTAGCAGAGGCTACTGGCCTATCTATTTTAATCTATATTATACTACCTATCTAGTTACGTCCAAAAGAGTAGTAAACAGTGCCTTGTGGTAGCACTAATCGTATTTAGCGCTGTGAGAGCCGGTACGGTGGTCAAAGTTGGGACAATCCCGGCCCATGGAGAAGCGGCGGCGGGAGAGTAGATGTGGCGCGGGCCGGTCGTAGAGGTGGCTTATCGAAGTGTCATATGCCCCAGCGCCAGAGCTGTGTTGTGGACATGGATGTGTTATCTAGTCGCGTATATAACACACAAGACTTGTTCCCATCTGCTTTGTAACTTACTTAATATATTGTATATAATATGGGCAACGGGAATAGCTCCAAAACTACATAAGAAGACGCTCTATAGACCAAAAGAGACTTCAGGTGGGATACAAATGGATATCTGCAATGACTTGGCTGGGGTTTAGGACTGAGGCAATGATAGATGAAGAGCTGTCTATCTGTGAATGGCTCGGTAGTATAATTTGTAGGAAGAATACTTGCCCGTCGTCGACAGTACATGGTGGTAGTCCTGCATGTAGATCCATACTTCGGTATGCTCGGGTGATTGGTGGCGAGGTCTTTTCAGAATGATTGTTGAATAAAGTTTTTAAAGTTGATCCCTGTAAATGGGACCAAGAGTGCAAGCGCATTCTGAGAGATCTCTGACTAGGGGGGCGGGGGTGCTGAACGATTAAAACAATCCAGCGTGGAACTGCGTATTGATGGGTATAGCATCCTGCATGCCTAAAGCTACCATACTCAATCTGTAACAACTCTGATAGCAGATAACCTAGATACTCCGCACTCCGTACTGCTGTTCAAAACCTAGGAGAATAAAGCGCGGGCTGCAGGTGCCTGATAGGTCTTGGATAAATATTGTCATTGGCTTGCTAAGCCCAGTACTGTTACTATTAACCCGGCCCACATTTGTCTCAAACCATGGAAGTCAGATTACTGATCAGAAATATTCTCATGGCCCCGATAAGCATTCGGGATAAGGAGAATGGCACTATACTGAGTGCGGCTAGTTTGCACACGACAGGATAAACTAGATAGCCGCGTACTCGCATGGCCTGCCTGATTAGGATGCTATCAGCTTAATCAGCGGAGTTGTGCAGGCTGAGATCGTTTACAGTAGCAAGGGACACAAGGAGGTTTGTTCTATACACCAAAAGAAGAATGATGTTTGGGAAGAAATACTTGAAGTAGTTTACTACTAAAACATGCATGGAGTACAGACGACAGGGTAGATATTATTTAGGAATCCAGCATCTTTCTATAGCAAGGAATTTCCCCGAAAAACAATAATGGCCGCAGAGTTCCTCGTAGTGTAGGTAGTAAATCTAATACTGTGTGACAGTAGATCGGACGACTGTTGTCAGATTCTTTAGGCCAATGAGTGAGCGTTTCATGACTGCTATCTACCAGGTGCATTGTCAGTATTAAGGGTTGACTACATATATACTCCTTAAGGAAGCCTTGGAGTGGTGTGAGGCTGAGAGCAGCCTTCCAAGGAGGGCCGGAGAGGGGTCCTGTTGGCCACAGCCACCGCGTAAAAGCACAACAAACTCAAAGCAGTCACGGGGGGTGGCGCTATTGGTCTGGACCAGGGGCCCTGGCCAATCAAACCTCCGCAACCGAGACCAATGGGGCCAGATAGTTCTTCCCGCTAGCACCATTGTGGAGTAGTTCCTCCTCCGTTGAGTCCTCCCGTAGTTTTCCACGGCCACCGAGCCTGATTTCCTCGTCGTCCTCCGCGCCGCTGCCCGTGCTGACCACGTCCTCTTCTGCTGCTCACTGCTCCGTATAGCGGCTTTCGGTTTCTTTTTTCTTATTCACCGCCCCCTACCTATTGCTCTTTCTTAATTTCGGAAACCCCCCTTCCGTCGTCCTCCCTCTCCCTCCGTGCCGACTCGCCGCTTTGGATGGCCTGGATTCCGTGAACTCCTTCGCTTCCCGCGCGCCCTTGTACATACGCTATAATCTCCCTACCATCGGGAACGGGATTTCGGAGCTCCATTTCGGATTGCAGCATTGTTAAACCTACGGGCTCGACGCATTGCAGCATATATATACGCTTTTTCTATCTAGTCGCAGACACGGACGTTTTCTACAAACACGGGCAGACCACGCGACACCTCACGGAGCTGTTCGAACCCCTCGCTTGGCCCCAATTCACCCTCCTGCACATCACATCGTGACATCTCATACCCAGCCATCTGCCTTGTTCGCCCGCCTCAGTACGCCATCGCCTATATAATCTATACTACTGTCGGACAGCCATCACACAGCAGCCATGGGGTCGAGTAACAACACGACCCCAGTCGACCTGGGTAAACCCCAGTTCGCGTCCCACTCATGGGTTGAGCCGATCGTGAGTAACCCTCCTTTAGCGTGTGCTACAGGCTTGTCTAGTCTCCCGGGTTCCTGACTTCCTCTCCAGATAGTTTTGAGCATCATGTTCAGCTCCTTATATTTCAACCGCCGTAGGAATTACAGCGTCTTCGGGAAGAACAATAACAACGGACTGTCATCATCACACCAGCTATATGTGAAGGACGAGGAGGCCGATGCATTCGACCCATACTCGGAGAGAGAGAGCGATGACCAGGTTCGGGGCCAGCCGAGTCCCAACCCGCATCCGCCGAAACGTCGCAGCTGTCTGTGGTACACGGTCCAGACACCGAACTCGTCTCGCTTTGCTCGTCATTTCCACAGTCGGATCCTCCAGAAATTCCCATTTTTGGTTGAGATGTTCTACTGGGTTATGAACTATCTATTCTACTCGTGCACCAAGGCCGTCTCACAATCCCTGTCTCCCGCCGGCCGCGATGTTGTCCAGCTTGCCCAAGATCATGCCATGGCAGTGCTGAACCTGGAACACAACTCGTTTTTCAGCATCTTCTTTCCGATCCAAGAATCCAGCTTCCAGGCCTTTTTCATCAACGGCCACCAAGGGTGGATGACCTTCTTTAATCGCATTTACTCACTCGTCCACATCCCGGGCACGGTCGCGTAAGTTCACCCGATAATTCCAGTATAAAGGCATAGGATTCCGAACTGACCCCATCATCTACAGGTTCCTTTCTTGGTGGTACTACTCTGCCCCCGACTTCGAGACCTTCGCCCTCGTCCGCCGTACCATGACCCTTGGAAACTTTATGGCGTTCATTATCTTTTGCTTCTGGCCTCTTATGCCCCCGCGGCTTTTGCCTGAGACCTTTGGTTTCCACGACACTGTCCGTCAGGAGCACGCCGAGAGTGTCTGGGTGGGAGGCAAAATGGTGAACCAGCTGGCCGCCATGCCCAGTTTGCATTTCACCTACGCCTTTTGCGTGGGATGCACTTTCTTCTACCACTCGGGCGTCCTGCACCGCCTCTTTGGGAAGCGGACGAGCCGCGTCACCCTGAAGGATATCTTTATGTTTATCCTCGGCTTCATCTACCCCCTGCTGGTCTTGTGTGTGATTGTCGCCACCGCAAATCACTACTGGCTCGATGCCACCGTCGCTACCTTCTCTGTCACCTTTTCCTTCTTTGCCAACCGGATCTGGCTGATCCTACTACCTTTGGAAGACATGTTGCTGTGGGTGCTGCGGCTTGAAAAGCCCGTTCCCACCACGGGCAACCGCACGGGTCAGCAAGTTGAAGATGAAAACAGTCCTGACCGATTCGAATACCGCCCGCTATAGCCAGCTGATCTCTTAGATCTGGATTGTCTGATAGATTGCTCTGTGGATACTCGTGGAGGCTAGACATCACGGTGTGAGCTTCCGCACCGAATGATGGAGCAGTGGTCGTTCGTTGCACTTGCTCGCATACGATGAAATGCGCCGGGCGAAGAATCACGGAACGGCGGCCCCCCCCGGTCCAAGTGCTATAAAGCAGCAACCGGAAGTCGATCTGTTGTTGGCTTAGACTTGGCGCTCTCGCTATGTCCACTAGTTGTACTGTTGAGCAGTCTTGCCGATTACACTTCACTCAGTTGCCTCCACATGCGTGATATCTCGGCCTATCTGGTGACAGATGAGACATGCCATGTAATGTGACATAGAATATATATGAGGGTAAATTGTAACTTCCAAAATTTCCTGTAAATAGACTTGCGAATCCACCATATCCATTCAGATATCCTTGTTCGAACTGTATGACAGCCAACCAGCACATAAGCGGAAGTCGACCTTAGGGCAGGTTCCTGGTACGTATGGCTGTTGATAGCAGCAGCAGCAGCAGCAGCAGCAGCAGCAGCAGCAGTAGAATTAGAAGTAGCATGGCGCCGCCTGGCTAATTGAGACCAGGCATCTTCGCGATGCCCTACGGTGTGCTGGCCAACCGGATCGGACGCAGACCCGTGTTGTTCCTCGGTATACTGGGGTTCACGCTGTGCGACTTGTGGATTAAGATAGTCTGTGAGTAAGCGCGAGAAGAAAGCAGAGATATATACGCCCGTCTTAGGCTCTGATTGTTGTTTTTGCCGCTCTGCAGGTTGGTTCCCGGATCAGCTCCCGTTACGACTGATCTGGCTCGCCCTGATCGCGCAGGTCATTGGCGGCGGCACGCAAGTGTCAACCACCATGATGTTTGTGGTGCTGGCCGATGTTTTCACCGGTGCAGAGCAGTAGGCGACCCATTCCGAGCCCAAGCAAACGATATTATACTCTTACTCACAGACATCAGGACCCAGGCGCTTTTCTACGCCTCCGCGGCAGTGCCGATCAGCGAGATTCTCGCCGCATCACTCAGAGCCCTCCCCATGAGGAACAATGTCTGGGTGCCGTTTCTGCTTTCCTCCGTCGTGGCAGCAAGCGGGCTCCTTTTCGTGCTGTGGCTCCCGGAGACGTTGCCGCTTTGCGAACCGTCCTCGCCGGGGCTGAAACTGGACCGTCCAGATATACAGACGAGAATGCGAGCCGCCGTGAACGAGTTCCGGAAGTCGATTGTGGTGATCCGTGGGCGTGGAAGTGGAAGTGTCCAGCTTCTGTTGTTTGTGTTTTTGGTGGCGTATCTCAGGAGACAGGTCATGCGCCTGCCTCTTCTCTTTGCCGTGCAGCGGTTGCACTGGACGATTGAGCATGTGAGTCCTCCTGTGTCCTCCCCAAACCCTCTGCTTCTTCCCCGCTCGGACATGAGCTGAGATGCATTGCTCTAGGCCAGTTTTCTCATTCATGTGAAGGGGATGACCAATCTCTTCCTGCTGCTGGTTCTACTCCCCACTTTGTCGAGCTGGCTCCTGCGGCGACGCTGGGGGTGGTGGTTTATGCGCTGGGGTCCGGGATGCACCTGATCGTCCGGCGCCTCATTACGTCGCTCGTTGACGCCCATCATATCGGTACCTTTGTATACGGCCATCGCGGTTGTGCAGGGAATCGGGGTGCTGGTGGCGGGCCCGATGCTGGCGATGGCTTACCGCTGGGGACTGCAGCAGGGCGGCGTGTTGTTGGGGGGGCGCCATTACTTCTGGTAGGATCACTGTATATGACGGCCGGACTGGCGATTCTTCTCGGAGCTCAATGGGGAAGAAAAGGCTGTCTGGAGGACAGCTAGTCGGGGTGTCAGCTTGTATCTGGACACGGGAAATAGGACACATTGTTACTGTTATCTTTGAGGATCTATTTGAAGGACTGCCTTTATCCTCACGAGGCCAAAGCGGCGAAGCTGTCGCATATTGAATCGATGGTGGAGGAAACATGCATGCATCCATGCGTGCTTGCACTTGTGCTTGTGGCAATGTGAATGGCAGGTCTATTGATAGAACAGTTCGGATGGATGCCTGGCCGCTAACCGCATCGGGCCACGGCTGCGCAGTCAAGCTTTTCGGCCGGTCGCGATCGCCGCTGGAGTTATTGAGTTATTGTTCCTTGTTCCTTTCCGACTCTTCGACTTCTGCACTCTGGCTTTGTCCTCCGGATTGTGTGTGACATTGCCCCTCCTCTTGCCTGGTATACTTAGATGAAGGGATTCTGCTGATATGAGTTCCCATGATGGACCCCGAACCTCGAATTCGACGTGGGAGGTTCCCCAAACTGCTCATCAGGGGGGCATCGTCAGCATCCTCCATCTGGATTTTGAACAGCAAAGACTCCCGTGCTTACAGTTCACACAGAATCTATCAGTATCTGGACATCAACCATTGGTTGCCAATCACCGTCACTGCCCTGGAAGAATAATAATCACTAACTAGATAGTATTCGCCCCCCTCTCCGACTCCCGACGCGTCCTCTGGATCCGCCCCGGTTCCTCGCCAGGACCAAACCAGGCTAACTGCCACTAGCCCGGCAGTGGACGAATCATTCGATCGGGGGCCCATTCATGATCCATCACCGGCCACACCAGGTCCGGTTCTTGGACAGGGCCATTTCTCCTGACCCACTCAGGTCGGCCCTCTGGCGCAGACTGGCTGAGATTACTCCCGCCGGTGCCTCGCGGCCAGCCAGCCAGCCAGCCGGCCCGCCCGTCGTGTCTTTCTTTCCTCTCCTGAGCCTGTCCAGTCCATCCGACTATCTATCTATCTATTCACTGCCTGCTGGACATCTATCTGATTCCACCCACTCTCCTATCCCATCCTCTCCACAGGTGTACATTCGCTTCTACCACACTCTCTCACCATGCAGCTCAAGTCTTTCCTGCTGGCGCTGGCTCTGGGCGCCGCCTCCGCCCAAGCCTGGACTATCCACGGCTACACCGAGAAGGACTGCAAGGGTACCGCCGACACAGCTGGGTCGGGCTCTGGGAAGGAGGCCTGCGGCACCATGAAAAGTAGCACCTACAAGTCCCTCAAGGCCAGCCCCGGTGACTACGTCCTGACGGCCTACTCGGGCTCTTCTTGTTCGGAGTCTAGCGGTGCCTACACGCCGAGTGAAGGCTATGCCCTGCAGCCTGCAAGATGTGTCAACGGTGACTTTGACACCTACGAGGTACGCCTCTCCCACCCCCACCCCTCCTCTCTCAACCGCCTTCCCCCGGTGCATGCTGACCTCTCCCTCTTTGTACAGGCCCAGTTCATCGCCATCGGCAAGCGGGACAACGAAACCGCCATCGACGAGGAGCTCGTGGCCGCCTACTACGCCGAGTTCCCCGAGGAGCTGGACGAGCTCAAATAAACCTAATCTCTTATCTGAGAATGGGGGCTGGAGAGAATCCCGCGACTTGGTTTGATAGATCTGCAGAACAGCAGGAAGCAAGCACTGTACAAAGGACCATTTCTTTTTTGTGATTTTGCATACACATATATAACTGAACGCCGCGAGCGAACTTTTTTCTTTTTCGGGGGGTTTGGGATACCATTTTTTTTTGGGCGCGATATCTAGCAATATTCGGTGATCGGATGGCAATATAAGCAGATTGTTTCGATTTCTCGTCTATTCGTTCTGTGTTTGTTGGGTTCTTGGAGATGGGTGGATGGGCTTGCGCGACTGTTGCAGACCTACACTGGGATGACATGGTATCGTTTCATCTGGACAACTTCTCGGTGAGGAGGCTTTTGGTTGGTGAGTGTTGTTTTCAATAAGGCTGAAGAGGCTGAAGACCGGAACGATAAGAAAAAACTGCGCCGCGCAGTTTGCGTATGAGGTTTTGAACTTCCACGCCCTAGAATGCTCCGGGACCGTCCTGCATATGCAGCCCTACGTCCACCTTGCAATCTTGCAATCCAGCCTGGTCCATCAAACAGTACGGCAATCAATATACAAGGGTGACTCCAAAAGAAATAAGCAATAGCCATCGTGGTATATCCAAAGAATAGACAATGGAAATGCGGGCGAAATCCCATCCAATATACGGGTCATGCATGTATCTACACTGCACACAAACAAAACAAAATATACTCAAAAGGCCCCTCCTCAATCCACAACGCCGGTATCGTCAGCCCAGCTGGGCTCAATGCTGCGACAGACGTCCTCATAGTCCTGGAATTTCTGGGCATCCTCGGGCAGACCAGGGGTGGTCCAGAACATGGTCCAGTTGGTATCAGCGAGCTTCCAGGTACCCTGGGAGCGCTCGAAGTACCACTTGTTGACGGGGTTATCCTTGCGGCTGCGCCAGCACACGCCGTTGGGGAAGCAGGAGCGGATCATGGCGTTGAAGACGATGTCGGCGACGCCGCCGGCGCCTTGGCTGCGTTTTAGGACGGCGAACTTGTCGAGGTAGGGGACCATGCGCGCTTGACTGGCCGCGCTTCCGTCGTCTTTTACGCCGGGAGGGAGCTCCCAGGTTAGTATCGCCCCGCCTTCGTATTCCCCTGCGATGATGAGGCCGGCGAGGCGGCCGTTGACGCGATTGAGGTAGTCCTGGACGTCGAGTTTGCGGTTGAAGGAGTCTTCGATCAGGTGAACGAGCCGTGGCAGGTCGATGCAGGGGTCGTCCAGGCCCAGGAGGGGCCGGGTTTGGGCCGTCCAGGGCGAAGCCCACGGGTTAGGAATGACGGTTAGTGGCATGCCGCGCTTGACGAATGTGGTGTGGGAGCTGGGCGTGGTGACGGAGTTCTTTCGGCTGCCGCCATTCACTGCTGCACGTCGGCTCAGGGGGAGGGAGGATGAGAGAAGAGGTTTGTCGGTGAGCAGGTTGTGAATCAGCGGGTTCCTCTGTCTTCGGGTTCCCACTGCGGACACGTCGGAGATGGCGCTCTCGGAGCTTTGGGCCGAGTTGGCCACTTCGAAAGGGGAGGTGATGATGCCGGACGAGGCCGAGGGCAGCATGGCTAGTGCTGCCTGGCTTAGTCGGAGGTTGTCCAGATGGCCTTCAACAACGGCTGTATCCAGGATGGGATTGGGGGAGTAGGACTTCTGGCTGGGAGGCACTGGGACGACTTCCAGATCGGCGAACTTGGAGAGAGGGTTGCTGTCGGCGATCGAAGGTAGGCCCTCTTCGGGCAGGTTTGTCTTGGCCGCTGTGGCAGACTGCCACACCCGAAGCAGCTCATTCTCGATATCATCATATTCCTGCTCCATGTTGATAAAAACATGGGATGTCTGGGGTCCGCTGAAGGCGGGGATTCCACCCAAAGGATCTAATAGGATCACTCGATCTAACGAGACCTCCTTCTGCAACCCAGTAATCCGCTGGGCAGTAAGCAATGGGTCTTCATCTGGATCAGGCACTGTCGCCAGACCAGCAAGCTCCTTTGTCAGGGCCAGAATGGCATCCTTTGCGGATACGGTCACCGCCCGAGGGACATCTTCCGTATAGGCAATCGGAGCCACGACAACGATCTGGCCATCTCGCAACGGACCTAGAAGAGCCTTCCGAGACAAAACTTTCGGAGTAGCTGGATTCACAGGCGAGATGGACAATACCGAGTCGGTATGTGCGGATTTAGAGTCGGGCTGGGCATCAATCGCTGTCGAAATACGGTCCACCTGCTCAGCGGCGACCTTCCGCAACTCATGGGCATTATCCCCCGTGCCCGGATCAACCACCACGCAGCACGCCATGCCCAGGCGGTTTAGCTGCGACAGCGTCTTTGCCACTCCATTGATTATGGTGTCGTCAAGGAGCTGCGGGGTTGTGACTTTGATCAGAGCTAGATGCAGGCGCTCCGAAACGTCTTGCTGGGGTGGAGCCGGGGTTGAGTCATGCCTAAAAACGGGGCTGTCGTAGACCGACCGGGACGCGCCATAGAAGGAACCCGAGTGGATGGCAGATGTCGAAGGTATGGATATTTCGGGGGGTTCTGTTTGCTCGGGAGCCGGGTTCTGTTGCCGTTTCTCCTGGTGTTGGGCTTGAATGCGGGCCAGATAGGATTTGGCCTCTCGTTTGGTCGAGGCGGAGTTCAATAAACTCAGAAAGAATTCCTACCGAGGTTAGCAGCCGGACTCCCGTGGAAGACGCTTTCTGTCGAGGGAGGCGACTCTCGTACCCGGTCCAGGAGCTTCTCCTTAGCCCGACGACCTAGCCGATCGTACCTCTTGCTGCTGGAAGAGAAATCGGCGCTTTGTTGAACTTGCCGATCGGGGGCGGATGAAAGACACCGACGAGGAGGAAGGCCACGAGCAGGCGGGCTAGCGCTCAAGGAGACATTCTTTCGCTGTTGGGGAGGGGAAAAAAGCCGTTAGCCATTCTGTCTGTCTACAGCGAAGCCACTGAGTCATTGTGCGGTCAAGAGCTTGCCCACCTTCAGTTGCGAAGGGTTCGCAGTCCGCAGCGTGGCGAACGTCCTGGAGCTCATGTTTTATTCCTGACAGCAATCCGAAGCATCCATGCCGGGAAGTAATACATGAGAGGGCGACAATTGGGCGGAAGAGAGGAGATGGTGGTGAGGGATTTGAGAGCTGCCAGCGCGGGGAGCTGCGCGGGTCGGAGCTGCGAAAAGGAAAAATGCGGCCAGTATTAATGACGCATCGTCCGTTGTCGGATGGCCGGCGCTCCGACCCGATGCTGTCAACCATAGTTCCCATGTGGTGGAGAATATCTAGTAGAGTCACAGTTGTGTTTCCGGACGTCACGATTCCAATTTCGGAATATCAGATTAGGCGATCACTATCGCATTTATGGTGCTAGAAGTAAAGAGGTAGAGGTGTAGTGGAGGAGGAGGCGCGCCAGGGTCTCAGTCAGCGAACCAACCGGGTTGGACGGGGCTGCAGAACATTGGTAGATCGAATGTACCGTTCGGAACAATAGGATCTCGGGCATCAAGGGGATTAAGCCCGATAAAAGAGTTCGAGTTCCCATGTCTGACTGATCAGATGATGCTGGACCATCTCATCTCGCGCCCCCAGAGCTTCCTTATCCACCAGCAGCCTGGAAGTTGGCCCTGGCAACGGGATTCCATAGACCCAGAGAACGGACACATCCAAACCAGATCAGTATCATACATCTTCTGCCGGTGTGACTGTGACGGCATTGCGTACTATCGGTAGACCAGTACTTGACCTTCCTTTGCCCAGGCAGTTTCACAGGGATATCGTCGTTTATCTTCGCGTCCCAGCACGCAATGATGGTAATGACCCGCGGATGAATCCAGTCGCCGTCACCGCCTCGGGTAAGGTTTGTTTCATCGTGGAGGGCCGTGGCTGTGACATTCCACCCAGTGCCCCATAATCCAGGACCAAGTCAATAACTGAGTCGGAATTAGAAAGAATTGCTTAGTAGTAGAAACCCGTTGTCCCTGCAGATAGTAGATAGTTAGAGTAAATAGTGAGTAATCAACACGTGATCGACAACCACGGGCCCGCGGCGGGGATCGGAGATCCGGGGAACAGCACCGCATCATTCTTAGGTATCTAGATAAGTGGAATGGCTGTCTCACCCTGCATTTCGGGAACCGAAGTTCCAGCTCCCCTTGACAGGAATGCCAGCCATACACAACGAACTACTAACTTAACTACATCGCGGCATGTTACTTGAAGAGATGTTTTTTTTTTCTAAAAAAAAAACAAATTAAATGAAATAAGAAAGAATTAAACATCACTAAGGTTTCCATGTTACATGCACCATTATCATATAATCTATACTGAAGAAAGCCACCCAGCATGCCAATAAGCAAGGAGCAGATGAAGGTCTAGTAGATGGCCTCAAACAAGTAGATGACACCAAAGACCAGGAATGCCGTGGCGCCACCCAGTGTTACTGTTACAAGTTAGCGAGCGCCCAAAGCAGCTGACTGACGACTGATACATACCAACACGCATGCTGACTTTGCCGGCAATAGCACTTCCTCCGATGACTGCCGCAGCAGTGCAGAGTCCATGCCCGACGATAGCACCGATAGTCACCCACCAATAATCTTGACCGGCGGCCATTGCGATCGTTGCGATCTGACTGCGGTCACCCCACTCGCCCAAGAAGGTCATGACGAAAGTCTGAACCCAGGCGGGGCTGAGAAGGAGAGAAAACAGATTGTTCATGCCTACAAGGACACCTCCCCACCGATTACGGGAAGGGGATGAACCGCGAGACGATGAGGACGAAACACTCTCGGGGGGCGAGGGGAGACGGTTGCCGGATGAGGCGGACTTGCGTCGTCCAACGCGGCCAGCTTCTAATGAGTGCGGAGTCACAGAAGAGCGACGACGGCTCATGCGCAGCTGCTCCTGTTCCTTCTCTTCCAGTTCCATCTCGACCTCTTTCATTTCCTCACCAACACCCTCGTCTGGCGACATCTCACGGCCTTCCTTGACCATTTTCAGCCCGAACACAAAGAACAACAATGCCGCCAGCAATTTTGTCAGAGATTTGGGAATGAGTGTTGGCACTGCATGCCCCAAAACTGCCGAAAGAACCGTCATGACGATCAGGGCGGAGAAAGCGGCGGTGAAAATTATCAGACGTGGATGGCGCATTGCCATCAGAGCGGCCACCAGGAAGGTCTTGTCGCCAATCTCGGAGACGATAATCATGGTGAAGGAGAAGATCAATGAGTGGAGTGCTGTTCCCTCCTCTAGCGGCTCGCTAGAGGAACCATCTGAAGAGCCATGCTTATCGAGACCAAGAGGGCTATCTTTCACTGTTGCCGGAGACTTGGGAGGTGGGATATCATGTGGCTTATCGGGCAGGTCCGCAGGTTTCTAAATAAAAGAGCGTCAGCCTGTTTTATAAGCATGGTTAGGGTTCAACAGATGAGGTACCTCTAGCTTGCCCAAGTTTGAGTCTCGATTCGAGCTCTTAGCGTCCTTCGCCTGTGAGTCCTCTTCCTGGATTGGAAGCTTTTGCTGCTCACTGTGTGGCAGCGGAGGTGCTTCCTTAGGACTCCCTGGGGTCTTTTCCGCGGGGTACACCTCTCTCAATTTCTCCGAGACGCCACCTTCTGTTCCCCGGGTACCTTCCTTTGGACCTGCGCGATTGGGATCGTCCATGACACCATCATTTGAATAAGGGATTGGCTTCCCATCAGAACCCAACTGTTCTGTGGACTTGGAGTCGGTGTTTGACTTTTCTTCAGGCAAGCTGGACGAGCCAGTTTTCTTGCGATCCCGCTCCGCACTGGTTTCCACCCATGGACCGGCGTGTGGTCGGCCATCTTTACCATCGATAGGGGCGTCCAGCGTCCCTTTAGCGGCCTTGGGTGCGGCGGCTGCATCTAGTTCGACCGTATTGGGGACGGAGGCCTCGTTTTTTGCGTAAAGCGTGTCTTTCAAGCTGTCATTGCTGGAAGCGGGATCCGTAAGGGCAGTCGAGAGCGCAGGGAGGAGGAGAAGGAGAAGCGGCGAAGAGATGTGGTGGATCTTCATCTTGTAAGAGCCGTGATCGCGAGATCAATTGAGAAGCGAGAGACGAGTCCAATAAGTACAATCGACGGTACACATGGGCGAAAAAAAAGGATGATCAGAAAAAAAAGTTTGGTTCGACGAACGTCGATCCTGTCAATCAAGCCACGATAGCAATCCTAGCGGAGTCCTCCGTATGACACGCGAGGTAGGGAGTGTGGAATGACGAGGGTTGAACAGCAGGTCCAGGTGGACAGGACGGTCATATATGGGGCAGCGAAATCAAGGTCAAGTAGAATACAAGCAAGAAGGGAAAGGAACGAAGCTGATGGGAAAACCAGCCGTCGCGAGCAAGCAGGCAGAGGAGTTGGTGGTTCTTTTCGCCCGCCGCAAAGGGGCAACGCCGCCTCCGCATCACGTGGTTTTCTTGGCCGCATCCGGCCATCTTGACCAACCACCTGCCTCGCAATGGAAGCCATCAATTATCGACCCCATCGGATCTGGCTCCTAACTGCCGGAAAGGGGGGGGCGCCACCCGCAAATCTCCTGCATCAGTCCTGACGGTCCTGGACGGGGGAGGTCTTCGCAAATGATCACATACCTAATCCGTTCTTTCAAGTGAGGAATATTGATTTGAACACGACAAATAGCAGACCACACAGGATTTTAATCCGAGAGTTGAAGAATGGTAAGAAGCAAGAAAATGCACCGGAGGATATGTTATTTCAGATCATATATCCACAGCGAAGGGGGAAAAATCGAGTAAATTTTTGTTTTGGTCTTGATGCTCCTGCGTGCCAAAGACACGAGGTGTATTATCTGATCTACGTCCGTTTGACATCCACGACGGGCCCTTTGTACACTCTCTTCCCCTGCAGGAAATACATCACCAGACTGATCATAAAGACCCCAACAAAGAGAACAATGCTCCAGTTGAAGTTGCTGACCGTGACTGGAATCTGTGTGGGCCAGAAGGACCAGAAGAGGGCAAAAGCCACATAGACTAATGCTACTGCATTGACCCAGATACCATGCTTGCCGAGACTCCACCGTCGGTCAGGAAGCGTCTCGGGACAGTAGATTTTGCGATACATCACACAGCTGATAGAGATGGCGTAAGTCCACATCAGTGCCGCCACGTTCAAGGAAATGATGGCATTGAAGGCTGTGTCCGACCCGATGTTGATTAGGGAAAGAAGACCGCTGATAATGCAGGAAAGCGCGATGGCGTTAATGGGAAGCTTGTAGCTCTGGTTTACCTTGGAGATCCAGTTGGAGAACGGCAGGCCCCGGTCTCGAGCGAAGGCGTACGTTTGACGAGCCGTTGACGCGTTGAAGAGGATATTGCTGAAGATGACTGGGATGAGGATGATGGCAGTAAGCCCATTCACCCCCGCTGTTGAGACCGTCTGCTTGAAGACATAAATGAAGGGAAAGCCACTTGGGTCATCCAAGGCGTCTTTGACCGACGGCATGGCGAACATCAAGGTAATTATCATAACCAATGCTAGCACGCCGTTGCTGAAATAGCCGCCACAGATGGCCATTGGGACATACCGACCGGCATCACGAACCTCTTCCGACATGTGCGCTGTGGCGTCCGAGCTCAGAGATCCGTAAATTGCGGAAATCTGGCCGATCATCAGAGCAACCCCGACATTGTTCCACCCACCGTATGTGCTGAATTCAGTGAACACTGCTTTGGCGGACTGAAGAGGAGCCATAGCCCAGAGCACGACAACGACAACGACCCAGCAGATAGTGTGCAGAGCCAAGAGAATGTTTTGAATCCGAGGCATCCAACTGGCTGCATAGACGTTGAAGAAATAGATAACAAGGATCATTGCAAAAACGAAGAGGGTTCCTTGCCATCGCTTGGGGTTATAGTCCGGGTTTCGTACGCCGATTAGGCCTTGGATGATGGTCCCAGTGAGGAAGGATCCTGACGCCGCACCGGCCTGCCACGCGAGAACGGACATCCATCCTATCCCCGTATTTGATTAGCTATGAAACAGGAGAGATGAATCCGTATGTCACCGACCAGTGATATAACTAAGGAACTTCTGATAGCGTGGGGACGCAAACTCGGAGACCCAATGGTATTGACCCCCAGATGTCGGGGCCCTGCATAGCAGCAATCGTCAGTGGGTTGGTCCTATGCGAGTAATTATGCTTCCCAGTTACACTCACATTGATGCCATTTCTGACAATGAGACGATGATGAACCCAAATCCGACAAAGGTCCACACGTATGTCCACACCAAGCCGGCCATTCCCCCATCCTCAAGCCCCTGATAGTTGGATCTAGCCGATCCCCATGCGTTAGCTATATTGAAGAACCGATTTCAGCCGGCAAAGGATGAAGGGAAATATGCCCATACATAAGAATAAACTCCCAGGTTGCCTGTAGCACCGACGCGAAGCTCAAAGCCGCCAGAGGTCGAAGGTTCCTCTGCGATCCGATTGATGGTCAATTTTCACAATACTTACCCAAGAGGTAGCCAGATATACAGATACATACTCTAAACTCCTGGGCCTTGCCCATGCGCTCCATGTCATTGTGATCATATCGGGTTCCTGACTCGCCGTCATTGCGGACGGCGGCCTCAACTTCGAGCGAGTCGCAGCCCGTTGTCATGACCAACCGGTCGCCCTTTGGGATATTAGATGCTTTCGCAGCTGCAGACGACATCGTGGCAGACTGATGGGAAAGGTGGAGTGAGTGAAGCTGCGAGGCTGAGTCGCCGCAGACAAAGGGGGAAGGGCGACTCTGTGTGACGCGGAGGGTATGCAAGCAAGCCGCCAGGACCAACCGGCCATTAACGCGAGCTCGACTTGTGCCTGGGGCTCCCAAGAAGATGCCTCTTTCTGTTGTAGCGTCCAGACCCCTCTCCGGAGGATCATGCCGACCAGCGTCATGCCGACTGCTCAATTAACCCCCCCTTTTGGCTACTCATGCCTGGTGCAACCAGTATAGCATCGCAAATGGACAAGCTGGTCCGGATTCCCTCCGCCTGTTTCCATCCGATCAGGCACAGACACTCGAGACGACCGTGGGCGTAAGCAAGGTCGGCGTGTGACTAGCTAATCCATGTCCTTCCCCTTTTACCTTCCACCACCAATGGTTTACCGGCTAAACGTGCAAATTGCATCTACCAATGAGACATGTACCTGGATATGTCTTGATTCCATCAGACGTATCCGGTTTAAAAATGATGGGGTTGGGCCACTTTCCCTAGCGATACTGGAGAGTTCCAACCGCGTACTTGACGGAGCCAGGTTGACAATATCCCAAGGCGGGTGAAAAGGACCTATTAGCAGTTGATCCACTGGCATTTGGATTCTTTGTCGCTTACTCGATGTGCTGGTTGCTTCCATGTTGTCCTACCCCGGCGGGGCACGAGGTCATGTCCTTCATGGCTCGCCAGCAACCTTTTGTGCCCGGTCAGCCTGGTCTTTGATGCTTATTCCATGTGAGATACTAGCTTGCCTGTTCTCGTATGCGCACACTGCCTGTACACCCCTTTTTGACAAACCCATTCCCAAAGCGCCGCAGGCGCGACAGCGGGGAGCTCAGGGTCGTTGGCGAATACAGTCATCACGTCGGTATCTGTTGCAGCTGGAATAATCTCTCTTCCATATGAGTCCAACATGATAGCTTCTATACGAAGTTGACAACATTGCCTGGCAGAGACTTTCTTCACAAGGTTATCTGTTCCCATGGCGGGCCCGGCTTCTTCGCTTCCCCCGGGGGTTTCGTCTCCGCTGACGGAGGACAATGACTATAACCACAATGGCCTGATTGTTATCATCACCTCTCTCTCTCTGTTTCTCATTCTGGCCTCCCTGGGTATTCGGCTATTTGCATCCTCAAAAAGAGGCCACATCTTCAAGGATGATTATGTTCTGTTCGTGGTCGCGGTATACCAACTCTTCATGTTCTCGTTAGGGCCTAGATGACTGAATATCCACTAGGCATGCGCCTGCGTTCAGGTCTCCCTCGTGCTAGTCCAAGTCCACTATGGGTGGGGAAAGTCCGGAGATCTTATTTCGGCTGCGGACTATGCCCCGATGGAAAAGGTACGTTAACTTACCCACGCTCTGCATTCCAGATTGTAACCTAAGATGCCTAGGCCGGATATGTAGCGGACCTGCTCTACGTTCTCGGTTTAGGACTTTCGAAAGCCTGTACAATGATATTCTACCAGAACCTCTCTTTGCAGCGGACCAGATGGATGATTAATCTCGTTCTATCTGCGTGTGCTGTATGGGCAATCGTCGCGATGATGTTGTTGGCCATTCGATGCAGCACAAGCCGTCCGTGGAGCGACATCAACCGCGACTGCAGTGGCTTGGTAATTTGCATTTATTCCAGCCCCTGTCGCAGATAAGCCGAGAACTAACAATACACACCAAATAGTTCCCACGCTGGCAAGCCATCTGCGCGCTGGAGATTGTGCTCGAAACCATGATACTGTCTTATCCTGCGATAGCCATCAGCAACGTCCAGATTTCGTTGAGCAAGAAGCTCAAAGTTCTAGCTATTCTTAGCTGCCGGGTCATGTACGTCCTTTTGCCCCCTAGTCGCCATGCTTCCACGTCACTTACTGTTAAATTCCAGATTGATCCCCCTCTCCGCCATCCACCTATACTACATCCACTGGCAGATTCAGTCACCCAACCCCTCACTCATTGGAACCTACGCCACGACTGTTGCAGAACTCCACCTCAGCGTCAGTGTTGTCCTCCTCACCCTGTCATGTCTGAAAATTTTCATTGCTGTCTACGTAGATGATCATGGTCTGGCATACACGGAAGATGCCTCAAATCCGCATAGCTACAGCGGGCGCACTCCCCCCAAATCCTGGCAATCATGTCAACAGACAAAAGACCTCAGCTCATTTGGGAGCGGATGTAACGAAGATGAACCGATTCTGCGAACGGAAGCGTCAGTTTCCGCGTCATCAGGCCAGCATGCTAACAACGATGGTACTTCAATTCTGAAAAGCGTACAGATATCAGTGACGCGAGAGAACATCGAGTTAGCCGAGATTCAGGGGTCATCGAATCCTGGGATGCCTCGACCTACATAGCTCTAAGGACTTTTGTTCGTATAGTATTTCGGGATACGATTGTCTGTCTGCGGGAACATTTTGGCTTCATCACAGATTACCCTGTTATTTTGTGTCTCCCATTGTGATCTGATAGCCACAGATTGATATAATCTGGTTTTCTTCCGGGCCTCTCCTCGCTTCTGATGGAAAGGTGGATCTCTCTTTACAGTTGTCGTCTATGCAAGGAAATTCAAATTACGTGTATGATATAGGTTGGGCATACTGGATAGAAGTAAAATACAACGAGATTGGTCTCCTAGATGAAACAACTCCATGTAACATTTGACACCCATGAGTGAATAATTCCATGTCCTCTCCGCTGGTCTGATATTTGTTGTCTATCAATTCATAATCAGCCATACAGGATCTATTTAGCCATGTTCTGCTACATCGTGATCGAGTGCTTATCGTGTCTTAAACTTCTCAGCCTGTGCATTGATATAGGACACCACGCGTAAGTCACCTCCCGGCTGGATTGAACAGCCAATGTAGGTGTGAAGACCTCGTTGTGTTTCCAGCGCATTCTCATGACTAAAGTAGTTAGTGTGTCCGGCTATCAAACAGATTGAGGCTACTCACAATACTGAGCGCATAGCATTGTTGTATGCCGCGGTTTCTGACGTCTTCGTCTGACCATTACCCCCATACATATACTCCCTCAACGCGGTGACAACCTGCCAGTCACTGCGAGCATAGTGTCTGACTGGGATGTAAACCTTGACAGTGGGGAGTTTGCTTCCAAGGCAGAACGCCATGTTATACAGAATCCCCGCAGTGCGATGGTTTAATCCTGGCAGTGGGGCATCATCAGAGACGCCGTCCTGCCCTAGCACTCCGTCCCACAGCCTCCGCAGATTCTGCAAGCCCACCTCCAAGGAAGAGGTATAAAGACGGCCACCCATTGTTACTGTTTGACGGACGGAGTCAAAGCTGGTCTGTCGATTGCGAAAGTAGACTTTCAGCCGTGACTGGGCGGGGCAGATCATGTCGATAGCTAGCATATCCATCTCCACCGAAGGCGTGGCCTCCTCAACCACAAAATCCTCGAATACTCTGAACGCAAGAAGCTGTTGATCATCGGTGCAATGTGGCGCTGTCCGAATGGCCTCCGCGAGGACCTGCAGATTACTTTGATTCACCGCCCGAGCTTTGAATCCGGGGAAGAAGTACGCCTTGCTGATGATGTCTCTTTCCCCCAAGTCAAAAGCGTAAAAGATCTTCGACGGGTGGCCCTCCATGCAACCCCCTGGAGATTTGTTCGGGGCTAGAATATGATGAAAATGGTCAAACCACTCCAAGTTCATGCTGGGTAACGCCCGGACCAACGTCTCCCGGAAATGCGTGTCAGCGGATGAATTGTCGGGGTCTCCCTTCCCACCGGCCTGTAAGCCCACGGGCTCAATAGAGAACCGGATTGTAGGGCGCTTGTTGCCCGTGTGCCAGTCCCAGCTGAGCTCGATTGGATTATGGTCGTCGGTCATGAAGCTCTTCCATCTGTGTGCGCCGTATGCGTTGGCGACACCGAGGAATGGGGCAATATTGTGACCGTAGAAGGTCAAAATGACCTGCTGGGCGTTTTTGGAGTACCCTGCATCATGGAGCAGTGCTGCCAGCAGGTAGCCTGCTGTAAGCCACCAGAATTGGCCATGGTAATCTAGGGAGCCACGGAGCTTGTGGGTAAGCTGTCGCCAGACGGAGGGCGGAAAATGATCTGCGCTGGTGGAGTGTAAAATCTCAGACCTGGCATGGTTTGGAACGAAATGGGAGATTGCTGGATCCAAGGGATAGAGGTGACCGACAAGCAGTTGTCGTACTGCGTCATTCCACTGTGGGGATAAACTTCCGCATCGAGAGGACAGGCTATTCATATTTGCAAGCTAGAATTGGTACCAGAAAAAGGTAAAGCAACACTCCAATGCAAGTATCCAGCTCAGAGCCGAAGCTTAGGCCTGTTTTCCTGAGACCACAGGAATAGACAAAATTGCAATTTTGCGCCATTGCAAGCAGCGAGCGACGGTTGACTTAAGTCCGGAGATGTCGTCGCAAACACTCGTCCCAAACGGTTGATTTTCTCTAGTCAATATATCGGCTCACATGGCCGCTTACCTCAGATTGCTAGGGCCGTCAGATCTTAATTCTGATAGGATAGTTCGCTAAGCTTTCTGGCTTCATGTCTGACCATTTCATTTTTGCTGTATCGCTGTCCGGTTATACGGCTATATACAGACTAGACTACCTGCAGCGTCCGCGATATCATCGAACCAGACTTAGTTCTGTTATTTATCACATTCTTAGCTATTCACTAGACTGCCTCATCTGACACGTGGGAGCGTTCTTCTTTTCTGGTGGTCCGGGGTACGTACCTAGGGAGTAAATGAACATCTAGTCGAGTTATGCAAGCCAGGAGTTAGGTTCAGAGGAAGAATCAATCAACGGAATAGGATGTGTGCGGATTGCCGACTTTGGAAGTTTGGATGGTGCATATCTTAGTGTCTTAGTTTTTAACTATTAGCCTGTTGAGGTATAACTAGATAACTGATCTTTGTGGCTTACATCATAAGGCTGTGGGTGGGGCTGCACCCTGGTCCGTCGACTGGACATAGCAGGCACGGATACACCTACTAGCTCTGATACGGCAAGTCAAGTTTGAAGGTCCATTCACAGGTAGTAGTCGGAGGTATGGTACCATGATGATAGTTCAGATTACCATAGTACCATAGTACACAATAATGCCAGCATGGAACTATTTTTATGAGGATACATGGACTTGATTCACATCTGTCATCGTTAGCGTATGTGACTGTGTTTGAACTTGGAAGATCTTGAGCCAGCGATATAGGAATCGAGATATACCCACCTTCACGATACGTAGGAAGGAAATGTGGGTAAAAATGCCGATAAACTGCCTCTAGTCTTCAATAATATGGTACCATCCATACCTCGAGACTCAAGAGATTTTGTCTGACCATGTTTTTTGATTTCCCCAAGATTAGTTGTGCCTAAAAGTCTGACTGTCGATTATCCTTGATATGAGGGATTCTGAGCGTGACCATTAAGACTCCACTCTTCCACCTAGTTACCCTAATATACTATACTGACTGTTAAATCATTAATTTGACGACACGCATCAGGTTCCCAATGGATCCAAGCCCCTAATATTTCCAGGCTAAACTTCGGTCAGAGTATTTGTTATGAAGATATGCTATAATTAGCAAGCCAAGGTTAGCGACAAAGGATTATTGATGCGCGATGGTTCATTCGAGCTTTTAATACCCCTGAAAGCTTGCAGGTGCTTGGCCGTTGCAATGGGCTGCCTGAAAGGAGCGCAGGCCCAGTTCAGCTGCAGGATCAGAACCTCAGGCAGTACGTCTCGGGGACTATAAACCCCCCCCCCTCTCGCGCCGCTCCCTCTCCCTCTCCCTCTCCCTCTCCCGCCATTCCCTCCCCTCTCCACATGTATCGGCCCTGGAGCAACGCCTTCAAAGTACGTAGCGCACTCAGCCTCGACCACAGCGCATAATCCCCCTCCCCTGGGACTATAAGCCAAGCACGGCAAGGTGCTACCAGTATGACAGAGGATGATTTTGTCGCTGGGTAACCGCCGTATGTGTGTCCGGGTGATAAGGTTTATAGCTTTTCAGCCCGCTCCACGAGGATAGTCAAAATCGGGCTGCGGGAGGTGCGCGTCGAGCAAGGGTGGGAAGGAAGCGAAGAAGCCATATAATTTCGCGCGTCTCTGATGGCGGGGAGCGCGTTCGTTGGCTGTGCTGCCTTTGTCGGTCGATACTTTCTACCCGTCTTGGAGGCGCTGAGAGAAAGAGTTACCTTCAACATAATGGCTGCGATGGGACGCGGTAGTGTAGCAACACGGCATTATACCACATTCAGACGCTTTGATTATAGAAACCTTGCTCTTTGTTTTCTTTGACAGGCTAGGATTGCTTTCGGATAAAATAAATATGATGGATATTCTCTGGTTGCCACACACGTAGTATAAGAACGCACTTCGGTCGTTGATGTCTCTAGAGGTTCGAGGTGGTGACGTTGGAGTCGATGACTGCCTTTGTCAGAGTATCGATTGCCGTTGTCTTAATAGGCCTTGCTAGTTACCGAGCGCCTGGCGGATGTAGCCAGGAGCCCGAGGGGAGTGACTTGAGTCTTAGAAGTTACACACATAGTGAAGGCCTTAGTTATAGTAAGTAACTCCTTGACTCCTGTAAACCGATCCCATTCAAGTTTCTGAGCCAACTACTAGTATATGGCAGTATGGTAGGGTAACTATCGCTTCTAGAGTGAGAATGGCAGGCAGGGCTTCCGATAACATATATTTATTCTAGCCTTATCGGGTTACCCCAAAGCTCCACACATATATTTCTCGCTCTAAAGTCCGGATGCAAAAAAGAATTCGAGTGTCAGGAGGGAATCACCCATCTAGCACAAGGCTTGTGAGTTGATCTTTTCTACCCCGTAAGCATCATTGCTCTCTATAGCGACCCTATACAGTTCGTCCCACGCTGTTGGTGACGATGCCCAGGCTTGGCCCGCGCGTGATCAGCAATCGCCCTCGATTTTCGTTTTCGCGTCCCGTCTATTCATCCTTCAACCCCTCTCTCATAGCCAGTTCCCTTTGCTTAAAACCTTCACTCCAACAGTAACCACAGTTTGGTTGCTTTCTCTCCATGGCAAAAGAGGCAGATTGGTCTCCCACAGCAATGCCTCCCGTGGATGTTTACCCCGCGACCGCCAAAGGCCCAACCAGAGATAATGACGTCACCGATAAGCGCGTGAGGGCGGCGCAGACCATCCAGGTCCGTCCGCCTTCGATGGCTGGCCCTCCCTGTCTTGAGCTTTTGACACCTAACTTGCTTCCAGAGGACATACCGTGGCTATCGCACGCGACGGGAGCTACAGGGGCTCGGCCTTTCTGCATCGACTTCGCGATGGGTCGCGGTAAGATTGTTCTCCAGATGGCTCCTGTATCGTTACTGATTCTTCCGATTCCAGGCCGTCAAAGAAGCTGAATGGCGTAAGCTTCATCGCCCCTCCGCACCTAGTGATACAGACAACATCGACAGCGCCGCCAATGCCCGTCGGAACTGGCTGCGAGCCGTTAGTGTGGCCAAGCGCGCCGGAGGTGACGACGATGATGATATTAGTCGAGAATCCCTCTCGTCCGCGAAGGCCGACACGAAGACACCGGGAAATGGATCGGGAGGGTCTCCGCCGCTCCACCATGACTTGCCCCCTGGCACAACAGCAAAGATGATGGACTTGCAGTATTTTCTAGAGATGGTGGACCTTAAACACAGGCACGGGAGTAACCTACGTGCGTACCATATATACTGGAAAAATTCGCCGACCAACCAGAACTTTTTCTACTGGCTTGACTATGGAGACGGGAAAGATCTCGACCTTCCACAGCGGCCTCGGGAGAAACTTGAGCGGCAACAGGTTCGTTATCTCTCCCGAGAAGAGCGAATGAATTATCTGGTTCAGGTGGATGAGGAGGGGAAATTTCGATGGGCCAAGAACAATGACCTCGTTTGGACCGATAATAAACAGTTCAAGGATAGCCTGAACGGGGTTGTACCCCTGGAAGAGAATGCACCCCAGTTCAGAGGGAATACTGATGCAGGCAGTCCAGTCGCTTCCTCGCTGGATTCGTCTTCTATCTCATCACTGTCCTCGGCAGATTGCAGTTCATTAAGTGATCATAGCGATAAACTCGGCAAGGACGAAAAGGATGACTACAAGGCAGCGAAAATGGGCCAAAAGCTGGTACATGTTACTCCGGGGACGATATTTAAGACAATGAAGGGTAAGTCGTCAAAGAAGGAGGATATGTGGATATTTGTGAGTGATCTTAATCCCATACTTTGCTCGCTAGTGATTTTCGAACTGACTATATACAGGTCGCAGATACAACATTCCGCCTATTCATTGGCATCAAGGAGGCGGGTGCATTTCAACATTCTTCGTTTCTACGAGGTGCCCGCATAGCAGCCGCTGGACTGATCAAGGTTCGAAACGGGGAATTACGCAGCCTGGCACCACTAAGGTACGCAATCCATTAACATAGGCTGGTCCTGTATTCAAACTTCGAATGCTGATCTTAGCAGTGGCCACTATCGCCCACCTGCCGCAAACTTCCGTGCGTTCATCCATTCCCTCCAAGACAAAGGGGTCGACATGTCCCATGTATCTATCAGCAAATCATATGCGGTTTTGGCGGGGATCGAGGGATATACTCGAGCGAAACGAAAGGTGCGCACTATGCAGGAAAAGGTGGATGGTGTTATACATAAGTTTCACTGGGCTCGCCAGGAACATGCGGAGAACCGTCAGCGGGGTGAAACCGACATCAATAAAGGTAAAACGGATGAGCCAACCAGCCAGAATCCAACCTTGGATGATCATTGGGATAGGGGCGCTCCAAGCCTCGATCTTCCATACCGCACAAAGCCGGGTGCAGGGCCACGCGGGTCACAATCTACAGGAGAGGTTGGACAACAGAGCTCGTCTAGTGTTCCTGAAGACCACACGATATAATAGGTACTCGATACTATCGTGTGTAAGACTCGGGTAGTCTTTTCTTATACTCCGTATGTACTTTTATCATGTTTGATAGACCCCTCTAGAGTGTAGTTGTTATACCCAGAATTGACTATTGTTCTTCCTGTGTAGACACTGCATCATGACTGCGGAGTAATACTTCTTATGTGCAGAGCACTCGTGTTCAGCTCAGTTTTCAAGCCGTCCACCAACGGCTTAAAAGTCCACGGCAACTCGAAACCTCAACAGATCTTTCTCCAATATTTCACCAAACCTTTGCTCGAGCTCAAACACGTCCCACTTACAAGAAAGGAAACGACCATTCAAAGCTGACCTTTGCTGTTCCCAACCATCGGGCTTGGTCAACCAGACGCAGAATGAGCCCACCAGATCAGGGCTATCTGCCAACACTATGCCAGCGTTTGAGTTAGATCAGCTCCCTCTGGGCAAAACTGGCGGATCCACTCACGATGATGAAACTGCTTAGGCATAGACTTCTCCGAAAACTCGCTCTTCAGTCCGCCCGGATGCACACTGACGCAGAAAACCCCCCTAGAAGCATACTGCTCATGCAACATCTCCACAAACCGTGCCTGCGCAGCCTTGCTTACGCAGTAGTGCGTATGTCCCGAGATAGTGGGAGTCGCCATGGAGCTAATAGCGACGAAGGCCTTGGCCCCTGACTCTGTGTCCAAGAGCAACGGGAGCAAACAGTGAGCAGCATGAAAAGTTCCAATTGTATTTACCTCGAACGCAGTCCGGAAGTCGATGGGCGATTCTTGAACCACGTCGGCGGTCATCGGGCCTGAATACCCGGAATTCACGAGGACGACGTCCAGGCGACCGTCAAATGCGGCTTTTGTGGTACTTGCTAGAGCTTCAACGCTGGCGGCGGAAGTTATATCGCACTCTGCCACGATTACCTTGACTGTAGGGTTGATGTTGCGAACTTCGCTGGCTGTATCCTCCAGCGCGGACCGTGTCCTTGCGGCTAGGATGATTCCGGAGGCTCCGGCTCGAGCGTAGGATCGGGCGAGCCCACCGCCAGCGGCTCCTCTGCCACCGACGATGCATACAACATAGGGGCAGGGGAGCCTGACTGCAGAAGGGTCGATGGCAGGATATGGAGTGGTATGCAGAGTGGGCACGAATTCGCGACAAGCCTGGGCGTTTGATTGGCTAGGAGTAGGGGCCATATTTGCTGAGAATTGAGGGATGGAATGGTGGAAGTTTATCTTTGTTTGCTCTTAGCAGATGTGGACTTCATTTAAAGCGGATTTGAAGCGGCTGTTGAGTATATGAAGTCAGCATCATTGTCGGAAATTAGACGGATTTAAGGATGTCAGCCGGTGTTTAGATGTAATGGTAAGATACCAACTTGAAATACATAGGGGTAGAGTGGCTAACGGCCAGGTCAGGTCAGGTTAATTAGAATTTTTATACCTAACCGCCAGATTATAATCAGATTAAGAAAATTTTTATATCTGATTATAATATAGCTAAAAATCAGATAATTAATTATTTTAATTATTCTTAATATTAAGATCTATCTATTATATTTTTTTAAGCTCTAGTATAGTTAAAATATATTCAGATTAAATAATTATTAATCTAACTATCTTTATTATTATTTAAAAGTATATAAAAAAAAGCTTTTTAAATTAAAAAAATATAATTAAAAAAAAATTAGTATCTTCTTTATTATTATTTATTAAAAATAATAAGAAAATTCTAGTTATATTAATAAAATTCAGCTTTTTATAAAATTATTATTTTTATAATAAAAAATATATATAAAAATATATAATTATTATTCTATTTTAGCTGTATATCTTAATTATATTATAAAATATTAGAAAAATTATATATTAATTATTAATTAGAATATTAAAAATAAATATATTATTTTTATTTTATTATTTCTTCTGAATTAGACTATTTTTAAATTTATAAATAAAATATAGTTTAAAGAGCTATTAATAAAATTAAAAACTAATAAATAATTAAGAAAATTATAAATAGTTAGATTATTAAGATAAAGTAGATTAAACAGATTAAATAGATTAAATAAATTAAATAAATTAAATAAATAAACAGAATATATTAGATTTATATTATAATATTATAGCTTTTATAAAAGATTTTATAAAAATTTTTTATAAATTTTTTTTATAAATATCTATTTTCTATTCTAGTCTATTATATTTTAAATAATTTTATTTAAAAAAAAAATTATTTTATAACTCTAGACTTTAGATATAAATTTTTATTTATTAAATTTATTAAAATAAATAAAATACAGCAGATATCTCAGCTATATATTAAAATATAATAGATTATATTTATATAAAATTATATTTTAAAATAAAATAAATTATCTTTATAAAATTTTCTGCTTTTATTTTTTTATATTTATTATTTATAAAATAGCTTTAAAATTATAAATTAATTATAATTATTTAATTTATTTTTAAAAAATATTATTAAATCTTCTTCTTCTGTTTCTTAGATCTTTATAAATTATAATAATATTTAAATTAAGATAAGCTTCTTAAATCAGATCTTTTCTTTTTTTTTAAATCTTAAGATTATATATATTATAAAAAATTAAAAGATTATTTTATATTTAGCTTTTTAAAAAAAGCTCTTTATTTTTTAGAATTAATAATAAAAAATAATCTTTTTTAAAAATTATATATAAGCTAAAAAACTACTATTTTATTTTAATTAAAAAAAGTTATTAATAATATAGAACAGTTTTTAAAAAAATATATTATTTTTTAATAAAATCTCTTATATTTATTATATTATATATTTTTATATTTTATAATATCTAAGAATTAAAAACTTAAAAACTAGTTTTATAAATTATTATTTTTATAAGAGTTATAAGAAAAAATTATTATTAATTATATTTAAATAAATAATTAATTAGATACTGAGTAAAGAACTATTATAAATATTTATTTATTTTTTTAAAATAAATTTTTTTTAATTATTATTTTTTTCTAGATTTTTATAATTTATAATAAACAGGATTTTTAGAATTAAATTCTATATTTTATAATTATTTATTATCTACTATTCTAAACTATTAAATATATTTAATTTAAATAAATAATTAATCTTGCTATTTTATTTCTTTATTAAAAATTAAGTTTTTTTAATTAAATATAAATTAAAAAATATCTTATAAAATTATTTAAAAAGATATATATATAGCTATTATTAAAATTTCTAAATATTAAATAAATATTAATTATAATAAACTGCTGAATTAGTTCTAATTAAAAAATATTTTTTAATTTAATTAAATATTTCTTAATAAAAAATATAAATTATTATAAGATTTTACTAGATTTTTAATTAATATCTAAATCTTATATTAATAAAAATCTAGCTATAATTATTCTATCAGTTTTATATAAATATAATCTTATCTATTAATTATTAAATATAATAATTAATAATATTAATAATAATAATATAATATTTAGTATAATCTTAGCTAAATTCTAAACTTAATTTAATTAGAGTACTTAGTTTTATAATATTTTAATTAATTCTGATTTTTTAAAAATTATTTAAAACTAATATTATATTCTCTATTTTATTTATATAATTTAATTTATAATTAATACTCTTCTGCAGAAACTTCAGATTAAGATTTTAAATAATATTATTAAATATATATAAAAAAATAATAATAAAAGTTTTAAAATTTTTTTTAATATTTTAAGAATTTTTAAAAAAATATATTCTAAAAGCTATCTATAAAAGATTAATATAGAATTTTTTTTTATAAAAAATTTCTAGAAATCTTCTATTAGTTAGTTTATTATACTAATTCTTAATTATAAATTTAAAAAATTATATAATTTATAAATATAAGTTTTTAATATTATAAAAAGTTTTTATTTATTTAATAACTTAAATCTGACTTAATTTATTATTTTTTTTTTAATTATAAAATTTACTAGAATTTAATTTATCTTATAATTTATTAAATACTTAAATTTTATTAAGTAATTAAAAGTTTTATTTAGTATTATAAATATAATAATATTAATTATCTTTATTTTATTATAATAAAATAAAAATAAATAAAATATCTTCTTAAGCTTTTATATTTTTTTTTTTTATTTCTATTTCTCTAAGAATAGTAAATCTATTATTTATAAGATTTATAATATTTATAATAATTTCTTTAATTATCTGAATTACTTAATTAATAGACTAAAAAAAAAATAGATATTTTAAAAAAAAGATTCTTAAGAACTTATATAATATATATTAAAAATTTAAAAATATTATTATTATATTTATTAGATAAAAGATTATATCTATATAATTATAATTATTCTGAACCTGATATTAAAGCTTAAAAAATTTAAAAAAGATATATATTAAATAATGAATATTAATAATATTATAAATATTAAATTATTTTTAAAAAATATTCTTTTTTATTTTAATTAAAATTTAATAATTAATATATTATTAATAATCTTTAGATTATTATCAGATCTGGATAAGATTTTTATAATATTTTTAAATATTCAAGATTCTTATTTATAATTAAGATATATAAAAAATTTAAGATATATTTAAATATTAAAGATATATAGCTTCTTAAAATATCTTTAATTAAATTAATATAATTTTAGATATTATAGAATATACTAATATTCTTATTTATTAAAAGTCTTATTATAATTAGTTTTTTATTTTTATTAAATAATTAAGATTTTCTTTTAATTATAATTAATAATATTAATATTAAATATTTTTTAATAATTTTTAAGATATTTATTACTATTATCAAAGCTATCTTAATTCTAATATAATTAAAATAATTATATTTTAAATATATATTAATTATTTTATTATAAGAAAGAAATATTAGAATATATTTAATAATTTAATTTAGATTTAATTATTTTATATTTAAAAAATAAGAGAAGAATAAGATAATTATTATTTATTATATTAATAAGAATAAAAATATAAATAATCTTAAAAATAATCTAGAAAATAGATTATTATTAAAATTAAAAAAACTAGTTTTATTTAAATTTTTAATTATTATATATATTTAGATAAAGATAAAGATCTAATTTTTATAATTTTTATATTATTATAATTATTATTCTAAATAATATAAAAAATAAATATTTTATATTTTTTTTATTTTTTTTATATTAAATTTTATAAAAATCTTTTTTAAAATATAGTATATTTTTTAAAATAATTAATTAAATAAATTAAGTAGTAGACTATATTTAAAAATATTATTATATTTATACTATAATTAAATATATATTATACTTTATATATTATTTATATAAAAAAAATATATATATTATAAATTAATCTATAATTATTAATTTATCTACTATATCTAATCTTTTTAATTAATAAATATAAATAGTTATAATAATAATTATATCTTAATCTAATCTTAATTATATAATTAAAAATTCTTTATATCTTAATCTAATTATCAGATTATGGCCAGATTAAGATTAAGATATAACAGTCAGATTAAGCCACTCTAACTCTTTCTTTTTAAATTTATTAAATTAATCTAGAGTGGCTTAATCTGACTGTTATATCTTAATCTTAACCTGGTTATAATCTGACAGTCAGATTAAGATATAAAAAATTTTTAATTATATAATTAAGATCAGATTAAAATATAATTATTACTATAACTATTTATACCTACTGATTAAGAAGATCAGATATAACAGATAGATTAATAATTATAGATTAATTTATAATATATATATTCTTCTTATATAGATAATATACAAAGTATAATATATATTTAATTATAATATAAATATAATAATATTCTTTAGATATAGTCTACTGCTTGATCTGCTTAATTAATTATATTAAAAGATATATTATACTCTAAAAAAAACTTTTATAGAATCTAGTATAGAAAAAATAAGAAAAGATATAAAATATTTATTCTTTATACTATCTAGAATAATAATTATAATAATATAGAAATTATAAAGATCGGGTCTCTATCTTTATCTAAGTATATATAATAATCAAAGACTTAGATAAGACTAGTTCTTCTAATTCTAATAATAATCTATTTTTTAAATTATCTTTAAGATTATCTATATTCTTATTTTTATTAATATAAAAAATAGTAATTATTTTATTCTTTTCTTATTTCTTAGATATAAAAATAATCAAATCTAGATTAAGATTATTAAATATATTCTAATACTTCTTACTTATAATAAAATAATT